TTTCATCAAAATACAACAACTTTGAGCCGTTTAGCTAGCATACTTTCATGTCTTTCAAAACATTCCTTATGTTTTTAGCATTTCGGGCGAGATGTTTATAGAGTTTAAATCAACCTGGCAAATGTAACTAATTGTGAAACTGAAGTTTTTGATTCTTACAAGACTTTCAAACTTCATGTGAAGCAGGAGAGGATTTTTTAAAGGCTGTAGATCACATCTCTGCAGGAAATCAATCAACTCCCTTTTTCCTGAGATTGAGGGTTAAGAGGGTTGAAGAAGAAAAAAAAATCTTTCAAACTCTGGAAATGTTCCGTTTTGCTTGTGCTTGAAATGTACGATTTTTTGAGTGGTGTTTTCTTTCTCTGAATGAGCCGTGACTCATTTTATAAGAGCAGCAGTTTTCCTGTACCAAGGAAAGTATAAACAGTGTTTAAAGAATAAAAGAGCAAAGGGGGGGGGGGGGCAAGTCATTATGTTTTCCATTGTGATTTTAATTACACAAAGAACAAGCAGCCTGACTTTAATGCACAATCTCACCCCCAGAGGTTTTTAAATATGAATTATTGGAGAAATGTCGAAGAAATTCATCAGCCAGGCAGAAGCGGCTCAGCTTTTATGACAATATCACAAAACAAAAATCCCTCAGACTTGGGTTTAACATTTGAAAGTAGCATTAGCTGCCTTCGTATCATCATGTCACCATGCTCCTTTATTTTGTCTAAAGCAGAAACAAAAGAAACGTGCATATTTTTGCTCAGCTTTTGCACACCTCACTGCTTGCCACATCCGAGCTGTCTCCATTGAGCCGAACTGTAAGTAATTTTCTACAGAAAGAAGCAAAAAGAAATGAAAAAAAATACACGTCTAAAAGCTCTTTTATATTTTGCAAAGTGTGTGCACGTGTGTGTGTGTTGACATAACAGCACACACGGCACCGTAAACTGGCATCCAAACGGCTCAGTATCACTGTGTAGTGTTCTAGCAGTGTGTAGACCCTGAACAAATATCTCTATAAATATGACTCAGTGTACTATTGATGGTCACAAAGACTCTACGTGGAGCAACTATTTTTATGAAATGCAACACTATGGATATATTAACTTTTGCAGAAATCTTGTTTACCTGTATGATATTCTGAAACTGTCAAAATAAAAGAAAATCTTGACACGACTGATTTATGGAGGAAATGCTGCGGTGTGTTTTTTTTTACACTTTCTGTTCAAATAATTAAAGGGTATGATTTAGATACAAACATGACACTTTATTTGACTTAAATCTGCATTTATTTGACCTGTTTACAGTTGTAAAGACAATTTTGAAGTTAATTGATTTATTTTTGAACATGCATAAAGCCATTTTTTATTTATTTCTTTTACTTATCAAAAAACAAGATATCAGTCTGTTAGCAAAAGTAGAGCTGGTTTTAGTGAGAGTTGTTTCTCTATGTCTAGTGTTAATGCTAAGCTAAAGTGAGCTAACAGTTGTCTGACAGCTGCCTTATATTGTAGAAGGACATGAGGGTGCTGGCAAGCTTACTGTTGATCTGTGGTAAAAAAAAATAAGACATATACTTCCAGAATTTCTGACCCAATTTGAATTATTTCTAAATTATTTAAAACCTCCCGTATTTCTAATTGAAAATAGTGCAAAGACAACATATCAAATACTTGGAAAGAAAATTTTCCCTCAATAAAGAATGTATGCTGATCCAGAAACCTGCTATGTATGGAAGCACATGCTGCTTGTAAACCTGCATTGCTGAACAATTGTGGTGTCACATAGGGTTTTCATACAGTAGCTGTTTGCCTTCTATCTGTGCATGGAAAACAAACTGGATGGTTCCCCTCTACTTCAGTGTGATCTCTACAAAGAAAGTTTATAACCATTTTCTCTCTCCAACAGGCGATGACCCAGAGGAACCACAAACATGTTTGTAAATGGATTCCTCTTTTTAACCTACACCTGTGTGAATTTGAGCCCATGCAGTGATTTCCACTACAGAGTCAAGTCTGTTATTAAAGCAGTGCCTCCTGGAAGTCACTACAATTCAGTGTTGGATTTTTGTACAAATACTTCTCTGTTTTCGTGGCATTGTGTTCTGTAGATACCATTCTTTAAGTTTTGCCATTCTACTAATTTGCTGCAAATTCCACACCCTTCAAGTATATATTTTTCAATCATTTACCAATTGTAAAAAACAAACAGATTTAAACTTTGCTTGTGTTGCCATTGCAAAGATATACTTGTGTTTTTTTCTTCTTGATTTGCACCATTGTAATATCACAGTTTGGCCACATGGGGGCATTGGATAAATTTGGCTCAATCCAGACTACAATTCTAATTTTGAGAGACAGATTGAAGCCCTCATGCAGGACCATGTGTTTTAAAATATAAATATAATATATATAAATAAATATAAAACAAACTAATAAATGTGTTAAAAATTTTAAGGTGGAAACTAAACTGTTTTGAAGCCCTCGATGCATGGTCTACATGTCTCCACAAGAGGTCAGCACACTCCAGGGTTAGATTCTGATGCTGCTTGGTTTCATAATTGTGGAACTTACATAAAGTTATTAGTCAGACATATTTCTCCTGCAGAAAATGTTGGGATGTTGAGTTTTTTTTTTACATGTAATTCACTCAAATTTAAGATTGGCTGTCTGAAGGATACATCTCTTCTTGTGTGCACCTTTCGCAGCTTTGGGAAACACACTGTCACTCATACTCACACATTTCCTTCCTGATTTTGACACATTTCACATCCTGTTGCACGATAAACCTATGAATACAGGTTTGTATCTATTTCAGGGTGATTCTACAATTTAGCTAAACTCAGACTTGATTTAATGCTTCCTAAGTGGATCTCTGCCTCTGTTTATCCTCATGTCGACATGTGCTGCATGTAAAAAGGCCACTGAGCATCAAAGAGACAGGAAAGAGTCAACAAAAGAAACACGGGCTGAGGGATGAAGCGCTGCAGGAGCAGCTCCACGAGCTCTCCTGCAGAGGCGGCGCCGGCCCGGGCTGCCTGCTGCCTGCTGGAAGCTGCTGGCTGGTGCCTGTTTTCTCCACAGGGGCGAATCAATCCAGAGCTGTGCTCATGTCTCCACAGGGAGAGGGGTGGGTTTAATTTAGGTCTCTAAAGACTGTTCTGCTCTTTTTGAGACACACTGAAGACATTCGACTCAACATGTTCATGTAATCGAGGGGATATGCGATACTTTCATACATTCTTGGGATTAAAGTCATGTAGGAGGATGGTTATATACTGCAGTTTTATGAGGCCATGTACAGTCCTAATGCATCTCCCAAACACACCCACAGTAATGTCATTGACAGCGTGCATGACTCATATCTTCACAGCAGTGCATGATGGATTGCTCTACCTCCTCCGCCAATGTCTCTGGTGTCATCCCTCGCTGAATTTTCTTCATCCTGTAGCATCTCATCAACTCCAAACATACTGCCAGTGAAATAACTGCAGTGCAGAGATAACATAGAAGACAATGACTTCATCCGTCAAGAAGACACAAAACAAATCTTACCAGTGTTTCCAGTGTTGCGGGAAAAATAATCAACTAGTTGGCAGCAGCAAAGGCCTGAACATGCACGGTTTCCTGCTCGTGTGGCTTACGTCCCATTTTATGCACACAACAGCTCTCTCAGTTAAATAAAGTTGTGTGCAGGTTAAACACCCTGACAGTCAGCAAACTATTAGAGCAGTGAAACACCTTCCAGTAAAATAAACTGTAAATGTTGAACAGGTGATTTGTTGAAAAGCAAGAATAACCTGCAGAATAAAGCAAAGGGCTGGCTTGTTTCTGTGTACCTGAAACAAAATGAAAGTATCCTGTTGCAGCAGCATGTCAGAATGTGTATGAAGGACACTTTTAGTTTTCTGGTTTATCTCCCAGTTTGCACCCTGCTGTCCATGCTTTATAATGTTAGTTTTGAGCAGAGCCTAAAACTGCAATGAAATTGCACGGAGAATCCAAATCACCTATTTTTGCATATGCACAGTTGAGTCCTCTTGCTTTCAAGCTTTCACAGCAGCCTACATAGTTTTCTGATAACATTTCAGAAAATAGATTGTAGGGAAACTTTGATACTCATAATCACCACCTGTAAAAAAGAGATGAATTATGGCACCAGCTGCAGTTTTAAGTGCACGGTATAACTGATGACTTAGTGTTTGATGGTACTTAATAATTTTAATTATGCATCAGGGTTTTGCAGCCGGTAAATGTCCTGCCCTGCATGTTTTTATGTGGGTGTCAATAGTGAAGGCCTGCCCTGACATGATGCTTTAGCTGCATAATAAACAAGGGAAGCCGTCTAAAAGGGATTCAATGAATTATTTTGCGGTAAGGCATGAGTCGAGTTTTGTTTGGATTAATTCAGAGCACTTAAATCAAAAGCTGTCAGTCATTTCCTCGAAAGCATACACACATTAAAGCTCCTGTGAAGAGCTTTTACATAAGGTTATTTTTGGTGCCCCCTGCTTTCTGTCCCCTGACATCTGACTCTTAACCCCCACAAGACATCAAAATTAATGTTAAGGAAGGATGTGTAACGCAAAAGGTTTGTTTGCTTTTGTAGAACCCAGACATATGTGAATGCCTATCTGTCTTTGGACCAACTAGAAACTCCCTGTAGATTTAAAATTACATGATGAAACCCATTTAGACTGTTCGAAATGATGGACACTCCAGATGAGTCTTAAGTGCTTTCAACCATAAAAATGTTCAACTAAAAAGAAATATCACTCTTTTTATTTTTGCAAACTACATGCCGAATATGATATACCACTTCAATAAAGAGGACTTTCATCTTTTCCCCGATGAAAGGTCAACACAACAACGAGTCGCCTAAAATTCCCGTTTTTTTCAATGAAATTTGGCGTGACGCTCCGTCTGCATACGCCAAGACGGCGTGTACAGCCGGGGCTAGGGGAGGGCCCACAGGCAGGGTGACGCGCCCTGCCCACTCAGAACCTCGCATTTGTTTGGCAGTCTGTCTAGCTGCAGTGGTCGACAGACAGACAGGCAGTCGGAGGGGCCGTACGCGGATTTTTTAGACGGTGGAAGTATCTGAGCAGCCAGAGCCCAGGGGCGGCCGGTGGGAGGAGGCAGAGAGTCCGCAGCTGCTGCGCCGAACAGCCTCTTTGATACCCGCAAGAGGAAGGAGCCGCCCGCATCAAACCCATGTCAACGGTAAGAGGATTTTTAAACATATTTTTCACTCAAAATCGACAGGGAGTCTTTTTATCTCCGAGTGTAAATGGATTTTGGGAAACGGAGGTCTGTCATGGCACGGCACTGCTGGAGCATCTTTCATTGGTTTTGTCGGCTGTGTGGTTGGTGGAGCCACGGGACTGAGCATCAACACGTCCGGGCTGAAAACGCCTCCGTACAGAGTTACTTGGTAAAAAATCACAGCGTTTTAGCGTTTGTATCGTTAGTTTATTTCAGAGTGTGCGCACAGTGGAAACAGGAAGGGGGTACGCTGTTAGAACCAAGTTGTAGCCGCATCCGACAGCAGGGCGGCGGGCAGCTGGACCGTTCGAGCCGCAGTCAGCGTGGAGAAGCAAAGAGAAGCAAACGGCCGTTAGACGGAAGGAGACCGGAAATACAGATAGTGGCCTTCAAACGAAAATCTCTAGAAATCTTGTAGATTAAATTAATGGAAAATAAAACACCCCCAAAACCACTGGATAGTTAAGTTTACATGGAAGCCGTTGGTAGAAATGTATCTATTTGTTTAATTTTTTATACAAAAATTTCCCATTATACCAAACAATTACTGGTTGAAATAAGATAACACATACAGTACCTAGACAAGGAGTTAATTTTAGCAGTTTTCCCAGAACTTGAATACTGTTTTTAGTTGACTTTGGGTTGAAACTCTTCCGCTCACTGCAACAGGTTGATTTTCTCATTTGCAAAGCCCAGTTCATTGTGATTGCTTTATAGTTTGTATTGTGGTGTTAAATTCTATGTTTTTATAGACTTGGTACTGTTTGACAATGAAGAAAAGAGGGTAAACGTGTAGATGCTTGTCATCTTTGGGCTCCAGTAGATTTGAGTTTTGTGTCAGGGTGGTCTTTCAGTGTAAACATCTGTACAACATAAATATTTCACCTAACAGAATCAGTACCTTTTTATAATATGCCTTATGGCTATAAAATGCAATGAAAAGTTGATAATATTAGTGGATTTTAGTTGATCGGCTCTATAAATATTTTTTTGTTTTGTTCTGAAATGAAGTGTAGAAAACATTTTTTAAACAACCTTTTAAATTAATGTACCTTTTAGGTTTTTTGACTAGCATGTAGCTGTTTGCAGCAGCTACAACAATGACTGTCTTGAGTTCTTCCCTTTACTTTTCCAAAGTTTAACTTTGAAAATTTTCCCCGGAAGTAGTTTTTGAATCTTTTGAGATTGACGCCAAATATCAAGAATGTTGGCACGGATTCGCGTGAAGGTTCCTGATGGTTCTCTGAATGATAATCGTCTCTTGGATGAATTATAGTTAATCTGTAAACAAAGGAGCTTTTACTTTAGAGAGGGAAGCCTAAAAGAACGCCATTTTCGCTGTATGTGTGTGCGTGTGTGTGGCTGTTCGTGTGTGTGTGTGTGTGAGAGTGAGTGTGTGTGTTTGCGGTTTGCCATGTGGAGGCGAACAGTTTGAATCACCTCCTTGCTGGTCTTACTCAGAGGTCTCTGACTGAGCAGACAGAAAACAGGACTGGCCCTCTTTATCCTGCATGCATTTCGATGCAAAAGTCTCTGGCTTCATTTAGATCCAGTTTATGGATCAGACTCTGAATGTAATGAAATTTTCAAACAGAAGTGAAAGATTATTGTGGTTTCTTAGTGGCCTTTAAGTCAAATAGTTGAGCACGAACAAACAAGAAACAGGGAACTCCCATGACAGGCCTGACATCCCAAACCACTGGACCAGCCGGCTCTGTGGTCACCTACCTCCTTCCCCACCCATTCTCTGTGCATATCTCAGTGACAGCCAACGCTTTATTGTAATGCACTTTTTATGTCTTTAGTTACCAAAGGATGAGATCATTCAGTTCAAGGATCCTTTCTTTCAGTTTTTCAGTTTATATTTTACTTTAAAATCAATCTGGCATAATTACCCATTGAGCATTTTCTGGTCCAAAAGAGGTCTTACAGAGGTCTGAATGTAGCCTAGAAGACTGGTGTAAAATCAGACAACCACAGGTCTAAAACTGAAAGTTTTTTAGACGTCTAAATTTAGACCAAGTTTAGACCAAGTCTAAATCTGGGCTATATCTATACTACACTGTATATTGCTCAACAGCTATCATAATTATTTTGGTTAAGTACTTGGAGATCAGCTATGCAACTCACAGTTGCTTTTTGAAATAAATAGTTATCAAATAATTGGTTAAAGTGCAACGTCTAAATTCCATCTAAAAATATACAGAATCGTAATAGCAGCCTGTTACTCAGTGGGTAAAACCGAGAACGGCAGTGTGATATGCTAACAACAGCATCCTGTGTTTTTAGAAAGCATTTTATTTGCAAAAGGAATCACCTTTACCAAGCTTTATAGAGACAGATAAAAAGAGTTTTTAACTGTTCATCAAACAGACTAAAATTTATACCGATGGCCCTACATACACTTCAAAAGCAGAGAGACTACCAGCAACAAAGCTGATTGTTTCTTTACAGTTATTATTAAACAGCTGTGGCAGGGTAGGTGTCCGACGACATGATAAACTTGCTGAAAAAAAACATTATTAATAAAATTTATCACGGCAAAGATTCTTGATTGGCACAAAACTTAACAACTCTTAAGTAGTTCAGGACGAAGTTAGTGAAGAGATGAGAGGGACTGTCCACAAGGGGCACCAAATAACCAAATGTCCTAACAGGAGCTTTAAAGGTTAATAAATCTGTAGCTTTTTTGTTCTTCAAGGTGGATCAAATTATGAACGTAAATGACGACAAATGCTAGTTTTGATTTCTCACTGAACGAATTGACTCATTCAAATGACTAGTTTAAATAGTAAATGTTTGCTGAAAGGATTTAAAGCTCCTGTGAAAAGCTTTCTGTTGGTGTCAGTTTTGACTCTAAATCTCATCCTGCTTTCTTTTAACAGTCACATGTTTATCACTTGTTGATCGACTTTACAGCAAAATAAGCCGTGTGGAGTTAACCACTTGGTCTGACACCTACCCCCACCTGTGGTCTCAGCAGTATAGAATTACATACTGTTTAAGTTTATGTTTATGTTTGGTTTTGGGGGTCATAAAAAGCATCAATATCATATCAAGTCCTCACAGGAGCTGAGCATGTCTTAATTATCTGCTTCATTGGCACTTAAACATGTGAATTCCTCACAATAGCCCGACATGGTCTGTACATACATTAGTTAACTGTAATCTCAAGTTAGGAGGATTTGTTATGCATTACTTTACCCTTGCACTGTGTAGGAGTAGGACTGAAACGATTCAAATGCAGCTCCAGTCTTTCTTTAAATAAAGCTCCTGGTATGTTTTTCCTGTCTGTGCATCATGTGGAGCAGTGAGCAGATTCCCCCTCAAAAAGTGTTGTGGTGTGTGATCACAAATTTAGCTCACTGCCATCTGAGCTATAAGAGGCAGAGTGAGCTGATTTCTAAATCGGGATCACAGATAGAGCTCTAATTATCATCATGACATGACCTATATTTGGTTCTCAGATAGGCGTTAGGTGCATGTGTGTTTGGTCCTGTATGCGGTGTTCATTTATGAAATTATAGCGTCAAGGATGCTGCCAGAGAGCGTTTGATTCCTTCTCCAACATGGCTGTTTTTACAGTTTCTAAGATTGCATGTGGGTGTATTCTTCCTGTAAACATTTTTTTAGAGGTTAGGAGTTGAATTTGTTGGATTTCATTGCAAAAATGTGAGGCAAGGTGATTTGAAAAGGAACTATTTTTGGCTTCTTGGCTCATGACCTGCTTTGTTTACACATGCAGCCTCTCCTACCTCAAGCGAATCATCCTTCATCTCTTTCCTCTCTTTCTCTGCCATCCAGTTTTTCTTTGACCAACCTCAGATTAACAAATCTGCCTCCTGTCTCTCCCCGTCTCCTGTTGCAGGTCTCCATAAATCTTTAAATGCTGAGTCTGAGTGTGTCTCAGCTCTTTTTAAATCAACCCTTCTTGTAGTGTTTTTCATTGAGTGAATACAGAGGCATGATGGGAGAGCAGCGTGGGGGCTGTTTCTTCTGCGTCCGCAGTTAGAGGCAGTTTCGAGAAGGCTAGGAGGTTGGGGGTTGAAGGGATTGCTTAGTGCTGTTTCAACAGGATAAACAGCCCCTGCAAGGATGTAAATCTCTTTTCTTTTGGCGGGACTGTCAGTCATTGCAAGTATGTGGAGGAGGAAAGAAAGCTAAACAGAGCAACGCCACCTTTAATCTGCCCTTAGCTGTAGATTTTATCATTCAAACCTGCTCGGCTATGATAGGAAAATGCAACAGATCAGCTTTGAAATGACGCTCGTTGCGGTGCTGTATTTCCTCCTCGGGGAAAATTCCTCATATGTGCAGTCATAAATCACAAAGGGAATGCTGCTGGTTTACAGTCTGCTTTAAAAGAATGAAGCTCCTGTGTCGGCATTACATTCACCATAAGCGTGTCCTCGGAGGTCCTCTGAGAGGAAATGCAATCAGTCTGAAAGCCTGTGTGACATTTACGATCATAGAGCCGTGATTTTATGAAGAAAAATTGTAAAATAGAGTGCAGAAATGATAACGTCACCATGTTAACATACTTCAAATCTCATTTGAAATACTTGATTTTACAGTGACTGTGTTACCCTCTTCTCATAGCAATTAAGAATGCTATTTTTGATTAGTGGGTGGCAATCTGTTTAACAGTTGTCCAGAAAGCTCATTAAAATCAACTTTTTACCTGAAATTAGCTGAAAGTACTCTACAATCGTTGGGGTTCATCCTCTTGGAACCCATCATAAATGCACAGAAAGTTTTTCCAAGTCATCCAGTTGAAGTTGACTCAACAGATGATGGTTTCTCATCGTCTGGTGGCTCTTAAAGTGGACAGAGAATCATCTAAGTGATCAGGGATCATCCTCTGGGAACCACGAGTCTACCCAAATCAAATCTGTGTTCAGTCTAAAAGAAAAGTACACCTCTGTTGATGTTGTGTTTTTCTTTCTTTGGGTATCATTACATCTTCATGCCAATCTAAACACCAAAAACCAACTTCACCAAGCAAGCAAGCAACCAACCATGCTGATTGCATGGTCTTTAACCAGGAAGAGTTTTTCTATTGTCAACTTGCAGTCATGCCAGTCAGACCAGTATCAGCTGGCACAGCGTTTAATAGTTCTTAGTAGTGAGGTATAACTGTTGCAGTGATTGTCCCCTGACAATAATCATGCCCAACAAAACAACAAAGCAAGTCAAAGTGAGGAAAGGCAAGACAAGAGTGGACCAACATATTATGTATACAACTTGATGAATTATTGCTTTATTTCCGGCTTTATAAAGCAGGGCTTTTATTTTGAAATAAATGCCACATCGGCTTGTTTGTAAGTTAAAAAACTGACGGTCCTGGCTGCAATACAAGAGGAAAACTTTATGAAGTTTTTACCAAACAAAGATGAACAATAGGCGGATGTTAAACATGAAAGTTACTGTGTAATTCTAAAGAAGGTAAAAGTAGCACATGGTGGAGTCATTGTCCCCCCTGTACCTGAACATGGCTGGTCCTCTTGGGAGGATCTGGTCTGAATCAGCACTCAGCTGAAGATGTTGAGGATAAATGAGCAGGAGAAAGAGGCCAAGGCCACAATAGGGAGAGAGGCTGTAGATCACCTCAAGGATGAGGTTCTTTTTTCATGCTGCTCATGGCAGAAATGGTCTTTCCAGTAGAATAAATCCATGTTTAGTGGGGTAGTTTTTTTCTGTTTTATTATTCAATATCAGTAAAAGCCAATATATTCTGCAACTTAAGTTGTTATTTATGTATTTGAAAAGAGAAATAGCTTGGAACGAATTGATTTTTTTTTTCTAATTTATATTATCAGAGCCAATTTTATTCCAACTCCCTGCTTTCATCTTCTAAAGTTTGATCTTTCTTTGGCTTATTTTGACAGAACTGTACATCTACTGCCAGGTCTAAGTTTAAACCATTGTCAAGGACCATCTTGACTCCGTAATTTTTAACTAATACTGAATTCTTTTCTCTGGTGTTAAAGAAACATTTTTAATCTGGAAGCAAAGCAACATTTTGTGTCTTCATGACAATCTAAAACACAGAGCCTGAAAGATTTCACTTTGCTTCATTTTTCAGGGTCATTTAATTTTGTGTAAATTAAACTAAACAGTTGAAGGCTTGAGCTGATGTTTTGATGTTTTGAATGATCATCAGTCACTTTGCTTAATCCCTCTTATTCTCTGCTTCCTCTGGGCCTCCTGACAGCTAATGACCAGGTGTGTGTGTGTGTAGTGGCGGTGGTGGTGGTGGGGGTGTATTATGCTGGGCTGTTTGACATTGAACCCCCTCTCATGGACATGGGTGCTTCCGTAACAGCATGCCATTGAAGGGTAATGGAGAGGATTTACAGGAGCTTTACAGCGGCAGGGAGTCACATGGTGTTTGATTGATGGCGCCAACGATGACCACATAAAGCTGGCTTACTGAACACAAGACCACTCGTGTGTATGATAGAGTGTACACTACAGAATGGTTGTGGAATGGTTGTATGATTGTTTTTCCAACAACCATGCTGATGCCATGAATAGAGAGCAGATCGGTCAACATGTTATTCCAATGACTTGTTTTCGTTCTTCTTCATTTTCTCCTCCAAAGTAGCTCATCAGCTGTCTCACTTGTTGGGCTGCCTGCAGACATTATTCTATTTTTTTTAATCGGCCTTGTGAGTGCTGGCACTCCAGGCCAGTGATCATTATTTTGAAATGCCATCAATCATCCTGATTAATTGGCCAACAGATTAATCAGTCAACCTGATCTTTTTCTAATTATGATTTGAAAAGATACATTTCTTTTAGTGAAGAGTGTAAAAATAAACAGTAGAGTATAATTGATTAAAGTCAAACTTAAAGGTCCTTTGAGGGTTAGGTTAGGTTAGGGTTGATTTTGGCGCCCCCTGTGGACAAAGTGGGACCTTTAATCTCTCTGACAAATGTGCCTTTACTCTTTAGTGTGGAAAACAGAAATAATCTCTTTCTTAAGCGTACTGCTTATCAACTCCTACCCCCCAGCAGCACTTTAGGCAGTGAAAATAATAACATAGAAATAATCAATCTTAAAGCTGATGATCTTGTTTGGTTTTCGAGCTCATAGAGACACATGGGTATGAATTTTCTATCTGTTTTATGACCTAATACAATCTCATCACAGGAGCTTTAAACAGCTCTTAGCCCAGAACTGTCAGCACTGGGTCAGATAAGGTAACACTCCTCTGAATTTATTCGGTATTAAAAGCTTTATATTGCCAGTAACTGATTATGCCATTTCAGATAAATGTTTCACAATATCACAAGTTGTTGTTGCAACATCACTTTCTCAGTTACTGTTATGTTCAGTCAAGGGCGTGGTTGCCTCTTCAGAAACAAGGCGCTGCAGGTGGTGCAAAGATACGCGCCTGAACTTATGCAACTCAACCCACAAGTAAACTTACTGTAGTTCCAGGGCTGTAATTTGTGCCTTTACAAGTCCGAACAACCGCTAATTTATGTGGGTTTACTGTGTATGAGGAGTCATCCACCTGTTGTGTAATTGAGGACCCGAGAGTGAATGGTAAGGCCCTGAACAGTTTAACTTCTATAATGGAAAAGAAGAAGTGAGACATGAAAACCCTGCCTATTTACACAAAGGTGGGAGCGGTGTAAATTATACACTCTGAGGCGTTGTTTTACAGAGGGTTTGACGTCCTGTCACTGAGTTGTTTATATATGAGGAAGGGGGTTTGTTCACACACTCTGCAAACAGAGTAAATCAGACAAAGTTCGGACATGAGTAAGACCATGAAGAGGATACTTTAAGTTCTTAGAAGTGGCAGCAAGATCACGCCTATTGATACAAAGTCTGAGTTTGAACCTACAGCCATTTGAACAGCACAGCTTTTAGATTCACTTTACAATCATCATCAAGAGCAAGCTTTCAGTCAAGCTTTTTGACATCCGTTCACCAGAGCTAATTGTCCTAATGGAAAACACCTTTTAGAAGAAGTTGTGTTGTTTACTTAATATCGATTGGTTGTCAATTTGTATTGACCGTTTGGCCTCCAACATTTCCACCTAACTGACGCAAATGAGCTATTAGCCAGCCGAGGTCTCCTAGTGGCTGCTATTGAATATCATCAATGTCGTCTTCTAACTGCTGTTAAAAGGTTTGAATTGAAAGTTAAACAATTGAAACAAAGGAAAGTTTCATGTTTGTCAGACCCAAAGAAAAAGTCAAGAGTAAAGAGAAAGACTTATTTTAAAGAATTTCTTTGTTAGGATCCTTTTTAGTTTAGTGCAGTGGTTCTCAAGTCCAGTCCTCGAGGCCCACTGTCCTGCATGTTTTGGATATTTCTCTGCTCCAACACACCTGATTCAAATGATTAGCTCGTTATTAAGCCATTACAGAGCTTGATAACGAGCTGATCATTTGAATCAGGTGTGTTGGATCGGGAAACATCCAAAACATGCAGGACAGTGGGGCTCGAGGACTGGACTTGAGAACCACTGGTTTAGTGAATCATACACTCCAGTAATACGACACAACACAGTAAAATACTTTACGATTTCATAAGATACAACATGATACTTCAACTACTTACTGATTTTAATTTATTCATTTGTCTGAAGTCGTTCGTCATTAATCATTAATGATTGACCATAACTGAGTATGTTCAGACTCCAAAATGCCTCTGAAAGGTAGAGAGTAGCATTAATGTAGTTTACAACACCATGAGTAAAATGTGAGTTAAACGAGACATGAAATTTGTTTAAAGAGATGTTTTATTTCTGGCACCAGCAATACAACAGTCACATCAATAACTACATAATGCCATTTTGTTATTTTGTCCCACCCTCACTAGGCGAAAACACCGTCATATTCCTCTAATGCTATTAGATAAGTAGTTTTGTCTAAACAACAGTCTTAATCTTGATTATACTAAATGAACTCCAAACAATTAGAGCAGGTATTCCTGTTCAAAAGTTTCTCCTCGAAACAGCACAAAAACTGGTCACCTAATGCATTTCAAGAAAAGTTAGGTCAACCATTGAGTCTTTTTTTTTCTCTGTTGGATTTTTTACCTTTATTTGCTTGTATTAAGAGATATGGCATCATAACTGGGGAAGGGGTGTGTGGGGAATAAAGCGCTGCAAAAGGCAAGAATTGATTTCTGGCTGTCTCAAGGCTCTACCTGCAACTTAACAGCAGAGATAAACTGTCACAGAGAACACAGACTCAGAATTGGGTTTATTACCTTCATTATGATGTAGACGCCGGTCAAGTCTGGCAGCATTCTGGCTGGCTCATTCCCCCAGTTTCTGACACAGTCACTGCGGGTCTTTTGGCACCTTGTAAACACAATCAAAAGAAGCATTGATATTAACACCTGTTCTCTTGTTTTCCACAGTTAGAGAGTTTGTAAGCTGCTGTTTGTGTTATTCTATAGGGTACAACTGTGTGACTGACAGGACGGCCTGAGGCTGTCCTACCAACTATATGCTTTAAGGGCCAACAAGTGTCCCTCTTTCTGTCAAACTGGTTCCTTTCAGTTACTGTATGTACGCTGTTGACTGGAGGGTTTCAGCTTTTGAGGTACAGAAAAGGAGCAGCCTCCGGAGCTAATTTGAAGTGATGGGTAACTTGGACCCCATAAGGGACGCCCGCAGTTGGGGGTCTAACCTCTCTGTCTGTGTCTGGAACATTTTGGATGCATGCCCGGCCTTCTGTGCATGGACAACGTGGCAAACGGCCAAGGCTGTGCATAGATTCGTGCATAGTCTTCTCTTTCCCTCCACATTAATATCCATCAGGGTATTTCCTGTCACTGGCCTGCAGATCAGTCGAAGTGAAGCGAGAGAGCGGGCGCTCTTTGTGATTGCATCCTCTGCATGTGCAACACAATACATCACAGTATTGTTCTAGTAGAGTAAAGATGAAGACAGCGAGTCCCAGGGTGGCTCTAAAGCAAACGGTGAGACAGTTTGTCAAAGTAAGAATGTGGGCGGGTCAAAGACGGTAAATATCCAGGTTTATTGGGTATTTAAAAAAGCACTTTACCAAGAGCTTATTGATTACACTCCATGTCTTGTTATTCTTCCAATAAATTTACTGTGCTAATCAAAGCCATTACATTACATCTGAGGAGGTTTTGTGCTGAAACAGCTTTGGATTCAATTTGGTTAGAGGACAGCAGAAATTTTACTTATCAATCACCCAAATATGCTGGACACACAATAATTCCTCATTATGTTGTGTTCAGTTTGTCTTGTGTTGTAAATAGAGCTCCAAATCATGTCAAGGGCTAATTTGGCAATCCAAGGAAGGAGAGACTGTGGCGATAACAACCTTTAATGAGCTAACAATGGCCAGGCTAAACAACGAGCTATCCTATTAACTTGTGCGTTACATTTGTGACACACATCAGTGTTTGGGTCAGAGTTTCGTAAATTAACTAGGGGTGGGAGAAAAAAATCGATACAGCATGGTATCGCGATATTTTGTCTGGTGATATATCGTATCGTCTCTTTGACCAAGTATCGATTTTTTTAATTAATTGCTGATATGAAGTCAAATCTGATACTGGAGAAATAAAATCAACTGTTTGTCCAGTGAGATTGGCAAAAGTGACATCATAGAGCAGGAGGAAGTTAGTACAACAAATTTACATAAGGTTAGCAAGATGTGCTACAAAATAAAATACTGTGGAAATAAGGCAAACATGAAGGAAAGTCAAATGCTAAATTAGCTTCACAGTTGAAAACATTGTATAAATCGCGATATATTGTATCACAATACTCACTGTATTGCAAAATGTTAAAAATCGCATAATATCGTATCGTGGCCCAAGTATCGTGATAATATCATATTGTGGCCCAAGTATCATGATAATATCGTATCGCGGCCCAAGTACCATGATAATATTGTATTGTGGCCCAAGTATTGTGATAATATCGTATTGTGGCCCAAGTATCGTGATAGTATCACTACTAGTGATTCCCACCCCTACTGTATGGTAACGTTGACCCTGTCTGCAGCATTTGAAAGTCTAACTTCTGTTCCAGGTCTCTTGGTAGTTCAGCCACAAAGGGGCCGAGTTGACCAGGCTGCCTTGTGGGTAATACACTTAACATTAAAAAGAACTGAACCATCCCATAAAACCATCTGAACCAACCATAAAACAGAGAGCTGAAAAACTCCAAAGGGCCCTGTGTTGTTGAGCTGAAAGTTCAAGTTTGATCATGGCTGTTGGCTGTTTTTTGTTTTTAACACTTTGAGCAAATGATTGCTGATAATTGTCAGCAAACTGAAGCCAACGGTTTTAATTTGTAAACAATTATCAGTCTTTTATCAGGAAAATTTTAAAACACTCATAATTCAGCTTCTCAAATGTTAAGCTAGCTCGCTACACAAACAAAACAACTGAATAGAGATAAAGATAAAAATCAAATGATTTAAAAATAACTTGTCTGCATAATAAAAGGCTTCTCATTGCTTCCTCTTTAGTGTTAAATCCAAAGTAATTGCACTGACCACCTGTAAAAGTGAAGCTTTGCAGCATCTTCACTCCTGAGGAGCCGGCTGCTTGATCCCTTAAAAAGATTACGCCATTTCACCTCACTTTTCGGAGCGCATCAGTTGCCATGGCAGGAAGGTTCGGCCCTAAGTGGCCCCTCAGAGACCTCATCCTCACTCCAATCCCAGGAAGAGAGCATCCTTTCTTTTAATCTCTCCGCCGAGCCTTGTACCCAGCAGACAGCTAAAGCTGATTGCATCCTCTTTTCCCTGAAGCGCGTACACACACACACAGCGCACACAAACGCACACTCCAGCATCAGCACCAGCACCAGCCCTGTCCTTCTGGCCCTAATTTCTTTGTCTCTCATAGAGATTTGCAACAACAGCCCCACTGTGCTTTCATGTATTTAATGGCTGTGTTTTCAGGCAGGGTGTTTCTTTGTGTCATATCCCCCCAAAATAAAGAGATTATGATGGTATAGAGTTCAAATCCTGTGGCATTAATGTAACACGATTTATCTGTAGCATAAATCTAAACTAATCTGCAGATTTTTTTTTTGCCTCACGCTGAAAATTTCAGTGTCCTCTTTGGCTAAGCTCCGATTTGCATACAGGATGGATGGACGGATGAATGAATAGATGGATGGATAGATAGGATAGGATACTCAAACCAACTATCAAGAGTTTCCTTTTCATTAATTATAAACCAGCTATCGAGTATGTGCGCAAAGTAGAGCATTCCTCTAAGTGTGTCTTCTCTGTAATCCATCTTTGAAGTGGACACCTGATTAAAAGAGTCGGTCACAGATATTGGTTTCAGTGCATGTGAGCTGGTTGTACAACATGGACAACGCTTGGATTAAGAGTACAGAGTCCTCACTTAACCTCCTCCTGTAAGTGTATCACAGTAAACAACTGGATTTTTCATTGAGCACACGTCTTGAGTGGAAAAAAAACTTAGTTAAAAGTTAGACCTGATTGAAAATGTACCCCCAGTAAAAAGTTCAAGTTAAAATCATGCTGCAGGGATTTGTTCCAAATTATTTTCTGTGCAGTTTAATTTGCATCAGACCTGCAAACGTTTCCCTTTTACTGCTTCTCACATCATGGGCTTGAGCCACTTTGGTAAAATCTGTTCAGCTTTCAGAGATCCATTTCGAATGACTCACTGATGACTTTTCATATGGTGCGTTAAAGGCAGCTCAGAGGAAGTTCCTGCTTTGTGATGGCGATATCCTGATCCACGCCTCTGTCCACATTTGGGGAAATGAGCCTGCGGGATAAGTGACAGAGCAGCTGTGGCCTTTAGCCCTGGTCTTTTTCTGTTTCTGTGACAAGGAGTTGAAACTGCCTCTGCAGTTTAGGCTTTTACATATTATTGCATGTCCTCCTAAGCTGACGTTTGTGATGTTTCACATTTGTGAGTGTTACGAATCTGCATCTCTTAAGTGCATGCTGGGAAAAATTGAAACTAATACTAGAAGACTCGTTCTTTATCACTCCCTTATTCACTTTTCCTCCCACAGTGAATCGTTTCCTCTGTAGTGAGAGGAAAGACTGAGAACGTGAGGTGCTTGAAGCATGAATCATTTCTTTTCCCACCACCACTGACAGGCGTGGTAAGGGTTGTGGAAATTTACACATCTACTACTGGCAAAGCTCTACTGGGCCTCTGCAAACAGTACAAGTTTAAGCTTGACTTATGTTGAATTTTCAAGGCTGATAGTGATAAAAGGATTTTTGTTTGCTGTGTTCTTACGGATTTTGATGTGTTTTGTGTCCAAGAGCTTTGTAATCTCGGGGTTTTAAAATGAATACTCTTCATATCTAGAAGTCCGATGGTTGAACTGTACATGACTGCCAGTGTTGTGAAAAGTATACTTTCATAGTTTCTTGAGTAGAGTGCATGCTACATCGACTTAACATTTCAGTGTCATCACTATTGAGAAGAATTAGCAGCCAATCAAATCAATAATTTCTTATAATAGTTGGCCTGAGATGCTCACCCTATATTGTGTCCACAGAATGCATAGAAAAAGCGTGTTCACAAATTAACTCTAGATAGATGCTAACAGATGCTCCACTATAAGGAATATCATCTTACAGCACAGTGAGGTTAATATGATCTAAAAAAACAGCGATGAAGTTGAATAAAGAGTAACATAAGAAAAGTAATCACCTTGAAAATCTTGAGCTCAAGCTCTGAATGTCAACTATGATCCTCTTATGGAAACTATGAGTCATTTCTTTTCGGATGAAAAAGTACTTGAAGCCTCCTTTTGAAGCTTTTCAGAAAGATATGGGTGTTTTGCAGTTGTTTTGTCCATTTGAAGGCAGGAAATGTAATGAAATATCTGCGAATCTCAGGGGAAAATATTTGAGCAATCCGACCTTGTGACATTTTTGCAAAGTACAGTACATGAAGGACCGAGTTGAAGTGTTTTTGACAGCCTGCAAGTCATGTTTCAGATTAAAAGTTCAATAAATAGAGGAAGAGCTCTTAAGAGATTAAATTTTGGGTTTGCTTTTCGGACTTGCATACATGCTGTAGTATCACAGAGCTATTTGATTTATTGCTGAATACCCTTCAAATCTTATATTTCTCTGGATTAAAGTCAAAATCTTCTGCAGAAATTTCAAGGCTGTCTCTTGATCCCAAAATGAGGTCAGTAGTGTGGTGTTTCTCGAAAGCAGTGCCTGGGACTTGGACCATGATGTCCACAGAGCAGGTTCATGACCCCTTGGCCCAGCCACAGCACTGGGGAGAACGATGCCAGCCTGGGTCTGAGCCAGGCGTAAGCAGACACCACAACACTGAGAGACTGTGTCACTCAGAGACTCAGAGACGGCTGCTGTAATTACAGAATCCCTCCACCGTCAGACATAATGTGGTCAAGGCAATGATACACATGTGAGCAGATACATCAGCTCATTCATGCACACGCTGAATCTCCGGTGGACGGATATCTGATAGTAAGCGACGACCTCCATGTGTAGATTCAAAACTGGCTTGTGGTTCAAAAAAGGGGATTAAATTAAAGATCCACTGTTTAAATCCTTCAAGCCCACAGCTTATATAATTAATTCTAATTAAATTAGCCGTTAGCCGCCTCAGAAGAAAACACAGAGAAGACCTGCTGGGTTTTGTGCCATAATTCAATCACGGATAAGGACCTTTTTTAAAGTGCTTCACAATTACATGAGTTTGTATAAGGAGCAGTGTCACAATCTTATATATGAGAACAGAGATGTGAAAATGGAGGAAGCGAGATAAGATATTAGTAATCCATTTTTAGCTGCTGGGCTGGTTTGTGTTTAGTCAGAAAGATCCAGAAGGTCACTAAGCCTTTTTATTTTAACTGCACATATCTACTCTGATGTAAGTTCTGGGTGCTAGCATGTCTGGCTAACTAGCTTAGCACACTCTGGAGTAAATAAGATTTACAATTAAGGACAAGAAGCACATCATTAATAAATTCATTTGTTGTTTTACACAAGGCTGTCAAGTTTCAGAAAATGACGAGAGTGAGACGAGAGTGAGACCTTTTTTAACGTTGATTTTTACCTTAAAATAGCAATATTTGTCCTACGTTGACATCAAACTAGTAAAAATATATTTTCAAAAGTTAACCCACATGCAATAATTTTGTATGATCAAAATTGGTAAGTCGAGGTGTTTTTAATGCCAGTGCTATTGTGTGTGAAAGATAGTTAGAGACGCCAAGACCCGCCCTACAAACCCCCCTTGATACAGCTAACAGAGTAGCGAACCTCCCCTGTCTGGAACCCGGTGCTAGACGATTTTACAGTTTATGCTAGCTGCTTTGTTTTTAATACTTTGTTAACAGCCAGTGTTAACTCCTGATTATGTTTGTGGTCATTAAAGGAAATACTAAGTAAAGGAAATACTATCAGCATACATGTCGAAGTCCAGTCAAGATGATTGGCAGGGATGCATGTAGCGTTTTATCAGGGGTTGTACAGGTCTGTTCAGCAATAAGGCTTCCTGTTTATTTCTTTAGAGGCCAGTTGAATGTATATTAATGTTTTCTTTTGCTCATTGCCTCCAAGTATCAAAAGACAGCTAGACCACTTTTTTTATCAGACAATATCCTGTCTGATGTGTTCTTTATGCACGTACATGACTGAAGTCATAAACCTGAACCCAGAGGAAATAAACAGCAGACAACTTTAGAGCAGAAGGGAGGAAATGAAGTTGTTAGAGTTGTCCCCTTTATTGAGGATTTAGCTTCCAGAGATGGTCAAGAGGTCGAGGATCAGTCAGCAGCACAGCAACGACTCAGAAACTTGTGTTTTTTGACATGGTATTAACGTTGGTTGTTGGCCACATGGAGGGACTTTATTTATTTTAATGTTGCATTCATTCCTAAATAAAAAGTCATGTTAGCTAGAGTGATATTTTAGTACTTGTAAGTGACTGAATAATGAGGTAATGGTGAACTTGACCAAAACAACCTCTACTACTTATTAGGGGTGGGAGAAAAAATCGATTCACATACGTATCACGATTTTTTTGTCTTACAATTTTTTAAATCGATTTTCATGTTAAAAAATATATATAATTTGTTTTATATTTAAGAATAAATCTTATAAACTGACTTACATGTGATGTGTATTTTTGGGGTAATATGGTTTCTGGAATAGTCAGTAGACAATCATAATCATTCAACTGTTTCCCTGGTGTTAAAAAATCGGCAATATCGTAGAATCGCAATTTAAATCGAATTGGCATCCAAAAAAATCGTAGAAGAATCAAATCGGGAGAAAAGCAGATGGTCCCAGCCCTACTACTTATATTAAATAATCTCCAGGAGACAAACCATTGCTATTAAAGCTAACACAAGAACCCATTGTCTTAAAACTTAAAAAAGTTCAACCTCCAACATTTAATGCTGTGAGCTGAATATTTTCAATGCTAAACTCAATAATCTAACAAAACTGGGGCATGAATTTAGTCACCATTAGCTTAATTTTTGTCCTTATCCGTCTGAATCACTCACTATTGTCGTCATTAAACTTCAGATTGTAAAAGTACATCTGTCACATTCTGTTGTGCTAATGATTGACAAGTCAATCAGCTCTTTTTCTTCTCAGGTCTCATACTTCTTAATTATCTGATCTGAAGATCCTGATCTTCACCCTCGGGGTAAAAAGGAGCTCAAACTCGCTCATTTCCTTTTCAGTCGAGATTATTAAGACACAAAGCGGAAAAGGCCTCAAGCAGATCAAAACGAGTAAAACTGTAATAAAAGCTGTGGATGTTTGACATGCCTTCTTTGCTAAATGAGACTCAAGGCGGTCTTTGTTTTCTTCTTTTTCAAATGTTAACCTTCGCTAACTGTGAATTAGGATTAGACAGAAGTGTGATGGCCTAAAACTTGGCCCTTCTTTTCAGTCCATACTGTGTGGACACTCCAGCTGCCCCTGCTCTGCTAATTAGCTGCTAACCCCGAGTCTTGATGGAAGTTTCTTGGGCAGGATGAGTCTTGTTTGGCCCCTGAAACCCTCTTGTCTCCTGGCTTGACTTCACCAGTTGCTTCACCTCGTCTTTTTAAAGGTGCTCCTGCTGGCACCATGATTTAAAAACGACTGCCCGCAGTGGTAGCACACTGAGCTTTCCAGGGTTTTACAACATTGGCACTGTGTTATTCAGTGAAAGGAGACTGACTTTCTTTTTGTGTTGCCTGGCACTGGCATTCAAGTTGACTAATGCTCCCTTAATTACTGGCTGCATTTTGCTTTTCTATTTTTCCCACACTCCCTCCCTCCCACCCACTCCTGCCTCTGTCAGCTTTTGTCCGTGTATAATGGTCTCAGCCAGCGTGCAGCTGTAGAGCCCAACTCTTGCCTGCGTCTCTCCAGCAGCACTCAGCTGACCCACTAATAGAAGGGTTTGTGTGAGGAGAAGGCTGGAGGCAGCAGAAGGACTGCTGCAGAGCTGCAGCTTAAAACAACCCGCCTCAGACAAACATCGTGGACCTCCCGGGGAGAAAAGCTTTGAGGGGTAACGCAGAAACAAATCTTGGTGAGAGGAAAAGGAAACATGAAGTGAGAGTGCAGGAGCATTAGTGCAGCAGTTAATCTCTGCAGTCGAGCATCTCCAAACTTTATTTTAGGAATGACCCCAAGTGACTTTGGACTCTTTGTGGTACTTTGTAAAAACTGCATCCTAACCTTCGACTCAGGTCCCTTTAGGTTTCAGAGCTCGTCCTTGCTGTTCAGGACCTTTCCTTTCAAGTCATAACACCAACTCTATTGAAAGTGCATCGCTGACAACAGCAAGGTTGATGCTGACTTACATCATGGCTTTTCTGTTTACTGTTTGTTTGTTTGATTGATGGGGGCAAGTTTATGGATTAGAAAACCTCAGGACAGCAGCCTGAAGATGCAGGACTGTCTGAGTGTTTGTGATGTTGCCCTCAAAGTTGTTTACTCTGAAGCTTCTATTCGCTGATGTCTGGAGTGCTTTTTTTTCAGGGTTGAGCTCACTGCTTCCCACCCTCTTTTCAAACAGGTATGAGACCAAGATGTCAGTGTTGAGGTTGAAATTGTGCCTCATATTGTCAAGTGTGGATAGCTGGAGGGAACCTGACTTAAATATTGATTAAAGGACTATTTTACTGATTGTAAAACTGATTGATTCATTAATGTTTGGAACCATCAACACATTTTACTGGTAAAACTTTCGTTAACTTTGTAATATCTCTAATGTAAGGCTTTAACTTTTGGGAAAAGATATTGTTGCTGTCACCTAAATCAGTCAGGGGTCAACAGTGCAACCGTTTCACTCGCATTGCGACTAAAAGTAGATGTGTGCGTATGTTTAGATGTGTAAAGTAGATGTGTCTGATCAAAAAATCAGCCGAGGCAACAAATGTTTTTTCATGTAAATACCGCGGTGAAGTTAGTTTTAGGTTGGATATTCGACGGACATTGGCTGCGGATCTCCCGTGTCTTCTCACTCTCAAAAACCGGGAATAGCAACAGCAGTGCGGTTAAATCTACTCGGCACCCTCACTGTCAACGTCGGGTGTTGAATAAGGGACCATCTATAAATTACCAGTTGATGTTCTCAGAAAAGGCTGTTTTCCTTCAATAGCTTCCATGCCATGTGACCAATTAATCTAAAATTGATTTCAAATAATAGTACTTATGTTGACCAATAAGACACACCTCTTTATTTCCATAATTTGTCCTCTAAAAGTTTTTGTGTTGAATTTAAAGGCAAATTTTGAACATTTTCTTCAATAGCTGCCATGTCATGTGACCAAAAGACCTAAAATTGATTTCAAATAATCGTCCATATGTCAACCAATAAGACACACATTATTTAATCAGTTTTCATTGTGCCCCTAAAGTTCTTTGTGTGCTTCTTAAGAAGCACATGTGCTCCTTGTACAAAAAGTTAGTGTCAAACCCTGTAAGTGCACGTTTTTAACTTTTATCTGCACCAAAACTCAGGTATCAGGAGGTACGTCAGAGTATCAAAAATGACAATAAGTTTTAGTGAGAACTTTTGTAATTCAGTTCAAAGATGAAGATACTGGATAAGTTCCCAGTTTAGCTAGTGTTTCCATGTTGGCCTGCAGCAGGAGGAGGCTGGACATCATCAGTGTATATGACAGGGAGCGGCAGACTCTGGAGGCGGGGCTGTCTAACCTTTAGAAGAATGCAGAAGTGTGTGTGTGGGTCATGTATCTGGGATATGGCGTCCATTCCAACACTCTTCCAGCTGCAGGAGCATTTCTATTGTCAGGCGCTAATCCGTAGTGACTTTCAGCCCCTCTGCCCTTGTCCTCGTGTCCACGGGGAATCTGTGTGAAGCACAAAGCTGGAATGTCAGGGGGCCTCAACGGAAGACCTTGGCCAACCTTTTTATTAGAGTGTAAGTGAACAGAGGAGTAAACCTGCAGGTATTACCTCCTGTATAAGTTTAAGATGCTGAAAAGGAGGATTAAAACAAGCAGCAGGAATTGGTGTTAATGTAAAAACCCTGCAGACTTCCAGCTCAGCCTCTGTGCCCAAAACACACACACTTATCTTTTTTTGCATGTGTGTGTAATTCAATATTGCACGCACAGACGGCACAAAGCAAGCAAAAACAAGATTGTTTTGTTATCTGGGCCACATTTGGCTCAGGAGGATTTGGTTTCAGTCTTTGGGAATCTGCAGCCCAGGAGAGAGGATGAAAGAAACAGCAGGGGAGGAAAAAGAAATCTTGTGTACAAATCACAGCTCTGCTGAATCACTGAAAAGTGCTGATCGGGCTTCAGACTTGGCTAAATGTTGTGCCAGGAACAGTTTTACAAGCAGGCATCCCATCAACTCTTTTTTTTAACAGGCTACAACTGCAGACCTCCTGTGGTTGTTTAATAGAGAAAGCATGATGGCAACAATAACTATGAGGCTGAGATTCAGTCGTCAAGAGGAGTGATGCATCATCGTCATGGTTACCCACAAACGAACAGCAACATTGGCAGCCTGGATGTGAGCTCTTAGCCCACACATGCAACACAACGCTTTGATGAGAGAGACAGACTCAGTCACTCAGTCAACACAGCTGAGGTCACATGACACCTCAGATGGCCCGCAGTCATAATCAGTTTATTGTCTAAAAGGAACAAAGTCAAAGACGGAAAATATGTAGAAAAAGGTACAATAATGGAAATAAAACCACAATAAAGACTTTTATTTGAGCTCTTTCTATCAAAAGTAGAAATTCAATCTGTTTTCAGATGATTCGTGGGACCACACATGTTACAGTGTCTGTTTACATTGTGTAAATAAATGTTTAAGATTTGTCTGGAGATACTCTTATGATTTCAGGCTACAATAAACCTTCAGCATTCTTGTTTATTCATGAAGTTTACACTGAGGATTTTGGCAGCTTTCATCTCGCTGCGATGAACTCTCCATGAACTCTACCTCTAAATGGCTTTGAGTACCTGCTATTGTGATGTTGTCTCGACAGGAAACCTCTCCCTACAAAATGCACTTCCACTGAGACAATCACGTCTGGTTTACTCAGGGGGTCCTGAAAATGTCTAGAAATGTTCAGCTATGCTAAGAGGCTGATATAAAAGGATGTAACACCATGTTTGGCTCATGATTTAATATGACTTTTGGTATTTGGTGGTGGTTTTTGGTCACTTTGGTATTTATTCCTAGGAGTCAAGTCATTTTAATTCTACAAAAATCCTCCAGTTTGCATTCCTCAGTTGCAGTTTTCATGTTTTGACTAAGCCGACTTTGCAGCCATTCAACCATTTTCAAAGCATAAAAGGCTACATTGCCAGACTAGGCAGTGAGAAATCTACCAGAATGTATCATATCAAATACAGAATTATAAGTCTAAATCTTACCGTCTAAGAGGTGAAGGCCAAAAGATCTGCACATCTGCAACTGTACAGTGAAAAAAAAATAACTCAGTTCCAAGTAGAAGTCGTCTTTTCTAGGGGTGTCTTGATACAATATTGTTATCGGTCCGATATCAGCAAAAAAATGAATATCGAATTATATATCGGCCTGCATCTAAAATCTCCGATGTCGGCACTCCGAAACAAGCAGTTAATTCCAGACTCCGCTTCTGCATCTCTAACTAGCAGCGCCCTGATCCAGCAAGCTAAGCCCACAAAATCACAACAACAGTGTTTACTAAGGTACTAACATGGTAGAGAGGAGTAAGAGTGATGTTGGCCTTGTGGCAGTATTTTTTGTTGTTTAAGTCTGAAAAAGACATTGCAGTTGAGTGAAAAACTTGTCATGGACAAGTTTGTCCATGACAAAGGGTCAGCGACATGATATTGATCCGATATTGGGACAAACTTGTCATGGACAAGTTTGTGCCAATATCGGATCAATATCAGTATTGGTCAATATTGAGGGCTACAATATAGATATGGTATGGGAAGTCAAAAAGTTGTATTGGGACACCCCTAATCTGTTCAGATGTTAAGTCTTCTAAGTCAAGTAAGTTCTTATAAAATGTATAAAAGTTTTCAGGATTTAGTAGATTCTGTTGTCCTTCTCTGGCCCTGACAGTAAGTGACTTTTGTTCTACATGTTTTTAAAAAATACAAAATAATTGTGAAAAATCCCTAAAACTGTGATCCCAATATTGATTTAAATCTTCTTGATTATCAGTTTGACTATAATCATGCAGCCCAAAAGCACTAAACTCGTGTGTGGGAGTTGGTACATATTTGTTTAACAGCTAACCTTGAAAGTTACAGGCATTTTATCAAAAACTAAAAGAAACCTTTTTCTCAGAATCTCCACAAACCAAACCTACGCACATGATCCTAAAAATAACAGAGTTTTGTCAATATTTTGGAAATCACAACATAATCGACCCACAGTTGTCCTCGTTTCAACCAATCATCATGAAATTGACCGGAAAATAGAATTTGCTCATGAGAAGGCTGATTGGTTCTTCTGTTGCCTCCAGACATCAAGACGTGTGGATGATCACTGTGAGTCTTTGTCAGTGGTGATCCTGTTGAGCTGTTTCTGATCCTGCTGAGCTCTGAAATCCACATGAGCCTGTGTCTTGTGTCTTTGTGGTGATCAGGACCCTGCAGGACCTGGCTCACTGCCACCACCAAAACAGCAAACACAGCTCCTGATTTATTGTATTGTGTTGGCCCAAATGAGCCGACACAGTCCATTACACTGCCACCGCTATTAGAGCTGAGATTGATCCAATTAGGCTGCCGTAGAATGATGCTGGCTTGACATGCTGAAACCAGGCAAAAAGCCTTAAAAGAACAACACCGGGTCCAAGCCGGGGTCATGTTATCTCAGGTAAATGTGAGTGAGCAGGTGTGTGTGCGAGTCACGTTTCATTCTGACCACATTCCAGTGGGTTCAGATTGTTTTGTAAATGTTGTGGCTTCAAGCTGGTGTTGATTTGGATCTGTCGGCATGTGAGTCTCACCACGCAAGGATGAACCTGAATGGACAACACTATGAGCTGCTCTCAGGAGCTACATTCACAAACACTTGAAACCTTTTGAGTATGAGAGACATTACATAAACAACCAGGAACAGTGATGGCAGGTGATGATGTACAGTGTCCTCAAGACGAGGTGAAAGTGATGTTGGCATTTATGCGGTGTGTGGATTTGTCTTCTTCAGCACATAGAGGAAAAGATAAGAGAAGACTGCTTTGTGCACATGGGGCGCCAAATCTGACACAAAATAAATACTCTTTTATTCTATGTATCATTACATAATTTATATGAAATGATAGCAAGCGACTGCTTTGGATTTGATATACTGTCCTTCTGGATGAGCAAAATGTGTTTTATCTCAAAAAGACGAGGTGACCAAGGCAAAACGTTGACAGCAGCGTGCTTGAGAGTTACGTTAAGGGTTCAAAAGTGACATTTTCACCACCTCCCCCAACATTGACTGGGCAACATCATCATTATCATTATCATATCATAGGCAACAGCCAATACTCATCCCTTCAAAAGACTGTTGTTGATAGGCCAGATTTGTTGGCTAACCTTTGCTCAGGACCAAAGTTTGCAGTCTCTGATTTCTGTACAAGAAAGACTGTAAAAAGGTGACTCCTCTCTATGTGAAAGAGGGGTTAGGGGTCAACCAGTATGCACATGCAGTTTAAAGACCTGGTTAGGACATTTTTATACATTTCAAGGCCTCTGGGCCTCTTACTCATAGAAGGAAGGAAGTAAGACTAATCCAAACAAAAGCAGTCTCACTGTCGCTCTCAGTTTGTGTTTGAACCGTCCGCACAGGAAACTCCACCTCTGAACCCCTTTACAAGTTTCTCAAACATATCCTTTTAATTTCACTCTTCCTCTGGAGCACAACCTCTTCCTGTGAGCTCTTTTTAGGCGCACACACACACACAAACAGATGTCAGACTGCCCATGAACATTGCCCTCTCTCTATGCTCCTGTATGAATATTCATCTCATTTGCATCCCGGCTTCATGTTTCTTTTTTCAGTGTGAAGGTCAGGACAGAAGTGAATCTTTCCCCTCCTAAATTATTTAAATTAAAGTGATTAAATTTTCTCCATTCAGGCAAAACTTTACTTGTCTTCTATAAACCTGTCACAACATTTGGCTTTTCTTTGTGCCCCCTCATTATTTAAACTCACCATGCCTCCACACAAGCTGCACAAGTACTTCCTGATCAGTATTTAAACTATGTGGCTGCCTGTGCTCACCCACTCACACTCCTCCTCCTCCTACTCTTCCTCCCTCTGCAGGAGCTTTCTGAGGATCAGGACCTGGAAGGGCTCGGAGAGCAGGCGACAGACGTTCAGACCAGACAAGCAGACGTCTGCGGCGGCACAGCGGGGGGCAAGATGGCATCCATACCAGAGTTTTACGCCGGGAAGAACGTCCTGATCACGGGAGCCACGGGCTTCATGGGGAAAGTGCTGTTGGAGAAGCTGCTGAGGTCGTGCCCTGAAGTCAAAACACTCTACATCCTGGTCAGACCCAAAGCTGGTCAGTCCATGCAGCAGAGGGTCAGCGACATGATGACATGCAAAGTAAGAGAGTGAATGTGTGTCAGTGTTTATGCTTTGGATTCATGACATACCTTCATTAATCCTTGTGCTGAAGGTTATTACCAAGTAAAGGGTGATAAAAAGGAGTTTGAAGAAACATCTGCTTTTTGAAGATGATAACCTGGAAACCATTTCAAGGTTGAATGGTTTGGCCCGTAAGATTTTAAGTTAGCTTTTTTGCCAACATGAACATTTACCAGAAACCCAGCGGTCCGTTAATATGATAAAACACTAAAAATAGATTCACCTGTTGAGATGGTGCTCTTGTTATAGCATGACAGCAGCACACCTGGAGTCAACCATCCACATCCATCCACACCAGGTACATCTGGGCATTTGACTAGTGAGCAGCTGATTCAAATCATCTTTCAAAAGGAGCTCTGTTCATAATTCATTGCGGTTGAAACGTCTTTATAGGGCAATATAAATTTGGCTGTGAACTGTGGCAGCAGCTGCTGTTGCCATGGTAAAATGTGCTTAATGACCCAAGAAAGTCCAATAGTTCATCTTTGAGCTTCTGCAGGGAGCTACAAAGAGTCAGAGAGCAAAAAAAAACGAGGAGTCTGATCGAGAACACAGAAAGGTGGACTGAACTGTAAACTACCTCGACTCTGTGCGAGGAAGAAAGAAAAGGTGAGGTCGGGATAATGCGAGGAGGAAGGAGAGGGGTTGAGGAGAGGTCCAGGGGCGAGAGATGAGGAGAAGAAGAGGAGGAGGAAAGTAATGGGTGGAGGTGGGGAAGATCCAAATGTGTGGCGTCAGCTGAATCAGGCCAAACAGCAAAGCATGACTCAACAAAAAGCCTTCAAACTACATTGGACTTAATGAGGTTTAAAGCATTGACGTGTGCGGTGTGTGTGTATGTGTGTGTCTGTGTGTGTGCATTGATGTGCTCTGCTGTGTCCTCATGCTGCTCTGCTCGGCTGTTGTTGGCCTCAAACTGTCAGCACACCTAAGAAAATCACACTTTGGCTGAATTCCCTTTCCTCTTTCTCTGTCTCCCTCTAATAGCATCTATTTTTATATCTCCCCCATTGAACCAGGTAGAGTGTTTGTTATTTTGCTCAGCTCAAAGATTTGTCCCTTAGCTAAGCGTTTCTGTTTGTTTTGACTTTTCCCTTTAACTCTCCCTCCATGTCCACGTCTCACTGAACACGTCCCTCACCGTGTTATTAGCCCAGAATGACATAACAGCGCTGTAGAAATGACAGGGTTAGCTTGTTAGCTGCCACTTTCAAACAGTATTTATGGGGAGAGTGGGCAACAAAGACATTATTTTTAATATTTAAACACCTGTTTTAAAGTCTGTGTCTGGGGATTTTGAGGGGGAAAAGCTTTGGAAGTAAGTTCAGTTATTCAGGGTCTAAAGCAAATGACAGAAAATGACTCGAATTATGTATTTGTGTCTCACCAAACAGAACTTCAAAGTCTTGGCCACCAGTGCCCGCGCATATCCAAAAAGCTTTGATAGTGAGAGTGAGCGTCAAAATAAGGATCATTCTTCATGTAATCATCTTGTTTAAAATTCTTGTCTGCATTCCAGTTCCCTCAGAAGTCAGATGTCGGAGCTAAAAATGACGTCACACCCTTGTTCCTTGTGTTTCAGTTACCAAGCCGGAAAAAAGCTAAATCGGAGACCTGAAACAAAATGGCTACATCTACAAAAGTTATTTTAGTGCTTTCCTTGTCCAAATATTAGGCAAACGCTAAAAAAACTTTCATAGATGTAGCCATCTTGTTTCAGGCCTCTGATTTTGCTTTTTTCTAACTTGGTAACTGAAACGATGGGAACTCGGGTGTGACGTCATTTTCAGCTCTGTCATCTGACTTCTGTGTGGGAACTCAAATGCAGCAATAATCCAGTGTCACGGCCATATTGGATTGGTCTCCCCACCGTAGCCTAACTGCAGTCAACAGAGAACGAGGATCTAGTCCCAGTTTTTGTGCAGCCTACGGTTGCAAAAACCAACGCAGTATTGAAACCAGATCTTGTAGGATTACATTTCACTAGTAGGATTGAGAAATAATTGGTTATTTTTGATTTGCGTCATGTATCACAGCTACATCTCTGCCATTTATTATAAACCAAACCATGAAACAATGAGGTAAAAATTTGGGGAGTTACGATTAGTATATTTGGACCCGAATGATATAATACCTTTTCTTTCAATTACCGGAACCAGAATAAAAAAGGAGCTCACCTGAAGGCAAGTGAGTAAGGAGGTCGGATTACCTGATAAATTGTAAAAAACCTTTGTCTATCTCATGATACTGCCGGTTGAATTGGCAGGGATTACCGTTGAAATTACAGTTGACTCACAATGAAGCGAATAAATACGATTCATTCACGTGTCTAGATCCGTGATTTAACTGAGTAGATGATTTTACACACGCTTGGTGTTAGCGTCCCATTAAGGCTAAGTGAAAAGCTAATCCACTGTATATTTGAAGAACCATCATAGATGAGATGTTATGAACTTTTAGTGTTTTGTGTTTCTAGAAACACCTGTCGCTTCAACATTTTCTCCTCTTCTTTAGTCTGCAGAATTTTCCTTCGAAGTCATTTCCATTCTATCTGGCAGCAGTTAAGTAGTGTGTCCGCTATCAGGACTCCACTTGATGCTCTGCCAAGCACGCACTCGCTCATGCTCGCTCCACATTCAGAAGTGATGTCATTAAATTTCCATGACCGAGCCTTCAGTACTAATTGCTATTCATGCTAGTCCCCAGGTCAGTTTTATTCTACTCAGTGTCGGGATAATTCATGAAGGAGGATGCTGGTTTTGTCTCTCGAGGAGCCTCTCTTCTCATCCTGCGAGCCAGGCCAGTATCTTTCTTACCACCTGTTGCTAGGTAACCGCTGAGAGATCTGTCCCGTGGTGTTTTTTCAAAGGATGTAATCGGGAGAGCTGCCCCGAGGAGGGAAAAAGGACAAACCGATAGGAATCTCATTGTCTGTGTGCATCTCCACTTCTCCGATACTGACATTTAAGTCGTGTCTGTCTGTCTGTCTGTCTGTCTGTCTGAGCAGAGCCCTCTCTCTCTGCTCTGGTGGAAATGTTCAGATGCCTGCAGCTCTGGCCAGCTCGGCTCTGCATGGCATGTCAGGCACTCAATACAAGTGGGCCTCTGGGTAGACAGGGTCCTCTGTCCTGTTCTGTTGCATGCTTTCTCCACCCACCAGCCTGCTGCGGGACACAGGGGCGGTAATTTAGACTGCGGTGCATCTTCATTCCGCAGGTCTACGCTGTGGGTCAAAGGTCAGATAAAGAGATAGAGATGGGATGCTTTAGTGGGATGGAATCTGGTGGAATTTTGCACACCAGCCAGAACACCAGACAGCAGGTGGTTCTCTCTGTATAACTATTGAATGATTATTGATTATAGCTTAAGGGGTTTATTCTGTGATCAGTACGGCTGCTGCGCCATCCGTTTACTCAAATGATACTGAATTTTGTGTTGATGTGCTGACTGCATGAGGACAGGCTGGTACATTTTTACATTTCAGCATTAAGGCAGTACAAAGTGCTACAATCAGACGACATGGAGCCAAAATGACATAGAGTAGAAGACACAATATGAGGGCACAGAAAAATGAAGCAAAGAAAACAGTTAAAAATAGGTCAAACAGGTCTGACCATCAAGATACCGTTTCTGTCATAAGACTCTAATTAAAGGGATATTCCGGTGTAAAATTAAAATTAGTTATTACGGACTGCTAAGGGGTGACACAGCTCAAGGAAGAACATTTATGATCATTTCTTTATGGAAATGCAATCAGACTGAGACGCTAAGGCAGACGAACTACCGCGTCTGCAGTGCAAAATGATCATAAATGTTCTTCCTTGAGCTGCGTCACCCCGCAGCAGTCCGTAATGGACTGGCCTGAGGTCTCCGTACAAACAAGCTGCTGCTGGAAGAGAGAGAGTAAGTTGTATTTAGTCTCTTTGCTAAGCTAAAAAGATGTTTGGTTATAGAGTGGCGTTTTGGTTGAGGTTTGTTTATGGCTCCTCAGACCGCTGTGTATTGCTATCCTGCGGTCGTTACTAAAGTTGGTAAAACTAGAGAAGCAAGCGGCAACATTCATCTCTCGACCGGGTGTCTAACTCGGTGTTACAGTGTGTTTGACCCTAAATTAATTTTACGCCCTTTAAGTATGTAGAGGACAAGATAAACACAAACTGCTTTGTCCAGAGGGGGCGCCAAAATTAAAACAAACAGAAAGTTTCTCACATGAGCTTTAACTCACAAACCATACATAAAGGTTACATTACTAAACGGACACTTTATCACATTTTATCCATCTAAAAGGGCTTTTCCGTACATGTCATATGCTAGAGGTAAATCCAAGGGTTACTTTTTTCATGCTTCACATACTGAATTGGTATCTAGAGGGCTTTTTATATTCTTTACACAAAAGGACAACAAAGGAGCACTCAGTCAGTGTTTCATCCTTAAGAAGAGCAGCCACTAATGTAGTTTTTATACATTTTCCACATAAAGGGCACCAGAGAGGGCAATTGATAGTGTTTTCTTTTCCACAGAAGCATTGAAGAGGGCGCTTTAGCCGCAGCATTTATTTAGACATGAGAGCACCAGGGGCTGTGATTGCCTATCTTGTCCATCTGAGTACACAGCTGTATTCTCCTGGCTTGGATTGAGTTTATTGCAGTAAATAATCGTAAACTTGAAGTAGTCTTCATTCACTCTAAGAGGTAAAACGGTAAAAGTGAAACAAAGGACAGTTACTTTTCCAAAGCTTGTTGGAAATTTAAAAACTTTTAAAATGATTCTTTGCTAAAAACTTTTAAATTGTCAGAAAGAGACAAGGATCAATTTTAGTTCCTTCTCGTAACATCTTGAAGAAAGCAGTCATGTGTCTTTTTTTACTGCGCCCCTTTAGGGTTTGTAGTGACTTTTCTTCCTCTTTGATCCTCTCACGGAGGCACGGTGTCAGCATACCCTTCACTGATTAATGGTCTGACATTATGACTCTGAAAGAAAGAGGGCTGCAGGCAACACTGTACTGGAGCGCTCGCATATCTCCCTTAAGACCGAAATAAGTAGCCTCATTCCTGACATGCCTGGGATATCAGTATCCTGCAGTTATGTCACTGCTGATGCAAAGAAATAACCCACACCCACGTTCTCTGTATCCAAGAGGGGTTGGCATCAGACAAAAAAAATAGGATGTGGGCAAGCGGGCGTAAGTTTCCATAAAAGATACAAATATAACGTCTTAATCTTATGTTCATGCTGATGTTTAACTGGGTTTTAAGTTGTGTATTTGCAAAAAGGGATCATGCATGTTCAGGCTTTGGTAATGCAGCTCCTTAATTATTTATAGAGGTGCGTGTTAGAGATACTTGGATGCACAGATTCATGCTGCTCAAGAGGGTTTGTCTATTTGCAGTGAAAGCACAACGTCACTGACTTGCAGAGCCATGGGAGGCAGCTTTAAGTTCAGAGTGCTGGAGTTAGAGGTGCTTTTTTTTTTTGCATTTGATCAGCCAGTGCGTAGATTTGCATATTCATTGATTTTGATAAAAGACTAGCTTTACATTTTATTTATAATTTCAGGATACTATGTAAAAGAGGTGGGAGAAAAAATCCATACAGCATAGTATCGCAATGTTTTGTCTTGTGATAAATCGTATCTACTCATTTATCAAGAATCGATTTTTCAAATTAATTGTTAACATGAAGTCAAATCTATGATAATGGGAAAATAAAACCAACTGTTTGTCCAGAGAAGTTGGCAGAGGTGACATCATAGAGCAGGAGAAAGTTAGTACATCAAAAATATATATAAGTTTTGCTAGATGTGCTACATGTCGCAATAATATGGTCTTGTGGCCCAAGTATCATGATAATATCGTATCGTGGGGCCACTAGTGATTCCCACCCCTACTATGTGATATGTACAAACAGCTTGGTTTGTTGTAGTTATACATCCAAGCATGATGAAGCAGATTCAAAAGGCTGCAGTGCACATTGAACGGTTTGAACAAATGTTTTTATTATTGTTATTGATCTAGTTTACGTCTGGACAAGATATCTTCTCTTCTTTTTATGGCCATGCTTACTCAAAGTTTATTTTCCTCCATTTTTGTTGCTAAACAGGCACTTCAGAGACTAAAACAGACCTCCTTGTTGTCTCGCATTTATCTCTATACTTTCTGTCTAAGACAGACTCCTATTCTGTGGTTTTCAGTCCTTTGCCCATTATCCCACTCTGATCCATCATGACTACACCATCATATCGATTTCCTCCTGTTTGCATCCAGAGCCAGGTGATCGTTCTCAGTTGTATAAATATTCAAGATTTATTGATTCCCCTCTGGCTCAAACAGGCGTATCTGTGTTTCCACTTGTGGAGCCGGTGAAATCCTCCGCCTGAATGGTTAATGCCAGCTGTCAGTGAAGGCACACCTGAAGCATCTACCTCTCAATCCTGGAGCGAGATCAGACCGTTTGTAACATGCCTTCTTTTCAACCCTTTAATGCTTTCCTATGCTGGATTTATACGCTGAATCCTGCAGGATAAAGTGAGTGTTATTATGGTGAGTCAAGCTCTGTCAAAACTGCAGGTTTTGGGGATGAGAGAGAGCAGGTCGACAGCGCAGCACATTGCAAGCTATTAGAGAGACAACCAACAGCTCACCAACTCCTCCCCTGAGATGAAGACAGTGGGGAGCTGATGCTTTTGCGTATAATTAGGCCACATTAACTTCAGTTTATGAAGCAAATTAGCACATTAAAACGTCACTGTTGCAGTCACTGAGCGGATGGAGACATGCGTAGTGGGATCTCAGTCCTCCAGGGGATTGTTGTAGCCTAGCCCAGCGCCTGCACAGCATGTGCAGACTCGGCCAAACTGTTTCCTCTCTCCACGTCCATATGGCTCCGCAGATATCTACAGCGGGAGGCTCTTTGAGTGTGATGTAATGGTTTTTCCCCTTTGTTATAGCCTCAGTGCCCCCATAAAGACTCATTTGAAGGAGAAGCACTTTCCTACATCTGTGCGTTGTAAATACTCCTTATATATAGTACATAAAACCTGAGCTGCTCTTGGAAGAGAGACCTGGACTCAGATAGTAAAAGGTATTTTATTTCAGAAGCTAAAGAATACCATACAAACATATGATAAAGTGTACCTTAAAGAATCACTAATAAGTGAACCGAGACAGAAACATAAGGACCTCTTCGACAGACTTTAAAGGATAATTTGACACTGAAGCTAAAGGGTGTCCTAAAATCTTGAGTCCTTTAGGTTGTCTAAGGTCGCTTTCACACCAGAGCTGTTTGGTCCGCTTTAAAGGGACCAGAGTTTGTTTCCTCGGATAGTCTGCTTCGTTTGGGCAGGTGTGAAAGCTCATCCGAACTCTGGTGCTGACCAAACAAGCGAACTCTGGTCCGCCTGAAAACGGGGGTCTCGGTTCAGTTGCAAGTGAACCCTGGTTCGGTTCGTATGTGGTCGTAGAAAAATAACAGGATCGATCCCTGACAAGCTACGATAGCATTATAGGAACAGTTGCGTTCACTAACGTTGTAGCATTCCATAAAATAATGTGACGACGCACGATACAAGACGGCTAGTCCACCCCTGTTTGTAATCCGTGAGGTTACATACCCCTCCTACTTTGTCAAATCAACGAGCGCCCCTTTCAACCACGTGATGCTGCTCGGAAAGTTCGATGCGCTTTAGAAATCACAGTGTGAAAGCAGAACCGAAACAAGTGATAAATGCAACAATGTTGCGACTTTCAGCTCCCCAATCAAACCGAGTCCGCTTGGTCAGGTGTGAGAGCGACCTAATATTTGACAGAACTTTAAAAAAACAACTCATTCGAAACAGTAGTTTTTAGGATCAAGACAGACGCCTTGGGTTCTCGAATCAGAACGCTAGAGTTCTTCAAGACAAAAGCTGTAAACAAACAAAAACCACAGGGGGTACCGTGGAAGTGTCGCTTTTAATACGTTGAAACTGTGCGAACAGATCCACTGATCAGAAGAGTATCTTAAACACACCCCAAAGTTTCAGTTTAGACAACTTTATTTACCGCAAGGTAGCAATTGTGTTTTGAGAGTCAGTTCAGACTGTACATACCATACATTTAAGGACTGTATGTGCCTTCAACCAGAGGCTTAAGGCTGTCTTGAAATGAACAGGGTTTCCTTTATACTTCAGAGTAACCTAAAACAGAGGAAAAGGATAAGATAAGAAAAACTTTATAGATCCCTCAGAGAAATTCAGTCATACTTTGAGACAGGTACCTCAAAACAAACACCTGTTAAATAAAAATCAGAATAGAAGTATTGCACTCTCAAAAACAAAATGTCAGGATTACTTGAAACAGAAACTTTGGAGTAGCTTGAAAGAAACACAGAATACATTAAAACAGGTACATTTGTAACAGATACTGCAAGATTGAAAGGATTTGAAACAGGTACCTTAAAGGGGAAGCTAAAGAGTTTCTCTAAATGGACTCCAATGGACTTCTAAAATGAATGCTGAAGAGTACCTTGAAACAGGTCGATAAGTACGCCCTCAAAGAGAGACTTAAAAATACATTTGACCAGTGTTTAGGGATCCCTAAAACACTAGTCAAGTTATAAATGTCCAATTAATCAGAAAATGCCTGCAGATATTTTGTCTGACCGTCACCATGATATCGTAGCAGAGAGATGTACTTTCACATTTGAAAAGCCTCTTTATCTTTCTGGCACTCTGTGTTGGATTTACAGTAAAGGATGGTCATGTCTGTAAACGGCTGCAGGAAAGCAGAGAAAGCCAACAAATGGACCTTAATGGAGTTAGAAGAAGTGGTTTCAGACTTCTTCTTTTTTCTGCAGCATTATTTTGTGGCCCTGAGGCCATGATAGTTTGTTTGTGTTATTGATCAGGTAAGGATTTATGAAGCCCTGCTGCTGTATAACAAGTGGGCAGAGGAGCTGGTGAGAGCTTTAAGGACTTCACCACAGCGCAGATAGAGATTATTGTGTTTATAGACAAAAATAATACACATATGAAGGTTTGGGGGTTATTTCATTCGATCAAATTGTGATTTCTAACATAATCAAATCATGTTTTTAATCATACCTGTGTACCTTTTGCCATAAGTGGCAAATACTGATCGAGTTAATGTTATGATTACAGACAGAAGTAAGCAAGAAGACAGTTGTGACATTAGAAATCAGGGATATTTGGCTCTTTTTGAATTAATACCCAAATGAAACAATCTTTCTGTCACCTGATTGTTGGAGACGTTGTTTTGTCCTTCACAGTGTTGTCCAAAAACACAGTGAGTCGTTCAATCTGATAAAAACTGTCTGTGAATTTTATCCAGGCAGAAATTCTGTTGTCTCTAAAACATGATCAGGAAAGTGGTTTAGCAACAAACAAACATAGTTTGTAGTGGACAGCGTCGTATCGGAGGATCATGTTCTCTGAGATTACAACCTGCAGCAGCTCTGTCTGCAGATAAACTCTAAAAACAATCTGATACAGAAACCAGTTTGCTGTTTTAGATGTGGTGCCCATGAGACTGATTCTTTGAATGTCAAAATGCCGAGCAATCGTGAATAATGCAATAAGCTGAAAGGGCTCAAAGTCATAAAGAGTAAAAGGCTTTTAAAACACAAACCACACTTTCCCCTAAGGTTGCTGCAGTGACAAGAGAAAATGTGCTCAAGGCTCTCCTGTTGTTCCTGTTCTGGTATCTCAACGATCAGAGCCTAATTTGCATTCTACAGATGAAGAGAGACACTTGAAAGTGAACGGATCATCTCTGTGACTCTGACAGGTGGAGATAACCAGCTCAGCAAGAGGCTTGAATCAGATTACAGTCACAGAAACAAGCCTTCCCTGCAGACCAGGATGCTTCTGCACTCGACTGCCCTTTGGCCCTTTTGTTATGTGGCATAGCCAGGCCTTGCATAATCATAAAAGATGGCTAATGTAAATTTAACTACAATAATCAAACTCTTGTGTCCTTTGAGTGGAACAAATAAAAAAAAAAACTTGGTGAAAAGCCGGATTACCAAGTATCACAAGTCCACAAAGTCAAGCCTCACAATGTAATTTTGCATTTATTTGTACCCACAACAAATCATGACCAAAATGTTAGTTTTAATACAGTTTTACTGGGTGAGATGTCAGTTTCATTCAGTTATTTTCTCAAATTAACATTTATTTAAGTCTACACTTTGTCCAGGTTTATAAACTTTGGTTTCAGTCATTTTTTGGGAGGCATTTTTTCTTTTTTCAAATTTAAGAGATCAAGAGGGACTTGGGTAATAGCTGCTAAGGGTCAGGATGTAGGGTGGCCAAGAGTCAAACCAGCAACAGCCAATTCAAGGGACATTTGGGACACCTTTTGGCCACAACATGATGACTAAAGTTTAAGAAAAAATTTGTTAACTCAAGAATTTATCAACCAAAGTTCTTGAGAATCTGTTTTGGTCAGTTTCAGTCTAATAAATCCATATGCATGACAGAGATAATCAGTCTCCAACCGCATTATTAGTGTTGTTTCAGTCTGATTAATGTATTTGCATATGTTTTTTGTCTAATTTCTAATTTTCATTTTCTAAACAACATATGAACATACTGATGGTCATTAGGGTTCATCCTCTGGGGACCATCGGTTGCTGTCACAGGAAGTTTCACCATTACATCCTGTTAAAGTCAAAACAAATAAACTATGTTGGTGATTTTTATCAGATGGTAGAGGAGAAGTTAGAAATTCGTCATGATAGGTTAGAATCATGAAAATCTATTTACAAGTCAGAAACAGCTGGGCTAAATTGAAGTCCTCTGTTTTACTAATTTGAACTTTGAATTAAGTGGAGGGTTGAAGACTTTCAATAATCTGGATGAAGTTTGCAGTCAGAAACTCTTATGATGAATGTTAAAGGCTGTTTCATTTCATATCCAGTTTTTTAAGGACTTTAAAAACCAACTTTAATGTATCCGTCCTGAACTGTGGGCCTCAGTAAGGCGTCTTTCCAACAACCTCAGCAGACTGAAAAGCGATATAAAACCTCCCGGCTGGATAATTTAGCATCATGCTAAATGCTGATTTCACCTTTCAATCCTGCTAATTCTTCATGTTGTTTAACGAGGACATGAGGCCTGCAGCACTGATGATAAATCCAGTCTTATTTCTCTCTGTTCCCTCTTGAAGGGTAATAAAATTCTCCTTGAGTCAGCATGAGATCACTACAAAGACAGGAATGTGATGCCACCAGCATACTGAATGCCAAGCCCAGAAACTCTACATTTGCTGTCACCGTAAACCTTATTACTCTGCTCGTATCGATCTTTTCAATCGAGTTGTGTACAGTGATATCCCTGAGCCAGACATGAGAAAAGCCTCCATTTTCATTAGTGTAGTGTGATGAGCTGCTCGCTGCAATCCATGATCACTCAGCTAAGCTCTTAAGAAGCTGCAAGATCCAGGATTGAGAGAGTGGGATGATACGTTTGTAGACTCTGCTCACCTGAGAATCATCAAGAGCACTTGGTTCCTCATGCATATTAAATCAGATGCTTCAATTCACCTTTTTCCCCTTGATAAAAATTTGATGTTTTTGTCCGTGGACGTATTGAACTAAATCATTTGGTTTGAACAGCTATATACGCTGGTTAGGGTCTTTTTTGCTTAATTGGTAGAGCAGGCGCCCCACGGACAAAGGCTGTAGTACTTACCACACTAGTCACTGATTGGTCATTCCCAACTCTCTCCACCTATGTTGTTTTGTCTCTCTTCAATAATGACTGGGCTGAAAAGAGTCCAGAGACTCTGAGTGTCTCTTAAGTAAAGATAGAAAGGGTTTCACCTCTCTGTGAGCGACTGAGTAAACAGATGAACTCGATATTTAAGAAGGTTTTAGAGGATCTGGAAAAATTACTATAGGAAACAGTGACTTTTCAGCCCTCAGGAATCACCACATTAAAAGGATACATGACTCTTTGGTGGAAATCGCTGCATGGGCTCAAAACCTTTTCCAAAAGCCACTTTCTTTGAACACAGTTTGAAGCTGAATGCAGGTTAAACATGACCTAGAAAGACAGGCGACTTCTATTGATGGAATGAAGTGAAGTGGAAAACTGTCCTGTGGTCTGACAAATCAAAACCTGACATTCGCTTTTGGCAGAGTTTCCGCCTCATACTGAAGATGTGGGACACATTGCTGGGAGCTGGAGTTTAACAAGCTGCTGAGGGTGTTGGTTCTGTCCAGTTGGTATAGCAGGCTCCCCTTGTGCAAGACTTATAGTCCTTTCTGCACTTGTCACAGTTCTTCCTCCTGATTATACCACTTTTAAACTTGTCTGTTTACTTTTTCCTCTTTTCCGCCATACTGGTAAATCAAGGTTTAAAAAAATGCTGAAAGAACATGTAAAAACGATCTCATATTACGCTTCTTGGATGCTCACTAAAGGGTTAATCAGCCAACAGCCCGAGGGGTTGGTTGTGACTGTCCTTTACCACATCTTCCTCATAGTTGCGGTCCTCTTTGGCCTTGTTTTTTCTATCGTACAGTCTTGTCGGTTCAGCAGATAACAAGAGAACCCACAGGTATCAGATATAATGTCTAAGGTCTACCCACATCCTTCACTGTGAACAGCCTGTAGTGTGCTGGAGGAGTTGTGGTCATTGGTAATAACTTCTCCAGTGAATGTCAGGAAATGGGGGTCATCACTGATTCTTTGACAGATCTTCCCTAACAAGGGTCCCTTTCTGTCTTCAGTAGATTGTACCCAACTTAGTCAGTAAGGGGAAGAAATGGGAGTTTTAGACCCGCAGGAAATTTAGAAAGGAATAAAACTGAAAATTGACGGAGTCTGTGTTTTGGTACACTCCAGTACTGGAAACGTTTCCAAGAGGGCTAGAGGGAGATTTGCATTGTGTTTCTGTTTAATGAACGAGAGGGTCCCCAAGATCCAAATCCTGTAGAAGATTTAATCCAAACACATAATATCCATAAAGATCAATGGATTACTTCAAATCTACAAAAGCTGACTGCTTTCGTCTATGAGCCATCACATTACATAAGATCAGGGTTTGGATCCTTCTACTATCTCTAAGCAATCTCAGCGTGCTCCAAGAACCGACTCTTTGGCTCTCCAGAGTATCACTGGTTAACTTCGGTATCAGCTGCTGAAAAACTGATATCGGTCAAACACCAGTCAACAGCTTCTGATTTGGGAGGCTGAATCGATGAAATTTTATCCGTAAAAACTCTGCAGTGGTTTCTATAAAGGATATCTTGTTGAAGAATCAGCAGTTGTGACCTTCAATCTGTGAAGGAGTCTTACCACGCCTCCGACAGTGTGAAGACCGCTGCCATCATTAGCTCCGCTTCACACCGTCTCCTACTGCGACCAGCCTTCCTCTCTTTCTTTTACAGTCTTTGCAGAGCTGACCTTTTACCACCATAAAGTTCTCCAACAACGCCGGCGAGGAAAAAACTTCCCCTCTCAATTCCCTCACCACTCTAGTGCCTCCTCTCAGTTCTTTCTTTCACTTTCTACCGCTGTCATTTCTCTCAGGGGAAAGGTCTGCTTGGAGGGGCCGTGAAAGGATCAGAGCCCAGTTAAAGGGCAGTTAGTGAGATGAGAGGCTGTTTGAATGGCATCTCGGGTTGCCTGGGCTGAAAGCAAGGTGCCATTAGTGTTCGGTTTCTGTGAAAGTCCAGAGAGCGGCTGTTTCGAGCACTCTTGATGGACGATTTATCGCCCTCATGGTTGTTAAAAATGTCCTGCGTGGAGGAAGGAGAAGTGTCGGCCACATGTACAATTCACTCCTACAGGGTTACAAACAAATCATTCATGGACCGAGTTTATTGAAGACCTTTTACGATTCTTGTTAAAGACCTCCGTAATTGCCTGTTCAAGGCCATGACTTCTTTGCACAACCTCAAGATGCACCACTTAAACTCGTGTGATGACCCCGCAGGGATCACTGGGCATGTTTTTTACCCTCTGAGTGTGTTGAGGAAACACAGACTGGTGCACTATTGTCTTCTTGTACAAAGCAGTTTTCTCAAAGACGCCTGTGGGCCGGAGAGGGGTGTGATGGCAAATGTGAGCGGTTGAAGCCTGGCACAAGAAAGAAGCCTCTAACAAAGCGACAACACAGTCCCACAGAGCCATTCTCTGCCCATGCCCATAACAAAGAGAGCTCTGAAACCCACTCCTGACAAACCCATTCACCCTTCTGACCCTGGTGCTCTTTGTCTCAGTTCTTTCTGCAGTTTATCTTTGAACAAAAGTTGATTTTAGGACCGGTGTTTGATTCTGCAGACTGTAAGTAACGGTTGAGCCGGTCCACTTTCAGGCCAGAAAATGGTTTGTGGTCCACTCTTTTAAAGCCACAAGTTTAATAGTTAAACAGCTGTGGTCTTCTACTTTTTCTTTTCCAGAGGTGGATACACATTGTTGCCCTTTGCCTCTGGCCAATTGGTCACCATATTACAACACAATTAACTTACGTGGCATCGTCTGTTTCAAATATTAGTCAAATTGATGATTTGTCATGGGCCCTGTGACTGAAAGTTCCGGATGTCCCAGTACAACTTTTTGACTTCCAATACAATACCGATAATGTAGCCTCAAATGTTGACCAATACTGATATTGATCTGATATTTGGACTTGAACAAAAAATACTGCCACAAGTCCAACATCACTTCTACTCCTTGCTAATTTATTAGTACCTTAGTACATACTGTTATTGTGATTATGTGGGCTCAGCTTGCTGGATCAGGGTGCTGCTAGATAGAGGTGCCGGAGTGGAGTCTGGAATGGACTGCTTGTATTGAAGTGTTGATATCAGAGATTATAGATCCAGGCTGATATAATTCGATATTCGTTTTTTTGCTGAAATCGGACCGATGTCAGATATCAATATCTTATCGGGACACCCCGACTGAAAGTTGCCTCATTCAAGAATAATTTGTCATGCATTTAGATTATTTTACATCCTGCATTGCCAAAGCACTCAATGGAAGTCATGCAGCAAAGGGTCAAGGCCGGGACTGGAACCAGCAACCACAGTAATGGGACTGTAGCCCCTGTGCGTAGAGTAATCAGTGTGCTATGTGACAATTCTTGTGTCATGTCCTAATAGTTTTCCCGTAAAGCTAAATTCCAGCTTGGTTTGTATTGGTTTGTAGAGTATGGCTACCATTAGCAGAGCTAGCACCACCATCCTTTTGAACTGCCTGCCAGTTTAACCAAACACAGCAAACACTGGTATTAAACTTTCTTTTGATTAGTATTTCAGCCCCTGCCTTTAATGGCTAAAGTACATTGGTTCTTCAGTACTCTGATTAAACAAGTCAAAGGGAATCCAGTTTTTCTTGTTTTGTGATCGGAAATTTTACCAAGTTTAATTCAGATATCCAACTTTGTAACATTATATGACTTAAGCATTAAATCAGATGAACGGGTCCCCTTTTAATCAAACTTCTCAGGGGTCTGATTTGTGCGATTTCTGGTTTTATTTTTGCTTTTTTTGGTACCAGTTACAAATCTATAGCTCAGTTGATGTTTGGCACCTAACCTGCTCTTAGCATACAATCAGAACTTGTGATGTAGCGGCCCAACCTGAAAGATGGTTCTTACCTGATGTGTTCTTGGCAGGTCACGGCATGTGACAGAGCAACAAGGCTTGATCGCGATAAGGGCAGATATAATATTTCAGAGGAAGTCTAATCTGTTTTGAGAGTACGCTCTGTTAAAATAACCTCCTGTACACTCAAGCAAAAAGCTTTTTTGTGAGTAATGGAGCACCGCTGAAACATGTGTAGTTTGTTTTTTGTTGCCAGGCTACACACCCTGTGAAGAAAGTTGAACTGTGGTCAGAGTATGACATCAACAGCTCTGTGAACCAGGCAGGATAAAGGGAACACTTTGTGCAGTTTAACACATACCCATTTGGTATATTTGGAAAGATTTCCGCATGAAAGCTGCTCCTCTTCTACCGCCGCCCTTTAGATCTGTCCCTGCCAGCTGTTGGCTCAAAGCAGAGGGAGGGAAACCACTAATATTTTGGCATTACATAATCATCCCAGTGCTGGACTGTGGTGCAAAAGAATTTCACATGCATCCCCATCCCCCAGTGGAGAGTTGTCGCGGGTGAGGATCTTGCAAATTGTACGTCAGGGCTTGCACCTAAAATGGGCAGCGTTTGGTATTTTTTGGAAGTCTGACGAGGATACAGAACATGAAAGTAAACAGCTGTTTGACGCTGTTTAATTCAACAGCTGCCCTCTTCAGAGAGAGAGAGAGCGAGCACTGCTTATGAGGACAGCTGCCACACGCAGATACACGCAGCGACAATTTCATAACACACAAAGAGAGGCAGCAGTCTTACTTCCTCCCTTTGTTTTTTTTTCCCCTCTTTTTGCACCGCTGCCCCCTCTGCAAAACACGCCAGCCATGTTGGCGGCAAAGAAACACTACTCCCCGCAACTCCTTATTGCAGCTGCAGAGAGAAAAGCATGACGCAATCTGACATCCGACTGACTTTCTCTGCTTCCTTTGGTTAGTGTCTCCCAGTTCAACACAGTGGTGTGGTCTTCTGCAGGGGGGACTCTGATGCAGAGCTCAGTGCTCTGCAGGGTGCAGCGAAAAAAAGGGGGACGGTAAATCTAGACGAGAGTTCACATATCCCCCTCTCTGTGATGAAATGTCGCGCAGCATTCAGCGGTGAGACAGCAATGTCAACAGGTGGAGCAGTGTCACACAAGAAGAGCTTTGTTTAGTGTTACGCACAAGCTGTCGGGCAGGACATGTAATGCAACACACTTGTCGTCACCCATCAGGCAGTTCTAGGGCTGCATGTTTGACCTTTTAGTTGAAGTCTTCCTGCTTCTCAAATGTGAAGAGGATCGTTCATTGAAGATCTCTGAGTGTTGGACTTTTCAATCAAAACAATCAGTCAGAAATGGAAAAAAAAAAGCCCCCGTAGTCTTGCACAGCCCCACCCAAAGGGCTGCAAGTGTCTGTCTGGTTTCAACACACAGCAGAGGGTCAAGTGTTCAGTCTGTCTTTGTTGGATATATATTCAGTTCGCGCAGAACTCATAGGCTTATGTATACAAAGGAGGAGTGTTGGACATCCATTAGGGAAACACACCTTTTTCCTGACTCACTGACAAACAAACCTCAGTGGATAACAGCAGTACTTATCTTATGCTCCACTTGTGCAACCCAGCCCATCTCTCCCACCTACAAGTCTTCATAAAAAACTGAAAATAAAAACTCAGACATGTGCTTTCTTTTTTACTGAGGCTCTCGCACCAATGATGTGTCATACACAAAACAAATACAGAAACCCTTTCTTAAATATTAACTGGTATGACACATACACACAAAAAAAACAAGAAAATCATCAGACAAAATCCATCACGTCCCGGCGTCTTGAGTTGGTCACAGCCAGTGTTTTTATTGTCTGTAGAGCAGAGTCCAGACCAGAGGGATCCACACAGTGATGCATCATTGGGAAGCACTAAGTTTTGTCATTGTGCTTGTTATTTATGATACGATATGATACAGCACAATGTGATAAGATACGAGCTTCATTACTCAAGATGGGAGGTTACTACTTAGTCCAAACCCCTCTCCTTTCACAGCTTAAAAACTGGATCAAGACATGATCAGTTCCTCCATACAGGAACCAAAAGGGCAAACAGTTTTTGAGTCTGAAATAAATCTTTTTTTTCTTTTTCAGTTATTATTTATCTAGGATTATTTGGTGTAGTCACTCAGTTTTACATCTCCACAGTTTTTAGATCTTACATCAATCCACGTATTCATCTGGATTCACCCATTCATACCCATATTTAGTTTTTTGGTGATATGAGGTTGTTGAATGAGTCACTATTTTGCATCAAATGTTGCTCAAACTTCTGTTGAACATCTCCTCTTGTTTGCCTGGGTCACACCTTTTGGAGAACAATGTGCTTTTGTTTATCCCTCTTAAGTGTTATCATTGGAAATACAACCTTGAATGACATTAAAAGGAAAACCTGCTCATATGAAGCTGGAAATCTCTATTCCTCTTTCTACTTTACCTGTTTTGTAAAGGTAGAGTTTTCATAAAGTAGAGCATGAGGACACATCAACTCTGAAATAAATTTGTCTGTGTTGTCGGGACGTCACTGGGACATGAGTGTGATTTCTGCCTGAGGTTTTTTTCATGCAAAGCGCCACATTAGCTGTCTGAGCTGACATGAGATCATTTGCATCTCTTGTTGAGCTGCTTTAGCGTTCAGCTGCCAAGGCTGGTGCTTGATTTGATTCTTTCTGTGTCCTCCGGCTCTTTTAAATAAGCAATAATTATAAGTGGCATTAGAGCCAGCCATCAGTTAAGAAGTGACTCAGTGAAGTAATGAAGGACATTTATAGAGCGTCTAAAGTGACACGTAAACACATCATGTTGTATTTGTCTTCGGCAGCTTTTCGACCGGGTGCGTGAGGACGACCCTGACTTCCACCAGAAGATCATCCCCATCAGCAGCGAGCTGACGCAACCCGGCCTCGCCATCAGCCCGGAGGACGTGGAGCGGCTCACCGCCTGCATCAACATCGTCTTCCATTGTGCCGCCACCATCCGCTTCGATGAGCCGCTCAAGTAAGAATCCTATCAGCTCAGCCCTCCTTCCTTTACAATGAAAAACACACCCTGTCGTTAAACGCTGTGCTGGTTTCACTTGTACTACGGTGGCTGAGAACCACCACTGATGCAAATAAAAAAATGCAAAAAAAACAGCCACAACGGAAGTTAACGACAACGCAAAAAAAGTGGGGAGGCCATGGACAGAATTTCAACACTGTTGATATTTAATCAATCAGTAAAGTTCTTGTTAGGGCTGGGCAACATGGGAAAAAGTTTATCACAATATATTTTTTTCATATCAGTCGATATCGATATATATCACGATGTAAAAATACAACTTGTCAATCTTAAATGTTCCCTGTTACTCTTAAATGAAATTTAACAGTACTTATTGGTAACTTATTGGTCTTTTGCAATACAATGAGCTACTTACTGCATCTGTGAAGTTAACGATGAAAAAAAAGTGGCGATAGAAAAAAGAAAAGTTACTCACTGTTACTGGAGGATGCCGGTGGAGTGTTAGCTTCAGTTCAGCTTCATATCAACTCAGGCGCCCTATGGCCTCCCCACTTTTTCTGCATTGTTAACTTCCGTGTGGTTTCTTTTTTTGGATTCCTTTTTTATTTGCAGCAGTGGCGGTTCTCGGCTACCGTACACTTGACCAATGTTTTCATTTTCTGCAGCCGAGTGAGCTGACTTCACCAATTTAAATAGGAAGTTTAAAAGTTCATGACACAGTGTTAAAGCCATAAAGTCACTAACCGCACAGTAGTAGTTCCTTCTTTACAACGGACACTACACTAAACACACATGATTTGAATGTGATCCACCAAGATAATATTGAATTTAGCTGTTTAATCTCACAGAGCCTCACTGCGATCCTAAAAAGTGATGCTATCCAGCTGACATGTTCAGATGTGATTCAGACGTTCAGGGTTGTCACAGTTTTCTCCGTGACATCAGCCTGTGAAATTATTTTAAGACTCAAACATGTCGTCTGTCAAAACTAGCTGCAGTTTGTTCATAACTATGGTTTCTGTCTATAAGACTCGAACACTCTGATGACTCTATAACAGTGTGGATGTTGGACAGTGTGTCATCACTCATCCGCTGCAGCCGCGGGCTGCTCTGCTCTTATTGGATCCTGGAGCAGAGACAGTGTATTATATATAATGGTGACCTAGTTATTTTTCTCTCTTCTTTGGATGATGTGCTGGTGCGCTGCTCCAGCTGATCAGTTTCAGTCAGGTTTTATCAAATATTCAGCATCCGTTTGCCCTATAAGCGTTTGCTTCACTGTGTACTGGGTGCTGCTGTTAGAAAGTGGCTTGAGTTGAGTGGTTGGCACAAATGAAGAAAATAGCACCAGCTGTAGCCAGAAAAAGCCAAAAAAGCACCCCCCATCCAGTGCTGGAACAGAATTTAAACATTTGTGTTGGTTTTTGCACCCAACAACAACAACAACAACTCCAACAGTCAGCGTGTCTGGCTTTAACCTTCGACATTTTGACTTCACAGCGCCAAAGAAAAAAAACACAATCATGTAGTAGGAAGTGAAATCGCTCAAAGTGTGGGAGCTGTTTTGCATGCATGCCTTTGAAACCCCTCCTGTTGTTATGCAACCACAAGCGCAGGTTCACATCCCCCTGGTTGAAACTATGTTTTCCCTGAAGGAGGGCTGCAAACCCAATAAACAGGCTTTTCACCTCCTCATTCTCAGGATCGCTTGACTAGAGGATGACTTCAGTATACATGCTTTGGCAAAGCAAATGTGTTTTATCATTATTTTAGACATTTATGTCACGAGAAGAAGTCTTAAGCGGTCTGTACAAAGACAGCATTCCAATACTGTTGATATATAATCAATCAATAAAGTTCTTGTGTTGTATTGTTTCAGACAAATATCATAAATGTGACGCTGTGAGTCATGTGTGCTTTCAACAAGAGGGCTAACAACCTCATTACGCAGGCAGTTTCACAACATTCATATCAAAACTTTCATTTTCATTTTATTTTTTTCTAATGCAATGACTGTAAAGGTGAAGGATGAAGCTTAGATCATGCATAAAACAAATATCCACTAACATCAGATGACTGCCATGTAATAAACCTGTATAGATGAATCAAATAAAATAAAGAAAAGTAATCATATAAATAACCTTGAAAAGGTACATACAAAAGAACAAAATATATAGAAATAAAACCAAAAAATAGATCATTAAAACTCTTTCATCATAACATGCTTTTGTATAGCTTCCAAATTCTCCACTTAAACTGAAAAATGTTTCTGCAGCCCTTTTCTTCTGCTGTCAAAAAACTAACATACATGCATGAAGTACAGATTGAATCCAAACAGAAACTAAACCTCCAAGAACAAGAAAAGCAGAATGTGTGTACGTAAATATTCAGAAATGCAGCTCCCCTGACCTGTAAAACAAGCACAAGGTGTCATGCAAACTACATGACGGTAAGGACATACTGTAGCTTTTTCACAGACCGGTATGTTTGCTCAGTGTTTACTGTCTCGTTTGATTGAATGCATGCAGTGTGGAGGCAGATGAGTCATGTTTAAAGTGCTGCTGGATGTCTCCTCAGGTTAACTGGAGGTGTGTGTTTGGAGGTGGGGACACCTGTTAGGGTTTTGAGTGACAGCTCAGTCAGGATAAAGATGCTTCATGCAGCTTAATATTGATCTGTTCAGCCTTCACATCTCTCTCAGTGCTGCTGACTCGCTGTCCTCTCTGTCTCCGCTCCATCTCTGATTGGCCCTCACCTCCACCATGTTCTCATGTTCTCTCTCTCTCTTTCTCCCACCTCCTCATCTTCGTCAGCTCTCATCGTTGTTACTCTTGCGTAGCAGCCTGCAGCCTTGTAAGCAGAGCCGAGGCATAAATCAGACAACTCCTCTGTGTTTGAGGTTTGAGACTCAGCAGAGCTTTTAGCTCTGACACCTCTGCTGCGTTTATCCCCTCCATGGTGTTACACACACACACACTTAGAGGACCATTCCTGTTCAAGAAAACGTGGCTGTTCTTCTGGTTTTTCATCATCTCTATCTCTGATCCTAACAGTGTTCTCAGAACACAAAAACAGGACTGAGTGGCTTTTTTTACAACCTCTGGGCTGTTCAAACTGAAATCAGACTCGCAGTATGGGGACTGTGCTTTTAAGGTTGCTATTAGCAACTGTTGTAGACAAGTTCAGTGTTTCAAAATCCCAGTAAAGACATGAAATAATGACTTCTGCAGAAAAGATAGGACAAAGATTTTAAAGTTAGATCTCATTTGGATTCATGGTTTGGAAACTCACATCCTGCTTCATACTTTAAAAACTAGTTATGCAAGATTTGGTAGAAATGAACTGAGTGAACTCTTCGTAAATCAGACAAGGATGGTTTGCACTAAAAGTGTCAAATTTTATGAAAAATATGCTGGCTATGGATGCACTGTTTCGCTGTCTCATCTTTTTGAACAACACTCTGTAAACATTTGGGAACCAAGGCAGCTGATGTCTGGCATTTTGAAAGTGAAATGATAAAAGACTTCAGCTGCTCAGAGTTGTGGGGTTTCCTTTTGAAAAATGTTGTTTAATTTTCCTGCCAAATGTTTTCCAGAGGGGACATGTCAGGGCTGCAGGCAGACCAGTTTAGCACCAGGATTTTAAACCGCTGTAATGTAGTTCGACATCTTTTCTCTGTATGATGCAAGGTCTTCTCTGACTAGATGGCAGCACTTATTCTCAAAAGAGGCAGATATTGATCAGCATTGCTATAGCAATTCTCCAAATGACTAAGCTGCCAATGCTACGAGCACTTATACATCCCCATACCTTCATCACTAAAGCTGGTTTTTGATCTGTGTGCTGATAACAAGCCCTCTCCTCTTTAGATTAGAGCATTCAGTGTTCATGATTCTCAAAACAAAGTTCTAATCTGCAGTTTCAGATACAGCAGTAAACTCTGTCAACAGACCAGTGGGTTTTGATGGTTATTTTTTTGCCTATGCGGTGGTTTCCACTCCAGAGTCATATCTGATTTTGATGCAAAGTCTGAAGATCATGGCCACCCAGTGTTGATTTTTGGTCTTATCCCCTTTGTACATGGATGTCTCCTGAGTATTTGAAATGTTTATTGATACTGTAGGTGATGAAATCTTTGCATATGTATACTGAGGAACCTCGCTCTGAAATCTGATTGGAAGATGATGCATCAGGTCTTTAAAAAAAGCCAGTTCATAGAGATATGAACATGCTTTACTATGAACTATCAGGTGCAGTTGCTACTCTATATTCACAAGAAAACTTTTAACATTAATTTATTAGAATGTTTATTGTGTAATACCAGCCGTCCTTGTCCTTGTACGGATCTTTAGTTTAATATCCAAAACATGAGATAAAATTAAAATGACAATGAGTCTGATTCAGGAAGAGGCTCAGTGATGGGTCCATCTTTTGCTTCCTGTCCTGTTAAATAAATCTGTGCACACTGTCCCAGACGGCTACACACACCCACAGTGACAAAGTCATACACACACCTGGTGAGCACCACCCACACAGAGCGGGAGCAGCTCCCTCTTTATCTCTCCGTGTCTGATCAAACTGACCCTCTGTTTCTCTCCCCCCGTGGCCCCGGGCTCATCACGCTCTGTAAGCTGCTGCTCTCTGCGCCCGAGCCAACTCACATCCACTGCTGGAGGCGGGTTCACACAGGGGTGGAGAGAGAATCAGATGGGATGGTATGGGTTAGTACAGCAGGTCAGAGTTGCACAATGATGAACAACATTTTTTTTTTCCCTCAATTATTTTATTGAAGGAGTCCCCATCAACAACCATGTGAAGAAAATGTTTTGGTAACACTTTATTTGACGCCTATCTCTATAATCATGTTATAGCACTGTATAACTTTAGTTTTAAACACTCATAAATGATCATAATGCTTTATAGCAATAATCACAACACATTATAAAGCATTTTACCATGATTTACAAGGTCAGGTCTCATAATATGTTATGCTTATTGTTATAAAGGCTTATGATCATTAATGAATGTTTATAATGATAGTTATACAGGTTTATAAGCAAATTATAACACATCATAAATATATGTATAATGCATTATCTATCTAGGCATTATCAGTGAGTTGTTAACAGTTATAACACATGATAATGCCTGATCTTGTCATGATAAAATGCTTTATAATGTGTTATGATTATTGCGATAAAGCATTACAATCATTTATGGGTGTTTATAACTATAGTTATACAGTGCTATAACGTGATTATAACACATTATTCATATATTTATCATGCGTTATAGAGAGAGGCATCAAATAAAGTGTCACCAACTTTTTTTTCCTAGAAGAATTCATCATGTTTTTAGTCTGGTAAGAAGATAAAAAGTCTCTCTAGTCTCTACCATAACTTGTTCTCACTGTTCTTTGGGAGAATTTTCTTTTTAGTAATTCATGTCTTTTGGAGATAGTTGGACTAAGAGTTCTTCATAGATTTGCTCATTGAGCGGCTTGGCTGATATAACTGACAGGTATGTAGCTGTCTGACAGAAGGACTAAGAATTTCTCTGTTTCGATGTTGACCAAAAGTGAGGATGAGTCATTTTTTTCACCACTGATGATGTGGAAATCCATAAGTGGCATCTGAAATAAGACTGAGTCATTTTAGATTACATATCATCGGACTCAGGGATGATGGTCGGACAAATTAGATTTCTGTGGGCATCAGTTCAGCTCTGAAAATGTCATTCTTACACAAAGTGATTTATTGGTTATGAGAAATGTTGATGTACGTCTCGGCTCTATTAGGACTCCGGAGTATTTTTCCGTTTTTGACCATTTCTTTCAAGATCATCTGATCCGCTCTTGTTTTTCCTCATCTCTTTAAGTAATCCGAACTGCCATTTGCTGATGCAATTTACGGGGAAATTAGAAACACTCGGTTTAATGCAAAGGCGGCAGAGCTGCAGAGACAGTGAACCAAACCGGTCAGAGTCATAAATCTATCATGGACAGCTTGACAGTTTGAAGAACATACGGTTAATTGTGCAGCCACGGAAGTGTTTGCTGAAGTGCTCATGGCTGGATGAGCGGTCAGAGGAGCTGAAAATAATGATGAGGCCATCACATCCACGAGAAGAGCAGATGTTTGCTCTTTTCTCGTTCCCTCCCTTTTTCTTCTTTCCCTGTTTGGTCTCATGTCTGCTTCGACTTATTATCATGTTGCTCAAATTCCTGCTCGCCTGCAAATTCCTGTTTGAAAGACGCACTCAGCAAACAACTGTTCTCACATGCAAATTCTCAAACAGAGATATGAGCAGCCTCAAAGCCCTTCTCCCTGCACACACGTTTAATCTGAGGCACAAACACGCACACTCTGAGACTCTTCCCACACTCACACAGTTTGACTCTGTATCTCCCTTTTCTCTCTCCTCTCCTGCAGACACGCCCTGCAGCTGAATGTGATCGCCACGCAGCAGCTCCTCGGCCTGGCCCAGCAGATGCACCACCTTGAGGCCTTCATTCACATCTCCACCGCCTATGCAAACTGCAACCGCAAGCACATCGATGAGGTCATCTACCCGCCACCCGTCGAGCCCAAGAAACTCATCGAGTCTCTCGAGTGAGTGGGTGAAGGACGGGTTACTGTGAACTTGAGGACATGGGATCAATTTTAGCTAGTTGTGAAAAGTGACTCTTTTAAAAACTGAATAAGTACTGCAGAAACATACGAAGAGTTTACAAGAGCCTAACAGTCTCTATTTTTACCCAGTCTTGTTGTTAGAGACTGTTTCCAGCTGCGTATTATTTCACATTTGGAGCTCTTGTGTAGTTACAGCTGCAGCACAGTGTACAAAAGGTTGGGTCAAAAGCTTGAGTGTATTGATAAAACACAATGATCATGTCATGCAGTGAAACAGTTTGGATTATTAATGTGTTTATAGAAGTTTTGGACAACATCAGTGGAAGTTAGATGACAGGCTTTGTCACACATGCAACTCTTTAAGAGCCACTCAGATGAAAATCATGTTTTTCTTGTTGTCTACATGTTCATATCCAAGCTCCACCCCTGAAGCCCCGCTATGCCAGGCTCAGAGAAATAGAGAGGATGATCGCAGAACAAGCGCGTGCGTTAGCGGATTGCAATGCTCGTAAGAAAGTTAATTATGATATTAACTTTCATCATGCCCCTAAAGACAATGGTGACAATAGTGAGGGCTGAATAGCTCCAATATTACCTATTTCTTCTACTACACTGGCAATGCTAGGCTGCAAGCTAACTTGAGGACAAGTGTGCAGAGCAGCGCTGTCTCCGCCCACTCAGAGGCGAATTGCTAATGAGCTACTGGAGCTCTGCAGAAGAAAAGTTCTTGAAAATGACACAGATAATGCGATTTTTGCTAAAAACTTCATTATCACAGTTTAAAAACCACCAAGAGCACTTTAAGTAGTAAGAATTAAACAATCGGAGTGGGACTTTTTTTATTGTTGGTTAAACTGAGTGTATTAGAGAAAATCATTAGAAATTTTGCATGTTTAGAAGAAAACCTAGTTTTACCACATGAAAAAATCCTTCACAACACAGTGAAACCACCACGATGAATGAAAACAATAGAGGAAAATAACAGCAATAAGTCTGAATTCTGACTTTATTTATAATATTTAAACTTTATTTTTATGAATACGTTTCAAAATACTTGTAAAGATTGAAATAAAAGAAAAGAACTGGAACGGAAAGGCACAGATGGAAAAATATACATACAAATATATTTATTGTTACACAGGGAGAGAAGAATCATAGTAACAATGCGTACATTTCAAGAGGTAGGTCCAAGGTTTAGAGATATTTCATTCATTTTTGTTCCAATTGTTCATAGTTCGTCCTTCATATCAAAACAGGATGGAAACATCCCCACCCTTGTGCCCAACACCTAGAGAGCATATCAAATAGGACAGTAGGGGGTGCTGTCCGTAAGCATAAAAGACAATAATGAAAAAAAATGAAACAGAACACATTATTAGTGTCATTAGCTGCCTCTTGGAGTGATAAAATGACATTTATTCAAGATGGGTTATCCATTTCCTCCATAGCCTGGTGAATTTGTCCATGTACAGGTTCAAGGAAAAGGTCAGTTTTTTCATGCCATATATTTCTTTCACGATTGCAATCCACTCCTCTTTAGTTGGGGGCTTTTTTGATAGCCATCTTCCTCAATTCTGACTTTAAATGTCATATTCTGTATTTGAAATGAGAATTCTGACTTAAATCTCAGAGTATTGAGGAATAAAAGTTTAATAAAAATTAAGATTTCTAAGTTTAAAGTCTGAATTCTGAGAAAGAAATTATAGATTAAAAAAGATTCACCTTTGTTATCTTTTAGTTGCATTTACTCTCTCAAGCACTGAGGTGATAATTGAAGAAAATCATCCTGCACAGATTTACACACAGGACCATTCCCTCAGTACGCCAGTGCATCAAAGATCATCATGAAGTCCAACAAAAGAAGTCCCACAGGTCTTGTCATTCATTCTCTCTCACACTGACCTGTCTGTGCCTGTCCTCAGGTGGATGGACGACGGCATCGTGCGTGACATCACACCACGTCTCATCGGGGACCGACCCAACACGTACACCTACACCAAAGCTCTGGCCGAGTACGTGGTGCAGCAGGAGCAGGACAAGCTCAACATCGCCATCATTAGACCCTCCATAGTCGGCGCCAGCTGGCAGGAACCGTTCCCTGTGAGTTACCGGGATGTTTCTAACAGGTTTTACTGAAATCTTCATGTCTGCCTGCTCGGATTATCCTCATGTGGAATCATAACAAACAAGTTTAGATCACTTTTTTTACTTAATTAAACACTCTTTATGTGTCCACCTGTGACAGTCAACCAAAGAGCTATAAGATATTGATGGATATAATCCTGCAGAGGTCAGTATCACTCCTCTGTGAATTTAATCTTAATTGGCGCCGGATTAGAGTAAAGTGGTTAATATCTTGGCTGGAGAGATGCGGGATTGCTCTGAGCCTTCAAACAGCAGCTGGGACGGGTCAGTTTGGGATGGAGGGGAGGACAGAAATGGGACGCAGAGAGCAGATTTACACTGACACTCTGAATGTCACATCAGAGGGTGAGGAGAGCAGAGAAGTTCATGTAGAGGCTGCTCTGACATTTTACTACAGCCAGGATTAAGCTGCTTTCAGCCGGGCTGCTGGTGTAATATTTAGGCTTCACATAACCGTAGACTCGAATCATTCTGCGCTCACTGCAACAAGCAAAGGAAACATTATAATATGAGCCACTTTTGACTGTGGCTTCTTATATAAAATGGATTTTTTGTGATGCTGGAGAGTGAGAATTTTCAATAGAGCTGAATACAAAGGAGAGTTGACCCTCTTGACTGCAGGTTTTTTCACATTCGACTGAAAAGTAAACTTTATGCCAAACGTTCACTGTGTTTCTAACCTGACTAAAGATCCAAATACAAGCCTTTTTTTGCTGTTTTGTGCATCAGTTGTTTTAAATTTAACTTTTCACCGTGTCATTAAATTCAAATGATTTGATGGTACTTGTTAATTGTAGGAGTATGACCCACAGGAGAAGCTCTTGAGCTCAGCCCCCTCGTTTAGATACTGGCCAAAGAATTAGCATGAAAGCTAGTCTCACCAACCACTGCAAACTGGGTCAACTCTATCATATAATTCAACCAACGCAAGAGAGTCCAACCCAAACATTAATGTTGGTCTATTATTTAGTTAACTTGACTTTGTCTAGTGCACAACTACGACTGAGCATTAGGGCCACATTAAGATTGAAAAAAAAATTAAGACTTTGTCATTATTTACAAGAATAAAGTCAAAATAAAATCATTCACTTGTGAGAATAAAGTTGTAATAAAATCATTATTTACGATGATAAAGTCGTAGCTAATAGCTATTCTAACCTGTTGTTAGTTGTTTAAATGAGCGCTGAGGAGCATTTAGATGAATTGAACTTCAGTAGCTAAAGGTTTCACAAACAAGGAGATACTAAATCCTTTGGCGTTTTAGCATCACATTGTCATAAGTATCAGGACATATGCAAGAAATGCATCTTTTCCGCAGAAAGAACCAGGCGGACTTGTAGGGAATCACTGTTTATGAGGAGGGGGAAATGGCTGTAAATGGCTGTGCAGAGGCTAAATCCCTCAATGCAGCCATTAATAGCAATAGCATACAGCTTTAGTTTATCGTATGAATCTATATGCCATAAGGTGTTGGTGCCTCTGCAGGTGTAGGTTGCTGCTGGTGTTGTGCCAACATCAGAGACAGACGTGGTGCTCCTCGGAGCTCGGCTCCCTCTGAATCGCTAATGTTGATCATCAGTTGGATTGTTTCTTGAGAAACCACAAAAGCCCTCTGACTAACCCACTGATGCACCCACAGATAACTCTGCAGTTGACCAGTTCCAGCCATTTTCTCCTCCACAAAAGCAGCTTTAAGATTTCATTTACTTTACGACTTTATTCTCGTAAGTAATGATTTTATTACGACTTGATTCTCGTAAGTAATTCCGAGGTCGTAATATTTTTTTTCTTAATGTGGCCCTAATGCTCTGTTGTACGCAACTAATCATTATGATGGAATCACCCTTTTTAGTATGGTTGAATTTTTGTCTATTTTTGCCCCTTTCTTATATGCCACTCCTTATTCTCTTTTGCCCATGTCCTGCTCTTACCACTCTTCTATCATTTATAGGTAAAAGCAAAAAGCTCAAAAATATAATTTTAAAATATCTGGAGTATTCCTTTAAGGCTCTGGAGAAAGTTAAAGATTTTCTCATCAAATCTGTGTTTTCCAGATGCACTTTTGTTTGATACTTCTGTACCTAATTCATTCAGTTCTCAGACTGCCAAACGTAAACAGATACAAGAAATAAATCATGAACCGGAGAACAATTCAGGTTCATCAGACAAAACAAAAACACATCTAGATGTCCGAGGTTGAATTTTGGTTGATTCTGCCATTATCATCTTTATTCCGTTAATTTTACTCCTCTGAATGTTGGTGAACCTTCTTGTGAATAACGGCCCGTTCCCCAGAGATCAACAAATATTCTTGCATACCATTAGACAAACACAGGAAAGTGCTTGTTTGTGTGGCGTCAGGAAATGTAGGCCTTGTTTGTGCGCGCCACGACTCAGTCTGACGGCGGCTCCTGGCTCCGTACTCGGCCTGGCTGCGACTCTGCAAACGGCCTCGCTCACGCTTGGCCATGCAATCGCTCTGGCAGCTCGTGCCAGTAGGCGCTGTGAGGCGAGAGGTTGGGTAGGGGGAGGAATGGGACTGCCTGCTTATATGCTTGTGTTTATGCCTTTATAACAACAATATGCATCCAGGCCGGCTAGATATGAACTTCATATCCTGAGAAATCCAATTATGTGATGTAAAATATCAATTCACAGATTGATCTATGTGTCATTTCCCCAGACAGACTGTGCTGCTAAAACCACCTCTGGCCTGTTTGTTTCATTCTGTCTGCACCGGAGCGTTTTATTATTAGACTCTGGACAAGACCTCATTATGGCTCTCTGCAGTCCCACACATAGGCAGCTGCAGCAGTCTATAACCAGTGCTTTCATCCATTTTTAATGGACTCTAATTGAAGTCGACAATCACTGCGACCCGGCCTCTTCTGTTCTCCCACCACAGAAAGTAACACGACCCTGAGCGGCTGAGTCAGAGCTAATAAACACACACGACCGCTTACGTGTTTGGATCTATAACTTAATGTCGCATCTGCCGCGTCTCTGTGGATTAACTCACGGTCTGTACTCTCGCACCTCAGGGCTGGATCGACAACTTCAATGGGCCGAGTGGAGTCTTTATAGCTGTAAGTCGAGATGCTGGCCTTCAAAATAAAAGCTCTAAAAGGATGAGAAAAGGTTGAAGATATCTAACATGGGGCTTGTTGTGTGAACAGGCCGGAAAGGGTATCCTGCGCACAATGAAAGCGAACAACGACGCTGTGGCTGATCTGATTCCTGTGGATGTGGTCATTAACCTCACTCTAGCTGCAGGCTGGTACACTGCTGTACATAGGTAAGTGCAACAAGAACACATTTACCAAACCTGGCAGCTTCAAACCTGGGTTTCTCCCCTAAAAAAATGTTTAAACATATTCAAGTCTTTCATTAAACGGTATGACAGATGGTCTGTGTCCTTATTTAGCTCCAGTGGAGGGAATACAGGGAATTTTGTACCAAATAGGCCTTAAAGTTGGAGGATTTCAACCCCTGCTTTTTATTCATTTCAGATAAATTTCTATTTATGCCAAAGAAAAGTGGATTTCTTCCAAACTGGCGGCCTACCAGAGGTTATTTTAACTTTGCAAAAAAAAAACAGAAATCCACCCACAAACAATCAGACAGACCAAAAAAAGTAGTATTTATGCAATGAGCAGCATAAAACAAAAGGCCAGTAAGATCACAAAGCTTTTTACTCGCTGATAAGCACCTTACTGTTTGTTTAAAGACTGAAAAATGAAAACCTCTTCTTTTAAAGTTGCAGATAGGTGGCAAGGGTCTGCAACGTCCTCCACTTTATTTGAAAATCTGATTGGCCAACCCAGAATTCTGAACAGTGATCAACTATCTTTATCAGCCGAGTGTTTTCTTTTTTTTTTTTTTTTATTAAAATGGACTTCTCAGGCTGTACTGCAAAAGGTAGCTCATAGCTTTTTTTGTATTTCAGTGGAGCAACATCTACCATTTTAAAGTACTTTAAATTATTACTATGGATACGACTTTGGTTTATTTTTTCAAGGTCCGTTCTACTTACAAAAGCAAACAAGACCATCAGCAACAAATTGTTATTTTCATGCTCAAAACTGTTTCTGTACGGCAGTAACAGCTTTTTATATATATATATATTTTTATATGTTTCACTTAAAATACTCAAAGTGAGTTCTACATTGGAGTATTAAAGGGAGGGAGGATGGTCTTTTTGTCCATAAATGTACAGGACAAAATCAGCAACTTTATTTAAAGCGCTGCTTTGTTCACAGGGGGCGCCAAAACCTTACAGGAGTTTAACTCTCGATTCAGCTGAAGATGTAAAAGGAGGAGCTGTAGATTAACTGTGATGATTACATCAAACAAATGCTGTAACAGACAAAATATAAACAGGAAGAAAGAGTCACAAAACTAACTGGACAGAAGTTAGAACAATAAAAAAGGTCCTGTTGGTGTCCAGGCATGAGCCGGGTTTTGTAAAAAGTCACATCAGTTTAGTTGTTTCCCTCAGAAATGGATCATATTGTCATGCTTCAGATAATAAGAGGGAAGAAGCTGAGCTGTGCTTGAACATAGACGATAACTGAGGCATAGACTAATGAAGGTGGTGTTTAGGTCCTTTTTTACTAATGTAATGATGCAACATTGCCAGATGTCATAAGATTGTATCAGTGTTCATGTCACTGACAACCTGTACTTATTTTCAGAAGGAAAACAGACAGAGAGCAAAATAAAAGTTAAGTATTTCAGAGGTTAATCCCTCAGTTTCTCAGCCTGTATGTATGTTCAGTATCCTGTTAGCACTCTTGTAAAGGTCTGCATGTGGTGTTTGCACTGGTCTTAAATCGGGTCTGAATGTATCATCAGCTTTTTTAGCACCATAGTCTCATAGTTTAGATAGTACAGAGTGGTGTGCTTCATTGGTCTCATTATGACTTTTGTCTCTCACCCCCTGCAGACCGAAAACAGCGCTGGTGTACAACTGCACGACCGGCGGCATCAACCCGTTCCACTGGGGAGAAATCGGTAAGTACACAGTTTGTTGTTTTGCTCAAAGTAAGCAGGAACCTGTAACCGCAGGTGAATATTTATAGAGAGGCTTTTGTCTGCGCCTGCTGGCCTCCCACATTGTTGTCCCGGTTTACGTTCATCATCACGAATCAGTGCTCCAGCGTTATGACATAATGTCCCTGTGATGTAGTTAGGTTGTGTTGTTTGTGGAGAGCTGTTGTGGGGGATGTGTGCCACCTGCTGGAAAGAGACAAGAGCTGAGTTTGAGTTTCTGTGGGGGTATACAAGTTCATTTCCCTACTACAATAAAGAACTCGTATATAGAAACGATAAAACTAAAAATATTGAAAGGTTTAGGCAAACATACAGCATATGTCTGAAAGCAGCTTCCCGGTTGTAGCATTTCCCTGAATGCATCCTTTTCCTCTTTACTTTTACCCACAACTCACAAATATTACAAAACAAAAGTTTCAGTAGTTTCAATGCAACACTGAAATATTCCTTTTAGTATTAGAAAATGCAAGAGAACTAGTGTGAATAACTTCTGTCTTTCACGTTAAGAGTATCTCCATGTTTACATGATGGATTGTGAAATAATTTGGCAAATGCTTTAGTTTCTTCTTCCCCAGAGGATAAATCCTACTGACTTTGGTGTCCCTGCAACTCATCACATAGTACAAGAAGCAAGTTGAAGTTTTTCATGTAGCGTGTGATACATCTTAACAACAACTGGATAGATTAGCATCAAATTTTGTTTACAATTCATGGTGCCCTGAAGATGAATCCCACCGACTTTGGTCACCCCTGAGCCTTTCGTATTTTAACAGTGGGTTGACTTTGATGTAAGAATTTAAATTGGTTGATTTGACAACCATGCAGCTCATTGTAACTGCTCGCTTAAAAGCTCAAGGCCCCCTCTGCATCTTTTTGACTTAGCTGGTATATTATATATATATATATATATATATATATATTTGGTAGGATGGTAGGGAAAGGTCCCGCCTCCTTCTCCCTAATTGGCTAGAAGTGCTGGGCTACCATAGGTTATTCCTTATGGCTGTGAAACGTCGTCATCTGTCGGGTTAGGATTAGGAGACTCAGAATTGCGATATTGTTCTGCAATGTTCTGTTCAATGTACAGAGCCAAAAGCCCGCGCTCAACTGCAGCGTGTGATGACGTTTCACAGCCATAAGGAATAACTAATCGGAGCCCAGCTTTTCTAACTCACACTTTAGAGAGCAATGGATGAGATTGTAGAGACTTTATCCATGTTTAAAATATACCCTCAAAGGAGCTATTTTGGCCATAGATGCTAAAGGCTAATAGAGAAATTATAATAAAAAATTTTGCTCAATGAAAAAGGCACTAAGCAAAGTTTTACTGGCTAAAAGAGAGAGTCTGAGAACTTTAAGATCTTGAATTTATTGACAGCTTTCACTTCACAAAAACATAAATACAAAAAAGATAAGTGTTTTTTTTTTCACGTCATGAAAGCAGTGATAAAAGTTCACACAAAGAGTGAAAACTGTCTTTGTTTCCATCCCGGCTGTCATTAGAGACAGTGGGTTTAGACGGTCTGTACATGTCAGGATGGCAGGAGACCCTCTCCATTCCCCTGTTTCCTCTCATATTAGCAACATCCTCCCTTTCACTGACTAAATTACTACCAGATGGCTTCTGGCGGGATTAGGTCTCATCACTGAAACTCACTGTTATGAAAGCTGAACCGTGCACTTTAATCTCACCAGCACAAATGAGAAAGCAGAAATGAAGCTAATCTGAAGCCCAAAGAAAATATAATCTGAGCCTCCAGGAGGAAATGAAGCTTAGAGGTGATCCTACAAATCAGTCTACGAGGGGTCGGACCACAGCCGGCTGTCACTTCAGATCTGGTCGTCTCAGGGTCCCTGCAAACTGCCATATATCTGTTTCCATGGAAACAGACCAGTGCAAGGCCTAGTTTGTGGGCTGTGTGATGTAATGTCTGTAGTCACATGGCCACTCTCTAGATCCTGTATGGCTGCTGCCTTTCAGAGGAGGAGGAGGAGGAGGAAGGGCCGGATCTGCTGGCCGGCAGGGGAAGTCACTGTACGGCTTTTTCTTTTTTTCCTTTTGATTCGCCTGATATTACCCCGATGGCCAGGGCTGGAAATCATGCTGTGATTAAGGCTCGACACATTTCCTGGAAGTCCTGATCCCTGTACAGAAATAGTAATCTGTTTTCACTGTTCCTGGTTTGTAGTTTGTGATAACATGAGCTATTTTAGATCGCTTTAGAGGGCTTCATTATTTAACATTACATCAGATGATCCACACTTCTTCAGTTTAGGGCAAAAAAAATTTCTCAGAAATTTTCCTGTAACAGTAAGTGACAGAGAATAAATCTATACTTGTACAGAACTGAAGAAGCTTCTTGGATAAGCCGTGAAACGTCTTCTCAACTCTACACAGTCCAGTTGCTGGATTTTGGAGACCTGGATGAATGAGAATCTACATGGACGGAATAAAGTTATATTTTATCACCTGTTAGCTTTGAAGAACCATGAAAATATATCTCAGGGCTCGACAGTGCAACTGTTTTACTCACATTTGCGACTAAAAATCAATGTGTGCAAATCATTTCTCTCTCTCTAAAATAATAGATCAATCTGTTTTGCTAATCTGGGGTTCACATGACTTTAGATTGATATTAACGGCTGACCAGTCATTGGCAGAAAAAAGAAAAGAAAAGAAATGCAGAACAGTGCAGAAGTCGAGTAAAAGAGACATCCACCAAATTAAAGAAATGAGGCACAAAGCATCAACAAATTGCAACATGGTATGGATGAGCTATGTAAAAGAGACATCCACAAAAGTGAAGAAAACATACACAAATTGTAACACAATGGATGTTGAGTGACAAAATGACAACCAAAAAGTTAAAGGGGAAAGGGCCCTTTGCAGGTGCTGCTGTTATTTTCTGCGTCTGTTGCATTAAAATTCAAAAAGCCTGACTCCAACTACTTGCAACAGGGCTAAATGTTTAATTTTGATTTTGTGGTCTTATAAAAAGTGGCCAGTCAGATCTTAAGTGGGGCATGAGCCACCCTGTCCATCCCTCGGATCTGCCCCTGCAGCCCAGCTAAATTAACCAAGCCAATCCAGGTCATTGCACACACCACTACATAAACTGCATATTTTGCTCTTGCCTGAATGTTATGGAGAAATGTAATTTCTAGCGACTTATGAGAGGAAATAAATTATTGACTTGAGGAAATGATTGAATATATTTGTACCAGCAATATAATATTTGATTATGTTGTTGGTTAGCAGAGTCTTGCAGTGCTTCAGCTCTGGGGCTGAATTGTGGAAAAAATGAGTTTTTGGCTCAACGTTTAAATCCTTTCTTTGTCTTAACCTTTGACCTTAACCTTAAACAGTGAATTACTTATCACTTATGAGACTTTTTACCTGTGCTTTTTTGCAGAGCACCATGTGATGTCATCCTTCAAGAGAAATCCTCTGGAGCAGGCTTTCCGCAGACCCAACGCCAACATCACCTCCAACTACCTGATCAACCAGTACTGGATCCTGGTCAGCCACAAGTTCCCCGCCCTCATCTACGACCTCTTCCTGCGTCTCTCAGGACAAAAGCCACAGTAAGAATCACAGCGATGTGTCATTCAGGACAAGAACGGTCAGACTAGGTGTGTGGACACCTCTGAATCCCTCTCTGCCTCTTTGCAGGATGATGCGTATCTTCAACCGCCTGCACAAGGCCATCAGTCTGCTGGAGTACTTCAGCAGTCAGGACTGGGAGTGGAGCTCTGAGAACCTGAACATGTTGATGAGCCAGTTAACTCCAGAGGACAGGAAGGTAACTTTATCCATACACAGGCCACACAGACTCTTAAAAATGTTGATGAAAAAAACATCCATCATGAAGAACAGTCTGAAAAAGTTGAAATACTTTTGATTAATCTTGTTTTATCAGCTGTTGGGAACGTATGGATTGTAATAAACTCAAAAAACTGGAATTTAAATTTGACCAATTATACTCATCTCAAATCTTAAACAATTTTGTCTGTGGAATCATAAATGTCCTCTCTTGCGCTTTCTATCAATAAAAGGTATCTCTGATTATATCAGTCTGCATCATAACCAGCTGTAGAAGTTATTATTATTCTTATATAAAACTAGGTTGTTACTAACATTGTGTTGTCAAGAGGCCACTGCAATTGCAAATATTCCATCTGCTCACTGGAACTGCTTCATCTCAATAAAACAGGAGGGTCTTCAGCTCCATCTTGTGACTGAGACTGGAATTTCACACTGAGGTTAACTAAGTGGCTCATTCGTCTTTCTCCAAACCCCTCTCTCTTCTCCTTTTCAGACTTTTAACTTTGACGTGCGCCAGCTGAACTGGCCTGAGTACATTGAGAATTACTGCATCGGCACCAAGAAGTACGTCCTGAATGAAGACATGTCTGACATTCCTGCTGCCAGGCAGCATCTGAGAAAGTAAGTCCACTCGTAAAAACTAAAAATGCAGCATATTTGAGGCAGTCAGATACCAGATGGTGGGTTGTTTGAGCCATAAAACAGTGTTTAAGGAGCATGTGCTCAGTTATAATTGCTTCTTTTTTTTTTGACTGGTTTGACAAGTCCATTACAAATAAGGCAGAATATGAATTTGACGTTTTGACCAATATTATAAAATGAAAAGTTTATTGTCATTTTAATGAAAATTTAGGCGTAGAATGAGTCAACTTCCATGTTAGCAAGCACTTTGTATCGACAATACTAAAAAAAAATCATAATCACAATACAACTGAACCTATTATTTTATTTAGAGTATTAAATGTTACAGTGATAACAAGTCAAAGTTAGCTTTTTAAGTGGTTTGAAATCCAAACAACGGAATGGTGTCTTCAACTAAAATGCTTGTTTTTAAGTTGTCACACACTAGTATTTATCTTAAAGACTTCTGATCAATTTTTTGTTTTGTTGTGTGTTTTTTCTCTAGATTAAGGAACATCCGCTACACCTTCAATACCGTGTTAGTCGTTTTCATCTGGAGGGTGTTTATCGCTCGCTCCCAGATGGCCAGAAACATCTGGTACTTTGTGGTCAGCCTCTGTTTCAAGTTCCTCTCCTACTTCCGCGCATCCAGCACCTTAACCAACTGAGTCTTCCTCACGGCCTCTAACTAGAGACAGCAGCCCCCACCTTTAGCTGTCAGCAGGAAGCAACATCTGAGACGCTGAGCATCCACTAAAGACCCTCCAAATCCAGCTTCTACTGTGGACGAGCAGGGCGCCTTTTAAAGGTCGGGGCTGTGGTTGAGAGAAGCACTCAGAGAAGGAAAAAAAGAGGTCTTCTAGCCATGAATAATTTGTTTGGTTTGAAAATCTGTCATCAGTCCCGCACTGTTCAGTCATCAAACCCCGTCCATTAAAAAAGTGTTGTCATTCATTTTGTACCTACTGTTTTCTTCTCAAAGTGGCCAATTATATATGCAACTGTACGCCTTTTGAGTGACTTCCATTCTCTTCTCCACATCATCGTTTCCATCCTCTTGAATCTCGGTACATTGCCTTGCCTTGTGATGATTTTTTTTCATACTTGAAATGCGGCAGTGCTTCAGTGGAGGACGATTTCTATAGGATTACTTTGGTTGTCTGTTTTTTACTGTGGGGATATCCAGCTCCTCTCTTTAATACGCAGGTGATTTGGGTATCTGTATGTACTGCATTATGTGTATCTACTGCCTTTTTAAGATTACACCCACAACCCAAGGGGTTGTTTACCGTCTCAAGGCCAATCCACAGATTACTGAGACTAGTATTAAAGCTCATTCAGACCACACAAGACACCTGCATCACTACATCTACCAAAACATACTGATCTGCCATCTTTCCTGCTGTTGAGGTTGTCACAGATGATAAAAATGTCTTTGTTTGTCTGAATGCTCATCCACTTTTTGCCTGTTTGTACAGCAGTTTGTACTGAAACTAAGTTTACTACTTTTACATCTTTATACTTGCATCAAAGGCTAGTCTGATACATGTGGTAGACCTTGGCAGTGTATTATATATAAATAAGAGTACATCAAAGTCCAGTTTATTTGTATAGCCCAGTATCCATACTGTACAGTCTCGCCCAACAGAGGTCCATAATTTTAAAGACAACTAAGTTAAACATATGTTTTTAAAGATAATCTCCTGATTTTTCTACATGGTTGTTCATAATGAAGCTGCCACAGGAGGGGAAATTATAAATTGATAATGAAATTACTAAATAAATCACATGGTATTCTTAAAGGTCAAATTTTTTAAAAAGTTAATCCTAATCCTAAAAATCCAAATTAATACCTCCTGTATCGGTGATTTATAAAGTTCTACATACAAGATTTTAAAATCTGAGGGACCAAGCTGGTTGTGGGGAAAAATATGGGGAATAAGTTGTTAAACAACCGGAAACTTCCAAGTTACAACTCTTTTCTTTATCCAAACTAGGATGGTAAATGACCAACTGCCTGAATAATAAAATATTTATGAGAGGATAAGATATTTTTTCATTTATGTGGCAGGAAGTTGTTAAAGGTTTCTACGAATACCTGAGTAGCTGAAGTAAAGTTCTTGAAAAGATGAAGGCACTGTTGACTGAAGATATTATTAGTTCTTGAGGCAGGCCTCTGGATACTTAAAAGATCTTAAGGTGTATTAAGTATTGCTGAGATGGAATGTACATCTTTTATTGAGGTAAAATAAAAATAAAAATGGCCCCCAACATAAATAAAAGACAATAGCTCAGAGGTTAGGATTGGTCAAAATGGTGTAAGGTTGAAACGTTTTCAGGTGTTTAAATTAGACAAAAAAAAATACTTGGGATAATCTGTATGTAAGTGAAGCAAGAAGAAATCACTACAAGTGATGCAGTATATACTTGAGTGTCATCTGCATATAAGCTGAATGCTGCTGCTGTTATAATGTAATAGCTTAACAGAGCTATATAAAAGCTTAAGAATGGTAAAAAAGTAGTGGGCTTAGTATGGAGCCTTGAGGGATGCCAAACCTTACTAACTGAGAAATGGACTACTATTTTAAGTTATCTGTGACCAGTATGTTAGACCACAAAAATGCAAGGTTTTAAACGAGGTACCTATACCCTCCTGGTGAAATATCCTCCCATCTGTTTGAAGAATTTGTACATAGCTGAACTACATATTATTCTTATAAACTACCAAAAAGTTGTATTTGACTGTTGATTTTTGCTTGGTGCGTGTCCTCACAGGATTCCACCACAGAGCTTCCCACAGAGTCTACCAAAAGTGTTAAGTGTGAAAGGGTTAGTCTGATTTTTACTAAAACAAACGAGGAAAACTGTGTACAGTATTGTATGTGTTGCAAGGCTTCACTCTTGACAGAATACAAATGCATAACAGTTATGAGCCTTTATGGGAGGAAAAAGGGACAAAACTAAATAAATGTTTATGCAAAGTCTATGTCTGTGGTGTATTCATGGTTACTGTCCTCCACATGTGCAACAGGGATGAGGAAGTCCTGAGGCTTGTCAAATAAAGAGGAGTGTTGTTTCTGTAGAGCTACAGGGATACTGTAAAGATGTCTTCGAGGTTTCTGTGTCTGTTTGTCAAATTTTCAAAGCACTGTTGATACAAGAGAACTCAGGCATGAGCTTCTGATGTTTTATGTAATAAAAAACAACAACACATAATGATGGACCCCATCTTATACTTTCTGATGTCATCTGCAAACTGTTTGACCGCCTCCATTCCCTGCTCTGACAACACTTCATTCAAGTCTGCTTGGCAAAAGTGAAATAAACAAGAAGACAAAATGTGCGACTGTTGCTGCCGTCCATTGAATTTTTACCTACAGTAGTCTCATTGCAAAACCTTCTTGGTATTTTGTGACATGTTTAACTTTTTTTTCGGCACCTCATTACTTACTTCATTCAACGGAAATTCATTCTGACCGAGTCTGAGGGTGACAAAACTCTTAGAGGACTGAAAATTTAGCACAATTTATTTAACACAACTGAACACGGGATAAGAAAGTCAAACTTTACTTACGACCTACCTGGTAGTACAAAAAGCTTTTTGGCATGAAAGATGTGAAGACCTGGACCCAGTGGTTGTTGGCTTTGCAACAGGAGTGACATGACAATTGACAGGCCTACAACAATTAAAATAGTAGTGATTTGTTAAATCTTGATCATTACTTTATCATTTCTTTGAAGTAATAATCATCATATTTATCATTTTGCACTGGAGACGCTGTAGTTCCTCTGCCATAGTGTCTCGGTATGATTGCATTTCCATGTAGAAATTATCATAAATGTTCTTCCTTGAGCTGCGAAACTCCACTGCAGTTGGTGATGTACTCATCCGAGCTCTCCCTACAAACAAGCAGCTGCTGGAGGAGAGTGGGTGAGTTGTGTTTTCTCTCTTTGCTGAAGAAATCAGGCAAAGCTAAAAGGATGTTTGGTGTCTAGTGCTATGGCTGGGACCCTATATGTACTGTTGATGAAGTTGGGTGCTGTTCTGAGCATTAGTTGTGGCTATAGAGTGGCGTTTTGGTTGAGGTTTGTGTGTGGTTCCATAGATCGCTGTGTATTGCTATCGTGCGGTCGTTACTAAATTTGCTATAACTAGAGAAGCAAGTGGTCAGCAACATTCATCTCTGGAGGGGGTGTCTAACTCAGTGTTACAGTGTGTTTGACCCTAACTTAATTCCACGCCAGAAAATCCCTTTAATGTGTTCAAGTGACCGCTAAACATAGGCAGGTATTGTAGCTATTAAATAAACTTGGCTGAAAGCTAACATCTTTAAGGTGACAAACTCCATCACAGATATTCATAGAAAGAATCACTTCAGAAACATATTGCTGTTTGCAGTCAAAGAGCACACGTTTGTCATGGGTCTGAGAAAAACTTTACTGGTTTTCAAAGTTAGCAGCACAATGTGGAATAGACAGCTCTGCCTTTTTTCAGTAGAAAAACAACTTCATGACAAATGGAAATGTAGAAAGTTAGAAAACAACTGTTCACACACAGAACAACATTAAATATCACAGAGAAGTCTCTGATGGTGGAGCTTTTACTCTTGAACCATTCAGAAGGCAGATCAGCAGTTTGATGGTGGTTGAAAAGACGTCTACTCCTGAGGGACATCTTCAGCCAACAGATCTTCAGCCAACAGGGGAGTCTGGTGATTGTTCAGGTTGTTCATTTGGTTATGTGGCTGCACATCCTGAAATAGACACAGATGACATTTTCTATACATATATTTCTATATATAGAAATAGTGATCTTAGTTAGGCTGTTAATTTGCCAGGGGAGACTACTGGGCTGTGGTGGACTTACCTCTCTGGGCCGATAGACTCCAAGTTTGAAGCGACAGCAGACAACATCAAAAAGGAAGCCAACAAGCCCATGGAGCATACCTTTAATGATGAAAACACTACACTGAATTACTTATTGACTCTTGATACAACCAGTCGCTGTTGAGTCTATAATCTAGTGTCTGGATGTAACCTTGGCCAGGCATTTTCCCGCCATGTTTCCATCTGCACAAACATTAATGATCCAGACATGCTTTCAGATGGCACCATACTTGCCTGTGGTGGAGAATATCCCTCCAACGATGCCACAAAGTCGCACCAGGAACTGCCACAGTGGCATGTGCTGCTCGCTGACTGTCACCATCAGAGAGCTGGTGTCGTACTTCACAAAGATGCCTGAAACACCATGGCTTCCAGCTGCATGGTTAATCACCCGCTCCTGAAAAATACGCAGTCTTATTATTAGTATCTTGACAGTGTCCTCTTCTTCATCACTTTTGGTTGTTTCTGAGTTTTTTGGAAAGCATTGAGTGATGTTTTTGAGGTTTAAATGACTCTTTTCTGACCCGTTCTGTGACTGAAAACTGGTGCGTTTCTGCTGATATCTTGTATGTATTCAGTTTGGTTGGAACCACTGTGATGAAGTACTGGTACATCTGGTTATCTGCAGCGAAAAGAGCAAAGAGCAACATGAACATTTTTTTCAATATAGCTTTCTAAAACCAGTGTCAAGATGGAAAAACTAGCTCAAGCATTCAGTAAATATCTTAATGAAGCATTCATTCTGCCTCACACTCAGACCGTGAAGGTCCTCTGATCCGAATGTGACTCTATCATATGTTTTATCCTCTCCTCTCTCGAAAAATAACAGTAACTCACTGTTAGAGGTGATTTTCTCTGTGCCGTCTAGAGGATTGATGATGCCGGGTATCTCCTCGCCAAAAGATAAATGGTCTATTCGGTGGGAGAAGTTGTACGCTGGAATGCAAAGATGAGAGGAGGCTGGGATTCAATCAGAGCTGTGTAGGATCACTGAGCAAGCTGAGTGAAACTGTAGAAAATAACTGCACTTTCTGTCTCTATTCTTTTAAATCAAGCCGTTTCTCAGGAAGGAGAGGCAGCATTACTTGGTTTGCACCATGAGATTATAAAAAATAAAACACAGGCAAGAGTAATAGGAAGCAGTTGCATACAATCGTGGCTCACAAAAGCTGCAATGTGGGCATGACCCTGAGGATGGTGAATGGGCCTGGAAAAGAGTGAGAAAAGAACTGGAGTCGTTAAATTGATTAAACTTTTTGAATTCCCAGAAATTTAGCAGCTAAATTTGCACATTTTTACATTCAGTTCCGTACTTTCCAACAGTGATGTGTAGGTTTCCTGCCACCTTATTGACATAGACATGGCCGTGTATCCTGCAAGCAGTGAGTGGCTCCATGGATGCATCCTCCCTATACAAAGAACAGTTGAGAAGATAACATTTCTCCTTTTTTTCCCAATTGTTTTTGCTTTTAAACCAGTTACAGTTTTTCTGCACATGTAACCCACCGTGGAGGCAGGGCAGTGGGACCCCCTTTGAGCAGAGTTTTGTACAGCACTTCTTGAAGAGCGTGTTCCTCTCTCAGTCGGCTCTGTATGAGAATAAGTGTCCTGGGAGAGGGAAAAAAAACAGACTCACTAAGCCAGAAACTGTACACCCTGCATCACCTGTACAAAAACTAGATCAAGAATGTAGTCCTGCAAGTTTCTCTGGTTGATGCTAAACTCTTAAAAAACTGCCTCATAACTTATCTCAGGACAAGGGATCCCAATGAGCAAAATCACTTTAAGTTTTTCTACTTAATTTACAAAGACCTTGTCCTTCGAATTTACATCTCCCTGTTTGATTTCTGTAAAGCTTACCTCTGCCAGAGTCTCTGCTGAGGGGTCAGATCAAAAATAGCCTAAAAAAAGAGGAGATGTTATCACAAAAAAAAAACAATCTAAGGCAGACATTCAACCTGATCTCTGATGAGGAGATTGTTTTTACTCACAGGCTCATACTGGAGTCCATTAGATGTGATCATAGTCTCAGCCAGATCCAGAATATCAGCTCCAACATCTGCAAATGCACATTCAAAAAGTGCATTCTTTTAGTACACTCACTAAACACATATTATGTACTTAGGTTGATCTTTATGAAAGTTGAAGAACGATTGGATACTCACGCTGGCATTTCATGGCAACAGTGATATCAATGTTGATTTTCAATTTACTGGAAATGATGAAAAATAATAGTGAGATTATTGTAGTATCTGGGTTATTTCCTGTCTTTTACTGTATGTTTAAAAATTAGAGGAAAGTTAAGTGTAGTATTTAAGATTTTAGAGCTTACCTGGAAAAATCTTTGTCTACTGCATATTCATACTTCATCCAGGTGTCTCGATAAACAAAGAACTCTAAGAAAGCCAGAAGAGCCATGGCACTAAAAGCTAACAGGGACACTATGGAAGAGACAGGTATGTTACTGTTACTGCTGATGTTGTGACAGTTTTATAATTCATATTATTTTACAGAGAAGCATCTCACCGGTCCCTCCAGATGTGGAGGTCTCCACATAGCTCTCTGGCACTTTGGGAAAGGCGTCCAGCTCCCTCACCAAGCTTAGGGCTTTTTTTCGTGATAGACGCCTCATGCTTCAGATTCAGGTCTACACTTCAACTCCTGAAAAACACAAAACAAAATGCTTTTTCAGGAGACAGGTTTGCGACCTACAACTTCAGTAGTTTTGTTGTGGACACAAATGTTTTGTTAGGGGTTAAACAATGCACCTTTATTAATCCTGCACTTAAAGGGGCATATCACATTCTTCAGATAATTGGATATTATGATCTATCTAAATAATTAGACTTGTGTAATTCTAGATAACATGAATCTATGTTCCCTTAAATTTTTAATTCTTCTTTGATTTGAAATAGTGGATATCCTACGTTAAGTCCCGAAACAGTATTTACATACAGTATATCACAAGGACACGATTCACAAACAAGATCATTTTTATTTAAAGACTTTCAGACACTCAGAATGAAGTCAAACGAACAAGCACTAAAGTCGGGGAAGCTCCACTAACATTACAGATGTTTTATGAGGTTCAGATTTGACTCCCGTGACTGTGACCGTCGTCCTAAATCTCCACAGCTCTCACATTTCCCACAAAAGACACCATTTATTCGTTTTTATCTTACCTTTGTCACCATTTAGTCAGTTGTTGTGTCGTGCTACAGTCTTCCTGGAGGTCATACTCTACAAGTTAGAGCTGTTTTGGAAATGAATTTTCCTCCTCCATGATGTTACAGCCATGACGCTCGCGCACGTAAGGGGCGGGGCGAGCTCGCCTCTTCCTTGTTTGGGGAGAACGTCAGGTCAGTGAGTGCATACGTGCTCGCTCCTATATCTATGAACGCGCAGGAGCGACGTCGCTGTTCAGACAGGAGGTGGCGCTTTAACACTGAACGCTGCTTTTGAGTTTGGACTGGACATAATAGTTTGAGATTGTAGTGGCAGTATCTAAGATTGAAAGAAGGTATAACAGAGGTGAATGTGTCCGAATGTCTTCACTCAAATATTGCCCTTCAATTCACAGTTTAAGGAAGTTTTCTCGTGCACTACTTGAGACTTTTTAAGTTAAAAGTCCAACTAAGAATAATAATATTACAGGCCAAAAAAAAAAAACCATACAAAAATAATAAAATTTATTTAAAACTTACTGTACTGCTTTGTATATATAATGCACTAAATGGGCTCTGTTTTGAAAAAGTTAAATCAAACAAGGTAAATGAAGCCAGACAAGTTTGTTGGATTTTAATAACTGTGCCACTAACCAGTGAACGAAAGAATACGATATTACTTAAGATGTTCAACTCGAGAAAAAATACAGTAACTTTAATGAGATTATACTTGAGTAAAACCACCAGTCTGTAAATCTACTCAAGTAGAAGTAAAAGTATTTATTGTAAATGTATTTAATGAGGTTGAAGTATACTTCAAAGCACCAATGGTGAGCCCTCTTAACCCATGGCAGTGGATGTGAGGTGACAAAGATATGACCCAAAAATTACAAGAGAGCACTTTTTACTAAACTTAGCTGTAATATAACCATAGAATTAAAGCTCCTGATAAGAGGGTTTTTTTTACCTTTATGAAATAACTGAGATTCATACTGATGCATTTTTATGATATACAAGAACATACGAGACCACCTGTGACAAGATCAAAGATTCTTTTCTCTCATATTTTTTCATACTCCATACTAGTGTGAGGGGGTAGGTGTCAGCTGAACAGCTGAAGAAAATGTTTTTGCATTTTCTGCATGAAATATTCACAATAGATTACCCAGTTGACTATCAAAAGTCAGGAGGATTAGATATTTTGTTGGAGATTACCACTTAACATTGTTGAGGACAGATTAGGAAAAGACTGCTTTGTCCACAGGGGGCAACAAAGTTGATACAAGGCAAAGGTTCTTCACAGGAGTTTGAATAAGTCAAGTGATTTTGAATCAACGCCTACTTTGGGATGAAGCTGTTGAATATTTTTGCTCGTCTTTTGTGAGTAGTATATCTATAAATGGTCCATGCACACCCAAGTCATGGCTGGTTGTGCATAGAAACTTAATCCAAGTATAAGGACCTAATTGACTTTTATGCTTAAAAATGAACACGAGATACAAGTTACAAGATATTTTGACTAAAACAGAGACAAATTTACTGAGTTTGATAAGAGTTTTTGCAGTGTAGACATCATGTAGTTGATGGAAAACTTGTGTGCTTTTGGCAACTGATGTAACTACTTGAGTTAAAGTTGAAATAATGATTTGTAAAGCTACTTAATAAAGTACAAGACCTTAAAAAGGTAGCGGTAGTGCATTGGTAATAATTTCAAGGTTGTTTAGACTGACTTGTTCCACAGCAACAAATCACAGGATTCATGCTGTCCAAGTTGTTCAAGGCCATTCATCAGCAGTAAGTCTGACCCGTCTTAAGGAGCCCTGACCTCCACTCAGACGGGATAATTATCCTCCTGGAGGATGTTTACAGACATGTGTTGGATCTGTACACCAGGCGTGAAGCTGCTTATGAGGCTGTCGGGAGAGAAAACCTGATGTGATAATGATCTCAGTGTTGCAGGCTGCTATCATCACCTTGAAGACAAAGGGAGTGTTTACACCTTCCTGCTGGTTGAGAAAAAAATAAGAAAGAAAGAGAGGAGGTTGAGCTCTGCAGATGAACTGGGGCAATCACATGTGTCAGCTCTGGATTTGGTGCTCATGAGTCTCACCATGCAGCTTGCCTGCTTGCCTATGCAGAGCGGCACAGATGGGCGTGTTGGGGGATGGGTGCTGTCAGCTCACAGATCAAGCTGTGGGTCGGTGGTCCCATTGCTATTCACCACATAAGCACGTAGGACATGTCAGACACGCTCCATGGAGACATACCAGGGGTGGAGATTGTGTTTTGGTTTTAATACTGCTGCAGTGACGGTCTCATTGGTTCGAGTTACTTACAGAGGAACTAGATCTTTGCTGAAGAAAGGCGTGAGAACACGAGAATGATTAATTCTGCTGATAAAGCAGCTTTAAGCATTTGACACAGTTATGTTTTCTGTCCTAAAAAATGATGTTTCATGGATTACTTATAAGACGTTGTTACTACAAGGTCATCTAAACCATGTTTCACACATGGTTTGTTTTATACATATATATGTGTGTGTGTATTTCTTATTCTTATTTGTCAATTTACAGAGAAAACGAATTGCAAAAAAGTTCCACTGGATTCATGATCCAGCAGGAAACAATTTCTTTCTTCACAGAGTGGTATTTCAATCTGCAGCCGAAAAACACGTTTTGTGTTATTAATGGTGAAAAAATGAGAATCTTTAAGTTCAGCTTTTTGTGGCCATATTATCATACTTAAGAGTTCTTATTTTTAACCTGTACCAATTGGATATATGGGCTCATTTTTCAAAGATTTGGGGTGTTGACCTACAATTGAAGTAAATCTAAGGGCATTTGAATTGTGAAAGAAAGTTAAAACATGTTAATTTACCTGTAAACCAAAGTTCAATGAAAATGATGCCCCTCCCAGACACTTATTATATCGATGTTGACTTTATCTTGTAGATGTGTAAAATGAGTTTCCTGACAAAAATAAATGGATCCTGCCCGTGAACCTTTGCTGTTGAATAAAAGGTGTTAATCATTTCATCTAACACGTACCCTCCAGCGTTTTCAGGGGTTGGTGAAAACAAAATACAAAGCCACTCAATTCTGACTAGCTCAAAACTCTTTAAAGTCTAAAATTTTATATATAGTGAGGCACTTAAAAAGGTATGATAGGGGATTAAAGATGTCCAATTCACTTAATACAGAATAAAAAAAAAAATGCTTGAAGACAAATTGATGAATGTAGATGAAGATAAAGTGTTAACATGGTACATTAAAAACAGAGTTAATGCTTTCTGTTTGTGAGGTATCATTAATTTGAACAGCTTATATTTTTGTCATAATGTTGCTTAAATTAAAAGCACAGAGTTGGCTATGCTGCATATATTGTCTGATAGGGAATAAAAAGTTGATGCTTCAGCTAACATCTTGATTGGTCTGTTTACTTGTAAACTAATCAACACATATTGTGAACATATATATTGTATTATATGTCTTCATAAAGTATGTGTTTTTGGTTTGTATTTCACTTCTTTAAGGTTATGAACAGATGAAATTGCTAGAGCAGAGTGAATTGAACTTGGTCAAAATCATCATGTAACAGGCTTGGTTTTACTTTATATGTCTTGAACATAATACTCTGTGCTAAGAACAGATCTTACATCAAACACCGGCAAAATGTCAAAAAATATACCATTATGTCATCCCTTTGTCAAAAAAAAGTTGCTGTCTATTGTTGGCTTGCCCACACAACCAGATGGAAATGAATAATCTGGAAACAGACGTCAGAGGTGGGATCGCCCAGTACGGAGGACCTCGTGTACGCTCGGCTGCCTCCTCGGGTATTTCCGGAGTGTGGGTTAAATCCCCGCCCCGCTTCATTCCTGCGTTGTTTGGGGACAGTAGGAAGATGGCGGCGGCCCCGCTATACTGTGTCTGCCGGCAGCCTTACGATGTGAGCCGGTTTATGATCGAATGCGACCTGTGTAAAGACTGGTTTCACGGCAGGTATGTCGGTTTTAATATGCTTTACCGGTGGGGTGCGTTGGAAGCGGTAAACACTGGCTGTTTACCGAAGAAAGGCGACGGTTATTGAAGCGGTGGTGACTGCTAGCTAAGTTAGCTTACTGGCGCTAGCGGTGGGCGACGGGGGTTTTAAACCGTCTATTGACACGAAGAAAGTGGCTGTTCATTCTCTTGAATCGGCTTATATTTAGGCCGTTGTTTTCCCAGTGATAGTGAAACATCTCACACGTGTCCCACTTCTGCAATTGGATCAATAATTAATGTTATTAACTGAAACAGAATGTATAGGAAATAGTTTTATTCCATAATATGTGGATCTATCATGATCACCGATCTGTGTCAGTCTGCCCGTGTCATTTAAAGCTCAAAGTGGGGTCAAAGTTAAACTCAAAGACGGGATGTTTTCCAACTTCTAGCCATTTCAGGGATAAGTTTGAAATCGATTTCTGTGTTTCGACGAATTAAGAGCCAGTTGGACCAGTCATTGTACTCTCACGTACAGATCCGAGCTCGCAATCTGGTTCACCGAGTTAGGTTATTCGAGGTAATGGCAACCGCACTCAACCTTTCACATAATCTTACATAAGCTAGATTTACAGCTCAACTTCTCGCTGTTTTTACACACAGTCTGGCTTTTGTCATTTTGATTGGTTAATATGTGATTTTTATTGCATTCATAATTCAGCTCTTTGAAAATAGCCTCGGTTGTTTTGTGTTGCATTTGTTATTTTTGTGGCTTTCTTTATTGGAAATAAAAAAAATAGCGGAGAACAAGGAGCTTGTTATGGTCGGGGTTTTGATTGACAGCTTACGAAATTTAAATCCCCCTTTCAAGCAGAGGAGGCACATGGCAGAAGCCTCCTAGTGGTGAAAAGGAGGAGTATTTATTTAAAGGTACCAGGCAGGCACATTTTGAGCCCCTCTGTGTCCCTTTTTTGTCTTTTTTTCCAATTCTCCTATCCCTAAATTTCATCATACATGTGAAATAGAACCCCCTAATTAATCATGCTGGGTGTGTGGGAGTGGGCGGTACCTGTCATGACAATCTTAAGGGGAATTTGTTATTGAGTAAAGACGCTCTTTTGTGCATTTAAGCATACATGGCGTTAAATCTCACATGTTAGTCATGCATGCTGTTCTCCACACCGGATTCCTCTACAGGCGTCTCACACGTATGAGTCAAGATTGTTCTGTTGTGTTCTGCTGAGGCACTGGGAAAAGTACAATCTGTACTTTTAATTTGATAAGGTTTAACCCAGATATCAGGCGCTTTCTGAAAGAATAGGGTTGTTGTAACTCTCACCTTGTACTCTGATCTTGATATTATCGCATAGGACTCAAGAATGTGTATCAAGCCTGTTGTGAAATTAAACGTCCTGTGTCAGACCAGCATAACCTGAGTTTGTAACTGTCACTTTTTATCTGTGTGGCTGAAGTCCATAGACACAAGTTACACATGCCCTGATTTCAGCTGTCGAGCCAGCCTGTGTGGGCGAATCTCCACGGCAACTGTTTATGAATACAATAACCTTTTTTTTTTCACTCGTGATAAAATGACGGAAGCCATTGCGTAACCGCCTCGACAGCCTGCCAGAAAACTTGCCGGCCAGAATTTGTGGCATGTCAGAGCCAAAAAAGACCGGCTGTGTGTCATGCGCCAGTAAGAAAAAGGAACAAATGTTGGAGCTTCCCCCATTGATGACTAATAAGCAGATTCACAGAAAAAGAAAGAAGAGCTCCAAAAACAGCCACATTTCCTGCCTCTTTCCCACGAAGCTGGCCAGAAGGAAAGGGATATTCTCTGGCTGTGGATGATGGCACACTGATGGGGTGGAAAAGGAGAGGAGATCGACCTCCTGTTGCCTGTTTTGTCAGTGTTGCTGTTTGTGTTTGTGTGTGGGTACTTTGTCTAGCTGTCTGAGTTCCTGGAGAGGGTTCTGTTTTCTATCACTTGTCTATCTCAGCATCTCAGTACACAATACAGGCTGGGGCTGTAATGGGATGAGGGATTGGGCATGGTAAACAGAGCACTGTGTTGTTTATCTTTGTTGTGTGATCAGTAACTGGAAAAGAACGAGGATTTGTCCTGGTTAAGTGCTCTTAAATGTAAGGCTGGAGCTAAAGATCTCTCCAGATATCAGTTAGTCCTAAAATTAGCTCTCAGTCTGCTTTTATTTATTATATATAAAATGGTGCAAAACGTCCATCTTCTAGAGTCACTTGGTTTTTTGTATATACCCAGTTCAAAGTAGGCTATTTACAGTACTGACACGTGTTATCTGCAATGTGCAACGCATGTATGCATAGTGATGAGTTGATGTTGTTTAGCCATCAGAAGCATAATGGGTTGAGTATGGTGACCAGGTGTAGGGTTGAACCCTGCAGGGTGGAAACGCACAGTGTGTATGTATTTCTGAGTATGTTTACATATTGCGCTGTACATATATGGCTGTGTGTTTGCGTGACATAAGGTGATGTGAAAACATACACCAGAAAACTAATAAGCCATTATGGAGTTCAATGTATAGGTAGATTGTGGGGACAGCAGGATTCGTAATAGTGCTTTTGCAAAATTGTTGTGTAAGCAATTGTACTTTTCAGTCATTGGATATCTTATCCCCAAAAAAGTATTATTATCATTATTATTATTATTATTATTATTATTATTATAATCCACAAATATTCAGTTTGCAGTCATCAAAGAAGTAAACAAAACACCAACAGTCACTTCCAAGATAGGGCTATTGTTAGCAGAGTTTGGAGCTCCGGTTTGTGACAACTGCTGAAATGCATCTGTGTTGTACTACCTGGATGTAAACAAGCACAGGTGATGACACAGTTTGTTGGTATTTTGATCAAAAACATATAAATGGACTTGTACGTAGGTTGTGTCTGTTTAAACTAGCAAGTAAACACTTACCTGGAACAATGTGTAACCAGCACATAAATGAATTTGGATCATTATTGACTAGTTCATTGAATGACTTGTTATTTTTGCACCCCAACACTTGAATGCTAAGACTGTACCATTCCAGCATTAAAAGGTGTAAAAATCTACCAGCCCTAATGTAGTCGTTTTGGTGAAGTTATGAACTTACACCTCCTTCAAACTCAAAGAAATACTCAGTTACAGTCAAGGTAGCGATACTTTGAATTTTATTTAATATAATTTAATTTCCATTTAATCTACCTGAGTCTGTTGATGAAGTGTTTCTCAAGCTGGTAAATACTGGTGATGAAAGCCATAACTAATAACGCACTGTGTCACAAAAATGAGCAGCTACTGCCTTTCATTTAAATTACAAATGTCATCATAGAATCTGTTATTTATCATCATGTCACCAGACCTGCTCTTGTACGGATGTGTCCTGCTTTTCCAAAATGCCAGTTACTCCCAACACCGTAGATTTGGCACACAGTCTGTCCTGGCTCATGTTAGATCCCAAAGTGTACCCTGGTGTAGGTATCAGACACAGGGGCTGCCCCCCATGTCCCGTTTGAGTATGGATGGTGGGGGGTGATGAGAGACTCGCTAGACTCAGAGGGGACAGAGGGAATGATTGATGGGCGCTATGGCTAGCCAAGTTCAACGCACGATCTGTCAATTTCGCACAGAGTGTGAGCACACTGAAGGGAGATGGATAGCCTCCGTGGAGTGTCTCTTTAGTGTTTACATTAAGTGGATGGGTGGATGAAAAGAAGGATTTTGTTTTGTTTTTTTACCTCTGTTGTCTGTGAAGTGGTGTTTCAGATCATCACTTTAGATATCTGATGGGTTAATTGGCTGAAGTAAAGAGCTCCTGTTAAAAGCTGTGTTTACATTCATAAGCCGGCTGTCTCTCAGGGGCGGGGAAACTGCACTACTCCAAGCTTGATCGATGTTGATTAGAGAGGTCGACAGCCTCATATATATTGATTACGTGTCAGGGAGAGTTATTACATTAATGATAAAGCACTTCTGTCATAATATTGAAAACATGCTTTGTAGCTCATCTGGGAGCATGGCACTGTTTCCTTATGTTGTTCATGCTGTTATGGGTCACACTATCACCATTTGTTTTGATTGTGTACCTAAAATGCTGCCACACAAATAAATGAGTGAGTACAAACTAGGTCCCAAACCACAAGATCTTGTCACAGTAGAGTTGAGCACTCTGAAGGGGTCACAGGACAACAGAGGGGTCTGGACAGTGTTGTTTTCGTTGATGATCGTCAACAAAAACAACACTGCAGAATATATGTTTAGCATTTGACTGACGAAATGCTAATGAATTTTGCAACTCTGTTCATCATCCTCCACTAATGTTTTCATCAAGTTTCGTTTCGTCAACATAAACGCACATTCTTCTCGTCACATTTTAGTCATCTAAGACTTATGTTTAGCTCGTCAACGTCACGTCTTCATCATCGAAAACAACACTGGGTCTAGATCCAATTTGTCACCTTGACCAAGCTTGGTTATTAGTGTTTTAATACCACATATATTCACAGTTAATGGGGGTGAAGTTAACAGTCAGTTACTTTGAAGCTTGTTGTGGTATTAGTACCCAGTATCAAGCCATGAGCTAGTTTTTGCATCACAGTCTGAATAGGCAAAGAAAAAAATGTATCCGCCTTATTTCACATTACAATTTGCTCCGTCTTGGTTGAGTTCAGACTCGGTTTTTCTGTCCCCTTTTGTCAAGCAGTCACAAGACTTATGACTTTGTAGGTTTAACGGGGCTTCTGAGGGCCCTAACACGACCATGTTGAGGACATGTGTGAAAGCAGAGCCTTCGGGCTGGGAACCTCAAGGCAAGGCAACCTGCACCGAAAACAATTAAGTTGTTAAAACTCCTCAGGGCTCCCTGACGCCCCATAAACAACAAAGCGATCCTCTTTTGTTGTTTACCAGCTGACTTCAGAGAGATTTCATCAAGCCGCAACCACTTCTGGGATTTTATAGAGCTTTTAAACATAGCTAGTTTCAATGATTTAAGCAGTGAGGCCAAAATGACAGATCTCGATCCATCTGCCAGGGCTCAGTGGCTCTCACAGCTGTCCAAGTGCTGCTCTGTTTGTGTAAGCTTTGACTGAGTGCATTAGGGGAAAAAGGCCGGAGGAGTCAGGTGCTCCTTTGGGGAAGATAAGGATAGCCAGGTGTGTTTAACTGCCCTCATCTCCTCTCTATCTCTATTTTCCACCACCCATCCATTAGGAATCTGCCAATTCCCTAATGTGGGCGTGTCGCCGCCCCATGCGGAGCAGTTATTTAGAGCTTAAAATAATGGCGATGCCCGCCTCCAGCCTTTGTGTTTCTGCAGTGATCATGGAGGACAATGAACCCCTCACAGTGCATGGACTAATGAATAAGCCCTCTCAGTCACACAGGAAGGAGGCCCTTGATGAGAGGAAGTGGAGGGAGAGGGGTTGTTGATGGCAGGGCTTTAGCCAAGTACACACGTCTCCTCTCATTCAGGAAGGGATGTTTAGCTTGCTAATCTGCCGCAGTGGCGTCACAGAATAAACCCTCCAGACTCTTGTCTTGTTTTATCTCTGGTGAGACAAATTGACTTCACTATCCGCCTCTTTGCAACAATGTGCTCTGTTGTTGTCCTGCAACATATGTTGACGTCAGTCTCCAATCTGATCTTCGCTCTGATTGCTTTCCAGGCACACAAGGTTCACTTTGGTTCAAGAGCTGCCTGCACACTCGACAGCTTTGCTTGTGATGATGCAACGCACAAGAAATATTTGGCATCCTTCCCTTTTAGCTGAGTTTCCTCCCTCCTTTTTTGTACATTCTTTGTCTCAGATCCACACAGTCTCGAGAGCTCTCGGTGCCTTTTAAAGTTGTGATCATTACAGGTGACACTTGAGCTGAGTCAGGCCGGTGTAAGTGGCACAGTGCCCTGGTTTCCCACTGTGGCGTTACATAAAGGAAAGTGAGATGAGGACAACAAAGTCACCCCGGCCAGGCATGTGCTGCTCTTGCGTTTTTCTGTGAACCCAACAGCATGAGAGCTGTGACTCATACTCAGCCCCCCAGTGAACCACCACATGTTTAAACCAAGATTCCTGATACATGAGCAATGCCCACTACTACAGCCAAGAACTGTAAAGTGTTATTGTTGGTCATCCGCTCACTCACGTGCAGGGGGGAGGAGTACTTTCTTGCAGCCTTTTTTTAGCCATTTCCTGCCTTGTGCAAAAAGACAGTGAGAGGACACAAATGTACGTGCTTGGCTGAAAGTTGAAAACTGAAGTGCTGTGGTTCCTTAAGGCTCCCACGATGACTGTAACAGCTAATTGTTATTCTATTGAACCCTTCACACAACATTGAGTTTTAATAGACTAATTTAAATGGGCAGCTGTCTACGGACACTTTCATACAGTGAAACAGCAGAGGGACTTAAAACCGTGTGTAGCTCGCCTGCCTGAAGTCATCTGGCTGTGGTACATTAATATCAGCACAAACAGTCTTTGGCAACATTGTAGTGTGGCTCGGCAGATTCAAAAGCAACAAACCCCTTTACATAAATTCTGCTCTGAGAGTGGGAACTTCAACTGGACTTAGTAAAAATCTTGACTGAGATAGATGTCTGCATGATATATGACTAAAAGGGATATTCCGGCATAAAATTAATTTAGGGTCAAACACACTGTAACACCGAGTTAGACACCCCCTCGAGAAAACGCTACAAATAATACTCAGAACAACACCTAACTTCATCAACAGTACATATAGAGTCCCAGTGATAGTACTAGCCACCAAAGATCTATTTAACATTGCCTAATTTCTTTAGCAAAGAGACTAAACACAACTCACTTACTCTCTTCCAGCAGCCGCTTGTTTGTAGCGAGACCTCGGGCCAGTCCATTACGGACTACAGCGGGGTGACACAGCTCAAGGAAGAATATTTACGATCATTTCATTATGGAAATGCAATCAGACTGAGACACTAGAACAGAAGAACTACTGCGTCTGCAGAGCTAAATGATTAATATGGTGATTATTACTTCAACGTCAAGGAAATGATGAAGAAATGATCATAAATGTTCTTCCTTGAGATGCGTCACCCCACAGCAGTCCGTAATGGACTGGCCTAAGGTCGCGCTACAAACAAGCAGCTGCTGGAAGAGAGACGGTGAGTTGTGTTTAGTCTCTTTGCTAAAGAAATTAGGCAAAGCTAAAATGATGTTTGGTGGCTAGTACTATGGCTGGGACCCTATATGTAATGTTGATGAAGTTAGGTGCTGTTCTGAGCATTATTTGTGGCTATAGAGTGGTGTTTTGGTTGAGGTTTGTGTATGGTTAGACCACACAATAGCAATACACAGTTGGTATAACTGGAGAAGCAAGCGATCTGCAACATTCATCTCTCGAGGAGGTGTCTAACTCAGTGTTACGGTGTGTTTGACCCTACATTAATTTTACGCCAGAATATCCCTTTAATTCATCTTGGCAAAGCTGCTGATTATAGGACGAGTTCATTCTTGGTAAACTGAGGATTGTTGATACTGTTGATATCCTGTTAGTATAGCAGGGTTACCAGAGGCCAGCACTCATAGGAGCTCCCCACTTCCTGATGACTTAATGACCCCCCAGCTTTATTTTCTTCACAGTTTCCTGCAATTTCTCGTAGATCAAAGCAGACAGCAGGCTGCCATCAGCTCCATCCCTCCTGCAGGCGTTTATAAATCCATTGTAACCTCCCTCTGTCACTGTGCTGGCTTGCCAGCAGCCACCAGCTCATCTCCAGAGCCCAAAAGGAAGGAGTTGATGGTGGTTTTGTTTCAAGTCATGTGTGCTTGTTGGTTTGTTGTGGATTGCAGCGTGTCGTTCCTCCCAAAAGAAGCAGCTGTGTGATTTTTTTTTTTTTATGGTGCTCAGCGGTGTGTTTCTTAACCAGCCAAATTAAAAGGAAGCACTGCAGGTGGAGTAATTGCACTTGCTTCAGTCACAGGGGAGTTCATGTTAGTACAACGGTTGCCAGCTTCATTTGTAAAACTTTTCTTTTGGTTTTCCCAAAGTAGCTGTAAGTCAGATGTCTGGATGCACCAAACTGTCTGGCTTCAGTCCTCTTCTGCAAGATACTAGTTGTCCAAAGACCAGATGTTAGGGTGTAAACATGGTTGTGTTTATCAGTCAGCTAAGGAAAGAAATGACCAGGGATTGCAGAGCGAGTAAAAGAAGCAAACCTTTAATTGCTATATTGGGGTCAAATGGGGACATCCAACATCAATAGAAATAGTCATCGCTTTCAGATCTCAAAATCCCCTTTTAAATGGTAACTATAATGGTGTAATCAAGCACAGAGACTTCTTTGTGTGAAGGACCTTTCCTTCACTTCAGTAAAGTTTAAAAACGACTCGTGCACATGCTTGAGTCTCACAAACACATGCAGCTTACAGTGGGTTTTTTTTCTCCTGACTCTAAAAAGCCATCAGTGTCCATACACACTGAATGGGAGCTTGGTTGCTGTTCAACCCATGCTGCTATGGAATGGGGCTGTGGTATGCAACAGAGGAATGCATGTGTGTCGCTGCCTGTGGTTTGGCTGCTGCAAGACAGCCGGGGGTTGCTGTAGCACTGCTGCAGATCTGTGGGAAAAAAATACAACAACATAGCTCGGCGTCTGTACAATCAGTTGATGCTCTGCTGTGAGTTTGACTGATGCATTTGTGTAGCAAAGAAAGTGTTAGGATTACTGTCATTAGTCCCCGAGACACTGTGGAGTGTCATGGAGCAAGGGAATCTATTTAGTACAGGGTTTTACATTTAAATATCAACTCTTGGCCCCAGCAGTACAGTCATTGTACTGCACAGCAGTGTCAGGACAACAGTATGTTGTCATATGGAGAAGTTGTCACACCCAAAGTTAATGAAGGATTTAAATCATATGTAATTTTCCAGCTATGGTGGCTTTGTGGCTTTAGTTACTGCTTTGTTTACACATCTTCTTTCTTGGTATTCGGATTTCATCATCACAAATTTGAGGCTCACTGAAAGATTACGACTTTTTCAAAATAAAGTCCAAATAGTGAGTGAGATAAAGTGCTGCACTGTTAGTAGAATTTAGAGGCATGGAAGTGGACAGACTTGGTGGAAATTGAGTAAAATATTCATACAAAATATTGTTGTGTGCAAAGGATTTACACTGATGGAAAATTTTGATAAAACAAAAATTGACAAATGGAGAATCAGACTTATCATCTCTCTCTGTGTGAGTAGGGAAGCATTTCAGTGTAGTATCTGACCACTAGATAACCCTTAATATTCCCATTTCTACAAACTTTACAAACTTTAGATAATCTATTCCAGGGTCATGCTGGGGTTTATATGTTATTAATGATTAAGATTTTAAAATTTTCTTCTATGTTACTGTTCACCTCCCTGCTGAAGTTGTAAGCATGTCTTGAAAGAAGTACCTCAGAGAGAAAGCTCTTTTCTGGACCATTTTCTTTGCTTCTCATTTGTTATTGTTTGTTTATTCCAAACATATAAACACCAATATCACCCAGGTAACACACACAGTGTTTGACATGAGTTTGGCGTTACCTTCAGTATGATCAAACTGTTCCAGTTTACAGGATATAAACTCAATGGTGTCACACAGACTTGGTCAACACTTCGGTAAATACTTAAGATTGTGCGTTGCTGTGTACAAGGATACAGACACAAACTGTCTGCTCTTATTATATTCCATAAAGAAAAATATATACTTTTATGCACTTTTTTTTTAGTTATAAATGTGACTTTTTTTCTGCCTATCAAGAGGATTGACTACCCTCCATCTCTTCAGGATCCAACAAGCTGCTTTCAGATACCAGCAATTTTTCTAAGTACTTGTGACGGCACGCTCGCTCTTAATCAAAATTTATAATCTTTTTTCTGATTTGTCCATAAAATAACCTGCACAGTGAAGTGAAAAGTGACTGAATGTTGTTGGCTGAAGGTTGCGTGTCTGATCTTGAATGATATTAAACATGTTCGAAGAAATGTGAACACGCTTTAACTGTGTTTTTTCTGTCCCTTTCCAGCTGTGTGCAGGTAGAAGAGCATCAGGCTGTGGATATAGATGTGTACCACTGTCCCAACTGTGATGTCGTACAAGGACCCTCCTTGAGTGAGTACTGCTCTTGATCATTAGCGCCATTATTTGTTTTCCCCTGTCTCCTCCTTTATTTACTCCCAAAGTGTATCACATTCATCAAACTCTGTCTTGTGGTTCTGAGCCTCACATTTACATGTCTACCTTCTTTACATTCAGTGTGTCCCCTCCCTCTTCTGTCTCTGTATGTTGAACTGGTCCCTGGGGAGAAGCCCACTCTTTGCAGTGTTGCTCAAGCTTGTTTTTTTAATTCTTCTAAGAGGGGGTTGGGTTAACCCCGGGCAGCCCAGAGGGCAGACATTAACAGGATAATTGAATGGTGTTGTAAGCCCTCCACTTTGATTGGACAAACCCTGCCATCTCCTCCTCTCAGCGCAGAGGTTGAGTAGTGAATTAATGTCCTTAAAAAAAGTGGTGCTGATGTGCATAATTCCCCACTTTATCGGAGCTTCAAGAGGGACATGATACATTTGAAATGAAACAGCCACCTTAACCTCAGATGTCTCTGTTTGTCGCAGTGAAAAAGCGCAACAACTGGCACAGGCATGACTACACAGAGCCAGACGACGGATCCAAACCGGTGCAGGCCGGCACCCCGGTGTTTGTCAAGGAGCTACAAAACAGAACCTTCGCCAGGTAGATATCAGTGCGGTCACAAATACATGAAGGCCTATGAACGTCAATCACAGCACAAAGAGTCGGGCTGTATTCGTGTTTTAAAGCACACGAGGAGTTCCCCATAAAGCTGAGGTTAACAGAGGTTCAGCTGTGGTTGTTGATTTATCGTTGAGCATCTACATTAACCATCAGATAGCTTTACAGGGTTATTAAACGGATATACTGTACATGATCAGACAGTTTTATGACCTGATTATTATCCCACAAAAACTGTGTTGAGCTTGTATTCCCAACAGGATGGGCCTTACAGGAACTACCTCTGACAGTGTTATTTGAATAATATCTAAGGGACAGATGTTATGTGCTCTGACCCTTATAGGATAGGTATGACATTCTCAGGAAATATTGTTGATGCATGTAAATCATGAACTAACTCTAAAGTAAATACAGCCCAACAAACAACAGAGCTGAAGTAAAGTTGGTTGTCAGTAAACAAACTATTGCTTAAGTTGCCGTTGTAAAGTCAACATTCATCTAGGGCCTGTTCCCATTATAGATACAGGATTTTCATCTATAAATAACTGTTCAGTTAAAATGTAGGCAAAGTTCCAGATTGTGAGGTGAATATGTTTGGAGTAATTCCAGGGTGAGACCTCAGGCTGCTCTGATGGGCTTATTCAAAAAGCCACATGAGATTCGCTTAAATTATGACATCACTGATTTGTGAATCTCCTACTAAACCGACACTTCTTGCTCTGGTCTTTGTTGCTGAAATTGTTCTCAAGTCAGTTTTGGGCAAAGGTTAGACCATATCCTGTAATCTGTTGTTTTAAGTGGAGAAACACCAGTTAACTCCATGATAATTACTTTCTGCTATGGCAACAGTGCAGGAGGCTTCTAGAGAGCCTCAAATGTGCGATTAAAAAACTATACTAAAGGCATAAAATTGCTGTCCAAATGTGTGATTATAATCGCATTATAACATCGCAGGAGCAGAAGAAGCACAGCTTTTCACACCCAAATATACAGACAGCACTCATTGCATATATGGCTTAAAATGAGCATTAATATCTTGCCTTGAAATTACAGTATTTAAGAAACAAGTAATACAGTGCAGCGTGTCTGTCAGAGGCTGAAATACATGTTTTCAAAGACACCAATGTGAGATAAGTAAATAATTTCTGAGCTGTAAATCATGTTAAGCTACCATAAAGCTATCAGACGGATAATATGAAGCCTGAAAATGAGCATTACACCTCCTCTTTTCAGAGCGCTTTTCACTGACGCTTGCCGCTGCCAGGTTATGAAAGCTGCCTGCGGCACTTCTGCCTCCAACAAGTCTGATTCAAATTGCTCTCGATTGCCTCATTTGGCTCTCATTCACTGGAATTTTACATAGACAACATAAAAACAACTGATGTAAACTGTGTCTTACCATTAGCAGCAGCTATAGACCCTAAAAATAGTACCCTAAAAAAAGACAAATGTTCATTTTCTCTCCATACAGACTTCCTCTGTTGTAATTGACAAAGTTAAGATAAGACATCACACCCTTTCTTGATTTTGCTTTGTCAGTAATGGAGAAGTGACATTGACAAGTGTGGTAGTTTTCCAAAAGCAGAACTTCTTTCACTTCTCATGGTTTTGAATAGGAAACAATGCAAATGGAAACAGACCCTTAAGACACACATCTTCGTAGCTACATAAACTCACATATATCTTGCTTTTTTAGCCATGATCACAACAACAGCATCACTTATGAAACTAGAAAGACAGCAAAATATGTGGCTACATGTTTTATTCCCACCTTTTTAAGGTACATGTTCAACCTGACCCTATGCCAAAAGCTGTTTTTACCTTCACTGGTTCATTAAACTGTCTCAGTTCAAGTTTTATTTGGCAACAATGTCATGTTTATGGTTATAAATTTGAAATATGTCATGCTCTGATTTCAGTGGTGAGGAGATCATGTTACAGATGAAGGGTGAGCTAGTGACACAGAGGTACCTGGAGAGACATGGCTTCAACTACCCCATAATGGTGACAGAGATGGAAGGGCTGGGACTCAAACTGCCAAGTCCGACTTTCTCTGTCAAAGATGTGGAGCAGTATGTGGGTAAGTTCACCTCTTTAACACCCAGGCTTCATTTTGCAGTAAAACAGTCACCATCAGCTGTATCAAATTCACAACAGCACATTAGACGTCCTCCTGTGGGAAGGATGTGGGCTCTGACTGGTAATATACAGCAGTCTTTGCTCTGTTTTTAAGGCTGATGAAACCACCCAACACCAGCCTGCTAAGTGGCCATCACTGAGCCGGCACCATCTGCGTGTGTCAATATGAACAGGTTTCTGGGTTCATGGGGTATTAACCCACTTATCAGGCATCAGACGAGGGCCGAATGACTTTTAAATGAGTGACGTCTTAGCTTTCACTGCTCTGTATATAACCACTCTGCTCTCTTGTTGAAACAGCCTGCCACTTCCCAGCTCCTGTTACAAGCCCATTACCAAGCCCACCGGTGTCTTTATCATTAGGGTCAGATTACAGACTCCCCCCTTGCTCACTTTATCTCCCTCTCCCACGCCTTATTGAGCATTAAGCCAAGGCACAGGTGTTGTGACCGGGGACTGAGTGTCGCCTTACGTTTTTTACAGTTAGGAGACAATGGGACAACAGGGGTGAACGCCGATGTCTCTGTCTCACTGGGGTCAAAGCCAGCTTAGTGTGTGGTCAGTCATTTGGCCCAGTTAGAGATCAACAACTAATGGCCAAAGGAAGTCTTATTATTATGAAGGTTCCTTTTATTTTACTGGTTGCAACTGAACAAATTTAAATCTTTTAAAATGTTGATGTAGTATAACTGTGGCAGGTGAGATTTTGATATATTTCGTGTCAGTGTTTGTCTGTTTCTTTTGAAAATATTCATCATTAGCAGGTTATTTAAATACACCCCAATAACACAACTCGATATTACATTATCACAACAGATGGACATCGCTGGTTAATGATGTAGTATTTCACAACAATCCAAAAGAAGTATAGATTAAAGTCCCAAGACACCAGCTGCATATAACTTTCAAAACAGTTGCTCATTTTTAACACGGGACTTTGTGCTTCAATCAAACTAGAAGGGATGCATTATGGACTTTGTCTCTGGTCAGTGATTGTGGATGGGGATCTTGCAGAAATGTGTAAAAATTAATCAGCCTTATACTTGCCCAGGTATTGTCTACATGTTTAAAAACTGTAATGAATCCACTTGTACATGATTCTGTTACTTGTTCAGCCCCAATTCCAAAAAAGCTGGGACACCATGTAAAATGTCAAAACAAATGTGATGCTGTTCAAATCATTCGAAGCCTGTTTTGTGAGGAACATTGTGCAAACACGACAAATCCAATCGAATTATACGAGGAACAGCATGTGCTCGACTTGAATTTGATGCCAGCGACAGATTTAAAAAGAGGGAGATGTTTTCTCCTGTGTTGCATCACCTCTTCCTCCTGTTTTGAGGTGTGTGTTGATCACAAGCCGGTAGGTGTCTGTTTGGAGTAGATGCTGCCGCCATGATTTCAAAAGAGGATGTCGAATTAAAATCACAGGAAGGTTTTCTACTAAATGAGCTGGCGGTAATCATTATTGTACAAACATGGTACACTGTTAACTGGCATTTATGGATGAACTGGTTTACTGTGTATACACTGTGTTCACAGGCAGTGAATTTTGGAAGTCATATTGAGTCCATGCTGTGATTTCCACTACAGAGTCTGAGAATCATGATCATTCTGTGTTGTTTTTCTCCTTATCTTTGCTTTTGAAGGACTCAGCCTCTTCGGGATGTTTTTCTAGCCATTCATCATTTTCCTTCAGATGTGTTTTCTTTTGAGCACGACACAACTGAACTTTATAGATAACAGAGGAAATAATCAACATTTCCTTGAACTAAATGCAGTAAGCAGAAAGTGTCTGGTTCTAGTTTGTTGACTGAGGCGCCCTGAAAGGAGGTAAACCTTCAGCGACCTCCCTCTCACTTTAGTTTTCATATATATCATTTTGATAATATCACAGAGTTCAGGTGTCCTCATGCTGGTTCAGTCTTGTGGATCTTGTGTGTTTATAGAAGCCCTTTTCTCTTCCTGTCGGCTGTGAAGCTGCTGTTTGAGCGCGGCGTTGGGTGCTTTCCAGGCAGCTTTGTTTCTGGCTGTGTGACTGACTGCCACTGCTCCAGCTGTTCTCTGTCATCAGACGCTGGCCAGCTGGGCCTTCAGAGGTGTTTGTGCGTGTGTGTGTGTGTCTGTGCGTGTGTGTAAGAGGGAGAACACGCAAAGGGGCAATAAAAAAGGTGAGTGGGAGGGGTGTGGGGAAATACAACAACCAGCTGTCTCGCTCCACACGCTGCACCCCGCTCCTACTTCCGGCCCCATGTGTCACCAGAGTGTGATTTGCAGCGTCCCAACTGTTAGCTGCACACAGCGAGTCTCTCTGCTCAGACTTCCTTTTTTTTCTCCTCCTTTTGAAGCATCTGTTTTCTGTCTCATATGCACCACATGAAGCCGGTGCACTCTCTCTTTCTCACATCTGAACACCGAGTTCTCTCTCTACACCCGAGTCGAGGTCTCCCACGCACACACAGGCGCTGAACGCACCGGCCCTCTCACCTCCACCCACTCCCCCTCCTCAGGGGCTGGTGGTCTGGACAGATTGTCTCTCTCGCCCCCTCCTCGCTCTGCCATATTGGTGCCAGTTCCCCTCAGGGTTTGATCTCTAAAAGCACATGGAGATGCCAGCAGGCCGCTGACCTCAGTGAACCCCACACCCACTCAGCGGCCAATTAAAAAGTTGAAATATTTCGATTCAGGACTCTGCTACCCTTCCATCTGATATCAAAGGACCTAAATGTTGCTTTTCTCTCGTCTTATCTTTCCCAGGAGGGGACAAAATCATCGATGTGATAGATGTGGCCCGGCAGGCGGACAGCAAATTGAAGCTCAGCGAGTTTATCAAGTATTTCACCAAACAGCATCGACCGAAAGTCCTCAACCTCATCAGCCTGGAGTTCTCAGACACGAAGTAAGCTCCCACCCGTTTGTTTGCTCCTCAGGAATCTGTGCTGCAGGAAGTTTAGACTGCAAAGAAACAGGCCGATCGAGTCTGTTATATCACGTCTCAACACGCTAAACAGGCTGTGTGGCTAATATGACATGTTAGCAGACAGATGTTAATTATGTTTGGGTGCCGCAGGTTTCTTGATGGAAAAACTGTCACTGATTTTGTCTTCTTAAGCTTTCTACCTTGTTCTGAATTGAACTGCTTGGTTCAACCATGCAACGTTTGATCTAAACCACTGCTCTCTCGTTCAGGATGTCAAAGCTGGTGGAGGTTCCTGACGTGGCTCAGAAGATGTCCTGGGTGGAGAACTATTGGCCCGATGACTCCTTCTTCCCCAAACCTTTTGTTCAGAAATACTGCCTCATGGGAGTCAAGGACAGCTACACGGATTTCCACATAGACTTTGGAGGCACCTCCGTCTGGTACCATGTTCTCTGGGTAAGAACGGAGACACAGATTCATGATCATGATGTGGGACAATGCTGCCTGTCATCTGTCAGGCTTATCCATTTTCTAGGAGTTCAAATAAGCAGAAGTATCAAAGGTAGGCAGTCAAAGCTGATTGGCTTGCTCTCACTTAAAGGGATATTCCATCGTAAAATTAATTTAGGGTCAAAGACACTGTAACACCAAGTTAGACACCTCCTCGAGAGATGAATGTTGCCTACCGCTTGCTTCTCTAGTTATACCAACTTTAGTAATGACCGCACGATAGCAATACACAGCGGTCTGAGGTGCCATAAACAAACCTCAACCAAAACGCCACTCTATAACCACAAATAATGATCAGAACACTACCTAACTTCATCAACAGTACATGTAGGGTCCGAGCCATAGCACTAGCCACCAAACATCTTTTTAACTTTGCCTGATTTCTTTAGTGAAGAGACCAAACACAACTCACCCACTCTCTTCCAGCAGCCGCTTGTTTGTAGCGAGACCTCGGACCAGTCCATTACAGACTACAGCGGGGTGACGCAGCTCAAGGAAGAACATTTATGATCATTTCTTTATCATTTCCTTGAAGTAAGAATCACCATATTAATCATTTTGCACTGCAGACACTGTAGTTCCTCTGCCTTTGCATCTCGGTCTGATTGTATTTCCGTGAAGAAATGATCAAAATGTTCTTCCTTGAGCTGCGTCACCCCGCTGTAGTCCGTAATGGACTAGTCCGAGGTCTCTCTACAAACAAGCGGCTGCTGGAAGAGTGTAGGTGAGTTGTGTTTAGTCTCTTTTCTGAAGAAATTAGACAAAGTTAAAAAGATGTTTGGTGGCTAGGACCCTGTATGTACTGTTGATGAAGTTAAGTGTTGTTCTGAGCATCATTTGTGGCTATAAAGTGGCGTTTTGGTTGAGGTTTGTTATGGCTCCTCAGACTGCTGTGTATTGACATCCTGCGGTCGTTACTAAAGTTGGTATAACTTGAGAAGCAAGCAGTCAGCAACATTCATCTCCCGAGTGGGTGTCTAATTTGGTGTTATGGTGTGTTTGACCATAAATTAATTTTACACCGGAGTATCCCTTTAAAATAAGATGAAGTATCAAAGGCAGGCAGTCAAAGCTGATTGGCTTGCTCTCACTTAAAGGTTACCCTCTTTCCTCAATCACCTCTTTTTATCGAGCAGCTCTGGAGGCAGCACTGTTGTGGTCATACTGACTTTGACTTCAGTGTGGTTGTCGGTGTCGTCAACAGCAGCACCATCACTGCTGTGTCACTAAAGTGTTGTGACACTTTTGTCAAACTCCTCCTCATGTGCCTTTTGCAGGGTGAGAAGGTCTTCTACTTGATCAAGCCCACTCCCGCCAACCTTGCACTATATGAGGCATGGAGCTCTTCGCCCAATCAGAGTGAAGTGTTCTTTGGGGATAAAGTGGACAAGTGCTACAAGTGTATCGTGCCCCAAGGAACCACCCTGCTCATCCCTACAGGTCTGTGATATAGCTTTAACTTTTTTTAAGTGTTAATCAACAAGTATGTGTGTGTTATCTTGAACTAGAAGACTTAACTGATTAGATTTTTTAGTAGCTTCAAAGTAACCCAACAGATACTCCCAGATATGCAAGAACACAGTGCTCAGTCAGTGTTCAGTCCTGCAGGCCCAGTGACACACACCACCTCCCTCTCACCCCCATTCAGCCTCTGCTCCTACCTCATTACGCCTCTGTGTGTTACACATCACAGAGGAGCTGTAAGCGGGGGCACTAATATCCTGCCTTGAACTGCCAATGTGTAAGAACCAGAAGATCACTTATAGCTTCTGTCGCACAAGCCCAAACTTTCTGCACTGACTAGCATCGAAACTTTGATTCCTGAAGAAGCATGAATACTCAGTCGTCAGTCATTGTTGTTATTGTCATACTCACAGGATAAGTGCATTGCTGGTTTACTCAGTGACAGAAGAGTTGGCATTTTTAAAAGTCTACACTCTGGATCCTGGTGTCAGAAGTTGCATCTTAAGCCAATTAAAACCCTGTTTTGATGATCGGCCAAAACTCAGCAATATTTGCAGTTTCTCTGTTGAGTTTGTTTCAGTGTTAACAACCTCTATGTCTCAGGTCATCACCTTTCTAGTTTCACTCTCCTCCTGTGCACATTAAAATCACTCCTGAGGATTCAAAGTTAAACGATGTCAGCAGCAGCACCATGAAAAGCCTCCCTCCAGAGAGTTTCTGACCCAAGATGAAAACGTAGCAAAAGTCATTTGTTTCATCTAAATATATATATTAGTGCGGTTGCCGCCTTTAAATCCCGGATAATCACCTCCTTTGTGGTTTCTAAACACAATCCACATCCCTGATAGAGCTACCTGTCACGCTAATGTTATACCATTCGAGTTGTCTCACTCCTCTACATCAAACCAGCTGAGCTGTTGTTTGGATTTGTTTGTCTTTTCACATGCTTTCAAAAGTTAAAATGATCAGGCGTCCCGCGGCTGCTGCCAGGAAAATACAGGCCTGTTCAAGGTCCTCTGTCATTGCCAAAGGAAAATAACAGAGAGGGAGTTTCCTCCTGAGCAGCGACCCAAACATTTCTTAATGATCATAATTAGAACGGAAAAGTGAAGAGGAGCAGCACGATTATATAACATGAAGAAAGTAACAAGGTTGCTGCACGTGACTCTGCAAACTCGCATTCCTCCTGCAGCTTGCAGTGCAGTCAGAACTTGTAGTGCTGCTGTTGACTATGACATGCCTTCTCTTAGAGTTGAAGCTAATGTCTTCAGTCATACAATTACTCCTTCATCAGACGCTCAATAGACTATTTAAGCTCCTTTTGCACCCGCACAGTCAAAGCTCAGTTCTGCCGGTCGACTGCTGGCCGTCCTCAATCAGCCTCATACTGCTGCTTCCTCAGCGGGCTGGAGCAGCATTGTGAAGGAGAGCTTTTTGGCAGAAAGGGTGTGGAGAGGTGGGAATTAAGTGGGGGTCAGAGAGCTCAGGGGGTCAGTCAAGCAGTGCATTATCAGGCCTGTCTGTCAGACTTAGACCAACCCCCCCAGACTCTGCTTTCTCTCACTTTTTTTTGTTTGAGTGAAGAGCAATGTTTACTCGAGCGGGAACGCAGCATTCAAACAGACAAGCTCATCTTTTTTGAAGCCTGATTCTTGGATGATTTAAAAGTTTTCTTTCAGGAACTTTTGTGGATGTTTTTGGTTCATTCTCAGACATATAAAAGTTGTAAATATCTGCACATATTCCTTCACATAACATGAGAAGACAGACAATTGAATTGACCTTCAGGGATTAATAAAGTTCTTCTAATTCTTCTTATTCTTACTCTTAAAGAAGTGCTTATTTAGGTGGTCAGTTGGCTGCCCTCTCTGAGCATGTTCTTGTTTAAGTCTTGTGTTAACATCTGTGCTCTGGCGCCCCCTCCAGGCTGGATCCATGCTGTTCTCACCTCTCAGGATTGCATGGCGTTTGGAGGGAATTTCCTTCACAACCTCAATATTGGCATGCAGCTCAGGTATGAAACACCTCCGATTCAACAGAAGTGGTTTTATTAAGACTTAATTCACGCCAGACTCAATCGCTTTTTCATCTGCTGTCTCTCAGGTGTTATGAAATGGAGCGTCGTCTGAAAACTCCAGACCTCTTTAAGTTTCCGTACTTCGAGGCCATCTGTTGGTATGTGGCCAAGAACCTCCTGGAAACGCTAAAAGGTAACAGTCAATATTAATATGTACAAACCACATGAGTGAGAATCTCTGATATTTTGAAGTTTAATGCATCAGACCTGCCAGAAAAGAAAGCAAACAGGCTTTAAATGCTTTCGTTGACGGGGATGTCAGTTCAAGTGTTTGCAACGTAAAGCCTTTGTGAGAGTTTCTCTACTGGTTATGCAACAGAGTAAAGTAAATACTGATGAATCCAAACATCACAGGCTTGAAGGGAAGGGAAGGGAGGCCTCCCTATAAAAAAAAAATCAGGCTTTAGCTTTGAAAAGCATGAAAGAAGTTCCAACACTCTAATTTTTGTTCTTGTGATGTAAATGTAGTTTGAACAAAGCTTGAACAATGCGTAGCTTCTCTTTGTGGTTTGGTTGAGATTCATGTTGTATTCTTGTCAAATGTAGGCGAGCCTTTTATACCCAGTTTTCGGGGTCTTAGACACACACGCTCATGCCTACAGAATAAAAAGTCTCCCATGTTTAAGTGCACGCTGTAATCAAAACAAGCCTTCCAAGAGCCGTCACAGAGCCAACACGCTTCCTGTATGAAGTGACCAAGGGTACAGTTGGCAGTGGAAATAACAGAAAGATCAAGGTTTACCATCTGAGCAGTGAACACTGGGTGGAAACACACCATTAGATGCTCATTAATAATGCTTGTTCCCACTGTGTCAGGTAGATGTCCGTCACAGAGCAGGAGTAATCTTTTATTTTCACATCTTCCTTTCAAAGATTCACAGAAAACAATATTTTACACTGTCAAAAGAGAAATTGAGATTTTTAATTTAAAAAAAATCCTTGCACATGGACTGGATGAGCTCAGCGATGAGAAGTTTTGTAACATGGAAATGAATCAAAATTTCTTCAAATGAGCTTTTCTTGTGTTATTAAAATGCTTATTACGGGCTTTGTGACAGATTTAGTTAAATCCCTGTTAATTTTCTGATTAAAAATTCACCAAAATTCAGTGTCAGAAAATTAACAGATTTTTCAGACTTTTTCTCCGGCTTTATTCTTGTTTAACTTTTCTCTCTTTTTCTCTCTGTCTCAGAGCTACGAGAGGACAACTGTCCGCCTCCAGCCTACCTAGTAGAAGGAGTCAAGGCTTTAATCAGTGCACTGAGGACCTGGTTGAAAAGAGAGGTGAGTGTCAGCCACACTGTTCTCACGGTCATCTCTGCGACTCTGTGCCTGGAATACCTGCAGGTCACTGCTGTTATTTTCTGCTTATCTGCTGGACGTGAGTCAGAGGACAGCAACAGACTTCTCTCTGTTCATTCCTGCTGTCTGAATGTTCTTCATCGCTGCTCTGCAGGTGACCGAGCCCACCAGTGAGGTACCAGACCATATCAGGCCCAACCATCTCATTAAAGAGCTGACCAAGGAAATCCGCTACCTAGAGGTAAAGACAGGCGGAGCGGGGAGGATAAAGGAAAGAATTCAAAGGCCTCAATTTAATTTGGGTGTTTTTGCCCTGGGAACCACAAAGGTTTGAGTGGATAGATAATAGGAAACGGAAAGCTGCAGCTGTTTGATCAAATGTTTCTTCTTATTTACATCCTTGTTCAGTTGGCCGTAAAAGGTATACTATAACGATCTTTATATCTGTGTTGTATCTTGAAAAGTCACACAAACAAATAACACAAAATCACAAAAATGTCTTCAGCATAAACCTGTCAGACCGTGCTGGACACTGAGCGACATGCTGTATGTTGTAATGTTTTCATCCACAGGAGGAACCAGCCAATGGTAGCAAGCCAGTGAAATCTCAGGGAAGTGGGTGTGCTGTAGCGTCTGGATCAAATGGCTGCCCAGCTACTCGCTCTGCGCTGGAGAGGCTTTGCCAGGCCAGACGGGCGAGGAGGGCCGCCAGGAGGCTGAGGGAGCAGCAGCGACAGGCTCCCAAGCTGCCCTCCAACCTGGATATCTTGGAGCAACATACCAGGGAGGTGCTGAAGAGGCTGGAGGTGGGACCGCTGGAGGAGGTGGGCATCCCAGAGCTAACTGCAAAGATAACCGTGTCAAGTTTTTTCCCTGTGCTTTTTTTACTAACTGACTGCTTTCATGACCCAGGATGCAGCATTCTGTGCCAAGGTTCACGGGAAGCTCAACAAGGTGTCAACGGCGTCAGCTGCTGCTGCAGAGTCTTTGGACAACAACCACCTGCGGCTAATGCTGGTCAACGGCAGAATCATCCGGTGAGAGTTCAGTGTTTGGTCAGCGAAGCAACAAGTGTGCTGAAAATTAATTTTGCACCAAGTCAGTCTGTCCAACACAGTTTTTTAGTTGGTCGCATAACAATACATTCAAATATTCCTAAACTGCAAAATAACAAGTAGAGTGTTGCAATTCTATTCAAAAGTAAAATCCCTTTAGGGTTAAAAAGATTATAGCAAAAAGAGGAAATCAAAGCTGAAATTGCACATAAACTTGAAGTCTGAAAGTTACAACAATAGTGACCTTAAAGTGATGAAAACTTGAAATCGGCTCAAAAACAGGAGATGCATCACTGAAGTTAGGAACTTTTTTGAGGTTACACTTTTTTGTCTCTTATTCCTGTGCTTCAATTTCTCTCGTGCAGTGATTTAAGGCAGCCTGCCAGCAGCCCGGTGAAGACGGAGGGTGAAAAGTCATCTGACAGCCAAGGCCCACCAAAGAGTTGTGTGGATGTGAAGTCTGAGAGGACACAAGGGCAGCACAGCATGGTGGAAAAACCTGCACTCCTCAGTGAGTCACCAGCTCCTGTTATAAGTTTTGTAGTTTTTTTGTTTTTGTTTTTTAAAACATTTTAGAACCTTAAACCAAGTGTTGTAACTGATAAAATGCGAATCTTGTGCTTTTTCCTGTGTTCATCAGGGGGTCTGGAGAGGGTGAAGACTGAACTCAGGGAAGAAGTCTCAGGACACTCAAGTGTGTCGGATGTAGAGTCAGACAGCGACTCTCACGCAGAGGTACATCTGAGAATTGACCTTTTCCCCTTTCCTTTCTCAATCCCAAGAGATTTGGTGACCGCTCTGGTGTTTATTTTTAATACTTAAACTCATTTGAAAGGTCCTTTTTTTTAATTCTCTAATGACAGCTAAGTCTTTATATGAGGCAGAAAGGTTGGTGTCATCTACAAAATGCACTGAAACTGTAGCGTTTCATGCTGAAGTAATATCATTTATGTAGGTAAAAAACACTAATGTCCCCAAATGGACCCCTGGGGTACACCATTTCATTTTAATTACTTTCTCACAACTTTTAATAATAAATACATATTGAGTTCTGGTGTTGCAGCACAATAGAAAGCTTAGAGAAGTGCAGGTAAATATGCTTAATGTGTTATGCAGAGTCACAGAATTATAAATATCATAGGAACTTTTCAGGGACTCTTCATGCTGTGATCACTGCTGCACTTTCTCACTGTGAAACCACTTTGTCATCGTAGCCTAACGCGTCATCGTCGTCATCATCATCATCATCGTCGTCGTCCTCGGCGTCGTCATCGTCCTCGTCATCTTCTTCTGGGGAGGATTCAGAGAGTTCCCAGGAGGAGGAGGAGGAGGAGGAGAGGAGGAGATCATCTCAGCAGAAAGGCTCAGGGCACACCATAGAGCTGGACCAGTCTGGCCAGAAACTCAGGCACAAACACAAACCACTCAAACGGTGAGAAGGACAAAGACACTGAGAACAGTCTCATAAAGAGACTCAGAGCACAGACACGGTTTGTTTTCTCTGTTTGTTGTAAATTAATCTGTCCCGTGTGCTTCTTCAGAGAACGTCCTACCTCACCCAGTACAGAAGAGGCCATTCAGGGGATGCTGTCTATGGCCGGTCTGCTGTGCCCCTCCAAGCCGGAGAAGGTAGCTTCGACCCAGGAACTGTGGTGGTCCGGTTCCGCCCAGTGCTCGCCACAGGAACAGGAGGAGGCGACGCAGCATCAGCTCCGCCTGCAGGGGGACAAGGGCCCGATGGACAGCCAGGGAAACAGCAGCGAGGCCTGGGACAATCAGGGGCTCCCCAGCCCAGAGACAGACTACCAGTACTGTGACCCCTCAATGTCTCCACCTCTGCACCCTTCCAAGAGGCACGCCCCCAACCCCCCACCCATCAGCAATCAGGCCACCAAAGGTTTGGAAATCAGATTTTGTTCTGAATTGGTGAAAAGGAACATGTGAGGACAAGAATAGACATCTCTATGACAAAAGACACGTAAAACTGACTTGACTCCGAACGTAACTTTTCTGTCTAACATAAAAGTGGAGATTTCTACCAAGACTGAAGAAGACAAAGTGATTAGCACTGAGTTGCACCAGCTATGAGAAAGTTCAAACGTTGACTAGTTTCTAATTTAAGATGGTTAACACTCCACTGATGTTCCTCTACAGCAGAGATGATTTAATCTGCACAATAAGGCTCTGTCCATCTGTTAGCTTGTCTTGAGGCTGACCACCTAACTTATGACACATTTTGTACAGAGCTGGTGCAACAGTGCATGACTCAGTGCTGCACTGAACTGAGTTATTTTTGCATCATCACTGCGCTTTGGAGAATATTGACGTTAAAAATCATCTTCAGTTCTCAAAATTTCTCTGTCTAGAGTGAAGATTTCTTATATTTTTAAGCCTCTTTTGCTTTTTCCCTCCAGTTTTCATCCCTCCTTTATTCCACTGTAAACATTTTTCCTATGAGTGAGAGTCGATGAAATTCTTAAAATAACAAACTTGATTAATGAACTCTGTGAAACTGTCACTTAAAGGGGTCTAAAAGGAGTTTTAGAACTTGAAATAGAAAGTTTGTGGATGAAACTTCAGATAAGTTAAGATAAGATGTTCCTTTAATAGTTCCACGGGGTAAATTCCAAATTTACAGCTCCATAGTATAGATACAAAAAGAGAAAAGTTAAAAGATAAAGAAACTTTGAGTTAAAAAAGATATGTACATGAGTCTCATTTACATCCGTACAGAATTTAGATAATAAGATTGACTTTCTATCTATTGACTGATCTGCTGGGTCACATTTTAAACCCCAAACCCTCTGGTCTAAGCTTGTTTAATGTGAATATGAGCTAAATTCTCTCTCTCATATGTGAGCACTATAAAACGATGAGTGTTTTCCTCGGTATCATGGGTAAATATTGAGTTTGTGTTCAGTCTGAGGCTGTTGAAATAGGACTTAAGAAACAAGTTGTTGAGGGAATAATCATTAGTTGCGGCTCTCGTCAGCAGTCTGTAAACACTCGGTCTCTTGTTTCTTCTTTTCTCCTTCTGAATCGATGCCCCTGACATGTGTTCTCTTTGTTTTTCAGGCAAGCGGCCCAAAAAAGGAATGGCCACAGCCAAGCAGAGACTGGGAAAGATCCTCAAACTCAACAGACACAGTCGCGTCTTTGTCTAACACTCCAAATCTTCACAACCTGCAAAAAAAAAAAAAAGGAAGCTGGGATGTATTCTTGAAGAAAAAGAAAAGAAACATTTGTGTATTTGTTTCCAGACAAGTTTGTACTGTAGAAAAGGAGAAAAAAAAAAAAAGACGCTGCCCGGAGCCGACGGGAACTGATCATGAAAATAAAACACACGCTCACTGTGCATGCTTAGGAGACAGGGTAACGGATTTGAAATAAGCGAGTGCACGACTTCACCATAAGCACACTAAGAACAAAAAAAAAAAGGAGCTTTGGGATGCGGAGAAGAAGCGAACAGGAAGTTTCCTGCTCCAGCGGGCATTTTTTTTAAACGGACAAGGAGATTAAGGAGATCTACCAAACAAACGAGAAAAAAAAAAGAATGAATGCTACTGATGCCAAGATCACCTGCATCACATTCACAAACATTTCCTCCTTCCCACAATCCTTCACTTGCTTCACAGCTTTTTGCTAAAACCTGAAGAGGGTGGAGGAGCTGTATCTGTCTAGCAGGGTGTTTTTATTTTCCCCCCCTCACACCCTGAAGGGGGGCGGTGGGCGGAAAACGAGGTGCTAAGGAGAACTTTTTCAAAATGGTGCTTATTGTTTGTACTTTTCTTCACTCATGCTCGTCCCCTGAATCCCTGAATCCCCCCTTTGACCTTTTATCTCAATCACACCAGCAATAATGACTTTGAGGAGAGGACTGTGAGAGGCAGCACTTTGGTGCATCTTTACCCTTCCTCTGGTTCGTCTGTTTTTTGTGGATGTCGGCGCGTTACAGACTTGCATTATTTAGTGCGAATTACGCTCAAAAATCTGCACTATGTTTGAGAATTTGGAGTTTGTTCTGAGCTGTTCTTGTTGCCCAAAGTGCTCCCTCTCTGTTTGAAATAGGAATTACGAGTCATGTCATGACTCCAGCTTAATTTATTTCTCGTTTTATCTGTGATGTTGTTTTTTAATGTGTTATTTTTATGGATTCTGAATGATGTATTTATTAATTGAAAGAGATGATGATTTTATTATATTTTGACCCTACAGCCTCAGCTATTCTGAGGGTTTTTTTTCCTTTTTATAGGGTGTTTTTTCTTTTCTTTTCTTTTTTTAACCTTTAATGGATACTTTTTGTAAATGTGGATGTTTTAGAGTTAATGTGATCTTCATCTGTTAAGTAGCAATTTATCTACAAATCTTTTATTACCTTCTATGCTGTCACAACTCTCTCTCCCAGTTGAATAGATCCTGTGTTGATTCCTGTCTGTTCTGGTTTTCTCTTCTCCCTGTAGCCGGAGATGTTGGGCGATGTGCGAATAGAAACTAGGTTAGGTTGTCAACTTCTACATCTACACCTGAGCTTTTCTTTCCTAACTAGTGCCACTTATCATTTAGCAAAAAAAACAAACAAAACAAAACGCAAGTATTCTGAGCCACTGTGGTTGATCCAAAGTATTCGATGCATTCAGAAGTGAACGTTTGAGGAACTAATACGGGATGAGTGACTTTTTTTAAGACAAAAAAATTCCAGTGCTGATGTGAGATGTGTGTTTTGCTCAGAGTGCGCAGTTCTTCACTCTCAGGGAATGATGCCATGGACATAACCTTTGACTAACCAGCAGCCACGTCATGGACGCAGACGCTCAAGACTTTCACCCTCACCCTTTCCTTTGAGGACGCTGAGGTTTGTTTTGTTTCTTTGTTCGATTTCACCATTGTGGTGTTCAAGTCGGGATTTACTTGTGGTTATTTTCACCTTTTTTGGCGAACTCTACACCTTCTGTTTTTAAATTTGGTATCGCTTCCTAACACACTTTGAGCTCAGTATTACACACACACAAAAACGTCGACTCACCCAGGCTAACTGCTGCCACGTAGCTTTAAGAACAGCGTGAAAGCTTTGCTCAGGTTGACTTGTCGTGCACATGACCTGTGAGTGACTGTGATCAATCATCCAGCCCTGACGAGGCGTTTTACATCCTCCAAGCTAAAAAAAAAAACATAAAAGGACCAGACTGATTTTCTTTCTTCCTACACTACACTTTCACCTTTTGAACTCTTTGCATGTGAAATCACTGAACTCTCAGAGCTGGCCCGCAGGCAGGGTTTGTTTGAAGCTGTACGTTTTCATCCTGCAGGATATGTCCCTCTTTGCTTTTATATGCAGCTCTTTAAGCATTTGTGTTTTGTGCGTTGGTTCTTGCAATGTTTTCTTTCCAGATTTAAATGGCTTAGGATTTAAAGTATACAAACACTGGCTAACTGTGACACTGTTGATGCGTTGCATTTTGTTTCAGCATTTCAAAAATTGCGTGTAAATAAAACTAATGAAATGACAAACTGGAGATTATTTCAAGTCCAATCTAACAGTGTCTGATTACGGCCAATTACACCACACTGTCTTCACACAAAAAAGGCCAAACGTTAGATATTTGTAGATAATTTTATTCGTTTATGTACAACAATGACTTTCACAAGATCCTGAAGGCTTCCACAAAGACTTGCCCAGCAGCTTGGATCCCTCTTGGTGATCTACAACCATCGTAAAGAGAGAAATGTTCACTGTTATAGACTCTTGCACATAGTTTATTGGCACAGAGTGAGCATCTTAAGCAACAAAGAACACACTTCCTCATATGTAGGTTTATACAAATCTCCAAAAACTGGAGAAATCACCTCATTCTTCATCATCTGGTGGGATTCCCAACTCCTCATCTGTCCACTGAGATGCGTCAGGCCAAGGAAAGTGACCCTACAGAAAAGCAAGACGATATACATTCATATTTTATACGTTTATTCACAATTCCCACACACATTACTTATCATAACCAAAAAATAGCCAAATGATAACTTGGGATGCCTTAAGTTGAACCTATCTACAGCTTCCTGACTACTCAAAAGTTGTGCAACTGATCATAGTTGGAGCATGATCTGTTCAGACCAGCCCTGATTGTCCAGACTGTGTGTGATCCATTGGCTATTAATCAATGTAAACATAAACTGCAAAGTGTTGGTTCTCCACTCTTCTGAGCTGCTGGTTAGGGACAGCATCACTTCACTCACAAATATGGTTTTGTAACGGGATGAAAACTGTACTTGGTAAAATCACTACCTAACTGGATCACAACACGATATGCGAGTTCACCAGTTCACACCGCTGGATCTCTGACACGCAAGCACAGAAAATGGCGAGAGCTTTATTCAAATTATTCCTGATTTGAGTCATCTTGTATTTTGAGGAGTCATTTTTTAATACTCGACTGTCTAGGCCCTTCTCAAAAGCCTAATTTAGGGTCAAATACATCGTAACACTGAGTTAGACACCCCCTCAAGAGATGAATGTTGCAGACCGCTTGCTTCTCTAGTTATACCAACTTAATTAACGACTGCAGGTTAGCAATACACAGCAGTCTGAGGAGCCATAGACAAACCTCAACCAAAAAGCCACTTTACAGCAATCTACAATTTCTTAGGCAGAGACTAAACACAACTCAACTTCTCTCTTCAAGCAGCCGCTTGTAACCTTTAAGCGAGAGCAAGTCAATCAGCTTTGACCGCCTGCCTTTGATACTTCATGTTATTTTAAAGGGATATTCCGATGTAAAATTAATTGAGGGTGATGAATGTCGCCGACTGCTTGTTTCTCTAATTGAACCAACTTTAGTAACTTCACGGAAATGCAATCAGACCGAGACACTAAGGCAGAAGAACTACCACGTCTGCAGTGCAAAATGATTAATATGATTATTACTTCAAGGAAATGATAAAGTAATGATCATAAATGTTCTTCCTTGAGCTGCGTCACCCCGCAGCAGTTGATAATGGACTGGCCTGAGGTCTTGCTACAAACAAGCGGCTGCTGGAAGAGAGTAGGTGAGTTGTGTTCAGTCTCTTTAATAAAGAAATTAGGCACAGTTAAAAAGATGTTTGGTGGCTTGTACTATGGCTAGGATCCTATATACAGTATACTGTTGATGAAGTTAGGTGCTGTTCTGAGCATTATTTGTGGCTACAGAATGGCGTTTTGGTTGAGGTTTGTGTGTGTGGCTCCTCAGAGGGGCAGAAATAGTCTAGACTACATTGTTATAGTACAGACTGTTGAATTTGTTATTTTTTCTGTTCCTTGAATTTGTCAGGGTTTTCCCTCTGTGATCCCCCTTCATCCATACCTCCAGACTTTACTTAGATGTAACTCTTTCGCGCAGACTTACCAGGACGGCATCAGGCTCGTGCCAACAGTGCCACAGAATCCAGAACCACATGGCCCCGCTGAGAATCTCGGACTGAATAACCTGATTCTTCGTTAACTGAGGATACCCTCTGTACTGAGGTTCAATATGAGGTCCACCGCCTCCACTGCGTCAAACAAGAACATAAAACAATAATAATAATGATGAACATTTGTAGCTGCAGCTGTTAAATGTCTGTATTTATTCACTTGTTTAGAAAAATCGTAGCTTCAGCTGTTTATCATCACAGCTAACAAGCTAGCGGGTCTGACCACACTTACTTTCTGCTCAGTATTCTGTGAGGACCTTGTCTCATGAGCCGAGTCCCTGTTCGCAGGACCCCCAGAGCCCTTCCAAACGAAGACATTGTTGCTGTTCGCTCCGAAAACAGCGGTCTTCCTCTGGGATTGTTTATGAAAATTCGATAGTCAGCCTCCTCTGTTCGCCGAGGAGTCACCTTCCCCTCTTGTCAATAAGCGACTTCCCAACAACGGCAACTGTGATTGGACAGAGAGCAACGACTTTCTTGTTCTACTGCGTAAATTGTTTGGATGTAATATACAGTTTTAACCATAGCGCCCCCTTGTGTTCAACCACGGGAATGCCTCCCCTCCATTAGTTCGACCAGTGGTTCTCAACTGGTGGGTCCCGATTTTCTGTACACGCAACTTCAGTAGTTGTCGTAGTATTGAGTAGTTTACTCAATAAAACAAGTGGATTTATGTTAAAGATTAGTGTCTTTAAAGTTTTTTTATGCACATTTGCTTGGTTTGAATTCTATAAAAGTGGGTTGCGACTTGAGGACCATGGGAAAATGTGGGTCCCAGAGTGAGAGCAGTTGAGAACCACTGAGTTAGACTATACGCCGTATGATTAAAATCTTTCATCCATTGCTTCTACTTCGGCTTTTACAGGGGAGGTCTTGATCCAAAACCATTATACCTTTATCTGTCAAAGTAAAAGAGGCAATGACCACACCGAACACTGTCCTCATCCAGACCCCAAGGCTTCCCACACTTTTCTTGTCTGGACAAAATCATTGAAAACAATCCACAGCCCACAGTTTTAGTATTTTAGTGACATTACCCTGTCTTGTTTCATTATAAGAACAAAAAATAAGGGTTTCAAACGGCTGACATTTTATTTCACAAAGTTTTGAATAATCTTTCACTGGATGGTTAACCCTGATATTTTAATGTTGGTCTGATCCTGGTCAAATGAGGTCTACAGAACTGAACACGTAAAGTCTCGCTTTTTGCATTGTAACTGTATTTTTAAGAGATATTGTCTCTTGAGAATAATTCAAGAAAGAACTTAAAAGGCTGGGTATTGTTCTCAGTCAAAATTGTCTGGATTGAACAATTTGAGTGACAGTGCCTTAGTTTTTAGCTCTCACAAATATTATAAAGATTTAATAAATCTAAATATAAATTTGAAAGAGAACGTAGCTTTTCTGGATCCATCTAGTCCAGATCTTGCCATTTTGACTTACGATAAAGATGTGGTCCAATGTAGCCTACATAGAAAAGAAAACGTAAGATAATCTTTATCTTACACTTTCAAAAACAGATTAGAGGCTTCAGAAAGCTGTATCTTAAAGAGACCGTCACCTCTCCATAATATTTCGGGACAGATCTGAGAAGCCTTTGTTTTTGGATCAAGACTCTTATATCCTTCCATTAAGTTTTGAATGAGATGCTAACTTCTGTGTTGTGTACAATGTTCTGTGGACCTATATGCTACCTTACATGTTTCTCAAGCTTTATTTTGTAATTGCAATTGCATAAAAAGCTCTCTAAGTGTTGAATGACATATAGAACTACAAAAAAAACCTCATGTGGGAAAAAAACCTCAAATTTGATCAGTTTTGAATGAAGGAGGATTTTGATATGGCAGGGGCCCTGGAGGATATGAGAACAACAAACATGAGTGAAATGATGGGGCCCAAAAACTTCCAGGGCAGCACCCCTGAATATACATAGGTTTATGACTTGGACAGTAATGAGAAAGGATTGATAAAGAGTATGAAACGTTTACATTCAAGCAGAAAAATCATTTCATGAACATTCATCCGATATTATCCACTAGATGGGGTCAGAAGCTTAACAAAACTCGGAGGGGGTGAACTTGTCCGTGTGATCCATTGTTTCATGTTTACTTTGTACATGTCCGCCCTTCACAAGCTGAAGAGTGAGATATACTGAGACTGTGGAGAATGATTTGCTGGTGTTACTCTTACTTCCAAAGATCTATGAAACATGTAAAGTACATGGCGAGGTTTCTTTGAGAGATTCGGGGCTCATTTTCACAACAAATGTGTGGTTTGTCTGGCGGTGATGGAGCTTTAAATACCACAGGTGGATGAAACACCAGCACACTTGTTCCTGTCAGGTTTGCAGCTGTGGTTAGGACTTGAACAGGAACGATAAGAAAACAGGAAATAACAACAGTGGCGGGAGCGCGCACGGCGCCGCCGCCCATGAATGCTCGGGTCGTGCACGAGGAGAAAAGAATCCCTGACGCCATCTTGTTTCCAACTCACAACAACATCCTGCAACATTTGACAAAAGGAAGTAGTTTTCACGACGAAGTTAAAAAAGTTGAATGTGTACTGATAAAGCGAACAAATATCGCATCCACATCTGGATATTTTAACACAGTACAGCTTCCTCAGGGTACTTAACTCCTACTTGTTACCGTTGTTACCTAATGGCGCCTGCTCGCTGTAGCTCTCCGGTTGCGCCCCTCTCCCCTCACAGCTCAGAGCCCGCCCACTAAATACCAGCTGCATGATGTCATCACAAACCAGACTAAATCTATCAAAATTTCGGTTTTCTTTTCCACAAGTATCAACCTTAACCCCATTTAACTACCAAAATTGTAACAATAAGTAAACTGAATAGTCCTCAGGTCAGAAAACCACGGGCACACCGGTCATGGGTAAATGTTCCGAAAAATCGACAGTGACGGTTTGAACGACGCATCCTCGACAGCCGTTCAAGAACATTTCCTCTCAAAAGGCTGAGGTTGACTCGATCGGCCTCACAGTCGCCTCCGTCCTCTCCCAAGTTTATCTCAAAGAACCTGGTTAGCCGTACACCAGCATTTGCAGAGGTCCTGTGCAAGTGCGCATGCGCGGGAGGATGCGGTTCAGGGTGGGGGAGGGTCAATAGATGGAAACGATGAGAACATCCTCTATGATGTCAAAGGGATTTCTACAGGCTGATTTCTGGGGGGAGATGACAGTAACTGATGCAACAACAATAAAACTGTCGGAAGCCTTTGTTGATTTATAGTTTGTTAGAGGTAAAGCATATCTGTTGACGTCCAATTATGTGGTTGAAAGTTTATCAAATTGTTGTAAAGTACTTAGTAAGGGAGGAGGGAAATAACATCTTTACATTTACTGTATTAATTTGTAATAACGTTTTATGCCTGTGAGTTTTTTCAGAGAAAAAGTCATGGGTATATCTGCCAACTTCATTTTTCAAATTTGTGCCCTGCCTTGAGACTGCATCATATTTTACAGTCACATTAAGCGCATTGAGGCCTCACTTTGTATTATTGTATTTGTTTAATAATGTACCTTTTTAAACATTTTCTTTCCTTTGTGATTTTTCTTATTGGTCAGTGTTTCAAAAGGATACTCCTCTCCAAACATCAGTTCAGTGGGCTATACAAAACACTTGTGTAAGGGGTTACATAACAGCTCAGTTGCCTCCTACTGTTGTGGAGTGGATTTAGGTGCTCCTTATCTGTCACACCAGTGATAATATTAAGGGTCCAAAATGGTCACATTTAGCCTATACCCCCTTGGAATCATCAGAATAATTGTTATACCATTCAGTAAAAAATATGGGCTGGATTACGAAAGGAAAGTATCAAGTAAACAAACAGAAAACAAATAAACCCAATAAGTGAATTCACATAATTGAGAAAAGATCGTTTGATTTTTCATAAGTAGGCAAGATTCACATTCATATGAGACTGAGTCATACTCCCAAGAATGCCGATAGTAAAAAGAGGCATCAAGAACACAGGAAAAATTATTCTGGCTGCTCAATTCACTATTGTAACACACATTTTTTATTAGATTTACTCTAACACACTGTCATCAATGTTCATAATGTGAGAATTGTACACATACATGCCTATACATATATGTTTTGTCATTTATTATGTTTTCAATTAATCAATAATGCACAATTGTTTTCCACAGTCTACAAGATGTTGTAGGCTTGTATTTTTGAGTGTTTACAGCTGAGCAAAGACAGCAAAGTTTACCGGAATATACAAAAACTCGTAGTTTTTGCACACACCTGCCAATTTTAAAGCTGATTCTGCAGGTAGATAATAAAGATAACGCTTAAGTAGCAAACACCCCCACAGTCCTGCGTTAGGTGCTGGAGAATTATTGTTCCTGTACAAAATAAAAAAAAACCCAACACATTAAAAAATTGTCCTTTTACTCATTAAACATACAATATTTTCTCCCGACAACTATCAATGTAAATGTGTAATGGGCACAGTCTAAGGAGTACAGCGCATGTTAAATCCAGATCGCCGAGGACAGAAATAGCAGAGACTAGAGGAATCACAGTCGTGAACGCGCATGGAGCGCGCTCGCCGTGCCCCTGTGAAAGCGGGAGTGAAGCCCCGCAGTGTGTGGAGGCGGAGCTCGGGTTTAGTGATGGGAAGGGAGGGGGGCTCGTGGGGGAGGCGGAGTCTCGGCAGTCCTGGCAGGGCCGCCATTTTTGCAAAGGGAAAAGAGACTGGTTTGAGGGGATCTAATTTCTAAAAGTCGCCGTTGACCAGGGCAGTTTTAACGGTTACGAATTAATTTGTGGTCTAATTTGGGCCATCGCGTGACAGAATAGGACAAATATTTTCTACGAGAGAGTACTCCTTAGAGGACACGATTAAATACAAACATTTTAAAGCTTTGCTAGGGATCCGCAGTGTGTGGACAGAAGTATTGTTTTGGTTGTGGAAGCAGTGTGGAAAGCGACGGGGGTCTTGCCCAGGTCCCCGTATTCGCTATTCAGATCCTCCAGAGTGGACATAAAACGGTAGGTAACTTTCATTAATAAGTAGTTATTGGGTGAGCACAAATCCGACCTGGAAGGCTATTGTTGGCTTTAGTTAGCTGGCTAGGCACATCATGCTGATGCTGGCTAATGTAGTTGTGGTATCAGCTGAGGTTAGCTTGCTAGCTCATCAACACCGTTAGTTCAAGATAAATATATGTGAATCCACTTTTGTTTTAAATTGCCTCAATCGAGACTTAAAACAGCAAACTAGATGACGTAATTTCCAATGTAAGTGTCAGGTTGGCAAGCGTAACGCCAAGAGACCGATGCTAGCTTAGCGCATGCTAATAGCTCAAATTAGCTGGTCTGATCGAACAGTACTCTGACTTTTCGTTCATCATTTGGCAAAGAAGTGGACCTCACACAAAGTTATTGTTTACATATCATCTATATAGCGCGAGTAAGAGAATCCCGAGCTCAAATGGGGGAATGGGCAATGCAAAAACGCTGCAATTCGATTAATGTCTGCCCTACAGTCGGACAACAGCGAAGATTGCCAGCATTGAACTTGTCCTTAAAAACAAGCCATAATAATATCCCTCGCATGTGGACTCTATTAAAGCAGAGCCACTGGGGGACTTACTCGATGTTTAGTTTGACACAGTGACACTGCGGGCCATACTGCGCACAGTCTTAGTATAAATAATGTGACCTCTTAATATAACGCTCCCCGCTCTATTTCAAAGCTTTTAATTTACTTTACATAAGCTAAGGTCCTTGCAACTGCAGCTGTCAGCAAACGTGCCTGTTCCCCTTTCTACATCTTCTGTTTGCAGAATCTAATCAGCCAGCAGGAAAACAGTAGATCTAGCGTTAGTAACAAACTTGATTTTGTCATGATGGCTCTCATCCCGATCACACACAGCACGGGACGTTATTTCCGTTCAACAAAATATTGTTCAAAGCCAGATATGAGAAAGATTTTACAGGCATGTAAACACACATGTATGGTGTGTTGAAGGGCCATCTGTTAATTTGTTTCTAATGTTTAGTTAAATTGCGCAGTGATCCCAAAAGCGTCCGACCTTTTGAGAAATGATGTTCAGATAAGCTGTGATTAAGAACAGATCCAGTGTCAAAGAAGGAACTGGCCATTGCCGTTTTCCTGTAATCGGACATAAAAGTACACTTCACGATCACTTAATTTAGATGCAGGGTGTAATAGGTTCAAATGCAGCAACCGTGGGGGAGGGGATGTTCCATTTCCAGTCATACAGTTTGTAACTCCATCTCGATCCTCGACCATACTGAACAGAGCCGACGCAATTGGTTGTTACGTCTGACCTGTGAAATATCGCTTTGTGGATGTACTATGGCTTTGATATGCCTCAAGTAGTCACCCCTCGGCGCTAAAAGAGCCATCCTTTTCTGTTACGAATCGAGTAAAAATCCCCTTCTATCTAGAGTTAGCTCGCCCTGCTAGCTCAAAGACACTACGCATTATGCTGTTGTGTTAGCAGCCGTTGGTAACCGTTAGCTTTGTGCGTTATTTTCAACGGTCATTTTTGTAACACTCGTCCTATCGGCTACTCGATGTAACGCTGTTTCAACTGTAACGTCGTTCGGCCTCGCTTAACGGTCGAAAATTCGAATGTAAGGCGGCTCGAGCGTCGAATTTTTCACTGCTCCGAATGCCTTTACATTTAGCCGACTACATTTCCAGAGGCCATAATTGCTAGCCGGTTAGCTTACTGGCTTTGCTTTCGACGAATTCACAAAAAATCCTCATGGTAACAACACAGAGACTGTACCGACAGCGTGATACTTAAGGAAGGGTGTATGAAAGAGGCGATTGAATGCTTTCTTGGGGATTTTCCTCCCATGGCGAGGCTCCCCTGGCCACACGGTTGTCTCGCTGTCCTGAGAAAAGCGCTTTGAAAATGGCGACAGCACCAGGGTGTTGTGGTAACATAATAGCAACGTTGTACCCTCCACACCCCTATCGGCAGGACTGACTGCAGCGCCGACATACTCACTGGGAAGCAACTGCACAACACATGATTTTTATTTTAGAAAATGTTTGGAACAACTAAACGTCAACGAATTAAGAACATTTCTCGCTTATGACTTAGCTTTTGGGCTTGTCATAGTGTCAGTCACAGGTATCGTTTGGCGTTTTCCCAAAACGAGCAGCGTAGTATCCTGTAACATGCGTCACGGCTTATGCTATTGCTTGTGTTTCGTGTTGTAATGTTTGATGTGGGGACATGGGATTAAATATGACGATAATTAGACGTGACTTCTAACAATTACTACAAAGACAAAGATAGTTTGCTGTAATTGATTGCACTCCGCTACAAAGAGGTACAAAACCACAACTCCTTGTCATAACACATCAATCTTTTATTCAGTTTTGCTCATCTGCTTCACATCACCTCCCTGAAACCACCATGTTTGCCCCATGTTTTTTGTAAAATTGATGCACTCTGCATTAAAATGAACATGCAGACCTGACAATGGTTTAGATAGTAGGGGTCATGTTTAATATTTTGCACTATTTTATTGGTTAAAGGATGCTGCAATACTTTTAGGGAGAATGTGTTAGATTGCTTTCTCTAGATAAGATCCACAAAACAACTCAGTTTATATCTATCTTAAGTTTTATGACAAACTGCTTGGGATGACCAGCATATGTTTTCATCTGATTATTGTATTACCCTGGGTAATACCATATATTACAGCCTGAAGCTGCAAAGCCCAATTTCAAGTACTTAAAAGACACATACTGTGTTTCACCTTAGCCCTCTTTCATAGCCACAATACAATCCTGCATCGCTGCACATTTGTTTAACTGTGGGCTTTATTTTACTGACTGTATTGAAGTAACAATAAAGCTAAACTTTTTATCATTGTACCACCCATTATTAAATATCCAGTGTGATTAAACTGGGGACACAAATCAGAGCTAGTTTTCAGGATAGTATTTTAAAGCATTTCACAAATTCCTGTGATGGTGTGGCACAGCTGTCCCATTCTCTTTCCCACCCTGTGGGATAAACTTTGGCATAGTCAGCTCATACGCTGGAGTGTCTTTGAACATTGCCAAGTAGCATTTTTCCCCTCTTACCTCCTGATGATTTGTCAGTTTGGGAGGGAAAATGAAATTTCAAAGCTGCAAACTGAATGCTTGACACAGGCACTGCAACCATACCAGTAAAAAAAGGCCAGTTTCACCTCTTATCCCTGTTAATTTTAAAAACGTCTCTCTGGTCTGTATAGCTTTTGTCCATCGAGGGCCAGTGTAATTAAGCTCAGCTGCCTTTGGTTACAGCAGTGAGAAGCAAAGGGGCTTTCTCTTTTGTGGAGGGTCTGTATCTACCAGAGTAGCACGAGAGTGCTTAATCACCTTCTGCTTCATAATGCACAAAATCCCCAGCCATCTTGTTCTTCTTTGTAAAGGAGCAGCGGTCTCTGTTCTGGCTAATACTCCCTTTTTTCCCCTCTGTCTCCAAGAGAACGAAGCTGATAGCATTAAATACCTGACTGGCTGTGGCGTGCGCCTGGTTGCCTTGTGCAGGAAAGTGTGTGTTTGCTCGCTGTGTTGACAGAGATGGTGACGGAAGGTGAACTACCACTCCCCCTCTGCCATAGGGACAGAGTACTCACTCTGGCAGGGAGTCATAACAGTCTCGGATGACACACCTTTCTTCTCACCCTAGACAAACTCTAACACGCACATATGATCAAATAGCTCCTTGCTGGACACAAAACTTTTGTATTTTTCAGCATGTGTCAGCATAGACAGGCTATAAGAGAAGTCAAGCAGATGCACAGGATGTCTTTAAGTGTATTGACATATTGACAAGGCAGATAAAGGCCACAGCCTTTCTCTCTGACTCCTGTATGTGAAAGAGCACTCCTTGTTATTGTACTTTCCCTTGTCTCCAGACATTACACCTGCATCCCTGAAACAGTGGCACCTCTGTGTAGGTGAGGCACACACTTCACCATGTGGGGTTAAACTGCTGCCAGGTCTCCAGTGATCTCACTTGTGTGGTGCCCAGACCCACAGAGACCCACAGATAAAGCCATCCAACTCAGAGGCCCAACATGGTCACATGGTATCCCAGCTGGGAGCAGAAGCCAGGGCTCAGGTGACCTGTTTTTGTGCTGCTAGCTGGGCCGTAACAGATCCCTCTTTAAACTAGCAAGCTGCCTCCCTGACAGGTGGCTTTATGGCTGCTGCAGCCCTGCTACACCTCCCCAACCTCCTTCCTGTTTCTGTGCCTGCGTTACAATAGCCTTCATGGGTAGTAGCACTAGGCAGGATGGGGCTGAAAAAAGAGGGGATGTGCCATCAATGTTGGTGATGTAACGGCACTGCAGACCGGGCGTGAAATTGATCCTTGAACGCCGCTGTAATGGGACCTGAGTGGCTCTTACTGTTATTTTGCCCTGTGGATGCCATGTAGCCTCACGCCATGCACACGAATAGCTCACATTTTTAGATAACTGCACATTGCATAGTCCAAATGCTGTAATTAGCTGCCAGCTGCATGTGTGCCTGCTTGTCAATCTCTGATGCACAAACGAAGGTGCAGCTTGACGTGTATTGGCTCATTTAGAGACACTCTAGCCTTTTTAATTTAATGCTGAAAAGTAACCCTTAACAACACAGAGCTTGGCTGTGATACTTTCGAAGCAGGAGCAAGAGGGAGACGGAGAGATTATTGCCCGGGGGTTCTCCTGAACAGACATTACTCAGACTACAGGAGGGCTGCCCCAGCTTTGCTGCCAGATCTCTGTTCCTACTGACTTTAACTCACTCGCTCCCTAGCCGACTGAACTGAACCCAGAGGAAATAGCTTTCATTTTTGGCCCTGGGAGGCTGTATTAGGACTATCTGATTCATGTCTGATCACATCAAACTGTTCTCAACAGCATAGTTTCCATGCAGATATCCTGTGTTGCTTTGTTGTAGTTTGAGATGTGAACAAACATGTAAAGCAGCCCTTGACCTTATGGAATTTCTCACCTTGTTTTTCTTTGTCTTGTTAAAGCTTAGTCCAAGAGAGATTTTAATTCTGTAGTTTCCTTCCTCATACCTGAATCTGCTACGACAAAGCTGACACAGAGCACTGATCCCACACTAGATTTACACTGGAAAAGAACTGCTGTGTAGTACTTATCCTGCATTGATGTGTTATGAATGCTATCATTGTTGTATTAGCTCGCTCAGGTTAAACCGTTTACAACATATGAACAAAAACACAGAGAAGCAAGTACTAAAGAACCTGTCTTAATAACCCAGATAGACAGCTTAAAAATAACAAAACTTTCAAAAAGACTATCTCCTCTGTCTAGTGAGGATGGTAACAACACTGGATAATGTGATCATTTTTACTCACTGTATTTCCTGTACAACCTACTGACTGTGATTTTTAAAGACTTCTGAGGATATGATCTCTAGTGAGAGTGTTTTTTTTTTTCAAACACTGAGTGAAAAACTTGCTACCAAAAGAAGTAAAATATAGTAACATGCCTATAGGATAATGTCAAAATAATATCTCAGTATTTTGGGGTTATTTGCTGAAAATCATAATTGACAGTATTTTGCATCCCTTAAAAAATGTGTGGAATAAAATTCTTGCATCGAAGCTTGTTCTTGTCAATGGTGTATTAAAATATCAGCAACTTGAGCCAGAGAAACAGATCCCATGAAGTCACTAGAGCTACTTTTCCATGTGATGTACAGATTGGAGTCTTTTCAGCAACATGCACCTTTTTGAAGCCAAATCACCTCCACACAAGTGAAGATGATCCACGTCTACATGTATTACCTAAAGACATTGGTTCTACGGGGTGGCATTGTTAGCTGACGAGGCCTAGTTTAGTTTGTTGAGAACTTTACATGTGTTCTCAGTATACACGCACATTCATCTGGCTGAACGTGTTTTAACTTCAATTTGTTTTTTTGCAAAATAAGTGATATTTTTGTTTCTCGTGTCATTAAAATAACAGTGAAGATATTATGTTAGACCAGTGGTTCTCAAGTCCAGTCCTGGAGGCCCACTGTTTTGGATGTTTCCCTGCTCCAACACACCTGATTCAAATAATCAGCTCGTTATGAAGCCATTACAGAGCTTGATAACGAGCTGATCATTTGAATCAGGTGTGTTGGAGCAGGGAAACATCCAAAACATGCAGGACAGTGGGCCTCGAGGACTGGACTTGAGAACCCCTGTGTTAGACAATATACTGCACATTGCACACCCCTGCTAGGTAGCAGCAGCTCTGTTTCTAGCCCCACTTAAAATGCATGTTTCCCTTTCATTTGGCACCAAAATTGTTATTGTTCTCTGTTATTATGACTTGATGAATTACCTGGAACTCACCTCTTATTTTGCTGATGTTTCCTTTGTGTTTTTGCACTGGTTTCACTGAAACAGGTGTAATATTTCCCAGACTGTTTTTTTACTGTAACCACTGAGCTTGTGAAAATGCACCCCCAGATTATAAAGCCCACTTTTTCGCCCCATTTGGAGACCTGTCCGATGTCAGTATCAGACAATCTTCACCAAGCGCTGTGGTGTACTAGTTGCTAATGTTTGGTAAGAAGACTGCCTCTTCAACAACTGACTCCTAAGTGGACTGATCTTAACAGTCTGCTGAGCTATTGGCTTCCACTCTGGACAACACACTTCCTATTGTGGCCGCAGAAGTGCCTGCATGGATTCTCACATCCATATTATCCACTAAACTGATGTATGACCTCACTTTCAGCACCTGTGTGCAGAGGACGTGCTGTGGGCACCCAGATTTATAAAAGACAGGGCAGATGCACTGTGTCCCACTGTGGGTACCAGGAATAAAGAGGGCCTGGCCTGCATTCCATGTGGGTCATGCTTCCTGTATTTGTATGAGTTTGTTGTGGTTTATGAGCTGAGTCATTGCAGCCAGCTTCAAGGATGGTGTGAAGTCACATCAGCTTGGCAACGGAGGCTGTGGGATTCATTCGGAATCCCTCATTTTCCCTCTCGCTCCTCCTACTTATTGAAAAAAAGCATAATCTGCTGAGACTTGGCTGTGAAAACAAGAATGAAAACACTTGTACACAGAGCAGTGGTGATAAACTGTGGAGAGTGGAAAGCTGTTGTCTATAGCCACAAGGTTTGAGTGTAATATGCTGTGGGTTTTCCCTCACCAGCTCAAGCACTGTCCTGTCTTAAAAGGAGAGTATTTTTCCCCCCAACACAATGACGTGACTGTGTCCCCTCGCTGAGGGAGGGAAGGAGGAGAAAGGAGAGACTGGGCTACGCTATGTGCTCCACTCTGCCACCCAGAGTCCACCCAGGTCTCGGCTGTGTAGCGTCACTGTCTGACAGACCCTTGTACACCTCCCCCACCCCACTGCCCTCTGAAGCGGAGGGGGCTGTGGATGATTTCTAAAGCTCCCTACAGCGCAAGGAAATCTGTTCAGAGAGCGCGTCGAATAAGATGCACTCCAAACACTTCCATGCCTTTTTCTCCACATTGTCCACCTCTTCAGCATGCTTCTGTAATGTGCCTTTTTGCCCTCCCCTGTGAGTGCATGTTCCCCAAATCCCCACCCCCAGTTCCCCTCGTGTTTCCATAACAGCAGAGGATTTGGCCAAAGGTGGCTTTAAATGGTCTCTCCCTGCCTCCTTGAAATTAGGAATTGTGTGTGTGAGTGTGTGTTCGGTTCTCCCCTCCCTTCCCCTTCGCTCTGCGTTACTGTCTCAGGTTTATTTAGGAAATGCACAGAGGAGGGAGAGAAATCCGGCTGGGCGGGGTGACTGGGCACAGGAAAGGGGGGTGGTATGTTTTTTTTTCTTTTTTTTCTCTTTTCTTTGGCTGCGTTTCTGCAGGCTGATGGACAGCCCTGCTAGAGGAAGTAGGAGGAGCAGGCAGAGGCAGTCACAGCAGCTCAGATTTAGTCAGGAATGCTGCTGTACTGTACTTGTTTTCCTTTTTTTCCAGCTGCCTTTTGTCGGTCTCGACTGCGCCTGGCCACAGCGCTGTGCACGTATGTTTGTACTCCTTGTAGGGAGGAATGTTTGAAAGGACAGGGCGAGGGGTTATCTGTCTGTGTGTGCAGAGATGGGGGGGGGTATGTGTGTACATGAGCATGTGTGTGTGTGTGCATTCCTGAGTAGTGACAGCAGGATTCCCTGGTAAAGGGGAGACAAACACGCTGCTGTATGAGGGTACTTTAAAACAGCTCTTTGAGAGAATCTATGATCAGAGACTTGAGGGGGGGACGATGTAACCGTGACAGAAAAAAAAACACACATCACACAGTATTCACAGCGCCATCCTTAGGACCAGTGGTGGATAACTAATCTCCCATGTGCCATTCAGTGTACAATTGAATATTATGAGACGTATTTGACCAAATTAAAGCTGTACGCCTGTGAGATTAAAGTCACAAAATTCTGACATGCCCTTAACATGAAACAGAGAATCAGCAGCCTGCACAAAAATAAGGAATGTGGTTCATCTTGTGATGTTTACTCTGGAATGAATACTCAAATTCACAGGAACCAAGACCTGAAACTGATTCTGATGGGGGGAAAAAAAAAAGAAAAGAAGGGCAGGCTGAAAGGCAGCATGTGCACACGTTTGCATCAACTGTTTGGCCTCAGCTGTTGTGTACAAGATCATCCATGTTCGTCATTTGAATGCAGGCAGCTGAAAGCTCTTTTAATACCACTCTGTAATGTGGTTTGAGCCCTCATATTCTGTAGATCAATTGTTGCCTGTAAATATTCATGCCTCACAAAGTCCAAAGTTTATTCTTATACATTTTGATGGCCTCGATCTGTACGTTTCATCTAGTAAATTAAGGTGCTTCTCTCCTTTTTTAAATTTCAATCCTCTAAAACCCTAAATTTTCATTTGAGCTGATTCGATGGGGCCAAGATCCCGATGATGGGGGCCTCAGTCAAAGTTGCTTAACTGAGACCCATAAGTACATAGACCACGCGGAGGGAAGCCAAAACTCTGCATGCCTCTCATGTAGTACATATAAAGTGTTTTGGCAAACTGAATAATTAAAGGTTTCCCAGATTCATTCGCTCCAGTCGAGAAATGCCCCTAACCCATGATCCATCCCCGGTGTGTAACCCAACGTCTCACGAAGAATCAGAGGAGAATTTGGAAGGTGATCCCGTCCGTGGCTTCGGCTGACACACAGACTCACAGGGGTCTTCTTCCTCCTATTAATTAGGCCTGGAGCTGACAGCTGCCATGTCTGCGAGCCTCTCTCCAGACCTGCGGGCTCAAATAGTGCATTTGAGCAGATTAGTACCTGAAATTACTCTCCCAGCTGTTCAAAAAAACCCTCCGTGTTGCTTGTGTCTCCCCGCGAGTTTCCTCGGTTTGACAGCTAATGACATACACCTTTCCTGGAGAGAGTGTGACGCGCATCGGTGCGGGTGCTTCAGAGGACAAGCTCAGGCAGGATACCTCTAAGGCATGCAGAGACAGGTCCTTGTGTGACTGTGTGTTATTGCCTGCCAAGTGTGTGTGTGTCTGCTCCATCCACGACCAACCCCTCTTATTCTGATCTATAACTCGAGCAGTGATCTGAGTCTTTGTTTGGTCCCAGTGTGCCTGAGCAGGCGGAGGTGTGACCTCCAGCCTATTTCGTCTCGGCATCTGTCCCTCCCACTAATCCCGCTTATCAACAGAGCTCTCTGTATAAGGGGCAGCCGCACTGACACATATGCTCCCGTCTGGATTCACATCAGCCGGTGTATTATTTATTAGTCCGAGCTAAAGGACCAAAGGGACTCTACCTTCATTTCCTGACACCTCATGTAGTCAATAATTGATATCACAGAAGCTTTTCCACATCACTAACTTAAGATCCTAACAGCAGCAGTAAAAATCAAGCCCAAACATAAATAAAACGTGAGGACATGCACTTACAGTTTAAGATTGTGTGTGAGAGTTCAGAATAGAGCAGCCGAAAGGGGGGAAAGATGGCCTCTGTGTGTTGTTGCGTTTTTTGCCTCCCTCCTTTCATGGCGGCCGGCTGCTCTGTGTTCTCTTGCTCCCCTTTGTGGGAGCTTTCTTACAGTGCAGCAGCAGCAGCAGCAGCAGCTTTCTGCATTCCCAACAGACAGTGTGTAGAGGTCGCTTTAGCGCAGTTCACAGCAGCAGCAGCAGCAGCAGCAGCTGCTCAGGCTTCACCTTACAACATCTTAACCCTCTCCGGTTTTTTATCAGTCAATACCTCACGTTGGTGGCTTTCTGTCAGAGGGGAAATTCCTGTCAAACGCCGGTCTGAAAATATGAATCATGTTTCAACGTGTGCTGGAAATACCCTGTTTTCACAATGATTTACAATTTCCTGCAAACCACAACCTTCCAAATGCCTTTTTTTTTTGTTTGAAGTAAATTACACACTCAATCAATTCATCTTTAAACACATATTAACTGATCCTTTGTTTCTCTTCTTCTCTCTGTCACATGCTCAGGCCTTGTGGATGCACTTAGATGTCTGCAATGACTGCTGTGGCTGGCATGCCTCAGTGTTTTGGACTCCCATTCTCTGGACTCAGTAGGACAAGAACTGATCAGCAGAGAACGTCATGAGCATAGTCATCCCAGTAGGGGTGGACACAGCAGACACCTCATACCTGGACATGGCTGCGGGCTCAGAGTGAGTAACAGCGAAACACACCTTCACATACCCACTCACTTCCTCATTTCCTTCCCTTGAGCATTCTTGTACACCATATTTAGCTGTGTCAAGCTCACTCTCAGTTTCACTGTCTTTTCTTTCACCTTTTCCTCCCATCGCTCAACTAAGGTGTCACTACATACCGTACTATACAATCTTTAATACTTCTACACTTGATAATATTATACATACTGAAGATCATATTTCAACCCAAAGTAGCTTGAAGTCAAAGACAGAAGCAGTGATTGAGACTATTGAAGGATTTGTACAGTTCAGTAGTTCTCAAGTCCAGTCCTCGAGGCCCACTGTCCTGCATGTTTTAGATGTTTCCCTGCTCCAACACACCTGATTCAAATGATCAGCTCGTTATCAAGCTCTGGAATGGCTTCATAACGAGCTAATCATTTGAATCAGGTGTGTCATGTACCTTTAACAGGACATGGACAGGACATTGAAAGCTGTTTGGTGATCTTATCCAAAAAAAGAAGACAGAAATAACACCAGGCAGGAGTGAAACAGGTGTTGTTCTGTGAGATTTAGAAGTAGAGATGACTGCTGAGACTTTGTGTGTGAAAAAAAAAATGTTTGCATGGAACTTCTGTAGAAAAAAACAAACACAATTGAGGTCAAGTGCAAACAGCCAGGTCGTATAAGCACAACATGAATTTACTACAACGATCTAAAGAGAGCGAGGCGTCCTGCAGAAGAGTTTTTTTAGGAGTATCATGATGACATTAAATTTCTGGGAGTCAATTTATAAGTATTTCACACTCTGATTTCTTGCCCAGTGTTATTATCCCTGTCATCTGTAGGAGCCAATACTTGCCTTCTGTGATGGCTCAAGGACTGAAATGTATTTTATTTTTTTTTGTTAAATCTTCCTGTCCACATACATCTGCTCTCTGTGTTAATGGGAAAGTAGTATTCAGTAGAGCTCTCCAGAAGCGTCTGCTCTAATGGACAATTCAGCCTCCTCATTGATTGTATTTTCACTCCATTATTGTTCATCTCAGTTTTCACCCATTAACTACATCCACACACGTCTGAATGACAGCTCTTCCATGAATCGTGCACAAACACACACGATTTTTTCCCAGTTTCTTTTTACAAACCGGATTCCTTCTTACACACATGTACACTGCATAATGCCCCATAAAGCAGAAATAGTGCGTGATGCCATGGCAACACGCTTCCCATTGCCCCGCCTCACCGTTCCTATAGTCTTGTCAAGGACGTTACGGCGGCTTTTTCTGGTCAAACAAATGAAGCACAAGGTTCTGGTACGACTAAAGAACAGACGTCATCAACTTCTGGAGGGGCTCCTGTTTCTTTAAAAGAGAGAGAGAGCGAGAAGGATAGAGCCCTCCTCCTCCACATCCGAGCTGTTGCCGTGACAGCTTGTGTTGCCATGGTATCTGCCCCCCTCGCAACCCCCCTCCCTCTCCTCTGCACTGCGCAGGGCCTGTTGCCATGGCCACTGGCCTGAGTGACAGGTGGTCCTCACACAGACATGGCGTTTTAAACAGTCCCACAGCGTCAGTCCCCCCCTCCTCTCCTCAGCACTCTGCTGCCACCAGGGGCAGAAGTAAACCCCTCGCCGTGACTCTCTCACTCCCTCTTTGTCCGTCCGAGCTCTGTGTCCGATCACCGACTGCAGATTTATTCAAAAGCTGATAACAAGCTTGAACGGGGGCTTCCACCTGCTGCTGTCCCATCCGGAGGGACACACACTCACACAATCGCACACGTACACACCAACACACCGCTCTGTGGAGTATTGTGTGTGCGCGCCAGCCGATTCTGGAACAGCGGGGCGAAACCAGCATCACGTCCTTTGTACATCCCCCTGTAGTCCGCAGCAGCGTGACCAGCTGTTGGCTAACACTGTGCGCGCGTTTGTGTATGTGTACATGTGCGCGTCCAGGGTGACACACAGATCCTCAGCATGCGCGCACCCGCTGACCGCATACGTAGTGTTGCCATGGCAGCAAGCAGGCAGCTCTTTAGGAGTGAAGGCGTTGCCTCTGGCTGTTCAGTGCTGCTCTTTTCTCTCCTGCTGTTGGTCCCTCCGTACTCGGTGCCCGTCCACTCTGCATGTTCGCCCTCTCTCAGCAGGTGTTTGCATTGTAAAGGACATCTGTTCTTTTACTAAACACTCTTGACATTCATGATGCGCTATAAACGGTGCTCACCTATCTGTCATCTGACATGAAATTAAAAAGAATCTCTTCACGTATCCGTCAATCTGCGACATATCATCTTGCTGTTTGTCTGCTGCCCTCTTTGCATGCATACTTTCAAGGCCCTCCTTTTTCACTTCCAAGGAGTGGAGATGTGAATGATCCCCCCCCACCCCCACCCACCTTCCCAAGCTATGCACACATACAGTCAAACACATTTGCTCTCTTTACAGCAAACAGGCGATCTGACTTGTTTGCTCACTGTCTGCCTTTAACTGTCTCTGCCTCTCTCTCACTCATTCATTTGTAGGTCAGACTGACAGAGAGGGAAAGTCCAATCCCAGTTTTATTCTTATGAACCAATTAAAAAAAAAAACCCTGTGTAGTAAAGTGCGGACTTTGATCTGGTTAATCAATAACAAGAGAAATTCATTGAGTCTGGCCGCACTTCCTCAAGTGTGGTATTAAGTTATCTGTACAGAGCCTCCGCACACTCGGCTGATCTGACACACTTGCCCGTGTGGCAGTTAATCTAGTGTGCACACACCTTAGCCTGGGTCCGCCTCCAGACCTCATGCATGCACTTACGTTTTCACTTTGACAGTGAACACTTAGGCAGCAACACACACAGGAAGTGTTGCACAGTGCTCTGTCGGCATGCAACAAGAGAAATAAGGCAGAGGAGGGCTCACTCAGGTACTGTACCTCCACTTTACATTAAAACTGAGATTACAAGGAAGCATGAGGCATGAGAAAAGAGAGACGAAGGAGTTAAGAGTTTGTTTTGAGTTACAATTTCACTTGTTTGTAGTGTTAAACTTTCTCAAATAGACATAACAGTGGTTGATCACTCAAATGTGGCTGTGAAGGACTTGAAACTTGTGTCGTGGGGTTGAGGTTGAACATGAGCAGAAAATGCTGAATGGCCCGAGTCCCTGGAGTGTTTGAGCCTTTTGTGAAGATTTCTCTCTTTCTACTCAAGGCTTTCAGGTACACTCACTGGGCCCGTCTTCACGTTTTTGCCTCTATCAATAAAACTCGCTCACTGTAAGCCTCGTGTACTATCAGGCGTACTTTTGAAGTCATGAGAGAACCTTATTGAACCAACGTGGACAAAAACTTCAAGGAGAGGGTTTTACTGAGTGATGTTTTTGCACGATTGAACCTCTGATACACGTGGAAATCTGACTGATCACATGAGTGCTGCACCTAATCTCAAACTCTCTCATTGTGTTTTAAGTTGATCATGCTCTCTCTCTCTCTGTAGCCTTCACATTTCCCTCTCTTCGTTATTCCCTCTTCACACTGGACTATCATGTCTCGTGCCATCCATTTTGCCATTTTTGCCACTTCCCTCTTCCTGTAGTGCCTCCCCTGCAGCAACTGAAGCAGTTAAATCGTGTCACAATAAGGGTAGGTTGGGTCTCAGACTTCCCGAACAGGCTCTGTGATCCTGACTGAAGTGGTTCTACTGGTTTGGTATGAACCAGCTTTCCAAAAGTGGCCGTGTGTTTTGTTGTTTTGCGAGTGTGTGTGTGTGTGTGTGAGTGAGAGTCAGCAGGTTTGCACTGACTGTCTGCCTCGTAGATGTCATTTTCGGGCTGGAAACACAAGTTATTTTGACGTATTCATTCCTGTTGTTTGTCTGGTTTTGTTTCGCAGCAAAGTGGATGTGACAGCCAGTCGCAGTCAGGCAGTCAAGTTAAGGTTTAATCAGCAAAACGTTCATCAAGTATTGAAAACAAAATAGTCAGTGCAGGAAAAGAAGCCCACGAAAAGTCGTGTCATTTCACATTTCACCCGACGTGATCGGATTATTCTGATACATCCATGTGTAAGCAGGGTTGAACTTTTGTTTCTAGTTTAACTTTTACAGAGATGTTCTTGGTTTGTCTAATGTAAAGGTCAGGTTGCCTCCAGAGGATCTTGATATTTATGGGACACGAGTAGGAAAAACAGGGATGTGAGTTTTCTGTGTTTATCTGGAAATTCCAGGATTTCCAACCTTAAGAGGCGATGTATCATGAAAACATCGTGAAAACACATTTTTAAAGAAGGGAGGTGAATAAGCTGGCGGGTAAAATATGGAGAAATTCAGGACATCTGCCAACTGAAATGTGATGCTGCTTTTCTGCATGTATCAGTGTAAATAGTGTTTGTGTTGAGATTCAACTTCAGCCTAACCGTCATTTTAAATAAACGGCAGTGACTCCTCGTCAGCTGTTTGTGTTCATTAGTCGGCTGTGAGCGTGATATGACATTAGTCGCCTGCTATCAAGACGCCAAACACGGCTTTGGCTAACTGTTGGCTGACTCTAGATTAGTTTTGTGATATGGATTGATCTTGGAGTCAGTAGAGTTGTTGCAAAGTTTTGAAATGTGTATATCTATAGACAATAATAACTGTAAAATCATAGCATATGTGCACTCTCATATGTGGTTGTTTACCACAGTTTTCATTAGATGATAGTGTCACACGTCACCTTTTTTCATATTATGCAAGCCTGATGTGAGGTCTGCTGGCAGTGGGCTAAACCAAGTGTGGTTAAAACGAGACATGAAGAGAGAGGCGTGCTAATGTTAAACAAATAAAAACCAGGGTTCTACTTGTAATTTTTTATTTATTTTGTAGGGTTTTACCTTCCAGAAATTTTTATTCATATCACAGCAAACAAAGAAAACAAATTGCAAAGTCAGTTTTCCTCTTATATGGTGCAGCCTTAATATGACTCGCTGATGGAGAAGATTCAGTCGATGAATACTTTCTGTGTGTCTTTAGCCTAACTTTGTCTATAAATCAGTAGCCGTATCCTAGTTTAGAGAATCCGCCTTATTTAATCAACTTTATCTCAGAGAAAAGGTTTTTTTTTTTTTGCTCATGAAATGTGTTTTTATGTCTTTGTTTCATTTTGATATATGAACAAACTCTGAACACTTTAGGAACAGGATGAGTGTTATTTGAGGGGGTTCATCGGCTAAAAGAAACTCAGCTCTGTGAAGCAGTTTTCTTATTCTTTTAAATCGTGTTTATATGTTTGATTATGTTGAAATATTCAGAGTTTAGGTTGAATATTTAAAGACTCCTGCATACTGAAGAGATATGTAGAGGTGACACAGACCAAAGACCGCCGTTTGTCTTACCATGATGAACCTCATCAGTTTTAGTTTTACTTTCCCCTCTAATCTGGACCTGGCATGTTTTTACAACCCTCATGCTCACATTTTATCTCAGGGTTCAAATCAGTCATTACTAACGGCCTGAAAGTTTCATCCCCATGCTGTGAACAGAACGTGATCGACACCACAAGACACTGTTATTAGACGTTCTGTGAAGAGAATGGCGTCTGTCCCTGCTATAATTAAAATAAAACTCCTAAATGACTGTGATTAAGGAAAAAGAAGGACACAAAAGCTCTCCTTTAGAAGACAGCAGGAGAAGTATTAGGCAATAGTGGGTGAAGCATAACTCGATTGACTTGGGTTACTTTTTAACCCTGGGTTTAAATCTGCCTTCTACCACCCTGACCCCTCATCACCAGTGTGACTTTATTTTTGCCTCTGCACCTCTGTTTTAACCCCGCTGACGCACACACACTTCCTCACACTGTCAAAGGGAAACAATCGCTCTGTGTAACCTTGTTATCGGAGTTTGGAGCCGTTCAGATATGAACCTTTTTCTCTTCCTGTGTTGTCGCCCAGCAGACCAGAATCGGTGGAGGCCAGCCCTGTGGTGGTGGAAAAGTCCAGCTACCCACACCAGATCTACAGCAGCAGCTCTCACCATTCCCACAGTTACATTGGCCTGCCTTATGCTGTAAGTACACACAAACTAACACACACACACACACACTGCTTCCTCTCTCCTAGTACAAACAACCTGTATACCTTGAGCCCTCCCTCTCCGTTAATCATTCATGATCCTGTTTATGTCCAAAGTGAACACTGACCTTTAATGCACCAGCGTCCTCAGGTTTTTATGATACAGGAAAGTTTTTGCGGTCGATGGACAGAAAATTAATCAACAACTCAACTGATCAATGGATCTTATATTGTAGGGTTAGGCAAACACGTCCGGCTCTTATCAGGTGTCAGAGGTTTTAACTATTTCTTGTCTCACAATGTAGGTTAGGAGGTTTATTTTCACTTTTTGAAACTGTAAGGAGTGTTTTTTTATCTATTGCAGTGATCAAATGGGTAATATCTACACAAACTTTTCCTCATGCTTCCATTTGCAGCACCAGATCCTTCTTTCACTCTGCTGTTTTTGCCTGTTTAGGCATAAGACTTGTACTATGGTTCATAATGAAAAAAATAGAAAGCAGAGAGATAATCCAAACATGCTGGACATTTTGAGGGGAGGTTGCACGGTATCCAAGATGTGGCCTTGATTGTCCTTCACTATGACACAATATATGGGATAAAACAATCAACTCTCAGAGCCAGCAGGTCCTAAAACTCTACGTCTACTATAACTGGCTCTAAATGTGTCGCCTGACCTCATTGGTATTGTTTAAAGTCCATCAGATAATCGTTGGGTATCTATTTATAAAATGAAAAGTCAGATCTCCTAGCTGCTTTTTAACCCCACAACCAAAACCATATATTTCATCTAGGATCATGAATCAGTGTTTTATTTTCCTCCCTAGTTTTACAGATTTTACAGCTAAGAAAAGCACCAAGAAATGCCAAAGCTGTCAAAAGTTGTTAGTTTCAGGCCGTGCTCTTGTTAAATCTGTAGGTACATTCTTAACATTGATCACACCAAAGCGTTATTTGTCCCCCACATGACCCATATCCTCTTCCCTCCCATCAGGACCACAATTATGGGGCTCGGCCCCCACCTACGCCGCCGGCCTCCCCTCCCCCCTCCATGTTGATCCGACAAGGAGAGGGGGGGCTGTTTGTTCCAGGGGGTCAGGACGAAGCATCCCGGGGCACCACGCTCAGCACCTCAGAGGATGGCAGCTACGGGGCTGACATCACCCGCTGCATCTGTGGCTTCACCCACGATGACGGCTACATGATCTGCTGTGACAAGTGCAGGCAAGAGCCCCGTTTACACTCTGCTGTTTACACGATCTTTGGCACGATGACTCACTCCTCTGTTTCTCTGTGGCCTGAACTTGTCTGAATTGGTGCTACCTGAGCACACAGATGTTTATGGTGCTATAAATGGTTTTTCTTTGATTGTTTTTAGTGCCTGGCAGCATATAGACTGCATGGGCATCGACAGGCAGAACATTCCTGAGACCTACCTGTGTGAACGCTGCCAACCACGACACCTGGACAGAGAGAGGGCCATCCTGCTGCAGACCAGGAAACGGGAATGTTTGTCTGGTGAGAGAGACCACACAGGAGGATAAAGAGGCCTACAGCTCTTGAAGCTTTCCTTTTACACTTTAATAATTCTGTTTGCCTCCGAAAAATAAACAAAGTTACAGAATTAGTTTAAAGTTTCTGTTAAAATCCAAAAGAGGGTTGTCATTGCGGTAGATATAGATTCTTAGGTGTCAGATTTTTTCTGTGAGAGCCCAAATACGGAGCTTTCAGTTCTGTTTTCTCTTGCTTCCTTGCTGCGGTAAATGGCTAGCTTGTTAGTGATCAGAGTAGTCTGTGGGCTCTGTCAGGGTGCAGCCTTCCTCTCCTGTGCAAAGCGAACCCTGCCAGAGCCTGGGACACACTGACACCTGCTGGACAAGGAGCAAAATCACTTTCTGATCTGTGCTGAAACACACCTAAGCTTCCATTATTACAACTTGGCTGCAGCAGCTGTGTGTTTTTTTTTTTTTTTTAATAGATTTGAATAACTCAGATGTGTTTGTTTACTTATTCAGATGGGGATACCAGTGCTACTGAAAGTGGAGATGAAGTGCCGTTAGAGCTTTACTCCACCTTCCAACACACGCCTACCACCATCACCCTGACGACCGCGCGCCTTGGCAATAAGCAGGCTGATAAAAAAAGAAAAAAGAGTGGTGATAAAGAGCCTCCAGCAGGCTCTGCTCGAGCTAAGAAGGTCTGGTTTGCCTAAGTATTGAATGATTACCTGACAGTCAACATTCATTCTGTATTATGAGCTTGAACTGCAGTTAACTGTTGGGTTTTGTCTCCTATTTCTATGGCAGGCCTTCAGAGAGGGATCCAGAAAGTCCTCCAGAGTAAAGGTAAACTCTTAGAAACACTTCCATGCTGTATCCAGAGTTTGCATTCTGCCAAAATTGAAATTAAAGGTGCCATAGGTGCGACTGCTTAGTGAAATTTCTTGTTTCTTGTTGTTCTTAGGGTGCAGCTCCAGAGCAGGAGCCGACAGAGCACCCGTCCCTGTGGGAGAACAAGATCAAGACGTGGATGGAGCGTTACGAGGAGGCCAGCAGCAATCAGTACAGCGAGGACGTCCAGGTCCTATTGCGTGTGAAAGAGCAAGGCGACGGCAAGAGCCTGGCGTACAACACGCACCCTGCTTCCTTCAAACCCCCTGTGGAGGTAAAACTCAACCTTGTGCAATTTCTTTTACTTGTAATCAAGTGTCAAACTGGCTTATTGTTTCTTAAACCTGAGCATGAACCGAGTTTCCCACAGTGGCCTACGCTCTGATTTATTGTCTTGCAAGGGAGCCGCACTTACACGTCTCTTTGTCTCTTTCAGAGCCAAGTTCAGAAAAACAAGAAGATCCTCAAGGCGGTGCGAGACTTGGCCCCAGACTCCCTCATCATTGAGTACAGGGGAAAGTTCATGCTTCGACAGCAGTTTGAGGCCAACGGTTACTTTTTCAAGAGGTCAGCAGGCTGGTTTCTATTAAAAAGGGATTCCTCCTTGGAGTCTGTCTTATGGGTGTATATATTGAATAAGGCTGCATTTTTATGAATAAGGTCAAACAGATGAACCAGTATTAATGACCATGGCCACTTGGGGTGGATAGAGGTGCAGTGCAGTTTATTTCATTGTAGTTCCTGTTAATATGATGTTTATTAACTTGTCCATTGCTTCCTCTCTTATAGGCCGTACCCATTTGTGTTATTTTATTCCAAATTTGACGGATTGGAGATGTGTGTGGATGCCCGCAGTTTTGGGAACGAAGCACGCTTTATCCGTCGCTCCTGCACCCCCAACTCTGAAGTAAGTCCAATAGAAATGGAATCAAAACCTGATCTGGTTTTTCTCTGAAGAGATATAGTTTTTCTTATAGTTTTTTGCAAACACATATGTTAATATGTTGTTCATCAACACCTTATGAGGGGCAAAGTTTCAAATTGGGACATAGATGTGGTTTGGAGTATCTTCTTGCTCAAATCTCGAGCAGAACTCAAGATTTGCGCTATTTGGGATGTCACCAATTGGTGAATCTCTGGCTACGGCCCAAAAAGACCGTAGCTGAAATAGAAAGTTTTAAAAGACACCAGCTTTAAATAAGTAAATATCTTTATCTATCTATCATGTGATGTCACAAAGCTATCAAAAAGGCGTAAGAGAGCATAAAGCCCTCTCATCAGGGAATTCAACCTCATGCATGGCAACTGTTGTACTCTCTTTATCAATCATTAGTCCTCTCTAATATTTCGATATCCTTCCTCAGGTGCGGCACGTCATCGAGGATGGTATGCTCCATTTATACATCTACTCACTAAGGCCTATCACAAAGGGCACAGAGATCACCATCGGTTTTGATTTTGACTATGGCAGCTGGTGAGTATAATGAGTAAATTGCAGTAGAACATAGACAGTAAGATTGCCCTCGTACGTCATACTTGATTTCTTTCTGCCTCTTTCATCCTCTTCTCTTTCGTATTCATAGTAAATACAAGGTGGACTGTGCCTGCGTGAAGGGAAACCAGGAGTGCCCGGTGTTAAAGCACAACCTGGAGCCCACAGAAAACCTCGGCTCGGTAGGCCGGCGCAGGGGAAGCCGAAAGGACAAGGAGGTGGTCCGGGACGACCAGGGCCAGAACCAAAATGTGGGTCTGGATGGTGAAGGAAAGGGCAAGAGTGTAGGCGATGGCAAGCAGAGGAAACTGTCTCCTCTTCGCCTCTCCATCTCAAACAACCAGGCAAGATGATACCTTTATGCTCTACATTCATCCCTCATTCACACTTTACTGCCAATGTGTCACATGTAAAAGCTACTACAGCTGTTTTGTTTATATACATTCACTCTTGACCCATGCATGTCATTTATTTTGATCTTTGTGAAATGTATAAGCATGTATTTTCCATTGTTTGTTCCTATACATCCTTTTTAGTTCCCTCTTTTTCCCATCATCCCTTTATGCATCCACCTTTTCCCCCTCAGCTTTTAATTTGGACTCCAGGGTTCAGATTTAAACATCATTGTGAGACTCTTTTGTCCCACTGGTACGGCAGATGTGTAGGTATTTTGGTTCTATGCAGGTGTGCAAAAGAGTGGTGATTCCTCTGGTTGGTGTGAACAGGAACAAAAGATGGATTTTCTCTTACTGAAAAAAGTTTGTAACATGGCAAAGACTAGATTTAATTTGTCCAAAATGTATTTCCATCAGGACTTTTAAATCTGCATAGGGGCTGTTGGTGTCGGTGTGTTTTTATTTTTAGAGAATTCGATCACTTAAGGCATCAGTTTACTCAGTTGTTGTTAGGCGTGAGTGAGAGTGAAGTTGAGTTGTTCAGATATGGAGAATTTTCAAGCAGATCTGTGTTGCAGCCTTAGAAAAGAAAAGTGACAAAGCAGGTCCCTAGTGTTTCATGGTAAACCAAAATTTTGGTACTTTTTTAAAACTTTTTATTCTGAATAGTGCATTACTAGAATTTTCCAATGTTCAGTATATTACATAGGTTGAATAATTCAGTTTGACTCTGATGTCACTGACTAAAAAAGCAGTTCCCAACTATGAGGATGAAACATTTTTTACCTGCGTTTTACAAGGCAGCAGTATCAGACTGTCTGCCTCTGCGTCCATTTAGAAAGAAAAGCAATGCCTCTGCCCCAACATGTCCAGTGCTGACAACAACAGTGAGTCATCTTCCAAAAGAACATTTCCACTGAAAACAAACCCGACTGCTTTTTCAAAACTGGTACACAGAAGACGCTACAAAACAGTGTTTTGCAATAGAGGAAACCCCTCAAACTTTTCTCAGCACCTCAGTGACTTATATCCAGATCTCCAAAGAGTAAAGAGCACAACAAGTTAGCTTAGACAAAAAGGATATTGATGGGCTGTTAACATATATTTTACACGATACGTAATGTGACAGAATAAGTTGCGTGTCAATATTAGCCCTAACCTGCCAATCAAAACAAGTGAGTTCAATAACAAATGTATATTATATGCTTATGTAATTGTTCAACAGCCAAAAATGATCAGGCTACTTGCTTCGATTTCCATGACAGTTGCTGTGGTGGCTCTGTAGCGTCAGAATGTGCCAGTTGAGGCCAAGCACATTTTGAAGATATTGTTTTGTCCATAATGCCCCTAGATTAAAACTAATGCACTAATAAATCCAAATGTGACAAACCTCATAAACATCATCAGCTTCTGCTATCTGAGTCCAAATTTTGGTATCATGACAACACTAGTGTCCCTGCAAAGGAGGTAAGATGTCTCAAAGTACTGATGTTGTGAGCACAGCTTCACTGGGAAGAAGCAGTTTAGTCCGTCAGGTGCTACACGGTTCCTTTTTGTAGGAGGGTGCAGATGGAGCAGGTGGCTGGAGGTGAAACAGTTATGGTGGTAAATTCCTGAGAAGAGGGACAGCTTGTAAGATCAGAAAAAGGTCTAAGCTGTTTTTTTTTTGCACAGAATGACCACTAAAAACAACTAGCCCCCCTGTATCTTCAGATAACTTCCCTCACCCCACCTCCCTTTCCCCCTCCCCCACTCTTACCTGTCTCCCTCTAGTCTGTAGTCAGACTGACTGATCAGCCATGATAAAGCGCCATACCCCGCTCTCCCCTCTTACAGGATCCTGAGTTATATGAGGATATAGAAGACAAAACCTCCGTTAGCAATGAAGTAGAGATGGAGTCAGAGGAGCAGATTGCAGAGAGGAGGAGGAAGATGGTAAGTGTGCCAAGCTAGGGGCTACAGCTTTTTTTTTTTTTCTTGCCACGCAGCCACCCAGTAGAGAACTACAACAATCCCCTGTTGCTCTGGGTGTGGACTGTCTGCTAAAGGGGCTGTATGCTTGGATAGGAGCAGCTGTCCTCAAGCTCCCTTCCATAAAACTTCCCTCCTCTTCATCACTCATCTGCTGCTGGTGCTCCCTGTCACTGCCAACACCCCTGTTGCTGGTTTGCTTAGCTCTTCTCCTCTCTTCTGCAGCTTTGACTCCCCTCCTCTCTTTCCTCTCAGTTTATTTCTCCTCATTTGTCGCCCCTTTTCCCCCCTTCAGCGTAAGAGAAAATGAATGTGCCTGCAGCGCTACGTTCCCATTAACACTATCTCCTATCAGTGGGAGCAAACCAGTATCTTGATCCGTCATGCGAGATGGAGATGTCCCCCCAAGTGTGCATTACACCTCGTGTATATAGCTCTCCCCTCACCTTCACCGCAGCGAGGAGTTTCGAATGGCCAATTACTGGTTCAACAGCTCTTTCCTGCCAAACTGCCATATGCCCCATAGAGATGAGATCAAACACACAAAGATGAGTGTGATACACTTACACACACTCACACACACACACACACTCCCTCTCTCTTTTTCTCTTTGGAAATTACCCTGCAGTCAGCTTCATTTCACACGGTCGACCCAAGGTGCAAAGTGCTGACTCATCTCTGGCCAACATACAGTTCTGCTAATCGGCCAGAGAGATAGATGGTTAAAAAGCGAGAGGGAGTGAGGGAGGGAGAGGGGAAAGGAGGGGCTGCAGAGGGTGTAGAGCCTTGTTGCCAGGGCCATATTGACTTTGGGAGATCCAATAGGCTGCTTTCTATGGATCCTGGCCTAGGAGAGAGAGCTATGCCTGTTGGAGCGAAAAAGAAGTGTGCATTCACAAACTGACGATTGGTAAATGTGTGTGGGTGTTGTAAATCCAGGCCGCAACAACGGTGCGGAGGAGATAACATCAGCGTGTGCTGGCATGATATCTTGCCTACTTACAAAAGAGCCCCTATTGTTTGAAAAGGCAACCTGGCTGTTTTGTCCTTCAGCTGATGATCAGCCTGTTTGGACTAAATTTAGGCTTTATTGTGGCTTTTATTTGTCTGAAGTCTCCCCCAGCAATTACTGTTTTATATTCGTAGCACAAGCCACATAGTGGGAATTTGCCCCTTAATTCCAGAAAACAGATCTTTGCACTGCAAATCCCCAAAGCAATCTGGTTGTGAACACATATCACAGTGCAGCCTGCTGTCCTTTAAAGTGCCATCAACGAGAGATGCATTATTAAAAAGCTGTCAGCAATGAAATACTCATGCAAGAGGAGTGAGGAAGGACTTTGGATGGTGCCAAAAAGTGTCAAAGAAAGAGTGAGTTAAGAATATATCTCTGTACATAACTGTGAAAAGTCAGGTTAAAAACTGACAGGGCTGCTTTAAAATCACTTAAAAAAACAAGACAATAACTAGCAGACCCAAATGCTCACATTTTTTCTTTCTTTCAATTGGATACCTGCCAGTGGCATTAAAAAATTCACTAGGTAAGGACCAAAAAAAAAAACGTGATTTTTTTTTAAACTGACTTGAGAGCAGCCTTCACCGACGCTATTTTGCAACACCAACTTTCTCATAAGATCAAATGCAGTTTCATGTTTTCGACTCTTACCACCCTCATAGTGAGTATTAAGTGCGTTCAGTGAGTTCCAAACACTGTAGGAACACTCGTCAATGTCACTTTTTAGCCGTAGACCAATCAGAATCGAGAGAGGGCGGGACTTGCGATATCGTCTGAATGAAGAATAATGGCGGAACATCGCATGAAGGTGAAAGAAAAATTACAATTCGACGTCTGTCATATTTTAAAGTTCTCGTGAAACGGCAATGAATGAATGAGAGAAAAGAGAAAGCATACCAAGAAGACGTGAAAAGAGACGTAAAAGCCGCTACTTCGGGAGGTGGAGGTGCTGTCATGTGTAATGTAATAATAATTGTCTACCAAAAGCACTCCGTAATTGGGGTTAGAGGTGTCCTCAGTACAGAAAAATAACGTTAAAGGACACGACCCTTGAAGCGTTTATGGTCAAGTATGATATATCGTATTTGTGCGGATAACGTCAGCAGAGCTAGCACTGCTATAGCTAGCCTGTTAGGTGGTTAGCATCGGCATGTTTGTGCTGGTTGCACATTGCCAGTTCAAGCAGACACAGCTCAAATATAACTCTGTCTATATTCTCCAGGTTTAAATACTGTCAAACAATGTGGCCCATTACCAGTCATATGTGCTTTATTAAGTCCAGGCACCCACTGCCTGAATCCCTCAACCAACTAGTTCCAAAATAGTAACCACAACTCTCACTAGAGTACTTTTACACCCTTTGTAGTAAGCTTTTGTGTTGATCAGTTATATCTGACTATAGGGGTGAAAATAGTAACTTGGCAGGTGAGCACCATAGACCATACCAATTACATTTGGCATTAGTAAACAGCATTTGACATTGTCATGGTAAATCTCTGAAAGAACCCCAGTGTCCCAAATTTTCTTGATGTATCAGAATACCTACACAGTCCTGTAAATATCACACAACCAAAAGATCAGAGAGTGGTTAGTCCAGCCCTGTCCAGTGTTTGTGAAGCCTTGTTAAAGGGGGACATGTCTCTTCTAAACTGGGCTGTCTCTTTATTGAACACTCAGGCCAGCCCAGCGGAGCAGTCCCATCTCCCTGTGGGGGCGGCTTCCAGCTGGAAGGGACTGAAACACAAGGAGGTAAACTTGACCCATACATAGGCAACTTTACTCCACCCATTTACCGGCTCTCCCAAAAAAATCTCCCGGGGGTGATTGTCTGACAAACCTACTAACTGTTACATCTGTTAAAATAAGATTGTTTTTTTTTTCAGTATTACAGTCTTTAGAAAGGGGTGTTCTTACTAAAGATGGAGCATTTTTGTGTGGGTTTAAATGGTGGAGGTACACCTGGGAAATTGCGCCCCAAATACATGTATGTTCACACTGGGCATGCTTCCACTTGGGTTAGGGCTCGGTTGTAAATTGCTGAGTGAAAAAGCGCTCCACAAACACAGCACATGTAGTATTTTCATCTTTTGCAGTATTTGTCCTGTTGCTCCCATCTGACCACCTCCCTTTTCTGTGTTTTTTTAATTTTTTTTTTACTCTAAACACGAAGGGTCACTTTTACACCTTCCTCTTTACTCTGCGCTCAGCTAGATCTGCTTTACCTTTGTAGCACATATTAACATATTGTACCGCTGCTTCAGGGGCTGTGTGGGACTCCATAGACTAACTCCCCTGTACCCTCGTTTCTCTTACTTTCTCTCCGCAGACGCGAGAGGAGAGGAAGATGGAGGCCATCCTGCAAGCCTTTGCCCGCATGGAGAAGAGAGAGAAACGCAGGGAGCAGGCCCTGGAGAGGATCGGGAGTGTCAAGACAGAGGTGGGAGGGCGCAGTGACATCAAGGAGGAGCCTCCAGCCACTCCGGAGACGGCTGATTCTCCAACTGTAATCCAGGTGAGAACAAGGACGTCTTTTATGCCTCATAGTTTCAAGAAATTGGTTCATCTCATTGTGATTTGGCAGCATACTCAAAATGCCAAAATGGGCATATTGTATATGTGTCTAATTTTATACCAATTTCCCTCTGTCTTTTTGAAGCCACTCCTGGAAGTGAAAGAGGAACCAGGATTGAAACCGGCGAAGGTAAAAGGCTCCAGGAACAGGAAAAGTTTCTCGAGGAACCGCACGCACATTGGCCAACAGCGCCGGAGAGCCCGCACCATCAGCGCCTGTTCAGACTTGCCTCCAGGCTCTCCAATCGAGACTGTCGAGCCTCTGACCAACGAGGCACCCGAGGGAGAGACGCCAACCGCACCGGAGCCTGAGGTCATCCCTACCCAAGCCCCCGAGACCAGCCCCCCTCACAGCAGCTCACCTGCACCTGACAGAAACCGCACCGGGAGCAAGAACTTCAAAACTAAAAAGGTTAGAATAAATGACTTTAATTATTTAAAAACAATGGCAAAAAGCACTTTGACCGACACGGATAGGCAGGAAGAAGAGCAAGAATCTAAAACAGAGAGATAATCCAAAGAAAGTAAAAACCAAACTGCAGAAAAGATCTTAAGAGTAAGAAAATTCAGCCATCATACATGCACAGCCACATAACTTTGCGACTCTGATATCTGACGGTTTGGTTCTTATCTTGGTTTCATCGAATGTTCTGAATCATATTGACAAAGTTTTCAACAAAGACACAAGTAGACTTAATTCGTTTGGGAATATATCCACATCACCTCCAGGGAAGAGTTGTTTATAACATTAATTGGAAAAAACTTTTCGTACTTCTCTCCGCAGCACTTTGTGAGCGAGTGGGTGGGAGAGAAGCAGCAGGACCGCGTCGCAGTACGAACCCCGGAGCCGGCCCCAGAGAGGCCGCTGAGAATAAGCAGTGACCCTGAAGTACTCGCCACGCAGCTGAACGCCCTTCCGGGCATGGCCTGCTCTCCGCAGGTCTACAGCACGCCCAAACACTACGTCCGCTTCTCATCGCCCTTCCTGGCAAACCGCAGCCCAACGACTCCGGGCGTCCCGACTGGCAGACGGCGTTCCAGAGAATTGCCAGAAACGCCGCCGACCACTGGCTCCTGCAAGAAGGTACAGAGACCAGCTTAACACACAGTTTGACTTCAGAAATCATATTAATTTATTTGGGATTAGAAATGAATAAAACTCAGAATAAGCTGCTTCTGTTGTTTAACTTCACCTCTGTTCCACAGCGATGGTTGAAGCAGGCTCTAGAGGAGGAGGGATCCACCAGCCCAGCCAGGCGACCAAGCCTCCTCATGCCCTGTGAGGGTCCTCTCAGCCCCTCAATCAATGGAGACTCTGACAGCCCCCTACCCTACAATGGCACCTGCTCTTTACCAGGTACCTCATTATAAGATCTATATTCTCACCTCTCTCAGCTAATAATGCTTGTTTGAAATCAAATCCTTAACGTGGTCGAATTCCTCCACCAGAGTTGCCCACACCTTTGAAAAAGCGACGGTTAAGCCCGTTAGATGCCTGTATTTCTGAGAGCTCGACGCCCTACGGTTCCCCTTGTGCCACGCCAACCAGGGCCGAACAATCAGAAACGCCTGCAACCCCCGTCTTACTGGCTTCCCCGCCTCGTCCTCGAATAGAGGAGCCAAATACAGAGCCCCTGCCCAGCACCCCAACGCACACACTTAGCACCCCTCAGGAGGTAAGCCCATCCATGTCTGTACCCCATGTGCGCACACGCAGACACACACGCATTTGTTCACAAGAGAAATGGAGCCTCGGTAACCGTATGTTCTTGTTTACAGAGTGAATCTTCAGCAGAAAGCTCCCCAGAGGTCAGCCGGAAACCCAGCGTACAAGAGGTGAGGAAAGGACACTAGAGGAGACCAAGAGAGAACAAGAATCTATTTATCATAAAACATCAACATGTCATAGTTTCAACATTTGATTTGTTGCCTGCCCTATTTTCATCGAATGTAGTGCTGAATTGACTTGAAAACCATCATCCATATCAACATTTAAACTTTTATAGAGTTGGGGTTGTAACATTGATTTTATTTTCCTCTTCTCTCCAAGGCTGATCGTCCTCCTTCGTTGGTCTCCTCTCCCTGCGTCCGAGCTCCCAGTACAGAAGGACTTCCAACAGAAGCTAAGCCATGTGTTCCTGAGAGTCCACAGCCTCCAACTGCTGACTCTGTGGAACTGGGAGAGGATCGTGTTGACGGCGGGGTTGTAGAAGGCAGTACTGAGGTCCCCTCATCTGCAGAAACTTGTGCTTCCTCTTTTCCCGGCTGGATAAAAAGCCCGGACAGAGGCCTGACTGGACCAGCTGGCCTGAACTTCTCTCCAGTCAACTCAAACTTACGGGACCTCACCCCTTCACATACCCTGGAGCCTCTGGCGGCTCCGTTCAGGCCTGATGCTGCAGTCGGATCTGCGGCGGGGTCCACAGCAGGGACAGGTTCTCTGGTCGGCTCTCAGGCCCCCTTCAGTGAAGGACAGGGGCAGCTCTTTTACCCTTGCTCCGAGGAAGGCGGTGCACTTGGCTTCTCACGCTCACTGTGTGGGGACGGTGGCGGAGATGGAGGAGGGTCTGCGCAGAACCCCCCACAGAAAAAAAAGGTGAGTGAGCTGTGATGTAAAATGATGACAGAATCGAAGTTTCAGCTCTTTGCCTCCCAGTCCTTGGAGTTCAGAGGAGATTTTCAGATCAGGCATGGTGATATTTTTGCCCTCATCAGTAAGATAGCAGAATTTGGAAGTACATGCGGAGAGGGTAACATTAAAAAGATAAATCAATCAATTGTTCAATGAGTAAATGTTTAATCGCCGCCCTCTACTGGTGTAACACAGGAACAGCTTCTTGCTCTCAGTTGACATCTTAGTTTCTGCCTCTTCCCAGGTTTCCCTGCTGGAATACAGGAAACGTCAGCGAGAAGCTCGACGCAGCGGCTCCAAAACCGAATGCAGCTCTCCTGTGTCAACCGTGCCCCCTCTGAGCGTGGACGCCTTCCCTTGTGCTCCCGAGACCACCAGCGAACCTCCTCCGCCTCCTGCTCCCGCAGCGCCCTGTAACACCAACACCACGGCTGTAAAAGAGCCGCAGACCAGTGAGGAAGCAGAGACAGGGGGCGAGAAAGGGGAGCGGGAAGGAGGAGAAGGACAGTGGTATGAACAATTCAAACATAACCTCAAATACAGCTCTATCTTAGATTAAGAGCTTTTAAATACCGATGAATTCTTCCTCTAAAATGATAATTTCAGTGTGCAGTTTAGGAACAACATTAAGGAATTTACTACTTACTGTGTTCTTTTAAGGGTAGAGGTTTTAACATCTACAATTTTTGCTTTTATCAGGACGTCGTCGACTTCTGTAGAGCAGGCCCGGGAACGCAGCTACCACAGAGCGCTGCTGCTCAGCAAAGACAAAGACACAGGTGAGGATGACGACAGAGACTCTCAGTGGTCTCTGTCACAGAGGTCGAGTGGGAAATAATGTTTTCACTTTACTACAGAAAGCTAGATGAGAATGACACCACTCTTTATCCAAGTGTGTTCGTCCAGGCTCAGCTTTAAACCCCTGCTCCTGGTCTTTTGGCTCAGTCAGCTGTCGCTTTTCTGTGAAACCTGCATTCTGATGTGGCACCAAAGCTATGAGGAAGAAGTAGAGGACAGTGTCAAATTGTGAGGTCGACATGTGTTGGAGTAATCCCAGGATCAGACTACAGACACTAAGTAAACAAACACTAGAGTTGAGAAAACACAAGAGTCATAATTCATAAATATTCATTTCTAACCCCAATTTCCACCGCATCCAGCTACGGCTACGAAAAGGCCGTAACTGCCGATCGCAGCGGATCGTAACCATGGAAGTTCATGTGTCAATTTTCACCGACTTCTTTCCGTTAGTCTAGAAAGTCTAGGGGTGGATTTCCTCCTCTGGAAGGACACAATCTACTGCTTTTATGGTTATGTGGCTATAGAGACAACTTGTTATTGCACGTGAATCAGCGGGTTCTTGTAAGTTCTTGCGATTCCCACTGTCCAGAATCCGCCACGAAATTCACCTCACAAACGGTAGAAATTGGCGGACGGCCATTCCAGATCGGAGCCGTTCCGAATGCGGTGGAAATTGGGGGTAATAAAGAAACACAGGTTAACTCATGATGATGACTTTGGAGCGTGGTAACAGTGGATGCTGCTCGAGTGCCGGACTCAGGGGGGCTTTAAAAAGGCAGTAACTGAAATGAAACAACAAAACGAGTCTTTTCAAAGACACCAGCCGAGATAATAATCTGAGTTTATAAATCTTTGTAGACGGTGTAAAGGCTGAAAAGAACAGAGCATCCCCTCTTAAAATAACTGTTTTCCCTTTTCAAGACGCTGAAGCAGAGGGTGGAGAGACACCTGCACTTAGAGATTGCCCTTCTCCGAGTCTACAAAAGACCCCCACCCACACAGTAAGTCAACGCTGTCCACATGCGTTCGATCTGCCACGTCTGTTGAAAACAGAGGTCTGACTCTTTCTCTCTCTCTCTTCGCTCAGCCGTGCTCTCCTGGTCCTCTCGCTCAGCCTCCCAGCCGGCCCACCAAGGAGGAAGACACTGACAGTCAGCCTCGGACCCCCAACCCCACCAACCAACCCCCGAGCAAGCCAGCAGGACCTAAACCCGCTCCTTTGACTCCCACCAAGCTTCATCCCACCCCCTTACCCTCCTCTCCTGTTCACTACCCAGGACCCTCCCTCCTGCACTCCCCAAAACCTCAGCCACAAGGATCCCCCTTCCGCAGCCAGAGGGCGCTGTTCTCCTCTCAGCCTCCGAACCAACCGCAGCCTCAGGCGCAGGCCGGCCCAGCTCCTTTCCCCCAATACAACAGTCAGGGTGCTCCCCCACCTCCTCCACCTCCTCCCCCAGCACCACCTGTCTCCACGGCGTATTTCCCCAACCAGAGCCCCTCGCCTGCAGGACCTTTCCCCGGGTTCAAACCCTCCGTCACCCAACCTTACCCTCCTGGTTCTCAGCCTATGATGCAGACTCTCCCCCACAGTGTGCACTATCAGAGCTCAGCAGCTCCTCCGCCGCCACCTCCTCCGCCCCCGCACCCGATGCCCAGCCCCGCCCTCCTGCACCTGCAACCCCCTCCCATCCAGCAGCACCAGCTCATGCTCTCCACAGCTCCTCCTCCGCCCCCTCCTCCTCAAGGCCAGGCCTCCCAGTCGCAGCCACAGCAGCCCCCTCCAGGCGGCAGCACCCTGCTGTCACTCACCCCTCCTCCGCCGCCTCCTCCACCTCCTCCCGCACCCTCGTCCAACGCCCCAATGCAGCCCCACCACTTTCAGAACTTAGGGGGATTTCAGCCGGCGTTGCTGCACCCAGGTGCCCCAGCCAACCCCTCAGTACCCCCCTCCTCGTACCCCCCGCCCCTACAGCAGACCGGACTGCCTCCACCTCCCCCTCCACCCCCACAACAGACTCAACAAGGCCAGCCTCAGGCCGCCGCCTCCCAGATGCCTTCTGGGACTCGTGGAGCTCCTGCATCCTCGACCCCTTTCCACAGCTCGGGGTACCTGAGCACAGGGTGGCACTGACCCCCCCCTCCTCCACCTCCTCCTCCACCGCCCCTGAGAACTCTTCCTGAGGGGGGCGCTGTACCATAAGCTGTAGATATGTTTTCTATGTACCTGAACACACGGCCAGTGGAAAAACAGTGGATTGTGGATGAAAAGGATGCTTTTTAAGAAAACAAGAAAAACCCACGGACAGAAAAATTTTAGCAAAGGACATCAAATAATCTTCAAGAAAAACTGTATAAAAATGAAGATGGACGATCCCCTGCGGTGCTCATAGCTCCCTCTCTCTGGCCTCTGTTTGTTTTTATATAACCTCCCTGTTATGGAGAGAAAGCTTCGTTCGTTCTGTGTCTTGTTTGGACTCCCATTGTAAGGCCCGCACTTTGTTTATCAATGGACATTCCAGCCTATAAACCCCCTCCCTCCCCGCTCCCTCCTTCCTCCTCTGATTTCTCCTCCGTCAGTTATTCCTTTTACTCCCTTTATTCTCTCGTCTGTCGTCGGCTCTCTACACCAATTTATTTGTTTTAATCTAGTGGCTCATTATAGCAAAAGAAGAAAGCTTTTTGTATAGAGAAAAAAAACACAATTATTTTTTTTATTCCTCTGTCTAACAACAAATATCTGTTCACCGCTGCAGATTCAGAAAAAGACCCTGTTTCTGGGGGCCTGCCTCACCGACCTGGGAGGCTGCACTCGTATGTTTGTGTCTGTGAATGCCTGTGAGTGTGTGTGTGTATGTGTGTGTGTGTGTTAGGTGTGGAGGAGAATGGCTGCTTTAAGGAGGTGTGAGGTGTCGTGTAACGAGTGCTCATAGTCCTCAGAGGTAGGAGGAGTGGTCTTGCCTACAGGTAGGAAGTTAGCGGTTTATTTTTGAATATCAATGGTTATTTGTAGAAAGTGTAATTTAATGTATAGGTGGTTACTCCAGCTTTCACCAAGAACAGGTTGTAAATAATCGCTTCTTTTCTTTTCTATGCTTGTACAATTGGCTCCCATCCCATTTTGAAATATGGTTGTACATATGAACGCTCTTCTTGGCAAAGCTGAATGTTTCTGTGACTGTAGCATTATTTTTATTTTATTTACCCTCTCTCTCTCCTTCTCTCTCTCTCTTTCTCTCTCTCTCTGTCTCTCTGGACTCTTAAACTATGTCTTTTTTTTAATATTTGTGTGTGTGAGTGTATGTTTGTGTGGAGGGGAGAGACTCACAGACACTGCACTGGTTGGCTATTTTCATGGTTCATTATAATAAATCACTGTAATGACAGTTTTATACAACTTGTCGTGTCGTGTGTCTCTGAGAAAATTCGGGTCACTATCTCTATCATCAGCTCAATTTTTCTACCTGACTGAGCATGGAGGAGATCAGGTATCAAGCTTCCACTGTAGATATGCAACATTAAAAAGTCGTGCCAATTCAGTAATATGAATGAAAACCTGGAAAATCCCCCAAGAAAATTACAACCGTGTTTTTGGTTTAATGTCTTTATAGTTAATTAAAAACAAGAAGTAGGAATTACAGCTGACAAAACACCATTTAGATTTTTATCCATTTAAGCATCTCAAAAATCAGCAACATAACTTTAGCACATACTCATTGTGCTTCAGATGTTGACAACAAAGCCAAGTCTTATACTGCATTCAAGTCATCTCGGAAGTCAGATGTCGGAGCTGAAAATGACGTCACACCCGAATTCCCAGCGTTTCAGTTACCAAGTTGGAAAAAGCAAAATAGGAGGTGGAAACAAGATGGCTACATCTACGAAAGTTATTTTAGCGCTTGCATTATATTTGGACAAGGCTTTTTTCCGACTTGGTAACTTAAACGCTGGTTAATCGGGTGTGGCATCATTTTCAGCTCGGACTTCTGACTTCCGAGATAACTTGAACGCAGCATTAGATAGTCTAAAATCATCCCAGAAAGGCGATTATACCTGACACCATGCATGCCCTATATTCAACATCTCCCTTCTGTAAGCTTCTACAAACCACAATTCGATAACTTACGCTTTTTTATTTTTTTAAGTTTATATTTTACTTGGTATAAAAAGAATTTCAAACCTCTTCCGTTCACCAAAGCTGAATTAGTCAATCCTTTATTTAACAAAGAGGCTGTGATTTCTTTTGTTGGACGTGATGAACTCCCTGCAGGCCTGTAAAGACTCACGTAGCTGGACGGCCTTGCACACTCCTGCTTCTGATCCAACATCCTGCTTGCATGTGATACCTGAAATTGGCGTTGCTCTTGATTATTATTGCCCATTCTTCCCCTTCATTGTGGACAAGCATCACAAAAAATACACCACACCACGTCCAAGTCTCTCTTCCCTTTGTCTGGCAGCAGTTTAGCTTTTTTTAAAAAAAAGCCCTTTCAGCTGTGAAGGAAAGCTCAATTATTTGAACAAACAATACAACACTGATTTTATGTTACACCAGTCGGAAGCCCCTTAAACTCATCAGAGGAAAGTCACTACTAACTAGTGGTGCAACGGATCACAAAACTCACGGATCGGATCGTTCCTCGGATCAAGAGTCACGGATCGGATCATTTTTCGGATCAGCAAAAAGAAAAAAAAACAAGACAAATAAAATATATAAAAGTAGTGCACAGGGCATAATATCTTCTTTTTAACATAATTATTAATGAAAAACAACTTAAAGTACAATATACAGGCATATCTCCTTCCTTTAAAATGTAACAATGAACCAAAAATGAAGTGTGTGCGCGATGGGATGTCGTAACGTGGCTCAAGCACTTTCAGCATGTTTTTAAAGCACTCGTTTTGCACAACTGAATACGGCCTCATGTCTGCAGCTATAAACACACCGATAGAGTTTGTGAAAGCTTTAGCCTGGTCGGATTGCGCAGGAAGAGGCTGCTTAAATGCTGCGGTGATGAGCGGTTGTTGGGCAGCTTTCGTTTTATCTCAGGTGTTATGCCAAAGAATGCACCCCTGCCGTATAGTGCACCCCCTAACGGGAGCGCGGTTGAAAGTACATAACAAGGCGAAATAATACAAGTTTTCCTTACGTTGGATGTATTCAACAGCGTTTGCCTTTAATAATTTCATTCAGGCTATTCATATCAAATATGAGATCATTATCTCCACTTTAAGAAGCTAACGGGTGGAGGGGATGCAGGGGGTGCGTTCTACGGCAGGGGTGCAATCTACGGCACAACACCTGTCAGTAAAACACCCGGCTGATGTCGCTTCAAATGCGTGAACATGCTCGATGTGTTTCCACTGTCATATGGCTTTCTTATGCCACAGTGCCTACACTCCGTCGCAGTTTTGTACACTGACCTCTTTCCTTCTTCATCATAATTGACAGGGAAGCCAAAATGCTCCCATACAGGGGATTTAAGTGTCGCGGGGCGTTCGAGCTCCTCCTTTCTCCGCTTTCAGAAATCGATCCGCGGATCACATGTGTGCCGAACCGAACACGTCGATCCGAACGGATCACGGATCAATGATGATCCGTTGCACCACTACTACTAACGCTCTGTAACATAGTCTAGTTCTGCAAATAATTTCATCCAAACAAAGCTGCCTAAACCAAGTGGTTTCTCTTATTGACCACACTTTGATTTCAACAAAGGCCCGGATAGAAGAATGGAAAACATGAATCAACCAATCAAATATTATTTATATAGCGCCAATTCACAACAGACGTCATCCCAAAAAAAGAGCAGGTCTAGACCACACTCGTCGTTTGGTGAGTTTTCAAGACCCAACCATAAGATGGAACAGATTTAACTCATCTCATCTAACATGGCATGGAACAGTGGCAAGAAAAAACTTCCTTTTAACAGGCAGAAACCTTGAGAAGGACCAGACTCATGTCCTCCGTCAATCGATTAAAAAAAAATTACTACAGTGAAACTTTTAGTTCAGGATTGAGACTTAATGCCGTGACCAGACTGTCATATCATGTCATGGTTTCTGTTAAGACAAGCACAAATGATCCAAGCCTTATTTTTGATTACACCAGAATCAAAATTCCAGTTTGAATGTACGATATACTCACTCCTTGTGTTTTATTAGCTTTTTAAACTTGGAGACAGGACAAAGAGATACAACAAAGAGTCCAACACATTCAGCTTCATTTCATGTCCACTTCAGTTTCTCATTATTCCCTTTATGTGCCCAATAATACTGTCCAAGTACAAGATACTGTATGACACACTGACATTTCAAAATGTACATTTCAAAGTCAAGACAAACTACAGGGACATAGTAAACAAATTTATACGCCTATTATCGACTTACTTGATGACTGATTTTTCTCATTTTAACACCAGTTTAGCAAATTAATGACGAGCCAAACTTCTGATTACTACTTCATTTCTAGTACATCAAACATTTAATCATAAAAGTTTTCTTCTGTTTTTCCCAGGTATTTTTTTTACAGTCTTCACTTTGCTCTTGACCCTTCATCAAACCAAAGGTCAAAGAGTCTCAAAGCCAAACTCCTTTTTTTCTGAGAGTTCATCGACTTGATGCAAAAGAAGATCTGACAGCTCTGACCTCAAGTCTGTTAAGTCCTTATTTGTGTCGGTCAAAGTCTGGGGTAATTTGTGTTGATTTGATTCGACTTGAGCAGCCGTCGCTCAGCTCTGTTTGTCCGAGAAGTGTCCTGGAGCTGAATTACAAAAGGAAGAGTCTTTCTTTTTTTTCCAGCAGAACCTGGACACGCAAACAGGCTTCCTCACATCCACAGGGAGTAAAATCACTTCGAACAGCTTGGGTAAGATGATGCAGTGACACCAAAAAACACAGGTAAACTCTAGCAAGTCTCCTTGTTGATTTTCCTGTAAGAATAAACAGTTTGTGACAAAAAACAGCTATTTTACAGAGGGAGGCATCCTGGTCTCCATGAAGGTTTCATGGTCTTGTTCAAAACCTCCCCTTCTTTCTTTTCTGATCTGTTCTTTCCCCGACATCAGCTCTAGATCTCAGCCACAGGTTGGACCAGGACAGGGAAGCTGGATCCTCAAGTTACACATCTAGGCAGAAAGACCTGAAGACCAGAGAAAGAAGTACGTAACATTCGCAGAAATTCACTTTCTCTCAGATCATAGAAAATTACGACATTACCACAGCTGACCTACTGAAAAAAGACGGACTAAACAATAAAATCATATTCTAATCACAGTATCAGTGTGATACGATACATTACCACAATCTAAGTGATTGTAATTATAGGAGTGTTTCTTAATGTTATCAAGCCTGAATATTTTACTTGCTGATTTATGCAAGAAAAAAAATCTGCAAACGTGAAACATTTGAATAATCTGGTTATTGTGTGATGATGTTTTCTTGATTGTGAATGTCATTATTTCCACTGATTAGGAAAGTTTGTGTGGTTGGGGTATTTTACAGCTTTAAGCTCAGCAGGGTCAGTGATTACCCTTGTTGTGAGGACAAATGTCTTATACTTTAAATGACAAAGTAAATCAGGTGAAATCTGTATTCATCTACAATGTAGATTCTTCACTGAAGATAAGACTGGGTCCATTTATAATTAAACAGTATGAAATGATTCTCTTTTATTTCATCTTCAAAGCTTGTTGAGTACGAAGCATAAATTTTAGACTGTAATAGTTTGAAGATTGTTGAAGACTCAGAGGGAGTGGATCAAGTTATCAAAAAATCACAACACAATTTGTTTAAAGTTAATTACAGTTAAAAATTTAGACGTATTGTAGTTAACTAAATAGACATGTTAATTTCTACAGTAAGTCAAGTTAGACAAAAATTCTAGTGTTTTTGTTTTCTCCCAATTTCAGAAGAAAACACAATACAACACTCACTGTTGCATCATTTTTAATGATGGTATGAGGCTGCTGCTCAGAGCTCCTTAGAGCTGTAGCGCTAGTTACATATTTGTAAGTGTTGGTGTACCGACATGCCCCACAGTGCTTCGTAAGTTAATGTAAAGATTTATGTGTAAAGTTGAGGTGACTGAAAACACCATATTTACTGTAATATGCAATCCTCGTCACAGCTCGGTCAGGTTTTTTAATCTTCTTGTGTTTATTTTGCTGTATATGTGTACATTTTTTTTCTGTGATATGGACCATCCTGTGGGTGGGTCTGAAATAAAGTTGAATAATAATAATAATAGTAATAACTCCCATTCAGTCCTTACCTGTGTGTGTATATGTGTGAAAACTGGACCATTGTAGACTTTATATGGCGTTATTGCCGGTCTCTGCGAACAGAAAACAGAAAGAGACCAGCTCAATATGACTGTGACATTTTGTAACCAGCAGGTGGCAGTATTCCATCAAACTCAGACTCCTACGAAACAGCTGCTTAAATTCAAACTCCATCCCTTCCCTCATGTTTCAGACTTGGACAGGTGTCACTATCCATCCTCCTGAGTGACATGATAGGAAAACATGCCATCTCGACTTCATCTGCTGTTTGATGAATCTCCCTCCTTTCTATTCCGGTCTCATGTTTCTTGTCTCTGCCTCTCTCTGTGTGCGCTCCCTCATCCTCCTTGGCTCATTATCCCCCCTCTGTCTTGTCCTTCCTCCCTTGTCTCTGGTTTGATAACGGCTTCTTCCTCCTAGTCTTTTTGATTTTTTCTCTTTTTTTTGGCGTCTAACAGGCGACTGTGTCCCGGCTGATAGGGTGTCTGTGATTCATTTGGACAGGCTGGCAGCAAGCTGTGTAAACAGCCATTAGTAATTCATGACTCCGTCCAGCATCCCCAGGCTTCAATTAACCCCTGCTACTGGTGCATTCTTCCTCCTAGTCGCCCATCTTTCTCCTCTCTTTTTGATCTTCGTCCTCCTTCATTTGTATTCTCCTCCTCCTCCTCCTTGTTGAAATCATTCTATCGGGGTCTGAGTGCAGATGTCATCCCGACCAATCAAGACGGGAGCATTTTCAGTGGTAACAGAAGCAGGCAAAAGCAGCCGAGCAGGTGGTGTAAAAAAATCCAGCTAATGTATGCAGATGATTTAGTCGAGCGTAGAAAATTATGCAAAAGAAGAAATAATGTTTTTTTATTGTTAATTTCCAGCTGCTGAGGGATTGTGTAAGGGCTGAAAAATCAGATTGTATCTCATTGAATTTTCATGAAAATACCAAGCGGGCGCAAAAATTTAGCAAAGATGAGGGTGTGAGTAAGATTTAATGTCGAAAGAAAGAAAAAAAAGACTGACTTTTCTTGGATTTGAGCCTCATAACTTTGAAAGCTTAATAAATGGACTCCACATGCCAAAGGAGGAATCAAATCTTGGCTGAACTTGCTGCATACTCATACACAAAGACATTCAGGCCAGTATTCCTTCATTTTTGTAATTAGTTTCTTGGCACTTGACTTGTTTTGTTCTGGGTGTAACCTTGATTTTGCACCAACATTTTTAATTTAGTATTTTCGTGTTTCTATTTCAGACTGGCATTTAATCTAGTTGGGGGCGGGTATGACCAGTGGTGGACAAAATATAGGACCTAATTATTTTAATTAAAGTCAAGATACTTCTGGTGAAAGATTACTCCAGTATGGTGCTCCACTTGCTCAGCAGAAGTTATGATTCTCACATGCCCACCCTGGGTCCTGTTCTAGTCTGTGGCCCCGTTCTGCACGTTGCTCCCACTCCCACAGTTTGCCTCTCTGGCTGCTGTCCAATATTCTCAAATAACAGCATAACACCTTTAAAAAATCATGAAAGTATTACTCTAACACAAGAGAAACTTCCTTAGTCCAATGATTTGTAGACTTTAAAGACTGTAAAGCAGATGGATTAACCAAATTCTGTCATCAGGGAGTGCTTGACTACGGTGGCTGAGAACCGTCACTGCTGCAAAAAAAAAAAAGAATGCAAAAAAAAGTCACAATGGAAGTTACTGAGGCTAAAAAAAAACTGAAGCCCGCTGCAAATAAAAAAAAGAAACGATGCAGATTTAAAAAAAAGAAAAAAGCCGCAACGGAAGTTAACAACGCAAAAAAAGTTACTCACTGCAAAAATAAAAGGATGCAAATAAAAAAAGCCACAACAGAAGTGAGCCGCCAGGGACCAATAATGATGATGCACAGGTGTTTTACAATCTAGGCACAGAAGACAACGGTGAGAAGACTAGCAAAGAAGTAAGTGGAAAAGGTTATTGTTTTTTTTTCGCTTTGTGTACTTTTCGATGTGTCATTTGGTTCGGCCATGTAGCGCCTGAGTCGATATGAAGTTGAACTGAAGCTAACACTACAGCGGCATTCTACAGATCAACTTCATATCGACTCAGGCGCTACATGGCCGAACCAAATGACACATCGAAAAGCACAAGAAGTGAAATTAAACAATAACCTTTCTACTTACTTCTTTGCTCGCCTTCTTGCAGCTCACTTCTGCTGTTGATTAATTTATTTTCTTTAATCCTTTTATTTTTGCTGTTCGTAAATTTTTTTTTTTTGCATCGCCACTTGTTTTACGTCGTTAACTTCTGTTGCGGCTCCTTTTTTTGCATTCATTTTTTATTTGCGGTTCTCAGCCACCGTACTTGACTGATGAGGGAACAAGTTCTGAAACTGGTCCAGTATTGAGGGAGAGCGAAGCTAGCCTGGCTGGTCCTTCCCACAACAAAGGAGGAAAGGCAAGTGATTCACGTAACTGGATAGCCCAGCCAGGCTAGAGCAAAGCAGCCAGCAGCTGTGAAATGAACTAAAAGGTAGTTTGATTGGGCAATTGCACATCATCAAACTGCGCCCACTACAAGTGCTTTATATCACCACTGACAGAAAATGTCGATAAACTATTTTACCGTCCACCATTGGTTTTATTTACCTTTACTAATTAGTCCAATGACACCCTTGACATCAAGATAAGCATGGGGATATTAGACCCCACAAATGGACGGGACAAAGAAAAGGACTTAAGACTTTGGTTTGTCTACAGGGATTTGCAGCCTTGGACTTTTCTGCAGAGACCCTTCTTTGTGCACAGGGGCACAAAAGCCTTCTTTCTCAGACTCTCCCTGTAAAGTAAGAGGCAGAAAATCATCTTAAATAAACTTCTGTGCAGCTCTATAAAGATTAACTTTCATCCAAACTGAGAGATCAAGCCTCTACCCTGAAATCAGCTTTAGCCCTGGGTACACAAAGGTATGCAGACCACTCCTCCTTCTCTAAATGATAAACCGAATTGTTCCCAAAAAGTGCAGCATGCTGTCAAACATGTCCCTCCACATATCCCAGAGCTGTTATCCTCTTACTGTCTCCCAGCAGCTCCTCAGACATCAGGCTGTCCTGACGGTTTCCCAGGACAAAGGCGAGAAAGGACAGGATGAGGGCGTCCATGATGCCCATGATGGCGAGGATGTACGCCCAGCGCACAGAGCATGCCCCGAGCGTGTACTTGTCTGTCTGCTCGCCGCACATCCGCTTGACCTCGTCGCTATCCCAGCCGTCTGGGTAGATCATGCAGCCCAGGATCAGACACGTACCTGCATCAAAAAGACAGATAGGACTGTCAGGGTTTAGAGGTTTAATTGGATACCAAGGGAGGACTTTGTTTTGGGTTAGAGACACTCTGTTTATCTCAGCCTGTTAAAAATGTACAAAGAACGAGGCGCAAAGGGCTTGGTGTAGAAACAGTGGGCATCAGGGAGATGCTGCAGAGTTTTATGTCTGCTTGAAGATGGAGGAAGAGTCAATAAAAATCTCATTAAGTTCATTTTTCAGAAAATTATCTTTATTTAGACAAGAATATTTCCACTGAGGTACAAATGCTCTTTGACTGGCAAGGACAGCAATATAAAAAGTTTCACACCAACAAAAGCCCCAGTCTCTGATTTATTTAAGTGTGAGAGAAAGCTCAATTAATTAAGATCATTGATTAAAACAAATACAGGCGAGACTCTTTGTAAGGCAGGAACTAGCAAAGTAAATTAGTGTGAGTAACAGAAACAGATGGAGCAATTCTTTATCTGTAATCAAAACAGTCTGAGCTGAGAGGATTATACCAAACAATATCACCAAAGTACCAAGCAACTAGAAAAGTTTGACTTGAAAGCTGAAGGTCATGTTTCAATGGTCGAAATCGGAGCTGAAAGCAGGTCAAATACCATCCAAAAGAAGCCTATTAAATATCCTTTAAGATAGTATAGTTGCAGAAGTAAGCTATTATTAGAGAATAACAGATTCTTGGGTTGATGTATCAAGATATTAATAAACACTGAAAGATGTAAAAGGCTAAAAGCAAAAATAGACTTGTTGCGTATATTTAGCAGTGCTGCGTTCGATACGCTTCTGATACGGAGCTCAACTGCAACCTATTTGCTGCATGATACATGGCGCTGACGATATATGTTTAATACGGATCCTGTATGTTTTAGCCTTAAGTGTCAAAGCAAATGTGTAAAAAAAACTGCAGTACCTAAGGTGTCCACTTGAGGCTGGCCTAATAAGGCCAAGAAACTGGCTAATTTGACCAACAGGTGGACTTTGTTGTAGCTGTTTGCCAGCTGGCAAGTCCAAAGGTCCTTTCACACCAGGACCGTTTTTGTTATGCCATTATGTCGGATGTCAATATTTTTTTTCAAACCCGTATCCTGTCAATTCAAGCTTTCACATCAGCGATGTTTTCCCGTCCTGCGATTTTGCGGCATTTATTTTTTCGGATCATGGTCGATTTTTCTAAAGTTCCGCATACTGTGTGTCCACTTCTGACCAATCAAATTTTGTGTTGTTGCGACGTCAGATTCACCAGTATATCCAACATGGCCAACTGGCTGACTGTTTACGTGTCGGAGAACAGAGTGCTTTTTGATAAAAGACACAAATATTTCAAAGATAATGACCTGAAAGGACAACTTGTGGAGAGTCATAGCGTTGGATCTCTCATATGACGATGTTTGGTGTGCTTTAACAGTTTGCTAAACGTCTTTGTTTTAACTTTCATCTGTGCTAACGTAAGCTAACGGTTGTCACCATAGTTTCATGTGCTTATCTTATCGCCTCTGATTGGCTAGAAGTGCTGACCGTTTGGCTTGAGTAGCCAATCAGAGGCGAAGGAGGTGGGACTTTCCCCGGGAAAAGTCTTCCCCGGGATGCGTCTTTATCGCGAAGTCGCAAAATCACATCAGGCTTGATGTGTACAGTCAGGCGCGTCAAAATTTGCACCGAATGTTTCGTAATTTCGCGTTCTAAATTCGTGTTGGCCCCGGTGTGTAAGACCTTAAAGCATCAGTTCCAACTCTCTGCTTGTCTGTAGCAGAGCTGAAAGTTAGTTGGACTCAGCCTTTCCAATATGGCGACCAGCATTTTTTGCCTTACTGCCCTTTTTCAGAGAAACACTCTCTAAACCCAATACAGTGGCGGCAGATGACTGTCTTACATGAGTCTAGTTCTGCTCGAGGTTTCTGTCTGTTAAAGGAAGTTTTTCCTCTCCACTGTAATTTGCTAAATGCTGCTACAGTGTTTCATCTGTGGTTGAAGATGATGTGGGAGTGGGTTTGATTTTACAAGACGGGGCTAAATCTTATGTAACCATTACATTAGGTCTTTGTAAACAGAATATGCTCTTTTTTATTAAGTGTCTTTGGATAACACTTGTTGTGAATTGTTGCTGTGTAAATACAGATTGTTTGATCGGTATTTGATAAAGACTAAGGGTTAAAGAAAGACAGGCTGCATCCGTCAAAAAAAGTTAGTAACCACTGTGCTATGAGTGCAAAGAGATGGAGTGAAACTCGAGTCTGCAAATTAGAGAGTGCGGAGACAGGAGAGGAGAGGGAAAAAGGCAACAGCAGTGCAGAAATAGGACAGAGAGGTGAAGAAGAAGTCAGAAAGAGAGAGAGAATATGTTTCCTCATGTCAAAGCACAATGTGTTGAGTCTTCATTCATTAGCCGTCTGCTGCATGGCTGGAAATGACAGACTGAGCTGTTAAAGAGCGGAGTCATCAAGCTGCCTGAGCGGAGTTGTTTTCACATTGACTCACTTACTCACTCACAGCTGAGGCTATCAGATGACTTACAGTTCCGATAGGTCGAGTTTTCTTAGTTAACAGCGCAGCAGAGAGTCGAATCTTCCAGGTTTATATCAGTTTTATCAAATAACGACTGTGGTATTTTTAAAGAGACGAACACATTTATGCTTAAAATTTTCAGCTTTTTAGGATTATTGTTGAGATCGAACATCTTTGCATACATCTGCATATATTTTAAAGCTGGGGTCATAAATAGAGTTTGAGATAACAAGGTAAAAGTGTCAGAGTTATAGGGTATGTTTCAGACGATATTTAAGGGGCCTCACCTATGTGCTGTCTCCAAATGTTATTTTTCTACACTCCAGACTTCGTTATTTAGCGCCAACCAAGCCAATTATTTTTGACTCGTGCTGTGCAGTAACAAATCCTGCCAAAACCCACAGAACTTTGTTTCAATTTGAAGTTCAGACTTCAAAGTCACTAAAAATACCACATATGTGAAGCTGAATACTCTCATAAGTAAAGAAACAACTCTTACGGTATACGGAATATGAACCCAAATGTTTATGGTGGGGTAAGAGTAAAGTCAGTGTACAAGTATTTCAATATTGAACCGCCTCAATGACAAACTGGGACAAGCCCACACAGGAGATTCATGAACCTGTCAGATAGTGAGGAATAACATTGTTTTTGGGTTATTTTAGCCTTGAAGCTGAGAATGAAGGATCTTTGTATCATTGTGATGAAGTGTCCTGATACGTGGGTGGTTTAATTCAGACAGTGCAGTGACAAGAACAAATATGACACTCTGATCATCTCTCAATGTAATTTATTTCAAATAAACTCTCTTGGTCAATCAGTGCTTTAGAGGAAATGAGAAATGATACAAACACAAAGGATGCGAGTGAGTCTACAAACACTTAAACAACAAAATATTGGTAATTTTTTAATCCAAAGGATGCCAAGAGAGTACTTTTTGTTACTTCTGCTTTTTTGTTGTGTTTTTGGAGCATAAGTGTCCAGATCGCTCACTTCAGGAAACAATAACACCAACTATCAACGGTATATAAATCCTCTACATCAAGAAGTTTATTCAAGTATTTTTTTAAACCAAGATTGGAAAAATAATTGTGCACAAGTAACATCAAAAACAAAGTTTCTCTGTACCCCTTTTTACAACTTAATGTTGAATTTGTAATATCAGCAGGATTTTACTGAAGAAACTAGTGAATTTTTGTTAAATGACATAGAAACCTGTTATAACAATACTGAAAGTATCTTAAAGTGAAATTTTGGTCAGAGACTAAGAAATATTGACGACAGGTTTATTTGTGTTGGAGTCATGCTCGATTAGGTACAATTAGTCCAAACAAATAACCATTTTAATTTCTTAATTTAAAGTAAACATGTTCATCTCTGAAATTTAAAAATAGCTTAAAATGAAAGAACCCAAGCAAAGATTAAGTATCACAAACTTCATGAATTAATTGCAGTGAGTGTCCTCAGGTATACTCCGTTACTGAACTCATGGTCCTCACAAGCACTGAAAAACAAGTGTGTGTGTTTATGTAAGATTAGTGACCCTGTAGATTTTTGTTTATGAATTAATAAATACGATGAGAGACAAAGAGATTAGACATGCATGTCCATCATATAAACAACAGAAAATGGAGTCCCATTAAACTCCCCCCCAAACTTATCCACAAATTCATGTCATCACTCCCAGTGTGCTCTGTAAACCGTTAACAACAGTCGCACAATTAATCCCTAATCCTTATTTGTACTTACAGAAAATATGGAACAGCTGAGCGGTCAGAATACCAAAAACAAAAAGGAATAACTGAGATTATGATCACCTCCTTGATCAGGGAAAAGTGAATTTGAGGGCTTATGTAGAATGATAATGGTTTAGTTATCTAAAGTGATTTCAGGTAATTTTCCAGTGGTGCCCATGCCTCTTTGTATTCCTACTTATTATTTTGAGCTACCTTTCCCAAATTAATTACTTCTGTTGCTTCAGCGATCCATTCTTTGTACATTGGTGCAGTTACCATATACCAGTTATTTATAATTACATTTTGTGACCGTGCACAAGGGAAGAGAAATACTCTTATTCTTTGAGGAAACAGCACTTCAGTGATGCAGGCCACCGAGGTGTGAGGGAAAAGGCTAAATTGTATGGATCAGGACTTGTTTTCTTTAATAATGGTGCAGTCCCACAGCAGGTGAAAATACGTTCCTTTGGCAGCACCAGGTTAAAGGATTTCACACCTATGCTTGAGTGATCAACAGGAGTACATGTCCTCCGTTTTATTTCATTTCGGAACTTTTGGTCCTCATAATTATAGAAAAACAAGTGCATGTGTGAAGTGTGTATGCTTATGAATCAGGTTTGTACACTAACTCGCCACCAGATTAACCAGACGGATAATCTCCGGAAATCTCAGAGACTTGTTTCCCTCTTTACCCTTCTGTGCCCGCCTGTCTTTCACCCCCACCCCACCCTTGCTCTCTTTGAGGCTGAGATAAAGCGAGCGGCCTGGTGGTGAGATGATAGAGCTCTTTGTTGACAATCTATGATAGAGGCAGAGAGTCCGGATGTGTCCTCCTTTCTTTCTTTCATCCCGATGACACCGTGGATGAGGGGATGTTGATTTTATAAGTCTAGAAGTAGATTTCCTCCTCTGGAAGGACACAATCTACTGCTTTTATGGTCAGCCTATGTGGCTAAAGACAACTTGTTATTGCGCGATTGCATGTGAATCCGTTGGTTCTTGTGAGTTCTTGCGATTCCTGCTGTCCGTAATCCGCCGTGAAATTCACCTCACAAACGGATCTGGCAAGAATTGGCATACGGCGAAAATCGCATCTGGATCAGAGCTGTTCTGGGTGCGGTGGGAATCCCAGGTAATTTTAATACACTGATACTTTGCGAGGACCCCTTGGTTCGTTTGTCACAAAGTTACATAGATTGGTAATACCAGTCAAAACCAAAGCCAGTGTGAACTTGGTGGAATATTATGTCAACATGAAGTGTCTCGAACATGTTCCCTAAACCTAATCAGATAATTTTGTCGCACAGTTACACTAAACATGGGCCGTTTAAAATCGTTTATACCGCGACTGAACTGATTGTCCCTTTGAAAGGAAGCAGAGAGAATTAATTACTAAAATCATACTTTACAAAGGTGTAGGACAACATCAGCAAAAAGGTATTAACATGTCCACAGGAGGCGCCAAAATCAAAGAAAAACTGAAAGTTCCTCACAGTGACTTTAACTTTCAAATACTGATTCCCTGATCTCTAAGAAATGCTACCACATGCTCACAAAACTCTAACTCTTGACCCTTTCTTCTGCAGCATAAAATCTTTGATATCTTTATGCATATTAGAGGATTCAGTGCAGTGAGCACACTCTTCTTCTCCTGCAGGCTTTTTCGGCTGTAATATTAATAGAACGAGTTGAACCGCACGCGTCTCGGCAGCAAATCTTAAACATCCCACTGAGATCGAATAGAAGAGAAATCGAGAGATCAAAGAGACGCTGCATTTGTGTTTCTGACTCTCATCTGAAAGCTGTCAGATGTCCATTTCCATGCCATAGTTGTTCAAGAGAGAGTAGATCTACCTTAAGCTAAAAAGCACTTTTTCCTTCCCTCATTGATCTCAGCGTCTAATGCTCCTACTCCAAAAGCCTAAACAGCTATAAAAAAGCTCAGAACAGAAATCCATCTGAATCCAAATGTCTCCAAACTAGACTAAGACCAGCCTTTGAACCCTGGTTGAATTGTTTTGCAGTAAGGCCCACACAGAAATGTGTCTCTACATGTGTCGGATCATTACAGACAAACCCTTTAAACGGTACTCAGCAGCAGAACAACATACAGAGACAGAAAAGACCAGCCTCCTCTTTTCCAGTAGATAAACCCCTCTCTTTGTAATGTTTCTGCAGCCTGCACACAATCCCTGCCATAAATAATGTACTATATTATGAAACCCTCCGACGAGCCGCTGTGTCAGCTCATTTCCAGACTTCAAATGTATGATGTTAGAGTCGACTCACAAGGCCTGAAAGCTGCGGAGAACATTCAGACTCACATGCAGAAAACAGATGAGTGATCTGGGTCTAAACGCTTGGAGTAATTTTAGGAGGACGGGAAGAAAAAAGAGGACACTCCACGATGCTTCAGATGTTCGTAAATAAAGGATTCATTCAGCAGGAGGAGGAGAGGAGTCCACTAAAATTCACTCAAGCCCAGAGAGAAAACTCACCCTCACAAAGGCTTTTGTCCGTCTCTTAACTAAAGCATTGATCTATTTTTAATAAGAAACCCTTTTTTTTTTTTTTTACCACAAATAAAACTTAATTTTTAATAAAATATATATTTAAAGGGATATTCTGTCGTAAAATTAAGTTAGGGTCAAACACACCGTAACAGTACATATAGGGTCCTAGCCACAGCGCTAGCCACCAAACATCTTTTTAACTTTGCCTAATTTCTTTAGCAAAGAGACTAAACACAACTCACCTACTCTCTTCCAGCAGCCGCTTGTTTGTGGCAAAACTTCCGGGCCAGTCCATTACAGACTACAGCAGGGGTGACGCAGATTGAGGAGGAACATTTATGATCATTTCTTCATGGAAATGCAATCAGACCGAGATGCTAAAGCAGAAGAACTACTGCGTCTGCAGTGGAAAATGATTTATATGATGATTATTACTTCAAAGAAATGATAAAGTAATGATCTTCAATGTTCTTCCTTGAGCTGCGTCACCCCGCTGCAGTTGATGGATTCGCCCGAAAGTCTCCATACAAACAAGCAACTGCTGGAAGAGAGACAGTGAGTTGTGATTTTTGTCTTTGCTAAAGAAATTAGGCAAAGTTCAAAAAATGTTTGGTAGCTAGTACTCTGGCTAGGACCCTTTATGTACTGTTGATGATATTAGGTCGTTGGTTGAGCGCATGGCTCTCTGTATTGCTATCTGTGGCAGTTACTAGAGAAGCAAGCGGTCAGCAACATTCATCCCTCGATGCCTAACTCAGTGTTACGGTGTGTTTGACCCCAAATTAATTTTACACTTGAATATCCCCCTAAGTTTTAGTGCTTTATTAACAGAGACATACAACATATTAGAAATATAAATCAAAAAACCCACAAGTTATAATTAGAAATTCAATAAAAAACATAAGAAAAATAATAATACGCTGAATCCACAAAAGAGAGTCAAAAAGCTCCAAAATAGACTGGTATTATTCTGCTTCTTTCTTCTCATCTATCTTCATGTTTGAGTTGTTCATCTAACATCTAATCTCCAGCTGATCATTTTGGCTTTCCAGAGAAACCGGACTATTTACTTAGAGCACTTTTATACCACTGAATAATTTATCAATACTCTACAAGAATTCATGTTTCCAAATGTGGGTCACACAGAATAAGTTTGCAGTAAAAAGTTTCTCAAACATCTCTCTAATGCTCGTGAGTGTCCTTGATTCCTTCACACATGCTCCTCCTCTCCCCTTGAAGGCCTCCCAGCTGACAGCTGTTGGCAGCGGCATGTGGACAATCAAAAGAGGAGGTGCTATGATCTAGACCCCTGTGTCCAATCACAGCACGCTATTACACACTCACACATCCACCACTCATTATAGTGCATTTCACAGGCCCAGCTGTAGCTGTCTAATTCTGCAATTCATGTTCTTCCAGACCTCGTAGGTTTTGGAGTGTGAATGTGCAGGTGTGCATGCAAGTGTGTGTGTGTGTGTGTGGTGGTTGGCTGGAGATATAGAGAACTCATGCTGTATGCACAGCACACCAGTATCAAAGTGGATCCTGGCAAATGATATTAATGGGAGTTAATTGGGGCAGAAACTGGCACCTTCTCCTCCACTCTGACCTCATCACAGCAAGTGTGTGTGTGTGTGTGCGTGTGTGTGTGTGCGTGTGTGTGTGTGTGTGTGTGTGTGCAGAGAGATAAGGCAGAGGAAAGGGAGCACGGTTTGCAACATGACTCCCTCCTCCTCATTAACACCTTTTATATGAGGTTCAGTGGTTCACGGGGCCTGTGTGTGCAGATTAATGAGCTGCTCTGAAGTCCCTGCACATCCAGCCCTCATGTTTCACATGTGACATGGTACATGGATTTATAAAAATGTTCAGGAGTCAACTTTTCAGCAACTAGGTGCTGAAATACAGCACTCCAGTTTCATAAAGGTTGGAAAGTCTGTAAAATATAAAAAAAATTTGATGGACTAGACTCTCCTACTATGGAGCTATACTATTGTAATTCTTTCAGTGTCATTATGCCTGTTCATCCCTGAAAATGGCATTGTCTAGATGGGATTAATGGTGCCCTCCCAGATGTGTAATCTTCCTAGGCCACGGGCACTTAAGCGTCCCAGTAACATCAGGGACGCTGGCCTTTGAGCTGTGTGCTTATAATAAACTGTATGGTCCCTACCCTTCTCTGAACGCAGGATGCTATGTCCATGGTTTCCAAGAGGATGTCAAGATTTGATTTGCGCGATTACAAGAATTTTACAAGAACATTTATGATCATTTCCTCATGGAAATGCGATCAGACCAAGACACTAAGGCAGAAGAACTACCGTGTCTGCAGTGAGTAATGATAAATACGGTGATTATTACTTAAAGGAAATGATAAAGAGGTCTCGCTACAAACAAGCGGCTGCTGGAAGAGAGTAAGTGAGTTGTGTTTAGTGTCTTTGCTAAAGAAATCAAGCAAAGTTACAAAGATGTTTGGTGGCTAGTGCTATGGCTGGGACCCTATATGTACTGTTGATGAAGTTAGGTGCTGTTCTGAGTATTATTTGTGGCTATAGAGTGGTGTTTTGGTTGAGGTTTGTTTATGGCTCCTCAGAGTGCTCTGTATTGCTATCCTGTGGTCATTATTAAAGTTGGTATAACTAGAGAAGCAAGCGGTCGGCAACATTCATCTCTCGAGGGGGTGTCTAACTCAGTGTTACAGTGTGTGTTTGACCCTAAATTAATTTTACCCTGGAATATCCCTTTAATTTGATTTTTATAGGAGTTCTTCTCAGCATGGTGCAGTTTTGACCTGCGTTTATGGATGCATCACACATACAGTGTTTTTTGGTGTGACTTTGTGCCCATGTAGTGATTTCCACTGCAGAGTAATGGTTGTTCTTAATGCAGCGCTGCTTTAAGGCTTGGAGATCATGCCCATCCAGCATTAGTGATCAACCTCGTCCCTTTTATACAGAGGATTCTGTTAGGAGTAGATACTCTAGTTTTATACAGTTTTTATCTTTCACCTCATTGAAGGCTGTTTGTTAAGTCTCCCCTTTACTACTTGTGAATTTTCCAAACAGAAGACGGTATTTCTCCCTCAAAACTATCAAAGTTTTTAAAGGCTAATTCTTGATCTTTTATTTATATTCTGAAACGTAGTCGCGTTTTATACAAATTAGGCTCAGAAATATTTTTTAAAAATCCTAAAAAGAATCGCTGATTGCAAATTTCAAGTCTTATTTCCACATTGCGTATGCTCATAACTGGGGATCCTCAAAGGAAAGCATTAATATTTAATGAATGCATGACTCAATATTGAGAATAGAAATCTTTAACACCAGTGGATATCCTTGCAGCGATACAGAACTGAGAGGATAAGATGTTGTACATACACAGTTGAGGATGTAAGCTGCAAAAACATAACCTAATTCAATTTAGCAGCGAGCTCAAACGCCTTGCTAACACTGTAATCCCATGAAGGAGCTGTCCAAGCACTGTGTTGCCAAAATCTGAAACAACAGCCACAGATGTTGCTGTTTTATCTGCTCCAGTCTGCATCAGACAATCTAAACAAGTGCTTGTGATTGAGACACTGACTCGAGGTCAGTCTGATCTGATCTGTATGCACGCCAGCAGCCAGAAAGGTTTCAGAAACAAAAGACGATTTGCATGCCCACTTTTTCATCTTCCCTCTTCACCTCTTAGAACAACTGGCACAAAGCTTGTGTTGTCACCAGAGGGGGGACAAGGGGAATGAGGGGGAGAGGAAGATAAAGTAAAGAGTGAAGATGAAGTGACACGAGTGAGGAGAGAGAAATAATAAAGACGACAGCACAGGAAAATGCAGAGAGGCGCCTGATTAATGCAGCTTAAAATAACGTTAGCGGCTCCAGGCGATAGCTCGCCAGGAAGGAACAGAATGACAAGGAAGGAAAAACAGGTGTAAAAAAGAGGCGTATTATGACAGTGAAACATGAAAGGAAGTAAACATGATCATAAGAATCACACTACTTCAGGAAATGATCTAAAATGTTTGGTTATAATGCCGTTAAAACACCTGTAGGTGTGAGTATATTTACTTCTCTTTCAGGTTTGGATCAAAGTGAAGAGGCAGGGAAAGAAGAGAGAGCGAAGACTGGAGGGAAAAGGTTGGAACAAGGGTTACAAGATAGGAATCCCAATGCACACAGAGAAAGAAAGTGGTGGTAAAAAAAGACAGATCATGCTCCAACATCAGAGAAACAGCACTGTAAAAAAGACACAAAACAAAGGGAGAAAAGATGGACTGAAGCATTCGTAATCCAAATATGACCAAGTCAATAATGCTGCTGGTCATTCATAATGAACTAAAAGGAAAATTAAATTTTACATTCTGTCAAAGACAAGCTAGTTTGAGACGGTCCCTCTGGGAGCCGTAAAATTGATTGAGCGTTAAATTTACAATCTAATCATCTCTGAGCAGAGGGACGCACAAAAAGCTGAGGTCTGTACTGAGCAGAGGCCAAACAGGAGTCTGAGAGTCATTATTTCATTAGAGCTTCAGCATCTTTCAAAGGTAAAGGAAAAGCTGACAAGGATTCAGAGTTACACTCACACACACCTCTATTACGACCTTATGTCAGTTAGCTCCTCCTTTTGAGCAGTTAACAGAGGCTGGTCAGTTTGAACTACTTTTAACATCACAATCATCTGAAATCACACACCAGACGACTCCTTAACACACTTAATTTTTGTGGTTGGCTTATGATTTCATGATCTCACAGAAATGCCCATGCTTTTTCCTTATCGACCCTATTGCGGTATGTCTTGCATGAGATATTATAAAGGCTCCTCATATTGGTTATTGCTGTATCTCATTAGAAGAAGTCCAACCTGACATATTAAACATGTCTGATGTTTACAATTACAGGTTTGAGAGGCTTTTACTCTGTCTGAAGCAGAAAAATCCTCATATTGACACCACGCACTTGAGGATTGGGGTGGCAGACAGGCCCTAAATAGATCATATCCTACTACCTGGTAGAATAACGGGGATATGATTCATAAAATACTATAGTGTACCATAACTATGTTCAAGGTCATAACTTAGGGTGACCATACGTCCTCTTTTACCCGGACATGTCCTCTTTTTTGGGGGCTGTTCGGGTTTGTCTAGCTTTGTCTAGGGAAATTGATAAAATCCTTCAAATGTCCGCATTTTGTATGAGTGTTTCGATTTTGTGTCACGTGGACTTACTGAGTTAGAAGCGCATAAAAGAGACTTGATCCAAACCGAAAAACTCTCAAAATTAACTTTGTGCGACTCTGTGACTCCCCCCCATATTTTTGGAGAGTCAGAATATGGTCACCCTACATAACTCGTAGAAACCTTGATAATCTGACAAACTCTAATTAGTCAACAGCTTCTTGATCGCCAAGAAGCCACAATCGATTAAGTGAATCAGGAGAGAGATCAGCCGTGTATTTGACTCCTGGCTGACTCGCCACTTGTATGGTAGATTTCATAGATGCTAAGGTGCAAAAATGAACCACCCAAAGACAGAATCAAGTTGTCAGCATCAACCACAGCTCATGACAATTCAGACAGACAACAGAAGCTGAAACATCCCAGAATACCTCTAAAACTGTTTTCCCTTTTATACACCGTTTGGGCGTTCCAATGACATCATTTGTTTTTATCTTCCTGTAAGTGGTCTTCACATTGGTGTCTGATAGTCAACATCGTGACTTCTTCTGGAAACATGTTTTCCTTGCTGGCCCACCTCTTCTGCATCCTGTTTTGCAACTTTCTTTGCTCAAACCTATTGTCGATTATTTGCTCCCACAAACACAGGTGACCATAGCATTTTAACCACTTCCAAAAAATCCCAGATACAATTAAAAAAAACTAATATTAGTGTTGGTATCTATTTTTTAATCACGCTACCTGGCCAACAATACAATATTAACGAGACTGTAGCTACAGTTCCAACATTTTGAGTATTAGCCAGCGAGCCAGATGGTGTATTCTTGTGGATCCTTTTTTTCTGAATCTTGGCAAATCGCTGCTAAGTGAGATTTCTCTTCCTGCAACCAGATTGAGGCTTATAATGATGACAGTAGGGTCTCATGTGACCCTGTACACTGAAGGCATATGATTGAATGCATATGTGGTGGTCATAGTAAAAGGTTGAACGTCACTTGCTGCTTGGGTCACTTATGAAACCGTCACACCAACGTCAGCCTGTGGTTGAATCAGCTTTTGTTGGAAAGCTAATGGGCTGTAAAAATAGACACCAACATGAACGACATTTATAAAATAATCATTTCCTCTGTGTATTCATCATCAAGCTATTTTAACGTTGCTCTGCTAACATTGGACAATCACTTTTGTGCTACTCATTCAATGACAATAATGTTATGCAACAAAAACAGCTTTAAAGCAGTTTATAAGAAAATGATATGTGCACAAACTGATGAGCACAAGTGTGTTAGGATGTTTGGACTATTTCCAGAAAGCCCCTGTGCCCCTCTCTGACATCCTCGAGAAACAAAGCCCTCTTCTTTTGGTCTGGATCTACATAAAAGTCACCGCGATAATCCTCCTGAGTGGAGGTGTTGTGTTGCTTTTTTAGATGCCTCCTCTTATGTGTGTGGCCCCCCCGCTGCCTCACAGCCCACAGGAGGACGGCTCAGAAGTTGTTTCCAAACACAGAGATGCTGCCAAAGGTTTTGTTAAATTTGTAGTCAGCTCTAGTTAAAAGAGTCGTCTTCTCATGAGTTTTCAAACAGGCGTTTATTAAGCTGCTCTCTCATTTTTTTTTTGTAGAGAAAAACATGTTGACGAGTGGGAGATTGCTCCCTGCTCATAGGTTCACATCAGGAGGGGAGGAAAAGATACCGCATTGCCATGGAGACAAGCTGTCTGTAGTCCTCAATCCAAACATTCACCAGCACCTCAATACTGCGGCAGAAAAGTGACACACCATGAAGGTTCTCCCGTTTCGGAAATATTCTCTAACACTGTTTTAAAATTTCCCAAAAAATTCAGAAATCCCTGAGGAAATTTGCAATAGTTTAAGGATACACTGGAAAATTTCTAGTAAAACTTACAAAAATGCCCCAAATAATTTTGGTTTTACACAATTATATGTTTCTTAAATTTACCAGAAAAAAATTCGAAACTTTACTATTGAAGACAATTTCTGAGGCAATTGACAAAAACCCCAGGGACAGTCCCTAAATTTTTGTAAAACTTCAGGAATTTTCTTTTTTTTCAACTGGGAAAGTAACTAAGAACCTGAAGCTAAGTTTCAGTTGAATTTCTCTGATTTCTTCTCTCTCTCTGAACGGCTCCAAGAATTTTCCTTTACAATTTTTAGGAAAATGAGAAACTAATTTCTAAAAATTCCTCAGAAATATCAGAAGAAAAAATAAAAAATTAAGAAAAATTTCTGTAACCCCTTTGCAAACCCTCAGCAAAATGGTCAATGAAAATTTGGAAACAATTTACCAACATTTCCAGGAAATACCCAACAAAATCGCTTCGTTGAATTAAAATATGGGTAGAATATTCAAAACATATTTGTCAAAATCTCTGAAATTATCTGGAAAATTTCCAGAAAATAAAAACTCTTGTCTGTTTGATTCTTAAGGCAAAAAACAGCAAAGCAAACATGGAGCTGGAGGTGGAAGTGGAACCCCGCAGGTTGTGTTTGTGACATTTTGAACAGTATCAGGGAGGCGTTTACCCTCTGAGTGTGCCCCTCCTTCCACTTCCACCCCCCTTCAGCACAGCTCACCTTGACGATCTCTAAGAGAGGAGAATGAGAGCCTCATAGTGATCGGATGTGGCGAGCGCTGAGAGCCGGTTACCATGGAAACCGGCAAGCTCAGAGGGGAGGAAGGAAAAGCATTAATGGGTTGCTGAGGTGGCTGTGAATATCACCGAAACAACACACGTCCCCTCTAACTCTACACTCAGACTGTGAATCTGTGTTTTTTTTTATCCATGACCTTTGAAAAACTGTGACTGTAAACACACAACGAGAGCAGGAGCAGCTGTTACAGCGACAAAACACACACATTTACACACCAGAGGAAACATTCAGACATTAGAGAGGATCCTCATGGAGCACAGAGCAGAATTATTCCTCCATGTTTCCCTCGTGTCATCATAAGTGTGTCCACAGGGATGCAAACGCTCCCTCTGCTCACACTTGTGCACTTCCCTCTCTAAATGTATCAAGTAAAAACCCTCGCTGTGCTGCTAAGCTAGCTCTCCGCGCCTTTTGATATCCTCTCCAAGCTCGATCCTCATTTGTATTCTTCTTCTGCCCCTGGTTTGCACTGAGCTTTGATTCGATCCCCCGCTAACATGTTTTCCAATGTTAACATTGTTAGTCATGTTTTCCACACAGCATGGAGCACATCCACAATCATCGATGGATGATTGGTTTAATTAGGCAGCGACCTCAGAGGAAAACCAGAGGGAAGAAATAACTTATGACCTCCAGAAACGAATTTCACAGATCTTTGTTTATCTGCGGAAACAACTGGTGAAATATTCAACCCTCTGAGTGCACAGAGGTCATTTCTGTATGATTGCTAAAAGGCTGCACTCTTCAAACAGCTGATATGGAGGTATTGATTTATGAGATTGTGATAATGAAATGCTTCTCTCGGGAAGATATATATGCAAGCCAGTACAGCTAATGGAGATGTGCTTTGTTGTGTCTCTTTCAGGAGGGAATGAGGTTGAACTTCAGGTCTGCAGAGCAGAAGGAGGGAGTTGCAGGCCATTAAATGGATGTTAATGGGATGAAGAGAGTACAGAGAGAAAACTGAACATAGAAGATTAAAGACTGGGGTGGGGTAAGTACTGAGGGAGAGTGGGAGATCTATATTGGATGGTAGAGCTGTGGAACGTATATTTATCAGGGTAAATAAGCATGTTTGTATAGATGTAAATATCACTGCTGACCTAAATAATCACCAAAGTCTCTTTAAAGCAGAGAAAAGTAAACAAGACTATCTGCATAAAGATCTGCTATTTTCATGTACTGTATCGACCATAATACAGGACTTCTTTATCATTACACATCTGAAAAAAGTGGGATTGACTTGGATTCAGGGTTTTGTATTTAACTGGGCTGACTCTGTTGTGAGAACATAACAGTACAACATACTGATTTACTGTAAAATCCACTTGGTCTGTGAGACCGACAGCTTTTGGACTACGACTCTGTTTCTGGGACGTCCAGGGCTTTTCTGTCTCACAATGAAGATCAGTCAGTACGATTATATGACACTCGAGAGAACCGAATCATTACCTTACTCTGATTAAGACCGGACAACTGAAGTGCACGTAAACACCTTAGTCCAACTATAATCGGAGTAAGACACCCAGATAAAGTGATTGGAATTCGATTTTCTCTACCATGTAACCAGCGTAGTCAGGGTATGATTGGACAGTGCATGCACGTGTGCACCCTGCTCCCGTAACCCCGGAACAAAAACACCAGAAAAGAGGAGTAGCGTGCACCTCATCTGCAGAAAAAGTAGTGCGTACATCATGTATGACAAAAATAACGCTGTACGATGTTTCATCTTCTTGCTCGAAAATGCCCAGCAGCAGCTGTAGACACTTCTAACGTCTTTCGTCTGTTGACGGTTGTATGGGGTCAGAAACAGCGCAGCTGAAAAGACCGATATCGCCCCCTGGTTTTGGGGAGGAGGACACGTTCACGTCAATAATTGATAAAGACTAATGTGTTTACATGTTTTTGTTTTTGTTTTCAAGTTTAGCTTAGTCAGATTAAGGCAATAATTCAATTTTTGAACATGTTAACATCCTGACTGGCTGAAACATCTGACTGGCAGTACAGTTAGTCAAAGTGCCAAAACAACATTTGTTTACAATTTTCACAACCTAAGAGTTCCTTATTGGTGCTTTAAATGTCACACACCTGTGTTTAGCTGTAAAAGGAAAGCAGGTGAGAGGTGTTAGTCAGATTTTAAATTTGTACTGGGTGGTAACCTTCACCAAAGTTTCCTCTTCATGAATCTGGGAGTATATCTGAACATCATTCACGGTGTGAACACAAACAGTCAGGCGTCATAACAGAACCTGATATATGATGAAGACCTGCGCCTGTGCGTTGGTCTCCTCCTCGCCAGCAGACAGCAGCATCACTCATTAAGTCAAACACCTGCGTGTCAAACCCACCATCACTCAAATACAGATGCACACAGTCTACTCTGAGGTTTCAAATGGGTCACTGTGTCCTTGTCCTGCTGCCTAACTCAGGGGGAGGAGAATAAATCAAACCAGCCGTCTCTTCCATCCCGGCCCACTGATCAAGAAGATAAACCCCCGATGGGAAATCTATAAAGTCTCCACCCTCCTCCTCTGGGTGTATGTGAGACGCATCAATATGGCACTGCTGTAGAGTACGTGGCTACAAAGTCTAATGGATCAAAAGAAGCATGATGCAGCTGTTGGTCTGTCTGTTCACAATGAGGGGGAAAATGGCTGCAGTGTCAGGAGGAGAAGAGAGGAACGATTCTTCATTCTGAGATATTTGAGGGATTTTCCTCCTCATCCAAGACCACACGACTAAAACTAACAGCCGAGGCAAAGTAAAAACTGGGTGTTAAATTTGTTAAACTTCAAACTGTCTATTTCAAGTTACTAATGAATCCAATCATATGCATTCTGTGGTGAAATCTTTCCTCAAAGCTCTCCAGAGACGTCGTCTCAACTTATTCAAAGTACAGTTTTTCACATATTCTGTTTTTAGATGCACCACGCATGAACAACCAGGGAGTTTAGCAAAGTCTTTCTCCTGCCAGCATGAAAAATCCAGCCCACAGACATGCTGGGTAATTGAAACAAAGTCAACAAAAGTATGAATAATTTATGAGGGATATTTAATTCATAGACTTCAGAAAGTCTACTTTGATGGATTAACAGGATCACATTGAGTTCATTTTAAAAACTACAAATTCATATTTTCTGTCAAGCATTCAGCAGAAATGGGGCTTTCTTTTCGAGGCATTAAAGGTTGAATTTCATAAAACTGTGAAAGTGAGAAAACCTTGAAAGTTTAAATTCAGGTGAAATGTGCGTTTTCTATGAGGGAAGTTAAAGTTAGAGGTATTTCACTCCTGCAAGCAGAGGATTAAAGAAAGTAAACCCACCTCTTATAATGCACCAAATAAATGCACATTTATAGATGCATCTACTAGACTTTATAGCGATCCTTATGAGTGATTACAAGCTTTCATGACAGCATGTAGCAATGTTTCTGAAGAGTAATGTATAATACCTTATAAATGTATGGTTAGTAATGATGGCCCACTCATATATTTATAATTATAAGGCTTGATAAATGTGCTTATGATGCATTATACGGTGTGGAGTTACTGAAAACACTTATGTAACATGGCTAACATTAGATCACAGATTCTGCGGGTTAAAGAGGGTCTGCGGGTCTGGCTACCACTAACAGAGCTAACACCACCTGCCTGCAGTGCTCCTTGCAGGTTAATGTTCACATCTGGTTGGTTACCATGACAAACAAATAACATAACTTTAACTAAAACATCTAATTATTGTTTTTTTTTTTTTTTGTAGCCAGCAATAACAGCAGCAGTGTTCATTTCTAAACCTGACCTACACCATTGCAAAGTTAAACATACTTTCAGTTTGTGTTGATTTTGGCGCCTCCTCTGGACAAAGCAGCACCCTGTCCCTGTACATGCAAAATTGTGTCTTCTATCAATAGATGGATCATTTTAGCAGCATAAATACAACTGATCTAAAATCTCTGCTGTTCAAAATGTCCCAAAAAATGCTGGTTTTGTATCATACTGGGCTCGATTGACACCAAACCCCGCCAGGAGTTGTACCATGACAAATAACTATAAAGAAAAAATCTAACTTGTCATTGTCTTGCTTTTGTAGCTCATAGGAAGACATCAATACTTCTTTAAAATGGCTCAAAATGAGACCACAGAGGGCCAGCACCACCAGTCAGTGCTGATCACACAGCTCGAACAGGTAAAAAAAATCTCAGGAGCTTTAAGCTGCTTTAAAAATTATGCAAAATGATAGAAAGCGCTGAAGTAAAACTGCTCGTCTGATGAGGTGTGGTGTTAGAAACTAAAAAACATATTTTTTTTTACATGCACATAAAAATGTTTTCGAAAGGTTACAACGAGGACCTTCTGATTAATGAGCTCCTGGAGTACAATTACACAACATGGAGCTCTTCCCCGCATATTTACAACCATGATGTCTTGCTAATATGCCAAATTTCCTTGTTTATTTTCGGGGCTAAAAATACTTCACTCTGTGGTTGCCCTCAGGCTTGGATTGAATGTGTGAAGTTCTCCCTCCCTCTCTTTGCCCTCAGGTCCCAATTAGGTGGAATACAAGTTGCTTCACAGCGTAATTATGAAGACGAGGAGAGGATACAACCCCGCTGAGGAGGAGGAGGAAGAGGAAGGAGAGCTGAAGAGTTTGGACAGGATGAGAGGTATGTTGGATATTTTCACTGCTGGTTTGTGTTGACATTTTTAGGCTCAAAGTTAGAAACACTTCTGGGTGCTTCACTCTCTGAGGTCTTTATTCATGATTAGAGAGTGAGGATCTATTCAAAAACACGCCCTGGTATTTTCATTTCGGATCAGTATTCAGTGATCTGAGAAACAACGACAACATGACAGCACCGAATGTCCAAGGTTGTTTCATATGTGATGTCCAAAATATCTCATCTGTGAACTCAGATTGAAAAGACCCCTGAGGGATCAAGAAGCAACAAAGTCATTCGCCGGTTGATTTGGCAGACGGTTGGTTTGGGGTCTCATTTTCTCGCGTTCAGCCTGTCACATCACATCACAGCGAAGCAGAGCCTCAGAGCCCCGTCTTGTTTTTCACTCCAGAATGAGAAACTTCTGGAGAAGTTGTGTGAGGTTACGAGGAGTCAATGCCTCTCTGTCAAGTAGGTCAGAGCAGGGGTGCAATCAGTTTTTCTTCTTTTATTATTGATATTACTTCAGATCATCAAATCTTTATGAAACCTGCAGCGCTGGGCTTCATATCACAGTTGTAACAGCAGAGGTGATGAAGCTTGATTGATTTCTAGAAGTCTCTAAATCATTTTTTGGATGAAAAGCCTCTGAGACGCATTTTACTCCAGAACTATTGGGAGATTTTTATATTTTAAAATACTGTCTGTGTGACGTTAGTGCTGAGACTGTCATGATATCAGATTATTACCTTTAAAATACACAAAAACAGTATTATTGCAGTATTTATAGGAGACTTGAGAAAAAAACATCAGTCATATTGAGGGATGGCAATACAGGGGTGAAGTGACTCTCAACTTCAAAAACTTTACTTACAAATGCAACTTACTCACTTTTGTGGATTTTAAAAACTGTGATTTATCCAGTGACCAAAACTTTCTTTAAAGGGATATTCTGGTGTAAAATTAATTGAGGGTCAAATATACTGTAACACCGAGTTAGACACCCCCTCGAGAGATGAATGTTGCCGACCGCTTGCTTCTCTAGTTATACCAACATATTTTTAGCTTTGCCTGATTTCTTTAGCAAAGAGACTAAACACAACTCACCCACTCTCTTCCAGCAGCTGCTTGTTTGTAGCGAGACCTCAGGCCAGTCCATTACGGACTACAGCGAGGTGACTCAGCTCAAGGAAGAACATTTATGATCATTTCTTTATCATTTCCTTGAAGTAATAATCATCATATTCACCATTTTGCAGTGCAGATGCAGTAGTTCTTCTGCCTTAGCGCCTCGGTCTGATTGCATTTCCATGAAGAACTGATCATAAATGTAGGGTGTGTTTGACCCTAAATTGATTTTACGCCGGAATATCCCTTTAAGCCACAGCTGCTGAAAACTCGAGACTTATAGTTACCGCACAAACTCTAAAATTCCTCCATTTTTTTTTTTTTTACTGAAACACATCACAATATTCATTAAAGACAAAAGGAGCCTCATAGCCTCATAATTCAATGCACCACCATTTCCATTTGAATAAACATCTTGCGACAGGTTGGCAGTTCTGCTGGAGCAAACTAAGTGGAGGCATTCCCGCTCCTACTCTGCAAACTGGTCTGACTGGAAGAGATTCAGCAATCACTTACCGGGAGGAATCAATCAGGAAACCATCTGGCTGTGAGTGATTGAGTGGAGTTTGTCCAAAACTGTTTGGATGATTGAACGGATGAATGCTTCAAAACACGCATTTGAATTCGGACTCTGTATCAAAATGGCATTTTAAATGTCTTACAGAAACAGATAGTACATTCATACTAATTTATGATGATTTACTTTAAAGGTCGTGAGTTTTCGATTAAATTAGGAGAAATACCGGCTGGTGCAGGACAGTCTGATTTCCATAACTGCGCCAAATAAGTTAGTTAGTGTTACTCTGCAGCCTCCCTCAAGACTTTAAAGGCACTCGGGAAAACAGAGGCAGAGTGTTTTGTCCTCCTCTGGGACCAGCTTATGCTCCTTGAGATTATCACTCTCCTGCTGAGGGATTTGTCACTGATCCCTCATGTAGAAGAGAGCGAGCTATTTAGTGACGCTCCCTCAGGGATACATAATACAATAGGATGATACAACAACAGAGTGGAGAACATTTTCTTTTGCAGAGAGGGAAAATAACACAACATCGACGGCTGATACTCCCACTCAGCTGGTCTGAAACATGCACTCTGTTGCATTATTCGCTCTTCTTCTCTGTTTCTGCTCAACAACACACCAGGGACGCCTTGACTCAGAGTTGCCAATCACCCCACGTCCTCGTCCCGTGCCATTCAGAGCTCTCATTTCCGTCTGGATCCCCTGCTGTTGGCCCTCCTGCTGCTCTATAACTAGCACCTGATTAGGAGTGTTATTAAGCTGTATCACTGCAGCACATCCACCTCCTGTAAAGACTCCTGGTGAGACCTCGTTATCTCCCCATCAAGCCTCATCCCTCTGTCTGGCAACTGGACACTCTGCCGTCATCTTCCCACCATTAGCAAGAGCAACACAGCTCTGGAAAAACTGCAGCAGACTCTCAAAGCGGCACAGTTTATTTCCCCGGCCTTAACAATACCAAGGAGAATTGGGCAGGTAACATGAGACATGGGGCATGTCTGGACTTTTCTAAACCCGGTGGCACATTTGGAGCTCTGACAAGACTAGACAAGCAGAAAGATACAGAATGCCAACACATAGGAGCCAGTAATAGAGTCAGAAAGGGGGAAATTTCATCTCCAGTTCTCCTCAATCTTGACACTGATCATTTCCCCTGCATTTGCATGGTTGGTAAAAGTTAAATCAACTTGTATGCAGATGACCTGGTTGTGTTTAGTCCAAGTTCGGCTGGTCTCCAGCAACTTCTTACTGTATGTTCATGCCATTTACCGTGCTATGTTGATCTGTCTGAATAAGATTAGAAATGTGATTTTTAAACTGGCTGATCATGATCTAATGGTGTAAAACAGGGTCAAAATACCTGGGCCAATTTATGATGGAAATAATGACTCATGATGATGATACTTGCACACAGAGATGGAGAAAATAAGTAGCTTATAAGGATGCTATGAGAATAAAGGGCCAAGTGAAGTCCAGCTTTTGAGGTAATATTTTTGGGCTGAAGATAGACAAGAGGACATACAGCAAAGGGTTGTGGGAATTAAACCAGCAATTGCTGTACTCAGGGCTATAGCCTTTGAGCATAGACTGCTCTGCATACTGTGTCCCAGATACTGTTATATTTTCCCACAAACTGGGGTTTACTTAAAGGGATATTCCGGCGAAAGTAAATTTAGTCAAACACACCGTAACACCGAGTGAGACTCCCCCTCGAGAGATGAATGTTGCTGACCGCTTGCTTCTCTAGTTACAACTTAAGAATCGACCACATGATAGCAATACACAGCGGTCTGAGGAGCCATAAACAAACCTCAACCAAAACGCTACTCTATAGCCACAAATAATGCTCAGAACAGCACCTAACTTCATCAACAGTACATATAGGGTCCCAGCCACAGCACTAGCCACCAAACATCTTCATCTAGCAAAGAGACTAAACACAACTCAACCTACTCTCTTCCAGCAGCCGCTTGTTTGTAGCGAGACCTCTGGCCAGTCCATTACAGACTACAGTGGGGTGACGCAGCTCAACGAAGAACATTTGTGATCATTTCTTTATTATTTCCTTGAAGTAATAATCATCATATTAATCATTTTGCACTGCAAACATGGTAGTTCTTCTGCCTTAGTGTCTCGGTCTGTTTGTATTTCCATTAAGTAATGATCATAAATGTTCTTCCTTGAGCTGTGTCACCCCGCAGCAATCCGTAATGGACTGGCCTGAGGTCTCACTACAAACAAACGGCTGCTGTAAGAGAGTAGGTGAGTTGTGTTTAGTCTCTTTGCTAGATGAAGATGTTTGGTGGCTAGTGCTGTGGAAAGGACCCTATATGTACTGTTGATGAAGTTAGGTGCTGTTCTGAGCATTATTTGTGGCTATAGAGTGGCTTTTTGGTTGAGGTTTGCATGTTGACGTAGACCGCTGTGTATTGCTATCGTGCGGTCAATGCTAAAGTTGGAATAACTAGAGAAGAAAGCGGTCAGCAACATTAATTTCTTAAGGGGGGGTCTAACTAAAAGACATTCACAGCAAACAGAAATAAATAAAAGAACCAATAAGTTAAAAAGGCATCGTCACTCTGATATTAAAACCTGTTCACACGTTTTTAATCTGCGTCAGTAAAGACAGTGATGGACATGGGTGATCATCATCATTTGTCATGTCTTTGGGGCGCTGTACAAGCCTGACATGACAGTTTGGATATGTCTGCTGCAACACCTACTCTCTTTTACATTTTGCAACACTGCTTAAAGTCAATGTTTGCTTCGATTTGCATGATTTGTTCAGGAATTATGTCAAGTCGTCTACCGGAGTTTGGCAGTCAGAAATAGGAAAACAACTTTACGGCACGTCAAAAATTATGCTCAACTTTCCCCCGGGATCATCAAAATATCTCAACAAACTTTGGTAAAGTTTGGATGAAGTGTATGTCATGGACTTAAGCTGCGAAAAGAACATCACCTTTTAGCTGTTGTAGCTGACAGGGTACAAAACACATCCAAAAATAACACGGAGCAACATCAGCATTTATTTAGAAACAAACTTTTTAGCAATCTGCTGAATAAAAACCCCATCTACACTCTTACTGCAGCTCTGTTTTTATTTCGTTTAGCCTCCAAGTAAAATAAGAGCCAGCTTAAGTGTTAAACTTTGTCCGCTGCGACTCTTGGGTTTCATTTCATTCGAGTCAGCAGCCTTGACGCTCTCCTCCATTTCTCCCCCGTCTCACATAATCTCCATCTATCTGCTCGTTTCACGTCCTAACTACTCTGCAATCAAAGCTGTCAGTCACACTTAAGGCTCCAAATACCTCGAGATTCCCCGATCAGACACACCAAACGTGATTTACCTCGACGTTCCTGCAGCCCTGACTGTCCATCATGCCTCAGCTAATTTTTAAAGACAAACGTCAACACCTCGGGGCGATGAATTACTCATCAACAGGCTGCATGGAAAAAAAACAACATTTTAAATGAAGTGACCTTGATGGTGCAGCTATTTCCATCTATTTTAGTGTAGAAAATAGATGGTGCCTTTAATTTAAGTTATCTGAATAGATGTGGTTTCATCTGGTATGAACTGAAATCTCTTTTGGGGGCATTTTATTTCTTCCAAGTGATGGCTTTCCAGCAAATTTACTTTGGATTGTATTTGTATTCAAAGTGCTTCCTCTACTGAACTCCAGTTTTATTTTTAAGATGCTGCAAAAGGGTCACTGTCCTTTTAAAATCCTGGTCAGCTATAAGGAGGTGATCCACTTTCTTAATCCCTGAATTCAGATTTAGTCTGCAGTTGAGATCTATAAGCTCCCGCCGACTTGGTTTGCCTTTAATTTGTCTGATTCGCTCTGCTTAAGTCACCGTGTTTCTCTTCGTTTGTGCTCCTGAGGGTTGATTTTTTTCTGCTCAGTTTAAGCCACCATCCATTCACAGAGATCGCCTTGAGCTTAAAAGAAGAAATATTTTTTTGTAAGGTGCGACCTTAAGGGCAGGCAGCTAGAGGGGAAACCAGCTGAGCACTTCACTGAGTGAAGTACGACAGAGGAGGCAGAGGGTTTCATCTAAAAACACCTTCAGGTGGAGGCTTCACTCTTTCCACTTCTTTCCTCCGCCCTGATAAAAGCCGCTTCTTCTTCTTCCTCATCTTAGTGTGTATGTCTGAGCGCATGTGTGGTCATGTTACATCACTGTAAAGCCTCTCAGACTCTTCCTGTCCATTATATGTGCGAGAGGATAATGACCAGGCTGATGTCATTAGCTGCTCTGCTTTAAATCCACAGCTCTGCAACTGGAAATGTTCACGGTGAGAGGTGACCAACAGCCAATTAGTGTCAGTGGATTCCCTGTTTCTTTTTATCTGAAGCCTATTTTTATCAGGATGAGAACCGAATTTGTCCCATCTCAAAGCAGGGAAGACATCTGCCTTAAGTAACACCTTCTGAGTCTTATTTGCAGGCAGAAACATGTTATCAGAGGTGCTGAACAGATTCCATGAAGCCATGTTTGAATATCTTTTTGCACTTATTGGTTCTTGGTAGGCAGTCGGGATGTTGTGAAGTGAATAATTAACTGTTTTTGATAAAGGGAAATCTAAATTTGCTCTGAAACAGTCAAAATTATGCACAGTTTATTAAATATGTCTACACACAGAATCATAGTCTGTGAAAACGTTAACGTGAACATGAACATGAACTGTGCCTGCTGAGCATTTTTTGGTCTAAAAGAGGTCTAATAGATGTCTAAATGTAGCCTAAACGACTGGTCTAAAATCCGGCTACCACAGGTCTAAAAATGAAAGTTTTTTAGTCGTCTAAATTTAGACCAAGTTTAGACTAGCCGGCTAACAGAGGTCTAACTGTATATTGCTCAACAGCTATCATAGTTATTTTGGTTTAGTACTTGGAGATCAGTTATGCAACTCACAGTTGCTTTTTGAAATAATTAGATATCGAATACTGGGTTAAAGTGCAATGTCTAAATTCTGTCTAAAAATATACAGAATCTAGACGGTTGAAAATAGGTCTAAAAAAAAAAACTGGATGTCTAATAGCCGTCTGTTGCTCAGTGAACTCTGTTTCTGGCTCATTTTTGCAAGGGCTAGCTTGTGTGGCTGATGCAGAAAAATGACATGCCGAAGAGTCCACCACTTCAAGGTGGAAGTGGTGGTCTTTCAAAATAAGATACTAGGATGATGGACAAAAAGAAAAAAAAAATGTAATCATTGTTACTTTTTTTGTGGCCCGGTACTAATTGATCCACGGACGGTACCGATCCGGGGCCCAGTGGTTGGGGACCTCTGGTCTAGACAACTGGTCTAAAATCAGGCTACCACAGGTCTAAAAATGAAAGTTTTTTAGATGTCTAAATTTAGATCAAGCTTAGACCAAGTCTAAATCTGGGCTATATCTATACTACACTGTCTATTGCTCAACAGCTGTCATAGTTATTTTGGTTAAGTACTTGGAGATCAGTTATGCAACTCACAGTTGCTTTTTGAAATAAATAGTTGCTGAACAGTGGGTTAAAGTGCAACGTCTAAATTCTGTCTGAAAATATACAGAATCTAGACGATTGAAATTAGGTCTAAAATAAAACTAGACATCTAATAGCTGTCTTTTGCTCAGTGGGTGATATGTCAAATTGGCTGCTGAGTGTGGCCACCTCTAATAGAGGGGGCACCACCAGCCTTCAGCCCTTCTTGTGAAGAATAAATCAATTATGTTTATATGAGTGATTTATAATTGGCTAGGATGGCTTTGCTTACACGATCTCACAGCAAGATGTTTTGCAAGAGCTTGAACTCATTTCTGTTTCGCCAAAAAAGTCTGGTTGATCCTAATGACCGCCAGGAAAGTTAAGTTGGTTTCCCAGCAATACTAATGCTCTGTTGATATCTGGAACAGTGAGATATGTCCTTGGACAACCTCCCAGAGGGTAAGACATCGGTTAGAAAACGACTCGCACTTGCAATACACATCTAAAGGGACTCACACACATACACACACACGTGAGGGGTGCACATCTGTAATACACACCTGTTATGTTCAGATACACACTCAGCAGCATAAAAGTGAGTGAGAGGAGAGCCCGGGGCTTCCTTGGATGGTTTTGGTCTAGACTCTGTAACATCTGTTCTGATTTCAACATCTGTACAATAAAGACGCCCAGGCTGCTCTTTAGATCTCATCCTACCTCCTGTGCGTTGGTTTGCTGCGTACCATACATGTTTTCTACAACACTTGCACACAGCTCCAGTTAAATGGTTATATGTCAGTTTAATAACTTTACCTCCATACAGATCAAAATACTACTAAACTGCACTTTTTTTATATCTGCGTTACAGCATGATGGCAGTGGCCTGTATCTGAACTACAGCTTCAGTTATTAGCAGGTAACTGTGCTACAGCTTAGACATAATATATGACTGACATTTTGGGCCGAGCTTAATTGTATTAGATTACTTGTATATCAATAATTTGTTTATCCAACCAGTACCTGTGATACCATTTTGCTCTTTTAATAACCTAATCATCCTTTAGTATTGTAATTGTCCTCTAAGGCTAGACAGGTACTTTGCTTCTATAAATATACAAACAACAGCTAAAATTAAGTATTTTATAACAAACATAAGATTTATTTTATGAGGGAAACATACCTTATCTTAAAATTCTTAAACTTAACAGAGAATGTGTAATCTGCACCAAACGGCATGTTAAGTAACATTAGACAGAATTATTAAATATCAACTAAAGCAGTTATTTTATTTAAGGGAATAAAATAAACTAAAAAGCTTTAGTTTAATTATAACTTGATTTCAAATTTTGATAAATAATCTGGATCTTAAGTTTCGATGGTCAGGCTTTTACTTTGTAAAGGTTGTACACTTGTTATATTTGGTAGTCTTATGAGGAATTCTCTATCTCCAGGTTTAGACATCATGACTCCTCACCTAATTGTTCCATCGACAGAAATCTGACTCACACACTTCACTTCACTATAAAGACTTCAGCTCTCAAACACTCCCTGCTTCATTTCTCATTATCTCGTCACCGTCCTCTTCGTTATATCACCTCTGCGTATCTCTCTCTCCTCTCCTTCACACAATGTGACAGTGATAAGTAGCACGCACCGCTTACACCTGACATCTCTCCGAAGAGGTGTGAAATTGAAAATGAGACGAGACACAGAGCATACACATATAATAATATCAGACAGCCATACGCTTTTTTTTTTTTTTATCAGAGTGTGTTATCATGCGTCAAATGTAATGAAACCTGAGTTTTTGTATTCACTCTCACACGCTGGAGGATATGCAGCCATCCCCATGTGATTAGAGGGGCCAATATTTGGATCAATAAACTTTTAAGAAGCAAATGGAGCTTTTATTTTTGGTTCAAACCACTTAGCAGGCAGCGAAAGCCACTTAATGCTGGTCAGGCAACCTGGAAAACGTGCTGCATGTGCTGGAAATGCTTGAAAAATACTCTGATTTCTATGGATTTCTATGGATTTACAGCCTCGGGAAAGGGGCAGCTGTTCGCACAATTTCAATCTTCATGTGTCCCTGTGTGTGTGTGTGTGTGCGTGTGTGTTTGTGTGTGTGTAATCCAGATGGCCATCAGCTCTGGAGGCCACCTAGGTTATTGAGCAGGGACATGCAGCCTCACGTCAGCGCTGTCTGTCACACCGAGCTCTCTCACCTCACCCTGTTTCCATGATCGGTCACGCCTCCTGATAAGGAGAGCTTTTAAAGAGTTTATTGGTTGTGACTAATGGATTCTGTGATGGCAAATTAAGATTTTTTATGGCTTTATGTATAAATGATTAGTCATTAATAACTTTGTAGGTCATGAGGTTGAAAATCTGGAGAAGGTAACATAAAATATCTTGTGTGTTTGTGTTTGTTGGATAAAAAGGTCTCTGTCGGATGAGAACCATCTTTTTGGGAAATCTCTAATCAAGGTGAATGCATGAGACCCAAACATGGCTCATATAGTCTCCATGCTGTCTGAAATTGTGGTCAATCAATATCTGCTTTTTAATGACCAATATCGACACCATTAATTATGCAGCAGATCAGCAAATGGAAAACTGATATGAGTATATCCATCTGAAGTTGCTCAAAATAGTCAACCTCATGAGCTTGTGGCACAAATAAGTCCTGTTTCCAGATAACAGACAGGCCGAAAGGGTGGTAAACTGGGAAGGGCGGGGGAATGACATCTGGCAAAGGAAGAAAGCTGCCAGCTTGGAGGACTATGCTCTTCAAATGGGACATACAGTTTATTTTAACAAAGCTAAACCAGTCCCCTAATTTTTTATGATTCTTTTAATCAAGACAAAAAAAATCTATCCATCCCTTATTCAAATAAAGTAACATCTCTTACATTTGTAGTCGTATGAGTTGAATGTCTTGCGTAAAAAGAAAAATTCAACATATTTACTCTGTAGGGCAGAAACGTAGAAATAAGTCATAATTGAAAATATGTGAAACTTACTTGAATCAATTTGATACATAAAGAAGAAAAATATTTAAGACTCTGTTAAAAGCACTAAGTCAAAAATGCAAATAACCTACATGCAGGGAAAAAAATTGGTCGCCTGCAATTACAGCAAATAGCCAGAGGGGCCGCCAAAGGCACACTGAGGCCACTTAATGACTTACATTGTAAAATAAGATTCTCTGCAACATGACTGGAGTATTTTTATGAATGCCTGATTTTAGTGCCTGTGTTTAATTTTCTACTAACTTTAAAGTGGTTCAGTTTCGAGCTCTGCCAGTTAAGTTTGGCAGTGAGATAAAGTTGGCTAACACAAAAAGTTCTCTTCTCCTTTGGATAATTTCCTTTTTGTATTCATGGCTAGAACCAGAATCTGCAAGAAGGCATTTGTTTGTGGAAGAATTGTATCAGACGGGGAAACTCTACAACCAGGGCTCTGCTAGATAATAGAAAAATGGCTGTGAATACGATTTAATGTTTATGCTGCTGCATGTTTGCGTCCCTGTTATTTGAGGACAAATCAGTTCAACTGGGAGCATATTTGAGTTATTCAAGGGACATCAGAGCACACATCGTGACACTGGGGATGTGAATGGTAAAATTAGACTGTTACGTCTCAGTTAACAAATCCTGTGTCATCACTCTGAATCCTGCCAAAAGTCAGAGGATGAAAGTCAATTTGTCTAAAGGGGTCAGCAGAATGAAAGTTCCTCACAGTGCCTTTAAAGCATGTAAATCACACCACTCTCTGTAGTTTGTAAATATAACACAGCTCGCAAAATTAGGTTTCTTCCCTGGTGGACTGGTGTGCAGACAGTTTTTTGGAACTGAATCTTTCGAAAGTTAAAGTGAAGATAGTCAGCAACTGGAAACCAGTTTCTGGGCCCTCACTCCAAATAGAAAAAAACAGGAGTGTATTCAGGAGGTTCCCTGAAGAGTTAAAGTAAAAACTAAAAAGCCAAAGAAAGTTGTTTTTGTATTCAGCCTGCAGGCCAGAGATGATGATCAAATGAACTACTTGAGTACATATTTAAAGCCAAGTTAAATGTTAATTAACTCATTACTGAGGGAAGTGTACAGGGAATTAGTAATCAGCATAAATCCATCCGCTGATTGGAAAATATTGAGAACAGAAATGTTGACGGAGAAACTGTGCGATGGGGGAACTCATAAAAGGTCAAAAGATATTAATCAAAAACAGAAAATTCAACAGAAGTGATGAAAGTGCGATTAATTATATAATATGATGCATTTTTAGAGAGCAATACAAAAGTACTTTCTCACCACAGGGCAACTGGATCACAACAGAAGTCTCTAGAATGGATTTATTAAAAGGTTTTTGATCCCAAAGTGCCGGACACTTCTCTGACTGATAAATCAATATTTGACATTCTTTTTGGAAATCATGGACACCGTGTCCTGAGCACAAATTAACACAAATAAACACTTTGATATGTTGCATTTGCGCTTTTTAAATCAAATATAGGCTTGAAATGATTCACACACCATCAAACTCTGTTTTATCAACATTTTACTCACCATCCAAACTCTCACAGAATCTGGGTTGTAAGAACTTTCTAGAGAGTGAGACCTCAGTATCTACAAGTGTTATATTCTGCTTTTGTGGCGGGGGCGGTTGTTGCGAGCGGTTCAGAGGATGAGTCTGTGTGGGAGTGCTTTTAAGGCTGAAAAGTGAAATAGAAAATGAAAAGTTGACTAACTGTTACGGCTGGACTCCAGCTCTGTCTGGTGGATGTCTGCCAACTCCTGTGCAAATTTAAACAAAAGACCTGCGCGGGCATAAAAAAACAGACAGGAGAGCCAGACTGTGTTTTTAATACAAAGGAAACGGCGACATCATAGCAGCCACCATTATACGATCTTTGACTTTTAATGCCACTTTTCTAAAACTCTCCGTCCACTGGAGGCCGAGCTTATTCGACATTCGGGGCATGTCGGTGAGGAGGACAGCCTCAGAGCTGCCTTTGATAACACATCACAGCAGAGACACAGAGCACCTGAGCTGACTTCTGACAGGATCTTTCCACAATCACGGGGGGATTCAGTCTGCTCAGAGACAGAGAGAAGGTCTAAATCTTTTAATGGCAGGTTTCACAGCAGCAGACACAGCTGTAGGTAAACGGGAATAAGAAGCAGAGACACTACAGATACCGACAGATACTGAATGAGGCTGTGAGTGGAAGGATTTATTCTAACGGGTTATCAAACCGACTGAAATTCAAAGTCTGATTCTTTATTGTACTTTTAATGGAAAATTGGGTTTGTTTTTGCAAGATGAGATGTTTTGTCAGGAAACATTATTTACACATGTACAAAGCAAGATCATTAAGAGATGAGAGGTATTTCTTTGTCCACAAACCTTCCACAGTGTTACTCCCCGACATTGCACTTTTCTCTCTAAAACAAATAAAATCGATGCCACAAGGTAAGCTACTCCAGAGAAAGAGCATTTATCTGGCTTTGCTGCATCGTTTCTAAATACTGTCCAGGTAAATGGACTGTATCCATCGCTTCCTCTAGTCTCTCGACCACTCAAAGTGCTTTTATACTTACTTCACATTTACACATTTACACATACACACACTGATGTAATGTGTCCATCAGCCACAACTACTCCCATTCATACACGTTCATTTGCCATCGGCTATGCAAAGTTGGAGAAATCCAGGGCTCAGTATCTGAACCTTTCAACTGAAATACAACCTGCAGAAGTGTAAATTATGTCTGATAATGTCACACTGGTGTAATGGCAATCTCAAGCACCAATAAAAGTCTGAATCTGTCAAGTGAAAATGTCCTAATAAAATGAGACTAACCACTAAGACTTACGATAAAAGTTTATTTGGCAGCTTACACCACTGACTTTCTGAGAAGATGTGAAATGGTAAAAGTGCTACTGTGGTTTTTTTGTTAGTTTCTTTTCAATACTTTGTTGTTTTTGAACTTTTGTCTGTCTGAGCAGGAAGAAAATATCCTGTATCCTGTTGTTGCCAAAAGCTGTGCCAAGCTTTTTGACGAGGGTGGCCAAACTTGGGCGTAAGTATAAGCATTTGTTTAAGTTTCCATCTCCACAAATCATCTCAATTTAAACTACACAAAAGTAGTATCATACAGAGTGTGTATTCCTACATTTTTCCCTTTAGAAATCCTTACACACCGGAAACGACGCAAATATACGATGCAAAATTACAAAATATTAGGAGGCAATTTTTACGCGCTTGGCTATACACATCAAGACTGACACAACAGCAGACTGACTATTTTTCAGTTCTGATTAGACACTAGTGTTGAGATGACTGTCTGTCATGATAGCATGTACTGAGTCGGGGCAAGTACCAGATAAGCACATTAAACTATAATCCATAAACACGAAATCTGATTGGTCAGAAGTGGAGACACAGTACGTGAAACTTTAGAAAATTCGACTGTGATATGAAAAAATAAATGCCGCAATATCGCAGGATGGGAAAACATCGCTGATGTGAAATCTTATATTGACAGGATCCGGGTAAAAAAAAATATTGATGTCTAAAATAACCATGAGAAAAAAACACTCCTGGTGTGTAAGGACCATAAGAAGTGATCCAACAGAGCGACAACATATAAATCTTTACAGCTTCAATATCCACTGATAAATCAAGACAGCTACCAACAGCATATTGCGTCACAAGCAGAATAGTGACTTCAACTCAAGTCCCGCCTCTGACAAGGCAGTGAGCCAATCAGAGATTCACATTCAAGGGTGGCCAATCAGATTTCATTGGGGGACAGGACCACCCCTGTCTACCCCTTAGAAACACCCCTGGTAGTTACATGTCACTATGTATTGTGTCAAGTATTTATATGGAGAGCAGTTTGACTGTTTATGAATATATGAAAGTGAGCTTGTTTGTGCCTGTTAATGCTTTCTTTTATTCTTTTACAGTCTTTATTTCGATTTCACTCTGAACTCTTGTCTGCAACTAAAAAAATTTAAAGATGTGAGAAAACTTTTATATCTGCATGATGAGTTTGGGATTACTACAGCCCCATTTCTCCTGCTCTAAATCTCTTCTACAAAACTCAAAAAGCAGAGGGGAAAGAAAGTTATTAAGCCTGACATTTTGAGTCGTTTTCCCTCGTGTGCTGAAATAGTTGGCGGAGATATAAAGCTGAGCTGCGCTAGTTATTTGATTAGATGAGAATCAAGATCTGTTAACATTCAGGCGGATAATGTGGCTGTGTGCTTTGCAGGGAAGACTGGAAGTTTGGTAAGAAATTATTCAAAGGTGGAGGTGTAGATCAGACAGTAACATGTACTCTGTATGTTTCAGCTTCTATGATTTTCTTTACACATGTGCATAAAAATGTTACAGACTATCACTTGAGTCCTTGATATGGGGACAAAAATGTGTGTAGTTCCACTTGCCTATGTGTTAAGGCAAATTTAAAACAGAGTAAACAGTGAATACGTAGTTATGGTGTTCATTTCTGGATGCACAAATGAGCTAAAGCATGACATGCAGGGTTCATAGAGGAAAAATGTTCACAAAATAAAGCAGATCTAAACATTTCTGTTCATATTCATGATCAAGCACGCATTATCTCTTATGGTCTATGGTACACAAGTCTATATTTAATGTGTTAATCCAACATTGATCCAATTACTGAGCCAAACCTGCTGTATGTGTATATTTCTGTATGCGTATGATATATTTCAGTTGTCTATTTGTTACATATTTCAACTCCAAACGCTTCTCCCCGTGTGTATTAATCGCAGTTTGAATGATCTCTCGCCATCGTTTGTGCGACTGGTGATGTACAAAGCTCAGTTTCGGGTGTTTTGTGATTTCAATTGCTTCTAATTTATTTTGCCCTTTCCATGGAGGCATGCTTTGTACCCAATTAATTCCAGAGTATCAGGCCAGCTCTAATTCTGACTGGTCCAGTTTCAGAGCAGGAATCACCTGTGTGATGAATGCGTTTCTGTCTTTATAGTCTCTCTTTGTGGTGTTGACTTGACTACGCCTGAAGACGACCTGTAAGATATTTTTCAGTCTGCAGATCCTTTTTTGATTTAATTCCAAAAGCACACTTGCTTGTACATTCTCATATTTTAATCTTACAACAGAGTATTTTTTCCTCCGTTTCAATATTGAGTCTTAAGCTCCTCTGAGGCTTTAGTCTCTACACCTACACTTCAGACAGTTACGTAATGTTTAACCAAGGCTGTAACAAAAGAATTGTAGTGTGTGTAAGGATTACTCATTTAACCTCTGAGCTATCTCAGCAGAGCTCAAACACTGATCCATTGGAGTATATGATACTCCAAAAAAAAGGGGGAACAGGGGAATATCAGGATTATTAAAGATTATTAATAAGTGAGTAAGGAGCAGCGTAAAAATGAGGGTTCAAGGGGGTAAAACCTGTGCCAGATAGTCATCATAGGTGGTAAAATTACTAACCTGGGTTATGTGTTATGGTGGCCCTGAAGTGCAAAACACAAAACAAAAAAGAAAGCACAATAAAATCCCAGAACACAACAAATGACAGATTACACGCTATATGGAATCTGATGCATTATTATTATTATTACAATATTGATTTCTGTTTGACCCTGCAAGTACTCAAGAAGGTAAAGTTGATGTGTTTTGTGAACGCTTGTTGTGTTTAATTGTTGTTTTTTGTACTTCAAGGCCACCACAGTAAAACAGAAGGGTTCTAGTCTATGTTGTGTGCACTTTAAACTCTTTTTAATCCAATTTTGTGAAAAGGATCCTTCAGTTTTTGGACAATTTTGAGTAAGGTTTGATTCCACCAACTCTGAACTTGTTTATAAGCCCCCCACCTGAAGTCAAGAGAGCCCTACCTGCCGCCAGCTGCATCCAGCCGCAGATCTTGTACACGGTCCCGGTGCTGCAGAAGAAGAAGAGAGCGAAGCAGCCGATGCAGGTGAGCACCAGCACAGTGGACATGCCGATGAAGAAGGAGGCGGCCTTGAACGCACCGGAGGGGATGGCGCTGAATTCAGTGAAGCTCCCCTGGCAGGTCAAGTCCCGGGACAGCCCGTTCCCGATGCAGTAGTGGAACAGCCCGAAGTAGCCCGCCTGAGGGGTGTCCGCACCGTCCCCGATCCAGTAGGGCTGGATGAAGCACACCACGTTGACGATGGCGAAGAGGATGGTGAAGATGGCCCACAGGACGCCGATGGCGCGCGAGTTGCGCACGTAGTTGGTCTGGTAGATCTTGGCAGCCTCGGATGCGGGGAGCATGGTGGTGGTCGTGCTGGGGGCCCCGGGGACCATTCTCCGATCTGTGATGAGGTGGGTCTTCTCACTCAACACATCTGCAGCATCTGATCCAGAGAAGGCACACTCACACTCTGATTCACAACTTGTTCTTGGTGTTGATTCCTCTTTGAGTTCTTGTATATTATGTGTGTATTGATATCTCTAATAACAGACTTTTCTCAGTCTCGGTTGGAGCCTACCTGCAACATCACTTGCTCGCATCCATTGGAAGGTCGGGTTTTACGATTTCCTCTTCAATTTCATTCATCACTCTGCAAAAACAGACACATGCACCCCGTAAAAACCAGCTTCAGGAATCCTTCCTCCATTCCCCGATTTATTCTTTAACACATGTCCTCATGTGTTCTTAAAAATGTCCCTACCCGACTCCTCTCCAAAGGCGGAGACTGTTATTCCGACAAACAGCCTCGTCCCTCTCTCTCTCTCTCTCTGTGATTCTCTTGGTGAGAGCTCTCTGAAATGGTCCGTCTGTGCTCGACGACAACAGACCCACAATCACAGCTGAGATCCTTCTGAATCAGAGTCGGAGGAAAGCCTTGGGTACTACAGGGACAGCCCACATCCCTTAATCCCAAACTGACGTAGGCTATTGTACTGTTCAGACGCGCGAAATCTAAATCAAATACTACTACTTAAAAGATCGAAACTAAAGAAAGGGAATTTGAGAAGTCCTTAAAAATAGAATCAAATAAATAAATATTAATAATAATAATAATAATAATAATAATAATAATAATAATAATAATAATAATAATAAGAAATTTATTAAATATTTAGTACCTAGCACAGTAAAGCCGGTCAGGTTATCATCCTAAACTCATCCTAAAAAAATCTGCAACAAAAAAAAATAAATACATTTGACATAAACGCTGTATCTTCTCTAAGCAAGACACTAAATTTGTATTTTTTTAAATAAAATGTAATTATTTAGTGACCAAAAACTCGCATGATATGTACCAATCTGAGATTTATCAGTTTTGTCGAAGAAAAGTGTGCAATATTGTTTTATTTTACTAAATGTTCCCCTTTTCGGGTTTTCCAATAAACCTTTACCACCAAAAACTACATTACCCATAAATCCGTGTATCTCTTCTGATTGGCCGTTGACTCAACAGCGTCATTTGACGTAATCCGATGGCGCGCGGGAAATTTCTGTTTCCCCAGTGTGTTTGTTGGTAACTTTAACTTAGATTCACGCCGCTTTTTAAGGTGGTTTGGCTTCTGATACATCATCATGGCTTTACTTTCACGACTCAGTAGTTTTCAAAAAGTATAGTTTCTTGTTTTGCTGTCTTCCTCTGAACAACGGAGTTCGTCGTTTCTCGTCCCTTTTACTGAACGGAGAGCTGAGCGTCGAGCCGGCTGTAGTCCAGTCCTCTGACGGAGTGTTACATGTGTTTGTGCTGCTGTGGTGAAGAAGTAAGATGACAGCGCTGTTACAGCAACCAGGATACGAGGAGGAGAGGCTGCAGAGGGTCGCAGAGAAACTACCATGCAGAGATGTTCAGGCTGGTTTGCTGCTGTCGCTCATGGGACAGGTAACTACTGAAAAGCGTATACAGCTTAGTTTAAACGCTTTTTTATGACACGTATAAATATATAACAGGTGCTGGCATCTGTCATTTAAGGTGTGAACTTTAATACATTTTAGCTCGTAATACTCATAAACCTTTTTTTTTTAACTTGTTAAAGCTTCAGCCTTTGAATCTAACATGTTGATTTGGTGTACTCTGGTGTCTCCTCGTGTGCTGTCTGTCTGCCTTTATAACTGTTGTCTTCATGTGTGGTTTAATATTTATCTTGTAAATGTTAGTGAATCCAACCATATCTTTTTTTTAATAATAATTAAATAATTAATAATTTTATTTTCAGAATTTACACAGAACCATACATCATTTTAATTCAAATAAGGTAGAAAATGACAAGGAAAGGATAAAACATGAGGGAAAAGAAGGGTAAACAAAGAAAACCCCAACAACAACACAACAATGTGCCATCAGTTAAAGAAGTATGTGTTCTTGTATTTATTAAAAAGTATTATTTATCATTAGCTCAGTCTAGGACCCCTTAAACCACCGTATCCCCTCTGTATAGTTTCACTTTGACCTTTAGGCAAGTAATCCATAAGGGGCCTCCATGTGTCCATAAAGATATCATCATTCCATTTTAATTTGACACTTAGCCTTTACGTTGGTAAAACTCTAAACATTTCTTTGTACCACTGAGTTACAGGGGAGGTTTATCACTAGTACAATTAAATAGTTTATATTTTCTGGCCAAGAATAAGAGTTTATGAAGTGATTTTGATCTTCTCACATCCATTACTCTATTTGTAGGAGGCAGCCCCAATAGAAACTGGCCTGAATCTTTACAGATCTTGTTTTTGAATATTGCTGTCACTTCCTTAGATACACATGACCTGAACTTTGATATTCTTGGACAGCTCCAGAAGCAGTGTATATATGTTCCAACTTACATTTAAGGCACAATGGTGATCTATTAGAGTCAATTTTGTTCATATCATGAGGTTTCCTGTCATTAGGCTGTCTGTGAATTATTCTATATTGTATTTCTTTGAATTTATTGCTGAGAAACAGAGAGTGAGTGGTCTGAATACATCCCTCCCGAGCATCTTCATTGTATACACTTTGGAGGTCCTCCTCCCATCATTCATCAAGCCTGTCAATATTGTGTTGGTTGTAACTCTGTAGAACCAATCTTATCTTGATATATGCACAGGTGGAGTGATTCATTTTCAACTTTGCTCCTGATTTGATGAGTTAACCTGATTTTAACAGTGTCTATCTGAAATAAGTGTTGCGTTATCATATATAAATGATAATGGTTAGGGTTAAATAAGTCAATAATGTATTTACATGCTGTAAATTAAGCAACAAATGATCAATATGGCAGTACTTTCTCTTCTCCATTTCCTTCAAATATTTAGAAACTATCCTCTATCAAATACTGACCTGATGCCAGTGTTAAAATGCTTTAAATGATCAAAATGAAACATTTCACCCTCCTCTTGATGAGCGGGTTTATTTCTATAGTTCCTCACCATTAATTCCAGCCTGTTTCACGAACAGATAAAAACACTTTCTGAGATATTTTGTGATCACAATGAAATGCCACCCTTATATATTGATTGGATTTTGTTCTCACAGCCTCAACAGTACAGCTTCCCTTCCATCTTCATCTACGGTCATCGGGCTTCAGGGAAGAGTCATGTGCTGCAAGTTTTGCTGAAGGAACTTGAGGTGAGAGAGAGAGAGAGAGACCTGCTTCTGTGAAAATGAAGGACTTGTAATCTAATGATTTCACAAATTCAGCGAGGCATGAGTCAAACCTGAGTAAAAAGAATGAAATTGGAGCTTGGAAAAAATCTTTCATGAATCTCCTAAATTTATAACTTGTAACAACAGTGACACTGTTGGGTGTAAAGTAAGCTAACTTTGTATATATATCCACAAATACTCCTAAAAGTAAGTAAGAGAATGATACACATATGGACAGTTTTAATGAGTGAATCCTGCATCGCTTATAATATGTTGTTTTTTGGCCCATAAGTTCTCCTAACTATTTCTTCATTCATGATTTGGGATCGACAACATATTGGAGGAAACACTAGAATTTTCACTCAATGCTCATGTAACAAAAATGTAGAAAATCTTTCTACAAAAAGCAAATACTTTTGTTCTGTTCTTTGAAAAGACTCAGCTGATTATTAAAATTATGTGTAATTGACTTAGTAACATTACTACAGCTGGATTTGTTTATTTGTCTTTACTTGTCTTACAAAGGCAAGAACATCCACAATGTGTATCAACTTAATAAATATCGAACTGATGACTCTCGTCCTCTCTACAGCTGCCTCACGCCACCGTCAGCTGTGTCGAGTGTGTTTCCGTGGTGTTACTGTTCGAACAAGTGCTGCTGTCCTTCTTCGGCTGCGACGCTGCCTCGCTGCTCCCCCGCAGTCCCTCCCTGTCTGACTTTGTTCGCGTCTACAGGCAGCAGTGCTCCCAGTCTCCTGCCAAGCAGACGCGATACATTGTGAGTGCCGTGCAGTTTGAACGCTGAAGCGGAAAATCCCTCCTCACTTGGCACACCATAATACTTTAATCCATTACACGTCAGATGATTTATTCTTTGGATGTGCCATCCTAATCTTTGTATCGCCGGGTGATTAGTTGTGATAACATATGCAAATAGATGCTAAACAAAGCTCCAGGTGCGTGAGCGTGAAGAGAGAGAATAAGTTAGATTTTCAGCCTGCTCCGGAGCAGGTTTATCTACCTTTATTATGTTTTTATTTGACAGTAATGCAGTATAAGTCATGTGTCAAGATCAAACAGTGATTCTCCACTGCTAACGTACATTAAATGTGACCGTAACTTTTTTCAGGTAATGGAAAAAGCCGAGCTTCTAAGAGACACGGATGCCAATCTCCTCCCTGCTCTCCTGCGCCTTCAGGAATTGGTGAGAAAGCAAGCGCAGCATCCGCTTCAGCGCGTTATCTATCATGGGAGCCTTTTTATATGTTGTTGCTCTGTGTGGATGATGAAGAGCGGCTGAGAGATGGATGGCCTTGAGCTGAGTGTGTGAAGTTCTTTCATAACTGGGTGTGAAGTTGGAAGGATGATAAATACACTTGAGAGTTTTAATTAAAAGGGTGAAGAGAAAAAGGATGACATAAGATGAATTTTCCTTTTGTTCCTGTAAGAGATTGAGTTTTGTGAGCTGTGATTGATAAGAGAGCTCATTTTCTGTTACATTAAAAAAAAAAAAAGCATGAAACATAAGAAAAGATACATCAAACACTTTAATCCAACGAGGCGGCATTGTCTGTAGCCATGGAGATGTGACTTTATTGACCTGCTTCTCCACTGTTGTACAACACCGCCGTTCTGTGACACAATCGCATGTATTTCAGGTTGAAGACAATGTCACCGTCATCCTGCTCAGTGAAATCGTCTGGGACAAGTTCAGACCAAACACAGGCTGTTTCGAGCCGCTTCTGCTCCATTTCCCCGACTACAGCAAAGGTAAAAGCATTCACATTCACGAGCGCCGTGAGCCTATAAAAAAAAAAAAACACCACGCTGAATAATGACACTCCCGTGGTGGATGCAGTGTAAGATGAGAAATTGTACCTGTGATTTTGTTATAACACTCGAGGCAGCGTCTGTGGAGCAATACTGCATCATAAAACAGCACTGTGGAAATTTAGCACGTGAGGGGTGTTAGTCCTTGTTATCTTTATGTGAAAATGTGAGGCTAATTTTGGAAAGTTATTCTAACGCATCGCAACTCCAACCCACAAAAAGTTGGAACACTGTCAAACATTCAGAACAGAAGTTGATGGTTTTCAAATCATGTCAAGTCTAGATTAAATTAAGAATAGTGTAAAGACAACAAATCATAATGTGATTTTTCTGAATTATATGCACTCATTTTAAAACCTTTCAAAAAAGTTTGTACAGGGGTAAGTTCACTGTTGTGTTGCATAATCTGATTCTACAGCACTCTGGAGTTTGGAAGATGAAATGATTTCTCGTTCTTGTCTAATATATGATTTTAACAGTTTAGGATATCCTTTGTGGTATTTTTTAATTTCATGATGCTCCAAATGTTTTCCATGGATGATGAGTTAGGACTTTAGACGGGCCATTCTAGCACCTGGACTCTTCTACTACAGAGCCACTCTGCTGACACATGTGCAAAATGTGATTTTGAATGCTGAATTATAAAACATGTTTTTCTTACCTATTTTATGTTTTTATTTTGGTCCTCATGGTCTCATTTGATGTTGTAGGGTTCTTGTATTGTCTGGGTTTCTTGGCCTTCAATTCGGAGGACTTGTTTTGAACTGAGCTTTTGTTTTTATTTATTTTTTATTTCCATGTGCTGATGTTCTGTGCTTTGCAACTGTTTGTCAAAGCACTTTGTAAACTTTTATTGAAAAGTGCAATAAAAATAAAGTTGTTATTATTATTATTATTATTATTATTATGTTGCTGGTCCAAATATAAAATGATGAATATATTTTTCATGACACAGTCAACATGTGAATTAGGTCTTCACCCCTTTTTAATCACATGAAGTCTCAAGTCTGGTTGAAGTGGAGCTGTTTATTGTTTTTTTGAATCCCAGGATAGTGACCCGAGTTTTCTTTGTTTATAGGAGAGCTGCAGCAGATTTTATCTCAGGACAGACACCCTTCATACTCAGCCGAGTTTTACTCGTCCTACATCAACATCCTGCTGGGGGTCTTTTACTCAGTCTGCAGGGACCTCAGAGAACTGCGCCACCTGGTCAGACCCTCAAACTCACTCTGTCGTAAATCGAAGTATTGACTGTTTTCTTCAGCCTTCATCATTGATTTTCTTTTTTTTTAAACAGGCTGCTCTCAACTTTTCAAAGTTCTGTGAGCCACTGGCAGAAGGAAAAGGTAAATCAGGATGACGAGTAATTATTGATCTGACATCAATACTTGTGAATGCCTGATATCAACCTTCACTGTGTTCATTTTAAGAGGGAGGTTCGATGTGAGCTGCACTTTTTGATCTTTGTCAGTCCTGCAAGTTGCATTTCTTGATGTATGTTGTTACCGTTGGCTGTGTGTATTAATTTGGACAGGGGCACCCACATTTTCTCACTGTGAAGGTGAAGAGAAACACCACTTTAATAAGAGCTAATTGGATTTTCGTCTTTGTCTTGAGCTCGATTGATGAGACTTTAAATCAGATAAATAAGTGCCTGCTGTGACGGTTTCATGAAAGAGAATGAGTCAGAAAGGGTTAAAAGATATCCATACCTTGTTGTGTCCCTGTGTCCTTACCTTGCTAATCTCCTCTCCTAACTCCTCACTCACCTGAGGCTTCTTTCTAAAGTGTCGCTCTCTTTTTTTCCTCCACAGTTAAAGACACAGACACGCACAAGCTGTGGAGAAACATCGAGCCTCATCTTAAAAAAGCCATGCAGACGGTTTACCTCCGTGAAGTGTCCAGGTGTGTGTTCTTCTTCACGCTGAACCCTGAACGGCTTCAGATGTACTTTCTTTTCATCGCCGATTGTCCTCTCTTTCCTCCTCAGTCTTCAGTGGGAGCAGATGCAGCAAATGGAGGAGAAGGAGACGGGAACCGTGAGAGGTACCGACGCACACTGAGCGCTGCTGCATTAAGTGACGTGATGCAAATGTAGAGTAGATGTGAAACTGAGAAACGGCTGATAGGCTGCAGAGAAACTTGATTGACACAGAAATTGAATCTCATGCTCTAAAGGCTTGTGTTATGTCATTATGTGAGGGTTTGAAGACACTTTTTGTCGTTTTCCTGATCTGAACGGTTCATTCAACTGTTTGCGTTTATTCCCCTTTCAAGGTTTATCAGCTCACACTCATGTTGAACTTCCTTACTACTCCAAGTTCCTGCTGATCGCTGCCTACCTCGCATCCTACAACCCTGCCCGCACAGATAAACGCTTCTTTGTAAAGGTAGAGGAGTGAAGTCTTGGAGGATTTGACACAGGGAAATCTCCTGTGAAGATTATGCTTTTGAAGTTGTCATTTTAATCCAGATTAAAGGTGTAAAGATGGACTGTATCAGACATTCGACAGAATTTTAAGCCTTTAAGAAGTTTTTGATCTGTTGAAATTATTATTTTTTTAACTTGTGTGAATTAATCTGTTTGATGTCTCTCTGTTTCCTCCCAACAGCACCACGGTAAAATAAAAAAAACTAACTTCTTGAAGAAAAATGAAAAGGTGATGATCGTGACACAACACTGGCAGCATCTAATCACAACCTATTTATACGAAATAATCTGATGTAATATAATGTTATGTTTTTTTTAGACAAGTAACCATCTTCTCGGACCAAAGCCTTTCCCTCTGGATCGTCTCCTCGCCATTTTTTACAGCGTGGTGGACAGCAGAGTCGCCCCCACGGCCAGCATCTTCTCCCAGGTCTGTGTCCACATGTGAAAGTGCCTCAAAGGGATAGTTCAGCGTTTTTTAAGAAGAGTAGTATTTGGTCCTTGTCAGTCGTGTTTCCCCACAAGGGATGGCAGTCTGATAGGCCACTAAAGAGACAGAATTGAGGCTATCAGCTGCTGCAGACGGGTTCAACTCCACCACCTCGCTGAGCTGATTCTACCTGCTCCAACCAAATCACTGCTCTTAGTGTAAATGAACGCTATTATGTGACGTGTGTGCAGATAAAGTAATAACAAAAAATATGATCCTGCATTCTCAGATCTGAATTGTTTAGAAGTACATATAAATATGCTTTTATCGGATATTTAAACTGTTATTTTTTTCCCATTGAAAAAAATCTTTTTTTTCGTGTCCTTCAGCCCTAATGGAAGGTCTTAGTTTCTAATTCCTCCTCGATGCAGCATAATGTTCATTTTCTGAGTTATGTTCCTGTTTAAAGAGAAACTGAGTTGAGAACGGGCACTTTTAGTTCTGCTTTGTCGCTGTGTGGGCAGACCAGCTTCTCATCTCTGACGCTACGCCTGCAGTTAAGAGTGTACAAATGCACAATTACTGCCGCACATGATCTTAATGTGTTGTTGATGCCGACAGACAGAAAAGGACAAATTAGGATGTGAGTGTTTGGCAGGGGGGCACTAAAATGATCCGTTTAAAACAGCTGTGATTTCTTCAAAGACCCACTCCGATGAGAATTATTGCTTGTTTGTTTTATATGTTCATACGGCATTTTTCTGATGCTACAGGACATATCATGGGATAACTAAATGTGAAATTGCTTTCTGAGTATTTCTTCATTCAAATCGCTGTGAATCTCTGGCAGACCCAAACAGCAGGTTCAGAAACAGTGAGATTTCATACCTAACCACTTCAAACTCCGCCCCCGGAGCCTCGCTGTGCAGGCCACATTCTGCATATAGAGGAGAAATACAGAGGACGATTGTGAAACAAGCGTGTGCTTGGGCGGATTGCAATGCTCGTAAGAAAGCTAATTATGATATTAACTTTCATCATGTCCTTAGAGACATTAGTGTCCGAGAGCTAATTGGTTCTATGTTACCTGCCACGTCTACTACACCGGCAATATTAGGCTGCAAGCTAATGCAAAGAAGAGTGTGCAGAGCAGCACAGTCTCCGCCCACGACTCAGAGGCAAATTGTTAATGATCTATTGGAGCTCTGCAGAAGAAAAGCTCTTAATGGTAATGCGACACAGGTAATGCGATTTTTGGTAAAAACTTAATAATCACAATTTAAAGACCACTGAGAACACTAAACCCAATCTGGTCAACAAAAAATGATCGCAGTGGGACTTTAACCTGCATGTATAAATTGTGTTGCAGTTCTCACGGTTAAAGCTGAGCTCTGCAGCAGCTTCATTCATCTCTGCAGAGCTCGATATCTCTCTTCATGCTCTTGGCTCCTTAGTTCAGCAGTAAGAACTCTCATGGCTCTTGCAGTACACAAAAATTAATTTCATGCTGTTTTCCAGAAAAGTGAATGAAAGAGGATGCCCGCTGTGAAAATCTGATCATTTAAAAGAGCATTTGGGTTAGTTGTTCATGTTAAATGACCAAAGCCTTTCAGATGAGAGTTTTCTACTTGTATGTTCATGAGTTTTAGAAAAGGCAACTGAATGCTGATCTATTTATGGGCCCGGGCGTGAAATGAAGCGAAAAAATTCAACTCAACTCATATCTCTACAACAGGCGCTGCACATCAAAGAGCAGAAAAGTTGTTTTTACAAGTGGAACAGAACAGCGCGTCATTTCAGTCTGCCTCTGTCCCCTTTAGATCTCCTCTCTGGTGACCTTACAGCTCTTGACTAAGGTCAGTCAGGGCGACCTGCTCGATGCCCCCAAGTTCAAATGTGCCGTGTCTCTGGACTTCATCTGTGCTATATCCAGGTGCGTGTATGTCTGAGATTACACAACTAAGACCTGCAGCAGTTGTTCAAGGGTGTTGACCTTTAGACCATTATTCATGGAGGATGTCTTTTTGTGTGTGTGTGTGTGTGTGTGTGTGTGTGTGTGTGTGTGTGTGTTTTATTTTCCAGGACGGTGAATTTTGAGATTTTGAAATACCTGTATGACTTCCTGTGAGCATGCTGAGGAGGAAGAAGAGACGAGACGGCGACAGTGAGGAGATAACGAGGGATCAGACAAACTGAGAAGCTTAAATTATTGGTGGGATCTATGTCAAGGAAAACTAATCCAATTATGTCGCTGCCCTCTTGTGGTCAGAAGTCTTTTCACACCAGAATTTAAGAACCCTTGTCCGTAGTTTAATATTTGCATTTGTATAAAATAAAAAAAAACGTAATACTAACTGTGCTTTACATTTGTTTTATTTCTGTTCTGCAAATCAAAAGTTTGTAGAAGCTTAAATAGCTGAATAATTAAGATAAATCTGCTGCAAATGATGCAGAAAAAAGTCAGCTTGTTGTTGCAAATTTACACAAACTTTAAGTTCCTTACAGATGCTTTAAACATCTTTTCTACACTCTGTCCTACCCAAACTCAGTAAAGGCATAAAAGCCAGAAAGTATACCCTTAAAACAAAGTATGGAATGTGCTGAATTCCTCCACAAATTCGCAAGAAACCATCAATGTTCAGAGGAAATAATGGAACAAATAGCACAACACAGTGTAAACATTTTAATGCATTGTTAGTATCACACTATAATGCACTCCTACAGGAGTTAATAAGCAGAGGCTGTGTACAGAAAAGTCATAAATAATCAAGTCAGACAGGGGTCTAAAAATATAAAATATGGCCTTACAAGAAAAGTTATAATTGTTGAAAAAATACTGTACAATTCTACAACTCTTAGAACTGAATTGAACTATATTGTAATCTTTAACTGAGCCTGACCGATACGTCAGTCAGCTGATATCGTATCTATCGGGATTGGCATATCAGATATATTGTTATTGGCCTTTTTAGTTTCCCAATATGTGCCCGTGTGAAATCTTGGTAGACAGAGCATGCAATGCAGAAGACAATGCTCAGGGTGATTCAGAAATGGTGTCATCATGTTATTTGTCCAGCAAACTGTGCTCCGACTCCATCTGTTTTCTTACTCTCAGCACTGTCTGCAGCAGCACGTGTATGTAGCCGGGCATCTAAGCAGAGCAGACAGTGAGCAGACTAGAGATTGCAGGTTGTTTATTTTTTTTATGAAACATCACCTGTGAACCTTTTCATATCAGTCAGTGCATTTACACGCATTTCAATGGAGGTATGATTAAAGCTCGATTAGGGGATTTAATCAGACTGCTGTCTTTGTCTGAGAAGCACCAGGTGAGAACTGATTTATTGATTTAAGTAAGTTCACACTCTGCCACACTAGATGGTGACAGTTACTATTTGTCTCCTTGTCAAACAATAACATCAAATACCAAAACAATTGTTAGAGAGAGAGGCTAACTGGTTGTGTTTTGAATCATGATACCACAAACAACTTTCTAGTTCTGCGCCTTTGGTACAGCCGTTGAAAAACAGCTTCGTCACTTTTTATTTCTCTTTTTCTTCTGCGTTTGTTTACTACTCGGAACATACTGTTTAACATTTGCCAGTTTGGATCCAATTGAGATGTTTGCTTGCAAGAGAAAATCAATCCCTGACTGCATGATTTAATTTAAGGAGTCTGATCTTCAGAAATTCAACTCTGTGAGATTTTAGTTGGCCAGATGTATTTACATGTAGTTTATAAGTTTAATAACAGTCTAACTAATGCAGTAAGTCAGTTTTCTGACATCGTGTAAACATACTGAAAGCTACACCTGTCGAGCTAGAGAAGTTCACTATAGTGGGCAACATATCGGTAATTGGCAAACTTTTCCCTCTAAAAGTCAGTATGATATCAGTCTGAAGAATCCCACATCAGTCAGGCTCTACAGTCAGCTAATTTATCGAATGTCTTATTAATTTTTCATCCACTTTTAAGGTTTTCTTCAATCAGTCCAGGCAAGCTGTAATTTAAGTAGTTGTCATTTCATGACCAGACAGTTTCTGCTGATTTCAGTCTAATGCAAGTGTTGCTTTTTAACGTCCATAAAATCTACATGCTGCAACAGATTTACATCCATTACATACAACAGACGATTCAGACTACGTTTTTACAGCAATAGCTGGGAGGAAAAAAAATCATTCTGCCGTCTTCCAACAGAAGGCACCAGTTGTGCAAAGCCAGCAAATATAACAAAGGGAATCTGTATCTGTATTTATACTGCAGCAAATCAGCCGTCCAGCCAAGCAAACACCCACACACAAATATGCTACAAAACCAAGGGCCAGCGTCTTTCCTTTAGTTTCAAATGTATTTCAAAAGTTAAAAAAGGTTAAAAACATTTAAAAAAAGGCCAAACATTTGAGATCCTGCACAGAGTTTTATTAAAACTTCTACCTGTTCCTGCGTTAGAGCTCTTGACTTAATCACATTAAGGATGTTAATCGCAATCAGAGCGGTGTCCTCCTCCTGAATAACCCCACAGGCAGGAAAGGCCGGACAGGGTAGAGTCATTTGCGGCAGTGGAACTCAGCCCCGGAAAAAAGTAAAGGATTTGGAAAGTACTGAGTGCATTTAATTGCCACTCTACTCCACAATCTCCCTCTTTTATCCGTCATGGTATCTTTGGGTTAGTGGAAAGTCTTAGAGATCATCCCCGGGCCAAAGTGGCCTTGGGAGAGCTCAGCAGCATTAATCAAGGACAATCAGCGATTGGCAGAGGTTGACACAGCCGTCCAAATGCAGTTAAAGTGCATACGTGTCACTCTTTGGGGGATTCAACAGCAACAGATGTCACTGCAGTACACTGGCGTTAAATTCAACTGAATTCAATCTTAATAGAAATCTCAGTCTATTATTACCTTATTTTGTTTAACAGAGGCAATGTACTGAAGGTCTCGGCCTAAATCCTGACTGAGGGTGAGGTAGCCGGATCAGGCAGGTCTTAAATGCTGTGCCTCCGGTTGTGGATCATGGCCACGATGTGGGTGAGGTCCAGACTCTTGATCATCACTTCCATGAAATCCTGGTCACTGCGGGCGCCGGCAACAAACTCCTCCAAGGAAAGCTCGCCTATCAGAGGAGAATATGAGTTTTATTCACCATTTTTACATCCTGTTGAGAGAAAACCGTGAATGACTTTCATCTGAATGAGTGCTGATGAAGTCATAATCGCCTGGTGAGATAATACAATAGTGATTGACCTTTCTGTCCAGCATGGAGCACAAAGCTCAGAATAGCAAACACGGTGTCTTTGGCAGCATTTGTGGAAAAATCACTTTAACCCACTTGTGTTTGAAGCGCTTCTAAACTACGGCAAATTATGTGATGGAAAAGAAAAGAAAATATGACTGCAAAGAAGGGAACAAATCTGAAGTCCTCATGAAGACAAATGCTCATTACACTGAGCAGCAATCAGCAAAGGGGGAAACTAGAGCGACTGCAAATGACAGCAGAGACACAGATATCCACCTGAGCAAGTCTGCAGGCATTACCAGGGGATTTTTGACCATCTCTTTCTTCTTACTGTCGAGCAAAAACAGTCCCGAAGTTTATCTTGAACTCAGCAGCAGTATATTTATTAATGAAGACTGATGCGAGGGAACAAGTTTACCTTGTCTGTTGCATCATTTAAGACCTTTACCTTAAAATGCTAGCACAGGCTGTAAAGGAACAGTCCAACCTGATTAAATAAGCCAGTTTAAAGCTCCTGTGAGGAATTTTTGGATGTTTATAAAGCAAACTGGAATTCGCACCAGTACATTTTTGCATTCAAAAGCAAACAAGATGGGGAAGGTAGGTGTCAGCCAGGCAACTAGAGAAACAGCCCTGTTTTTATGTATTAAGATTAATGATAAATTTGAACTTTTAAAGTCAGAATGATGAGATTTATGTCAGACGACACACCCCCTGTAGACTACTTTGTCCACAGGAGGTGCCAAAATGGGCCCAGACTGCAAGTTTCTAACAGGAGCTTTAAATGAGTGAGTGAGTGAACTGTTGTGAGTTACCACTTGCTCACAGACCAACAGGATGATGTTACAGATGTGTGCTACCTCTGATTTGACTTTGAAATACTTTAATGAAAAGCTTCCATCTGTAGACCAAAACCTCAGTAGCTGTTCTTGGACATTGCTGTGGTCACTCAGAAGGTATTAACTCAAAGGAAAACCATTTAGGGAGTTTTTTAAATCACATTTGAAGCTAAACCCTACCCATATCATTTGTTTAACCTAGAATGACTTTGTTAAAGTTAGAGGCAAGGTAACTCTACTGTTATTCATGATGCTAAGACTTACGTGCGGTGTGGGATTTTTTTAATAAGAAATTCAATATGTTTATTTAAAGCTCCTTTGAGGAGTTTTTAAACAGACTGATATGAGTACAGATGCATCTGTATGAGCTAAAAAAGCAAACAAAACAACTGCATAAGAATGTACTTCATCTTTAATGTCTGAAACTGCTGGAGGGGAAAGGTGCCAGTCAAAGTGAAAAGCCTCATTTAACACTTTCTTGTAGATTTAACTGCTAAAATAAAGTATTAAAACTTTTGCAGGTAGTTTACCTAATATTATTGCTATTGAGATATGAGACGCACAGGAGCTTTAAATTTGTATTTTTTGAATGCAGGACCTCTTAGACAGAAGTCAGGTCTTAAGAAGGTCTTTCTGTCTCCCCCCTTTTTCCAACTTTTAATCTTCAGCCCCGACCAATGTTTGTCAAACTTTTTACAGCTTCCTTTAAAGCTCGAAAACCTTCAGAGAAGCTTGTCAGCAGAGCTCTCCACATCTGTACGCAAATCTTCAATTTTAAAGGCGTATTTCTTGTTGAAATAGCATCTTTGGTTAAAGGCTTAAGGGTAATTTTTGTGTTCGGCAGCCACCTACAGCATCTCATCATCTTGTGCTTGTTCTGTTTCCCAACTCAGTGGAGCTGATGAATGCCTGAAACTATCCACCCACGATGTATTTCTTTTCAGAATTTTTCATCTTTGCTCGGAGTTGCCAGAAAACACACTCACCATCTCCGTTTATATCAATCCTTTCAAAGACTCGGTTTGTGAAATCCTCAGCAGTTTGTTCCTGATTGTCGCTTCCATTGATCGCCCGGATGGCCTGCAGGAACAGAATCAGATCAGCATGTAAACCTGCCCCAAAAATTCAGAGTTTCAGCTGATCCAGTAACTGTGCTGTACCTTTATGATGTTGAGGAGTTCATGTCGGTCAATGCAGCCGTTTCCATCCACATCATAGAGTTTGAAATACCAGCGCAGCTTGTGCTCCATCTTTCCTCGCATCACCAGACTGAGAGCAGCAACGTACTCCATGAAGTCTATGTATCCATCCTGAAAAAACAAGCCATAAATTAATCTATAAGTTTTCATGTGAGGCCCAATTACTATTTAACTGTTTCCAGCCTTTCAGGGTGAATCAGTCCCACGGTGAAGAGTGATTCTTTGCCCCCGTCTAACATCTATAAAAACCCTCTGTGTGAAATGAAGCCTGCCAGGATGGAGGATTATCTCTGGGGAGAGCCTCCACAATCTTAGCACCGAGGCATTGTCTCGCTGATAATCTCATAGTTTCAATCATGCACAAAGGTTACCGCTGCCTTTTGTAGGCTGGCTGGGAGCCTAAGTTTAGATGTCCTGCTTTCCAGACAGCCACATCCTGCGATGACCCTGGTGGAGGGTTCAAGACTCTTAATCAAGCCAAGACGGGTGGAAATGGTTTCCAGGCTTGTCACTTGGACGTCACAGAATCATCCCAGCGTGTTTTATATCAGTGTTTTTTTTTCCACTTGGGAAGCTTTTTGGAGTTTCTTCTCTTGTTACGTAAAGAAAACTCAAAGTCAAGTATAGCAGACCATGTTACTCAAGCGCTTATATAGGCTTTACAGTGAAACAGCAGTTATTCAATTAACCAATTGACCTTGTTTTAATGGCTCAATTTGTCTTTAAAGTTAGCATTTACAGCATTTTTTAAAAGAAAAGCCTCTTATTTCACTCTGTGACTGGCAAAATTTACCAAACGGTCCAATAGTTTTAGTTTTTGATTCAGGAACAGGCCAAACCTCAAAGAGAAGAGGTCACCTTGGGCTAAGATTGGCTTCTTTCACTGGGCTAGACTTACATTATCTTCAGTAGACCAAGTCATCAATGATTGAATAATTAATGAGCCTACAGATATAATCTGTAACTCTTACTAGTTACAACATAGTAAATGAATTGTATTTAGTGATGCTGAGCCTCCTAGACTGAAATTGTTACACATGAAAATAGTTTTAACTCATCCTGGGACAATACAGACGGAATAAACTTTGACATAAACCTACAGCAGCATGGATTTTTTTCCCCAGTGTTTTAGAGTGACTTTTTCATCTGTGTCACTTTAATATAAATACTGTAAACCTATTAGCTCATTTATCACTTCGTACCTGCTTGAACTCAGCACCTTAAATCTTATTTGCACATCAGTTTACATGCTTAACTTGGCATTGCTCATTGCATAACTCAGCACTTGAACTTGACAATAAAGTTGAATCACATCTGAATTTTATAGTTTAGTCCTGAAATGAATTAGTCATGAAATTATCATTGGTCCCAGAATTATTCCAATTAAACTTTAAACAATATCTCTAAAGTAGACATCCTAAACTATCACACCCCTCAAGAGCACTTTTGTTTTTTTCTGGACAAAAATGTTCCTGATGTTTTTTGATGAAGGTTAATCCCAGTAAATGAATAATTTAACACTATTTCCTCAACTTTTTTGCACTTTTAAAGAATAAAAATGCAAGATAAGCATAAAAAACAACATTTAGAACCAGTTTTTCGCCAAAACTTTGAGTGACTACAGTTTGAAGATGAAACCAGCCTGCTAACAGAGTCTCATGTTGACCTTGTGCCCTTTAAACGTGACCTACAGTAACAAGAAATTGTTAAAGAAAAGGACAACCTATAATGATATGGAATAAAATAGCATCTTAAAATGTTTCAGGCTCATAATTTAAAGGGAAACATTTTTAATCGTGTATGTATGGGTTTTGATTTTGTGGCATTAAACACATCCATTGTGCACATCTGACCTTTTGCTTGTCTCTTTTTAAAGGAAGAACTGCAAAGCATGTCTCAAAGAAGGAGTCTAACCGGATCATTCCCATCCTGGCAGCTTTAAAGAGTCCCTCTCTTTGTACCTCAGGTGAGTCTTACCTTGTTCATGTCAAACGTCCGAAACATCTGCTCTATGTACGCGTTGGCCTCAGGGTCTAGACCTCGGAGTCCGAAGAACTGCTTGAACTCATGCAGGGTGAGCTGCCCTGAAGGACACTCAGTCATGAATTTCTTGTACCAGAGGTGCATCTCCACTGCTTGCAGGTCATCCACCGTGCTCCCTGTTGCGTTCCCCATGGCTGAGTACGAGTCTGTAAACAGCAGCTATAGAGCCTTTAAGCAGCACGTCCAGGATCCTCTCAGTCGTAGCAGTCTACTGTGAAGTGGAGGAAAATCCTCCTTCACTGTCACACAACAATGAGACTTAGGGTGAGAATAGCAGCTGGCGGAGGGCCTTTTGTATCTGTTTGTCTCCTCTGTGTCCTCCGTGGCTCTAATCACAGGCAGTAATCCAGGCGAACATGCAGATAAGCGGCTTAATCGACCAATTAAAAGGGCAGCCTGATTGTTCCGTTTCCATCCACGATAACCTGGAAGGTGCTGACAAACATAAAACAGAGTTCATCCTCATTTAGAGACTCAGGGATTCCACCACGGCCATATAACTGAGTTAGAAGGAGTTACGAGACCCAGCATGAGTACCTATTTATAAAAAGTGGTGAAAGTGCACTGATCCTTCAGTTTGATAGTGCTTTAACCTGTCAGGACTCTGATCTTTTTAAGAATAAAAGCAATTTCTTATGTTGTTTCATTCTGTTCCATAACTAGTTAAAACCTTCACATGGGGGCCTTGAATTAGTAGAAATGTTAATGTTCATATTTTTTTTTTGACATATCTGTCAGTCCTTGCTCATCCCTTACTATAGGTGAAACAATGGTGTCCCTCAAGGACAAAAAGCTCCTTGTGCTTTTACAAAAAAAAACAATATCTTTTAGCTATGAAAAGCAAACTCTTCTTTTTCCTTCTTCCAACCTAAACATTTCACACAGTCAACTCACAAAATACAAAAACAGCCAACTAGTTTGTCCACTATGTGCTGCAGTAGAAACATGTCAATGCAAGATGGCTGCTGTGGTGGAGGAGGACCTGCTTTCATGTAGATGTAAAAGACTTATTCTTACTTTATAAAAATTAAATAAATCATACATTCAGTTGAGTAAATGCTAATTTGAGCACAGTTTTTAATTTTATACCTTATTTCAACAATGTCTGATCTGCCAAATTCTTCGCATTGCACCTTTAAAGCTCCTGTGAGAAATGTTTCTGTTTTGGCACAAAAAAAACAACAACAAAACAAACAAACGAAGCCATCTTTGCTGATTTTGTCCTTTGTACATGTAATCAGCTGCTCTCAACAAAAAACATTCATCCTGGTCTCTTTCAGTAATAAAATATATGACTTGTCATGAATGATTGGCGTTAAATAAGTTAAAAAGGCTGTATCAGTATTTTAGCTTGATACCTACCCCCCACCAGCAGATTAAGACACTGAAAATGACCAAATAGAAACAAAAACTTTACTTGTAGGAGGTCTTGTTTTCTTTTTTAGGTCTCAAAAAGTATCAATATTAATTTCAGTAGGTTTCATAACTACCTAAAAACTCCTGACAGGAGCTTTAAACGCCTCAACCACAATTAAATTTCAACTACAATTGGAGGTTCTGAATTACAAATACACTTGAAGTATGCAAGTATCATTCTTGTAATTTACTTAAAGTGAAGTTACTTGTGCTATTTCCCAAGGTCATCTTTTATACACTGTTATATCACATGACCTGAAAGAACTCTCATTTTCAATATGCCAACTTAATGAAAACTGTTGTGCAATAACTGCAGTCAATTTAAACATAATCTGGTTAATCATCAATCAAAATACACCTTGGTTGTTGTTCCACTTGTGTTTAATACTTGTGCAATTTAACAAGATTACACAACAGTACTTGGTAGAGACTTCTGATACCACAGGTTGAAGCCAAGAAGCCGTAAGCCATGACCGAACGTAACAGTAACTGACAGAGTATTACAGTTCAAAATCAATACAGAAGTAAGCTTTCGGATCGCTCAGAACAACAAAAATAAAACTACAATAATTGTTTTAAGTAACGCTTATATAAGAAACTAAATGCCTTTTTTCTTTTTTTACTTCAGTATCATATCACTGCCTTTGATAAAAAGGTTGTCTTAGTGATTATTGTAGTCCATGTTTTCAACAGTGCATTTTTACAACTTCATAACACATAATCTAGAAAAAGAGAGAAAATACAATGATATTCTTACATGTTAGTGCATAAAATGAAAAGTAAGCATGCTGTCAGTTAACATATAAAGTATAAGTACATTGTAAAAAATAAAAACTTCATCAAAAAAATCAGCTGCTGGTCATTTTAAAGCAGAATTACACTTCATTTTGTCATTTCTCACATAGACATTGCAGGACACAGTTGAAGTCATGCCTCTGGAATACATTCAGCTAAATGTTTGTGATTCTTTTTCTTAGCTGTTAAACTTGCAAAAGACTGACACAGGTTATCCACAGGAAGCAGCGTCTCCACAGGTTAATGGCGTTCTCATCCAGTGAGAACTAAATGAGTCACATAAAGGCTGAAGAAAACAACAGAAGCTGCATAAAATAAAATAAAATAAAATAAAAATGAACCATATGTTCAAATAGGCACAGATGTCTTTTTCAGTATTTTGGCTGTTGGTGTTTTGAAGAATTTATTTAGCTTTCAATTAAAAATCCTCTACATCTGCTGTAGTGCAAGAACATAAGAGTTATACAGTATGTACGCCTCCTCCTACATATTTTACTCTAGTTTGCATAACCCTGTATCTTATTTGCATGAAAAGTCCTCATTGTGTTTGACAACTAACCAGGGAAAAGTTCCCAACATTCTGGGAGAGCTTCTCCTGATCATACCAAGACCTGGAATTAACCGCACTAAGTCACCACATGTACAAATATAACACTAATAAGACTTTTTAAGAGCTTAAAAAGGTAAAAAGTTATATTTTTTCTGACTTCAGTAAGGCCTCATTTTCCTTCTTCATCCAGCATCTTTAAAACTTCACATTTTTAAATGTTTCTTCTGCTCCAGCCACAGTCTTTGTCCTGAATAGGCTTTATGTTTGGACAATGCAGTTTACAGATAATGTAGGAACAAACATAAAAAGACATTATGCCTGCGTTTCAGAGATTTGGCAGATCTCTCAAGCACCAACAGCTACACTTTTCCTCTTCCCCCAGTGCAGGTGTCTGAAGATGGAGTCAAACACTGACACTGTGTAACGTGCAAACAGGCTGGTCCACTTTACTGCCTCCACAATCCACTGTGCAGTGCGCCCAACAAACGCCACAAACACTGTGGTGTAGTGTGCCAGCAGCAGCAGGCTCCTGCCAAGCTGTCTGCCCTGGTTGATGATGAGGTTGACTCTTTGGTCATGTCCCGCCATTTTACAACGTCAAAGAGATTTCTTCCAGATGCAGAAATTAAAATGTGTTTGTTTGGCTTAAGGGATCATTTTTCGTTTCTAGGATGTGAATCTTTATGCAGATCCTCCCTAGGCAAGAGCAGACGCCTTGAAATTTGTGGACGGTCCCTTAGATACGCCGATCCCAGTTGTCCAATCAGAGCAGAGGAAGTTTTGTTTCCGGGAATGTTTGGTGATGTGGCTATGCTCTGACATCCATCCGAGGAAATATACCAAATAAAAAGCTTTATCTGGGAAGCACTCTTACGGGTGAGTCAAACGTCCTTTCCATTAAAGAATACACCTGTTATTTGGCTGCATGAAAGCGCTGTCATGCACGAAGAAGACAAACTCCACGGAGCAGGTTTGCGGGAATCCGCTCTTATTTAGAGTCCTGAGCGTTAGCTAGCTGAGCAGCTTTAGCACACTTACTGTATGATGGCAACTACAGGCAGAGTAAACAAACGGACGTTTTCACCGAGTATCCCGTCCACGACACCGATTCTTGCTCTTCAAACGTGTCTATTGTCCTCTAGGAACATCGCTGTCCGACCGCTTGAAAAGTTTGCCGTCCATTTTCGCGTTAGCTAGCTTTAATCTTTGCTGTTCACAAAAAGAGTGACGCAGCCGCAGTGGAGTGTTTCAACGAGTTCGGGGGAAGTCGGTTCCGTCCGGTTCAGATCGGGACGGGGAGGCTGGGGGGCGTCTGACAATGTGTTGCTTAGTAACAAGGGGGAACGTGAGATAGGAGAAGCTAATTCATTTGAGCACGACAGAGTTAAATATCCTGCATTGAGTCGACATGTCATTTACAGCTAGCCGACATATCGAACAAGTTAACGCTCTGTGGAGTTTGTGAAATTAGTTTTCAACTTTTTGAACATAGATATGACATTCTATTTGATTTTGGAAGTGGTTTCTCCTGAAGCTGCTGCCGTTTTGGCCAGGCCCCCCTTGAAAAAGACTGACCTGGTTAAATAAAGGTTAGATAAATAAATTAAAAATAAAACTGGTTATTGTTCGACCCATAAAGTGCAATACATAGGAAATAACGTACTAGACAGTCACCTTAAACCAAAGATAATCCCACCACATTATTGTCCAATCCTATGTACACAAATAAGGTGCAACGCCTTAAAAGTAAAGGGCAAGTACACACAGTTTTCAGTGTGTAGTGGATATACAACGGTTAATACATCGACTGCAACTTCACTGCATTACTAAATGAACCACAAATTTATACAACAAGAACATTAAATGGCTTATAAAATAAAATCAATTCTCATAAGTATTATGATTTTTTTTGTTTTACAATTTATAAAGTAAGTAAACTTTATTTGTACAGCACTTTTCACAGACAAAAAAGTCACAAAGTGCTTCGCATAGAGAAAAATAAAAATGACATACAAATAAAAAGGCCAAGACAACGACATTAAACAGTCATAGCAGCCCCAAAACAATGAAACAAAAGCCTGAGCAAATAAATAAGTTTTGAATTGGCTTTTAAAGGAGTCAACAGAGTCAATTAAGTGCACTGAGAGAGGAAGATCATTCCAATAAATAGATTTTTATGTTCAAAAATCGATTTTTTGTCAAATTTAAGAGTACATCTTAAAAACTGACTTACATGTGATGTGTATTTTTTTGGGAAATACGGTTCCTGGAATAGTCAGTAGACGGTCATAATTATTCAGTCCCAGCCCTAGAGGACATCAACAAAAGCCTTTAAACAAAGCTTGTATAGCGTCATCGTTTGCAAACAGAAAACGTCTTGAGCAAGTGCAGCACATACTTTGTTGATATATCAGGCGTAAGTAGTGCTAGTTGAGCCTCTAATTTTTAACTTTTCTCCCTCACAGTGCCATCCTTATGTTAAGCCGTCTGGCCACCGTCCTCCAGGAGCTCTCTGGAGAGGAGGGCCCAGATGGAGACTCACAGGTGAGTGCGCATAAATTGGAGTAAATTATAAAAAAAAAGGGTTTTGTGACTGGAGCTTAAAACTCAACCTTTAAAAAATCAGCAGCAGATTTTAAACACGGTCTGGTTTCAAAGTCTTTAGATGTTTGTTCCCTCACTTGGAGCAGCAATTTGGAGCAAAGGGATAGGAAAGGTTGGCTGTTTCATGTTTTAAAAATAAAGATGGAAAACTTCTAAAGGCTCCCTCTCTGTGCAGAAATAGGTCAAAGATAGCTGAATCTGCCAAGTTGTGCAAGCATGTAACTCCAGGTATAAATAAAATACAAGTTAATGGCTGAAAATATTATACAAGCATGAATCAACATTGTTTCAAACTCAAGGTTTATGGCAAAAATTTGACTCCTCTTGCCCAAACCAAAAATGACTCGGATGACAAAGAGAGTTGTTTTCTTAGTTAAGTTTACTGACCATGACCAATAAATCAACTCTTCCTGTTTCCTCAAACAGGGTATGTTGGTGCCTCAGCTTCCTGCTGGTGAGGGCCAGGCCTCAGCTGAGTCTGAGGTACCTGAGGAGGCCGTGGAGAGGTTGGCTCACCTCGAACAGCTGGTGGTCCAGCTGAAGGAGCTCATCCGGGACAAAGACACTCAGTTAATTCAAAAGGATGCTGAACTGTCAAACAAAGATGTACAGCTCAAGGTAAACAGCCTCTGTTAGAGTTTGCTATGACCGCTACAAAACCAGTTACTAATTTGTTAGATGCAAATGCCTTTTTTTTTTTTGTTGCTTTTTTTTTGCGCAGAGTGAGAAGGAAGAAGCGGAAGCTCGCTTCACCAAACTCAAACTGCAGGCCAAAGCAAAGATGGCTTCACTCAACAAACAGATAGCAAATCTGAAAGGACAAGGAGGAGAACCAACAGTAAGTTTGAATGATGGAAAACAGTCTGTGCTGTGACTGATGGATTATTTCAAATCACTCTCAGTTTGACTTCTGAGACAAAGATACATCCGTCCTTAACCATGAGTGATCAGTGTCTGGATCATCTGTGTGTCTCCTCAGAGTCCAGACAGCTCTTTTACAGGAGCTGGCGCTGCAGTCGAGGAGGAGCTCCAGGACCTGAAGAAGAAGCTGAGCGTGGAGGAAGCGAAAAGCAGAGAGCTTCAGGAGAGACTGCAGACCACAGAACAGGCCCTTCAAGACAAAGAGTCCATGCATGCAGAGCAGGTGAGAAGACTGTGTTTAAACTGCATCTAGACCAACTGCTGACAAAAGACAAAAGTAAAAATTGTATGCAGGACCTTCGTCAGAGTAATGATTTGTGTTTCTCTTTTCCAGCTGAAGAAGCTGCAGGTTGTGGTGTGTGAGAAGGATGTGCGTTTTCAGGAGCAGGTCCAGAAACATGAAGAGGAGCTGCTGAGGGTCTCATCACAGCAGAACAATGATGGCGAACTCCAGCAGGTAGAAGATCCAGGAGCATCTGACATGACTGATGATGTATAAATGCTGTAGTTTCTTTGCAAGGATGGCTAAATGTGAATAGAAGTGCAAAGTTTGACTACATTTTACCAAAGCAGAAGACAAGGAGGGTCCCAACTGAGTCATGATACGCACAAGGGCCAATTATGGAAAAAGCCTGATTTCCCAGCCAGAGCAACTCTAAATACAAACAGCTTAGTGTTGTTTGTTACACCATAAACCCTCAAATAAAGACCGGCATTCAATTTGTGTCTGGACCCCTTAGTAAGACCAAGATTACATCCTTATTAAGTTAATATAGACTGGCTCCATTTATTCACACTTTCATATTTCTATCATAGAGGTAGAATGAAATGAACATTCTCAATGAACACAAAGCAGTTGTGTCGAAATCAGTCCAATGAAGCAGAAAAAGTGCAGCCAAAATTTCCAAAGAAGGAAGACAATGAAAGTTTTTGGCGGAGATTGTCTTGTTCACGTGAGGATGTGTGAAATTTAACACCTGGACACTGATTTCCAAATACACATTCAGCCTGAGGTGATCGATTGGACGAGAGAGAGCTGTCACAGTTCATCATGACAGACATCATAGATATATATATGTGCTGAGAAACACCAGACTAGATGATCAAAAGCCCAGGTTGACTGTAATTTGTTAATTCGTTATGTATTTGATAACTGAGCTCCCTCATGTCGTGGTTGAAGTGTGTTAACATGTTATTTAAAAGCTCTGACATGATCATGTACTGAGGAATGATATATTTTTGATAATAGAAGGATAAAATCAATTTACAAATACAAAGGTTTCATTCTCATACAAGTCTGCCTTAAATAAATACCTGCCACCTTCTGCAGTAAAAACAAATAGAGGCCCCAGTTTATATTTTGGTATTTATAGTATGTACAGTTTGTGTCATATCTTGTTTTGTGCGACGACTTGTTGCTTGAACTAGCTTACTAACTAGCTAAAATAATTGGAGTTTGCCTCTATTTTTCTTTATGGGCTAAACTGACAAAGTGTGTTAGTTTATGAACCATCTTGAAGAGGATAAAACAACCACAACTAAAAGATAAACCAAAAGTTCATGAGGTCTTTTCTCTCCTTGTTGTTCCCTCTCTCAGGCTCTACATGTGGCACAGCGGCGATGTGAGGAGCTCGAGGAGGCCTTAAACTCTCGAGCCCAAGTCCTGGAAATGCTGCAGCAAGAAGTGAGCAGCGCTGATCAGCAGAAACAGGTAGAGATCCTGTTGTTCTGGATGCCATTTAACAAGTGTGTTTACTCAGACTTTGGGAGATATTTACAGATGCTCGGATGAATACTTTTCCTGCTTGATGAAAAGACAACTCCTCAAACAGGCACACCCCGCAGCTCCTCACCATGTCATCATTAGGCATTGTTTGGATGAGCCACATAGCACACACCCACTTATGTCCTCCTTCCCTTTCTCTTTCTACTCAGATTTTGACAGCTCAGTTCCGGCAGATGGAGCAGGAGCTTTCTGAGGCCGTCAGGCAGAGGGAGGAGGAGAGGCAGCAGTGGGCCCAACAAGCGAGCAGGACCGATGCAGAACTCGCATCCCTCCGAAGCAGCCTGGAGGCCCTGGAGAGAACAAACATTGAGGTAGAGAGGCAGCACAGCGAACTGGCTTCACTGAGGGAGGCGGAGCTTGTGAGTCAGGAAGCTCTGGGGAGGGAGAAGATGGAAGTTGCCAGGTTGGAGAGAGAGCTGGCTCTGATGAAGGAGGCTGAGCTTGTGAGCCGAGATGCTTCAGAGAGGGAGAGAGCTGAAATAATTCGGCTCGAAAGCGAACTTTCATCCTTGAGAGAGGCGGGCGACAGTCTCAGCCAGGAGAAGTCAGAGGTGGAGAAGCTCGAGCGAGAGTTGGCTTCACTGAAGGAGGAACACGGCGATGCCCTGAAGAAGAGCGGAATCTTGGCCGAAATCTGGAAACATCTACGATCTTTATCTGAGGAAGATGTTCAAGCAGCAGAAGAAGAAACCTCCATCCCTGCTGACCTCTCCATGTTCATGGACACGATGCGCTCCATTGAGATGCAACTGATGAAGCTGAAAGACGAATGCAGCGAGAGTGAGAAGCAGCGCGCGGAGCTCACCCACACCATGGAAACCCTTCAGGGTAGGAAAGATATCAGGTTGTTTCTGTTAACATCAGCGTTTTAATGCCAGAACTGCAGCATGTCATCAGATATTTGAATATTAATCTGTGATTTTCAGAACAACTTGATAGAAAAACCACAGAGCAGGAGGAAACCACAGACAGGATCCAAGAACTGGAGCAACAGATTGTTACAGTGAGTATCAATAATCTGAAAACACATGGTTTAGAATATTAAACAACATGTTATAATGTTTTAGTCACAGGAACCTTGAATAAACTATACTGCTATAAGGAAAACAGTCTATTTAAAGGGTTACAAAAATCTGTCTCATGTATTCAAGTGGGTCATGTGAGGATTCAGGTCATTTGATCTGTTTGTCTTTATTGATTGAGCTGAAGAGAGACGGGGGAACACTCAAATTTAGACGTGAGTCAAGTTCACAAAGTCATTCAAGTTTAGTGTCTCACAGACCTGTGGATCAGTCCTCACTACTCCTGTTGTCATAATTGGTGATACAGCTTATAATTGTTCATCTGCCTCCAGAGTTGGTGTCTCTTTTTATTTAGTATCACTTAAAGAGGTGGAATTATGTATTTTTCTTGTCTGACAAATAAAATATAAACTGAAGTAAAGAGGACAAATGTTCAGATTCGAGGCAAACTTTAAGATTAGATTTCAGGTGAGACTGCAGGCTGCAGCTTCAAAATGTCTCACAAGCACTAAGCAAGATCTTACATGAGAGTTGCTGAGTTTGTTACGTCACTAGTCGATGACTCCCCCCAAAAGTGCTTGATAAGCAAAACCTTGATCCGTCCCTTTCCAAACTCCAGGTCAGATTTGGTGACCAAAACATGTTGCTACATTCAGTAATTTGTCATTTTAAATTAAACAAAGACACCAGGGTTAGTTTAATATGTCAACTTTGTAGCATGGCAACAGCAGAGGAGGCCTCTAGAGTGTTTTAAGGGCCTCAAAGAGACAGCTGCTAAATGAAGTTTTTCATGTAGAAGCTTAAATAAAGGTTTTCAAAGACACTGATTTGATATAAGAATTTTCAGAGCTGCCAAAGTATTGATTTCATCATCTAATTGCACAACACTGTTAAAAAAATAGTTAAATTATGTACTTCTTCTGTTCTGTTACTTTTGAAGAGACCGCACTGTTACATGGGACAACCGTTGTAAAGATATTTACTTTTCCCACTCAGAACAGCTGAATAGAGACAGAAGCATAAGGAGAGGAGAGAGGGAGATGACATGCAGCAAACCAGAGGACTGAAGTTTCTCTTCACTTGTAGACTTGTACACTCCTCTTTAAATATAATAATAGAAGACAGAATTTTAAAAAATAAAGATTTTATAGCAACACAACTTTAAGTTTTACATATATGACTTGCTTTTTCGTGTTTAGGATGATGGTGTTGTATCCGTATGTTGAACCCTATTGAACCAAAGTCACCTCAGCCATCCACTATAATCACTCTTCTTTAGAGACCTGCACAGACATTTGTTCCTTTCCCAACTCATGACACATTACTGCAAAGAATTGCAGAGAGGGTTTTAAAATAACAGGAACAAGTTTCTGCTCCGTTTTCTGCTCAACATCAGATGTTAGCAGCTTGTTGTTTTTTTGTTTTTTTCAGATGTAAACTTCAAAAGGGAATCTGAAATAAGCTCAGTGATACTTTGACAGTTTTATCGTCTCTCTGAAGCTTTAATGTCAAAGTTTGGTGGTGCCTTTGTAAAGAGTTTCTGTTATGCTGCGTCTCTGTTTATATGATTAAAAGGTGTTGAAATTTAAGATGAATGCCTGGAAGCTTAGTATAAGCTGAGGTGCAAGAAGTTCACACAGTTCTGTCTACACATGGAGACAAGCATGTCATGTGCACTTTTCCCCTTTCGCTTAAAGTTTGCAGAGTTAACTTTTGAGTGGTGACTCGTCTTATCCTCTTCACCTAGTCCTGGGACTCACTGGTGTTTGTCCCTGTCATGTAAGTCAGTCTCAGAGGAGACTGGGTCACAGAGAGACAATACTCGCACTCAGTGAAAGGAAGCGTGTCTAATCCGCCCTGTGCTGATCCACTGTTATGACCGACTGTCTCAGCACATTCACCTGCATGGTTAGGGGAAGGTCAGCTGCTGATTTGAACTGGGAGAGCAATCATACAAGATCATATTTAGCTTTTATAAGTGTTGTCTCTCTTCGTCTAAACAAAACCCCTCTTGTTAACAATCAATCTTACTTGTTTCTGTGTGATTCAGATGTCAGAGAGAGTGGACGTGACTGAACAACCATCACAGGATTCATCTGAAGCAAAAACAGGTACAAAAAAGTCACATGTTGGTCGCCCCCCTAAAAACAGTTGTTTGTTGTGTTGAAGCAAAATCTGATTAAGTGGTGGAGACTGTTTACTTGTCTGCCCTGCCAAAGCAAATAAAAGGACTTTATGAAGTGTAGAAGGATATTTTGTTTAGCAGTGGAGATAAAGTTGCAGCCACAACTACGTAATTTTTACTGAATGTAGCAGTGATGACAGAAACATCAATACTGCATGAGACAGAGGTGGATTTATTTGTATTTTGAGTATTTATATCATTGGCTATATGGCTACTGTATTTTTCGCACTATAAGGCGCACCTGATTATAAGACGCACCATCAATGAACGTGTCTATTTTCCTACATAAGGTGCACCGGATAATAAGATGCACCTGATTATAAAGCGCATTAATCCAAACAAAACAGTCAGATGAGTCAAACTTGATTTAACTCATTCAATAACTCCGCGAGGCTACGGTAGCTGCAGTGCTCCGACAAACCAAAAGGATTTTAAGTGCGCCTTATAGTGCAAAAAATACAGTACATTGACAGAGGTTGAGTGGTTGCCAAATTTTAGTCACACATTTACTTTTTCCACTTTTTAAATGACTTTTTTTTGGTGTTTTATATTATGAAGTGTAGAGTGAATGATTTTGATTTTTGGACTTCTAGCCAAACCAAACAAGGTAACAGAGTGAAAGACAAATGTAACATTCACAAGAATATCTGTTTTTTGCCCAGTGTTGCATTAATATAAAAAGAGCCTCTGCAGCCCTACAAAGTTGTTCTGATAAGAGAAGTCCTCATGAAGTTTTGTCAGAAAATGAGTTTAAAAAGTTCTGCTTCGAAAAGCGTTCCTTGCAGCACACTCTCTGTAAAGGAGTTTGTTTTTAATGGACTGAAACTGAAGCTGTTGCTGCTTCTGTCATTAACATGTTAAAAACGAAATGTTTTTCTACATTTCCTCTAAGTTTGCGTTTCCTGATTCCTCTCTCCTTTTTCGATGTCCACAGAGCGCGTACTAGAGCTGGAGCAACAGCTGCTCGAAAAGGACAGCAAGCTCACTGCTCTGCAGGAGTCTCTCAGACTGGCTCAAGAGCACAGCTCCACTCAGACGATCTCATGTGAAAAATGTGATCACACTCCAGCTCAGGTTCAGGGTGTCCCCCATGACGGTTCTGCCACCCTCCCTGACTTTACCGAGGATCCACAGGAGGAGGAGACAACCTTAGTGGCAGAGGACACCTCAGTCCTCTCCATCTCTGCTGATAATGAGAGCAGCCCAGAGCTCATTGGACACCAGTCTGACTCCCCAGAGGAATCCAAAGGGACTTCTTCAGATGAGATGGTTGCTAGTAGTGACTCAGAGGTGGCTCACAGCAGCTGGACCCTGCTGGAGGCTGTGAACCAAGATGGAGGTCAGGAATGGCCCTCCGTCCTGCAGGACTTTGGCCAGCTGCAGCTGCAGTCCTGGGAGGCGACAAGCATGGAGTCAGAAACCTCCACGGTTCAGGTCGAGTCCTCGTCTATCATCATCAGAGAGACGGTCCAAGTCAATCTGTCTCAGCAAAGCTCTCTCATGACAGAAGGTGGCGGATCCTCTGGGCAGGTCTTTGCTCAGATCTTAGCTGAGGAACTCCAGAAGAGGTACAGCGAGCTTTTGGCTGAACTCCAGAGACTCAGAGACTCTGTAGCTGAATCACAGGAGAAAATCCAGACCCTGGAAGAAGACACGCAATCCCTTACTGCTGCGAAAGAAGAGGCGGAGACCCAGAGTAAGAGTTTTGCTGAAGAACTAAAGTCTGCGAGAGAGGAAGTGGACAGACTCTCTCAGGACAGCAGCTCAGGGACGGAGAAACACAGCGTTGAAATGCAGCTCCTGGAAGAACAGATCGAAATTTTACAAACCGACAAGGAAACCAAAGAGGAGAAGATCCAGGCCCTGCAGGCTGATCTGGAAACGGCTCAGCAAGCTTTCACAGAGCAGGAGGGTCAGGTCAGGATGCTGAACGCTCAGCTGGAGGACAGGGAGCTCCTCACATCGGAGCTCGAAAAGAAGCTCCAGGAGATGGAGACCAGCATGCTGGAATACTGTCAGACATCCGAGATAAACAACGACACATTGTCAAAGAAGGACTCTGAGATCAGCGAGCTCCACCTCCAACTCAGCCAGAAAGAGCAGGAGATGACGGAGCTGAACGACAGCATGTCAGCCAAACTCCTCCAAGCTGAGGAGGAGAAGTTCCAGATCGACGGGGAGGTCAGTAAACTGAAGGAGCAGATAGTGGAGCTGGAGAAACAGAGAGGAAGTCATGAAGAGTCGGCAACTGATGAAAGTGATGAACTTGTTAGTCTGAGAAAGGAGAAAGGAGCGCTGGAAACCCAACTCGCAGCGACAAAGAGGAAGCTGCAGGCCGCTCTGGTGCAACGCAAAGAGCTTTTGAAGAAGGTCGCTAATTTTGAGGAGAAACAGAAAGAGGGAGGTCAAACAGCAAAGGAGGAAACTCCGGTAGAAGCGGAGCAACTAAGAGGACATGAGATTCAGGAAATGGAGACTAAAATCGTCACATTAGAGCAAGCTTTAAGATCTAAAGAAGAGGCTTTTGAAGCTCTGGAGCAGAAGGTCAGTCATCAGGATCAGGTTCTTGCAGAGACGGTCGCTCTGAATAAAAGGTTAAGTGAAGACGCTGAAAGATCTCAGGAGGTCTCTTCTGAAACCACTGCGCTACAGTCTCAGGTGACCTCTCTTGAAGCTGAGTGTGAATCCCTCCAGAAGAAAGTCCAAGAGGCCCAAGAATCTCGCAAGGAGACCATCCGCAAAGCAAAAGAAAAAGATCGGCACCACCGTGAGCAGCTGAAGCAGCAGAAAGAAGAATACACCGAGCTGTTTGAGCGCTTTGAGGCGCAGAGTGGCGAGCGGGAAGTCCTTCAGACTAAACTGAGGGACTTGGAAGAAAAAGCGGGCGCCGAAAAGGAAGATCAGTCACCAAAAGAGACCAGGAAGGCGGCTGAGATTCTGGAAAAGCAAACCACAGGGGATTGGGTCCAGGAGGATTGGGTGGATTTTGCTTCATCTGAGACGTATTCATCGCCGCCACAGTTAAGTGATCCAGCTCAACAACCTGTGGAGCAGCCTGAGGTTCTCCCTGCACCTGTGGAGGAGTCTCTGAGAGCTCTCCAAGCAGAGATCCAGACTGTGAAGATCGCGAACACGGAACTGGAGAAGCAGCTTCAGGAAACTCAGGTCAGTTTGTCACAGAAAGAGGCCGAATCTCTCGAACTTGGCAAAGAGCTGCAAGCTTTAAGAGAAAAGGACCGACAGATCGACGCACTTTCAGAGGAGATTATCGATCTCAAAGAAAAGTACCACCAAGCCGAGTCTTACGCTGAAACCCTGAAAGCTGAGATGGGAGCAGCAGCCGAAGCCGCGTCTGCAGATTCCGCATCCTCCATCGCTGCCCTCCAGGCTGAAGTGCAGGACTTCAAGCAGTTCCTCGACAACAAGAACCGTGAGATCGCAGAGCTGAGTCAGCAGCTGAGAGAGCAGAACTCGCTCATAAGCTCGATGCAGGACACCGTGTCCGAGAAGGATCAGCTGATTTCTTCTTTACAGGAAGAGCTGAAGGCAGAGCAAGAGAAGAGCCAGAGGTTGGAGGTCGAGGTTCCACAGAAGCAAGAGGAAGAAAAAGACAGCGAGGAGAAGATCCAGCAGCTCCAACGGAAACTCCAGGCCGCTCTCATCTCTCGCAAAGACGCCTTGAAGGAAAACAAAACCCAGAAGGAGCAGCTGGCGTCGGCTGAAAAAGTCAAGGCCGAGCTGCGGGAGAAAGTGGACTCGGCAGAAGATGAGCTGGAGAAGCTGAGGGCGGAAAGAGCCCGACTGATCGAGGAGGTCGACCGGACGTTACTGGAGAACCAAAGCCTGGGCTCGTCCTGCGAGAGCCTCAAACTGGCCATGGAGGGCGTACTGAGCGAGAAGGAAGCCTGCAAGAGAGACGCGGAGGTGGCGAAAGAGGAGGCCGCCAGAGTGTGCCGAGAATGGGAGGAGAAGGTTCAGGGCATGAAGGAGGAATACGAAACTCTACTCAAGTCCTATGAAAACGTGAGCGACGAGGCGGAGCGAGTGAGGCGGGTCCTGGAAGCCGCGAGGCAGGAGAGGCAGGAGCTCGCGGCGAAGGTGAGAACGCACGAAGCGGCGAGGCAGGACGCCGAAAGACAAGCAGAGGAGGCGCAGAAAGAGGTGGATACAGTGAAGGACAAAATGAGGAAGTTCGCCAAAACAAAGCAGCAGAAAATCCTGGAGTTAGAGGAGGAGAACGACAAACTGAGGGAGATGCAGGAAAAGGGCGGAGCAAAACGAGAAAGCAGGACTCTGAACGCACAGGTTCAAAGTCTTCAAGACGAGCTGGGGGCGTTGAAAGCCGAGCTGGACTCCGCTGTGGCAGAAAGAGACGCTTTAGGTCGTCAGATGGAGGAGCTGAGGGAACAACTTTCACAGGAAAAAGAGAAAGAGGACACCGCTTCTGAGAGCGCTGCTGCTGTTCTTGAAGAAGTTGTTACCGCCCAACAATCAGATGTGATCATGACCAAAGCTGAGCCCACTGAGAGTCAGAATGAGGACAAAGAGAAACCTTTAGTCCTTGAGGAGACCCCAGAGGAACCAGGAGAAGCAGAGGGAGCATCAGAAGAACCTTCAGAAAACACAGAAACGACTGAGAGCGTTCAGGAAGAAGTGAGGACGAGTGTTAAAGCTTCAGTGGAGGATAAAATGAGGGAGATGGAGTCCGCTGTGAATGCTGAACGGGAGCTGTGGCGTGAGCAGGAGGCTAACCTCAGAGCTGATCTGGCCTCTCTGGAGCGAGATCTTCAGGAAAGCAGAGAGAAGGAAAGCCTCCTGGCCTCTTTGGAAACACGCCTTCAAGAGGGCAAAGAGAGAGAGAAGAGCCTGATTGACGACGGCACAAAGAGGGAAGCTCAGTTCAAGGAGCTCCTGAAGAGCCTCGAGGCCGAGAAAGACAACCTGGAGGAGCGTCTGATGAACCAGCTCGCCCAGCTCAACGGGAGCATCGCCGCTTACCAGCAAGAAGCGGCAGATTACCGGGAGAACCTCGCAGATCTGCAGCGGGAGGTGGAGAGGTTAGAGAGGGAGCGAGGCGAACTGGAAGCCGAGGCTCGGAGTGAGAGAGACCGGGCGCTCAGGCTGGAGGAGGACTTGAGGCAAGCGCAGAGAGAAAGGGCCGAAGCTGAGGCAGAGTCCGGGAAGCAGAGGGAACTGGAGCAACAGCTCAAGTCCGCACAGAGGGTCAAAGAGGGCAGCCAGAGCCGAGTGCGTCAGCTGGAGGAGCTGCTGAGGGAGAAGCAGCTGGAGGTCCGTCAGCTGCAGAAAGACTCGATTCAGTATCAGGAGAGGATCAGCGAGCTGTGTAGAGACGTCAAAACCCTGCAGCTCGGCAAGGAGGAGGTCGTGAAGAAATTAGAACAATCCCAATCTGAGATGTTGAAAACTGCAGAAGACCTGAGAAGGACTGAAGAAGACTTGGCCGGCTGCAAATCTGAGCTGGAAGAGGCTCAGAAGAAGGCGAGCCAGGCTTCAGCTGAGAAAGCAGCTCTTGAACAGAGTGTCCAACAGAAAGAGGCCGCGCTGAAAGCCGAGGCAGAGCAAACGCTCGACTCTGTGAGGTTCAGGCTGGGCGCAGAGCTGAAGGAGATGGAGCTGAGGCTGGAGGAGGCTTATACGGAAAGAGAGCGGGAAGAAGAAGCCACTCTGGAGGCGAGAGAGATCGCCGAAGGAGCTGAGAGACGTGCTCAGGAGATGCAGGCCCGCTTGGACGAGTCTCTTGCAAGGTTAGCCGCCTTTTCACGCTGCATGTCCTCACTGCAAGATGACAGGGACCGAGTTTTGGACGAGGCCAAACAGTGGGAGACTCGCTTTAACAGTTCGCTGCAGAGCAAGGAGGCTGAAGTACGGGAGGCTGAAGCACGGGCCAAGGATCTGGCAGAACAGCTTCAGAAAGAAACGGCCCTCAAAGAGGAGCTTCAGCTCTCCGTGGACAGGTAAAAACACTTCTCTCTGAATACGCTATGTGATTGGGTTTAATGTTTAAGCCGCAAAACTGACAATATTGTCCTTTCAGACTGGAGAAAGCAGACAAAGAGTGGCAGCTGAGACTCCAAACAGAGGAGAAGAAAGTCACAGAGATCCAAGCTGCCCTCGAGGAGGAGACCAGCAAGCTTCAGAAGACAACAGCAGAGCTGGAGTCGGCACAGAGTGAAGCTCAGGCTCTGAAAAATGAGCTTCACAGTCTCAATCAAAGGAGCAGAGCTTTAGAGGAGGCCGTGGGTCAGCTGCAGGGAGAAGTGGAGCAGGCCAGGACTGAGCTGAAGGAGAGGGAGGCGGAAGAGAGGAGACTGTGTCTGAATGTGGAGCAGCTAGAGACAGACCTGAGAACCTCAAAGGCTTTGACCGAGGATCTGCAGACTGAGCTGCATGAGAAGGAGAAGAGAGAAGTGGAAATGCTGGGGGAGAAGGAGCACGCTGTTACAGAGGTACTCACGTTTTACCTTCTCTGAACAAGGCTATGTACAAGTTTAAAACGTGATATTTTTGAGAAGTTTCCCATATTCATCTACCCTGTTATTTCCCAGGCTGCAGAGGAGGCGAGAAAGGAAGCCGACAGCAGGGCGAAGGCAGCAGAGGAGGAGCTGGAGCAGAGAAGAGCTGAACTGCGGGACGTGGAAGAAAAGATGCGCAAAACCGAGGAGGAGAGCAACACGAGAAAAACCAAATTAGACTCTTTCACGAAGGCCATGGGCTCCCTGCAGGACGACAGAGACCGAGTCATGAACACCTACAAACAGCTGGAGGAGAAACACCTGCAGGTGAGGCTCAATGAAGAGACTGAGTGAAATATTAATAAAGACAAACGTTGATAGCTTGGATATCATTGACAACCTGTAATTTACTGACTGTTGAACAAATCGACCAAATCAAACTCTGAGAGTGAAAAACTTTGTTTAGTGAAAAATTTATGACTCATTAAAATCTGATGCAAACAACAGCTTTCAAAAAAAAAAGCAACAAAAAAAAAAACAATGACGTAGATGTATTATGCTAGAATTAATAAATTCAGCTTCTTTGCAGCAGGTTAGTAACATGACTGTGAGTAAAAAAGGGCGATCAAGAGAGGCTGAGTTTTTTAGAAGGAGAGACACAGAGAAGTTTGCCACCCTGGAAACAAATAGTTCAAACTTTATCTTCAGTACAAAATATTATTAAAAGATTCAGACAATCTGTAGGAACAAAAGAGACAAGGCAGAGTACCAATACTGGATGGGTGTTATGTAGGCCTTACTGCCTCCAGTAAAATCATTCATGTGAATGAAATACGTGTCTCTACAAGTCTATGCAAAGATGTGATTTGATGCTCCTACGACTCTGGTGGCACGAAAGACACGAATTGGGCGAATCTCAACTTCAGCGGATTTTCGCGATAACCGATCAAAACTGTGGTTATCGCAAAAAAAGTACTGAAAACAGACGGTTGTTCAGTGGTATCTAAAAGGTAGGACTAACTGATGGAGTAGGTGTGTGGGTGCCCCCAATTATATGATACATTTTCTTTCAATTTCCGAAACCGGAATAAAAAGACGTCTAGATTCACGTGTTAAGTGAGTAGATGATTTTACTTGCGCCTGGTGTGAGCATAAAATCAGACATGTCTCTGAAGTGGAAATCACTGCATCGCCTCAAAATCAATTCCAAAAACTAAAATTAAATGCATCATAATTGTCCATGACTTTTCTGGGATCAGTTTTTACTGGAATTGGAGTCATAAGAAATCTGGATTGTGTTGCAGGTCATGATGGAGAAGGACAGTCTGATCCAGGAGGCCGCAGGGGAGAACAACAGTCTGAAGGAGGAGATGCGCTCTCTGCTGGTTCAGAGAGATGATCTGTACGCTGAAAAGGCCCACCTGTCTGCTCAGCTTCACGGCTATCGGGACGAACTTAACCAAGTCCTGAGCATGAAGGACTCTCAACAGAAAAAGCTTCTGGGAGCTCAGCGAGAGCGGATCGCCACCCTGGAGAGAGAGCGCAAAGAGTTAGAAAATCAGTTACTGATGTTCAGTAAAGCCAGAGAGACAGAGGTAGAAGCTGTCAAAGTGGAAAGGGAGACCCTCAGCCAGGCTGTTGAAGCTACGACAGCCTCACAGGTCATTGATGCTCCTGGTGCTGAGGTGGAGAAGCTGAGGGAGCAGCTGCAAGCAGCGAGGGAACGAGTGGAAACTTTGGAGGAGACATTACAGAGTGAGAGACAAGAGCAGGAAAGCAAGAGCAAAGAGCTGGCCGAGCTGCGATGGGAGGGAGGCGTGATGCGAACAGAGTCGGAGAGCGCACAGGAGAGGGTGGCGGAGCTGGCACGGGACCTGCTGGCTGTGGAGCAGAAGCTTCTAGAGGAGAGAGAGGTGACAGTGCGGCTAAAAGCAGAGAACGAATCGTTCTCTAAAGCCATGGCCTCGCTCCAGGACAGCCGGGATGAAGCCGTGAACAAGGCCCAGGAAATGAGCCTGAAGCTGGAGGAGATGAGCAGGGCGGGCGGCCACACAGCACAAAGCAGCTCAGGAGGTTCCACTGGAGAAGTGTGGGGGCTGAAGAACGCACTACAGGCCCTGCAGAACGACCGTGAGAGACTGGTGAGTAACATCTCTGACTAAAGATGCCAAATATTTTAGTCAGATTAACAAATAACAACTCCCCTGGCAAAAAATGTCATAAATAATATGAATATGATATTTTCTGTATATAATGTGTTTCTTTTCCCACTTTTTAAATGCAGCTGGAGCAGCTTCAAGCACAGACATCAGAGATGAAGAAGCAGAAGTCAGAGCTGGCTCGCCTCGGAGCAGGAGAGCTGATTAAAGTCAGTCAGGAGCTCTTTGAGGAGAAGAAGAAGAACGAAGACATGCTGAGTGTCTTAATGCAGCTGGAGAGTGTGGTGGAAATGGGCAAGCAGGAAATCGAAACTCTAAGGTGAGGCACAGAGCCGGTGTTGTGCCGTCTATCAACATAAAATAGAGCATTTTTTCATGAGTGTCTTCTGTTTTGTGTGTTTTAGACTGGAGCGCATCGACTGGATGGCTCAAGCAGAGCAGCTGAAGCAGCAAACCCTCACCACGCTCTCAGAGAGGGACCAACAACTGCGGCAGCTCACCGCCATGCTGGAAGAGGCCCGTGCACATAAGCCCAAACTCCAGCAAGAACACTATCAAAGAGAGGTAAATGTTTGCTTTGATTTTTGACCGTACAAGTTCAGACTCAGAAAATAGAAGCGGTGTTTAGAGCTGTTTGAAGTCATTGAGGTTTCTGTGCTTCTTTTTTGGTTGTTCTTTTCAGGCCTGCAGAGTTTGCAGCGGTTTCTTCTTCTTCTTTTATCTCATTCTTAAGTTGCAGAAGGCTTAAAAAAGAAACTGCAGCGTTATGAAATAGGGTAAGGCTTTTAGCTCCTGATATTTATTCTTTGCCATCTCATTATCCTGCAGGGCACAGAGGAGGTGGACAGCGCTCCTGGAGCCCCACAGGAGCGAAACAGCCTGTTAGACGGACATGCCTACATAGCTGAAGTCAAAGAGCTTCAAAGAAGGTAAAACATGATCATACCTGATTGGAAAATGTTTCTTCAAGTAGTGTGATATCATACAGATATGAACTGGTTTCTGGTTTCTTTTCCTTCCGTAGGCTGGATGAGGAGATGCAGCAGCGTGTGTCTGCTGAGGAGCAGCTGATGGCCGTGCAGGAGCGACTCAGACGGTACCAAATACGATACGAGTTAAAGATGAATCGATTTGAAGCAGAGGAAATGATACTGCTTTTAAGATAGATCTGTTATCCTAATTTTCACCTTTTGTTGATTCAAGCCGTGACATGTCAGTGGTAGCTTTGCATGAATTGCAGCTCAGAAAACTCTATTATCTAAGTTATTCTCATGTTTGTGAAAACCCTCATTTCAGCACTTTTCAGCCTTAGCCTAAAATGTTTCTTTGTGACGAAGTGTTTAGGTTGGAGTTTCTTGAAATTGACTTTATCACAGGGTAGAGTTAATCTCATCGTATGTTTAATTTGCAGACTCAAATTTGTAGTTTCTACTGTCATCCAGCAGATGGTGCCATTTACCTACATAAGGGCAGAAGAAGACGGTTAACCAAACTTTTGCTGATAAACATTAAAATTTCCTAGAAAATGTAAATACAGATTTTCTGTCTGGCATCTGACATACTGGAAAAATACAATATTCGTTGTTTTATATGTTTATCCACAAGAAAACCAGCGACGTTGATGTAATCATATAAAAGTCCTTAAAAAATACATTTACATATTTATTAGCAAACAGGATTTAAATTAGAGGAAAATCAGGATGACAGTATTTATATCTAATAATTCTCTCTCTTTTGTGTGTACTCTGTGTGATGTTTATCTGCTTTTAAATGATTTATATAGTTTTTTTCTAGCATTATGAATTGGCAGAATCAACAGAAAATGACAGCTAACATGTTTTCATTATTACCAGCAGCCACAGCGAGGCTCAATGGCACTCTGCACAAGACGAGGGCCACTCAGAGACCTCTGTTTTCATCGAGCCGTCAGAAGGAGCCGTCACTCGAGTAAGGCTCCAATAACATCCCATTCGTCAACCTAATAGCCGTAATAATCGAGACGAACGAGCTGAATGTTCGCTGTAACCTTGTCTCCCTCGTCTCACAGACTCGGAGAGGTGGCCCGGGTTTGACACGGATGCTGCGGGTGGCCTTCTGTTCCCGTCAGCGCACCCCTCTGCTGCTCAGCCTCTATCTGCTCACTGTGCACGTCCTGTTGCTGATGTGTCTGGGCGGATACCTTTAAAACCAGCTCCCTTTCCCAAACCTGGAAGACATGAGGGAAAGAAAGAGAGAAAGGGAGGGTTGATAAGGAAAGGTGGCACAGACCTAACCCAAGCCATCATTAGTTTTACGTTGTTAAAGTATTAATCATAGAGGGTTCAAATGTTGCACTTTACGAGACTTTACCTTTTAGCCAAAGTATCGACAACTACACAGAAAGAAAGATGTTCTTGTTTTATCTGTTTTACTCCTCTTAGACCGTTGAGGGTATATTACACATTTTTTAAAACCCAAATGATGGGATGATACAAAGGGACAAGGTTTTGATTTTCTGTTTAAAAAAAAAAAGAAGTACAAGTACATTCACAGTGGAGTATGTCAGCAGGTGGTGTTGTTTACGTGCCTTTAGATTAGGATATTAAAGGGTTTATTTTGGCGAGGAAGAAGTGAGACATCTCTTGTGGACCAGGGTCGTTTAAATGAGACTGAAACGAGTGTACATGATGGTTTAATATGATTGCATGGTTAGCAGGCGGTTAGCTTAGCATTGAGAGGAAACAGGAAAAGGCCTGGCTCAGTCAAGTTGTTACAAAACATTTTAGAAGTCAATAATCAACCAGTTACACGCTTTTGTTTAAGCTACAGAAGCCCTAAGTGGACAAACATTTGGTCTTTAATATTTGAACCTACAATAATGAGTTATATTTAGATTTTTTTCTTGAGGTCTTAATATGATTTACTTGGTGTAACAAACCTGGGTTAGATATTGTAACAGATGAATTTATCTGAGAGTGGCTGTGTTTGGGTGTTATGCAGCATTCTGTGACCAGACTATTCTGAGTATTCTGGTTCAGTCGACCTACGAAGGTCCTCTGAAGTTACATTGTCCTGGCTAAAGGTAGCCCCTAACAAAATGTAAAATTTTCATCTTTAATTTGAATGAAAGTATTAAAATTAGACAGATGTTAAATAGGGAGTTTTAAAGATACCAACCTCATACCAGAGCCAGGCTCGTTCACCCGTTTCCCAGTCTTTGTACAGAGCTTAAGCTTAGTCTCTGCAAAGCTAACTAGCTGAGTGCTGTAGCCGTTTATTCAGCGGACAGATAAAAAGTGTGAAAGATCCTCTTATCCAAAAAGTCTCAAGTTTTTAAATACTTTAATCTGAATGGCTTGAGGTTTAGGGTGTGCTGTTGTAGTCCAGTCTCCACCTCTTCTTACCATTTAATGCACAAAACGAGCACAGTGCAATTTCTGTTTCTACACATTCCTATTCTGTTTCCTTTACTTTTCCTTTTTAATCACTTTTTTTAAATAAAAAGAAGCATTATATTAGTACATGTCCATATATTTGAGCTGTACTGTAATCGTTAGCTGTAGGGTTTCTCTCTCACATACTCAGTAAGTTTCCCTGTCTTTGCATCAGTTGCACACTGAGATTTTACAGTTAAATCTTGAGGTTTTATAGCAGGTGAAGTAGCCATACAGAGAAATGTATCGGCACAGTGATGATTCATTTAGGAGGAAAAAAGTCTGCTGTGTTTTCCAATAATTCTCCATCCATCATGAACTATTCTGATGTAGCATAATTTATTGTCCAACAGTTGTCAACTTTATACATATATAACCTTTCCGTTTGTGATTATCCGGCTGTTGGTGAAATGATTCCTCTTTACTCATCTATCACGATCATGCTCCTCTTAACATCTTACACACTGAAATATGCTTTTACTGTAAATAACTGTTAAAAGGGCTGTATAGAAAAATAAAATGTAATAAAAACGGTGGTTTAGATCAGGGACTTATTGTCAAATATTAATATTCATTATTTGGTTGTCTGTGGGGAAGAAGACACTAGGGTCTCTCTTAAGGATTTTCTTTAAACTGGCCCATCTCCCGTTTTATTTGTTCTTTTATTAATGCACTAAGTAGTAAAATCCGTTTTTTCTCCTTATCAGCTTTGTGTTCACCTGTCAATATATTTGGAAGTATCTTTTTCTTCATATTTCATCTGAAGGTTGAAACTTCTGTGTTGACTTATTGGGACATTTTTTCAAAACACTGTGGTCTTTCTCTTTAGGACAAAAATTGATTTACAGACTAATTTTTTTCTGACACACTTGGTCTCACTATCACCATTTCCAGCTTCAAATAAAAGGACTTTGTATTCATTTTGACTTGAAGTCTTCATATTGAAGTACTCACAAAGTGGCTTATAGGTCTACAACAACAAAGAGGTAAAAAGTTACAGATATATGCCGTGGCGGCGAACCCCCACTGCTGCAAATAAAAAAAGGAAGTCACAACGGAAGTCACTGATGCAAAAAAAGAAACCGAAGCCTGCGGCAAATAAAAAAAGAAACGGTGCAGATAAAAAAGCCACAACGGAAGTTAACGACAGAAAAAAAGTGGTGATAGGGAAAAAAAAGTTACTTACTGCGAAAATAAAATGATGCAAATTAAAAAAAAGCCACAACGGAAGTGAGCTGCTGGGGACCAATAATGATGATGCACCGGTGTTTCACGATCAAGGCATAGAAGATGACGCCGAGAAGATGAGCAAAGAAGTGAGTGGAAAGGTTATTGATTAATTTCGCTTCGTAAACTTTCTATGTGTCATTTGGTTAGGCCATGTAATGCTTGAGTCGATTTGAAGTTGAACTGAAGCTAATATAACACCGACATCCTCCAGATCAACTTCATATCGACTCAGGCGCTACATAGCCTAACCAAATGACACATAGAAAGTTTACGAAGCGAAATTAATCAATAACCTTTCAACGAACTTCTTTGCCCGTCTTTTCCCTGTCATCTTAGTGCCTAGATTGTAAAACACTGGTGCAGTAACTTTTTTTGTTTTTTGCATCACCACTTTTTTTTGCATCATTAACTTCCGTTGTGGGTTTTTTCCCCCCTTTTTTATCTGCACTGTTTCTTTTTTTTTTTATTTGCAGCAGGGTTTGGTTCTTTTTTTTTGCATCAGTAACTTCCGTTGTGGTTTCTTTTTATTTATTTATTTTCTGCACCGTTTCTTTTTTTATTTGCAGTGGGGTTTGGTTCCTTTTAATGCATCAGTAACTTCTGCTGTGGTTTTTTTTTTTTCTTTTTTCTTTTTTTTTCTTTGCAGCAGTGACATTTTTTTTTTTTGCATTCTTTTTTATTTGCAGCAGTGGCAGTTCTCGGCCACCGTACATACAGCTTACAAAACTTCAAAAAACAATGATACATCTTATTATACTTGTTTTTGTCCCATAGCTGTTGTCCATGAAAGGAAGCCAAATCAATTATAATTTTACATTTTAACACTGTGGCTGCATTAAAGTGCCAAATCTCTCCCAGGGTTTTCTATTGTTGAATCTGTGTTATTCTGCCCTCAAGTGTTTTAAAACAAGAATTACAAGCGAAGTTTCGTCTGTACACCATGCTCGTAAAAATAATAAGGCAATTATAAAAGACTGTTCGCCTCTGTGTTGGGGCCTAATTGACAGTTTAATGAAAAATCAAGTTGGTTGTATCATCTCTCTCAAACTCTCCGCTTACTATTCAACACCACAGCCTGGTTGTTTTGTCACATTTCACACTTTGATGTAATGTTTCTTTCATTACAAGTAAAAAAGAACTCTACTAAATTAGAAGTACACCTAAAAATCTGATGCGTGTGAATATATTTTAGTCATGCTATCATTCGAACACACTGACTCCGTTTCTGTCCATTAGTTGAAGCGAAACGCGCGTTCACGTGTACTACATGCGCGCTCACACCTTCATCAAACTGTCACAACTTGGGGACGACTACAGGACCACTGTCGGTGTAATATCCACGCCAAACACGCATACAGAGCGTTGACAGCTTAAAGGTAAAATAAGCATTTTTAACTTAAACTTACTCTCTGACTCTCATGCTGTGTGCTTTAGTTTGTTTTATCTCCAAAGTCAAATCAAGGAAGTCGTAAGTTGCACTTGGAAATATACTGTAAACCGTTTGCTTAACACTTGAAAGTTATACATACAACTATTAAATAACACTATGTTTATGTACCTCTATGTTAAAAGTTATCAAGAGCACACAGTAAATATAGCAACACTTTTAATGGCAGTAAACTTATTTAAAGTAGCATTATCTTGATGGATATGTGTATTACAATAGAAGTGATTCCTCCTCCTGATAAACAAAAAAGGTCACGCTCAGGTAGTTGGAAAGGGTTTTGAGATATAATGTTGATAATTAATCAGAATAATGTGTTTTAAATGTACTGACTTATGACCACTTCTTAAAGTTTGTCTCACTTTGGGGAAATGAGGCTTCATGTCGAAAATACCTTGACTTCCTTTTTGGTACTTCAGCAAATGGTGCTCAGAGTTTGCAGTTGCACACCAGTATATTTAGACTGAAAAAGTAACACCCCGTGAATAGAGATGAAACGTTTTTGAATGAATGCAGCAAGACTACGCTTTGTCGTTTCTCAAAGTGGTGTTGTGTCCTCAGTGTGGCTCATGCTGTTTTCCTTCCCCAGATGTGGAAGTCAGTCGTGGGCCACAATGTTAGTATGAAGGTGGCTGCAGAGGGGGATGACTGGGAGACGGACCCTGACTTTGAGGTAGTCTACTCTGCCCGGAGCGCTTGGTTATGTGGAAAAAATTAGTGTTTGTCTTTGATCCTCTTCTGTCTCACATTTGTATTTTCAGAATGACGTATCAGAGCAGGAGCAGAGGTGGGGGGCAAAGACCATCGAGGGCTCGGGCCGTAAAGAACACATCAGGTGAGTTATGTACCTTCGTGTCTATTAATAAATGACTCTTTAAGTAATGTAGGGGAAAGCAGGCCAGAGTGGGTGCTGCGTAGAAACAGGAAGAGGAAGTGAAAAGAGCACAAGCTGTCAAGCTGCAAGACTGTCCTAATATGGGTAATATATGATGATGACACACTGACAGAGAGATTTAAACTGCTGTGCTTTCTCACCACAGACGTAGACAGGTTTTCACACTGTTGCCATAGATGCAGGATTACTTCTATCCTACGTTCATACCAAACAGTTACTGTCAGTCATTACCTGGCAACAGCTGAATGTACTTGTGAATCTAGATTAAGGTGCTCCCTCACTCACCTCCAGTTGGTGAAACAATGGTGGCTTTCAAGAAGCTCCAGTAGCCGTCAGAGAGGAGGCTGAAGACCCACATCCTTTGCTTCTTGGTTGATGGGAGGTTAGGCTGCAATATGGTGAACCAGCTGGTGGCTGAGACGATGTCAACACTAAATGCAGTCTTTGTGCCTTTAAAATCCAAGTGGTTAGATCAGGTCTTTTACAAGTGGAAACTGTGGGAATATGTTCTCATTATTTAAAACTATGTTATGAGTGATCAATAGTCCAGGTTTTTATCATTGTCAGTTTGTTTAACTCCTGTCCGGCTCGTCAGTGTTGCAGAGCTCAGAAGCAAAGTGGCTGTGGAGCACGAGCAGGTGAAGCAAAAGGATCAGACTCCCAAAGCCTCGTACGGATATGGAGGGAAGTTTGGAGTCGAGAAAGACAGAATGGACAAGGTTGGCTAGTTCTGTTTGTTCAACTCGCCTACTGCAAATATTTTTATGTCTTTAATGCCCCTACTCTGCATCCACGCTTATACACTACTTCTTATTCTACTGCTGGACTACTACAACTTTATACTGCTGCTGTAGTCTGGATCTGTTCATGAATATTTTTTGATTGTCTAGGCGGCATTGGGGCACGACTATGTGGCACAAGTCGAGCAGCACTCCTCACAGAAAGATGCAGCGAAAGGGTTTGGTGGGAAATTCGGTGTTCAGAAAGACCGCGTGGACAAGGTAAGAACCCTGATCTCAGGAAGTTCGTCCTCTGCTGAATTCATCAGTAAACGGAGAAAGTTTTTCAGTGAGTTTAGTATGTATTGACATAATTTCTATGAGAACATGGTTAAAATAGAGTAAATGTGATGTTGACCCACTTTATATAACTAACTTGATAATTTATTCCATCGAAGAAACATCATATTTGAATGTAGAAAACTGTAATTTTTTGGCTGTGGATAACTTTATGTTTGAGAAAATATACAGCTATTTCCTCCAAACTGCATGCATGTATGAGTCCTGTTATCTTAACCTTTATTAGTCGTCACTGTTTTCAACTGTTTCAACATTTCATAACGTCTGTGTGTTCATGTGCACAAGACTCTGATCAGACTTTCCATATGGGGGAAAAAAAAAACAGACACAAAGATCATTAGCACACTGATTCATATAATTCTCATAACTGCATTGATAAACTCTATTAACTATTCTTTCAGCTCTCTCTGTGTAATTCACAGCATGTGGAGGTATTGATTATATATTATGTTATGAATTCTTATGACAACAAATCTTATGCAGCTGACTTTTGACAGTTGACGTATCCTCAAATGTAAACAAACAGAGCTTTTCCTTTAGTTGCTTGGCTGAAATCTAGTCCCCTCGCAAGTATTAACACTTATGACATATAAACTGTGAATTTCGTTGTTGATGGTCTTGTTTGCTTTTGGATATCATAAAAAGGCATTAATATAAATTTCAGTCCATTTCATAAATATGAAAAAACTTTTAACAGGAGCTTTAATAAATTAAACTCAGTCTCCTTCTGAGAATGACTTTGGTATTAATTCTTTGATGCGTCAACTTTATCTACACATTTTTGAAAAAGAGAACAAAGTAAACATGTGAGATGCTGCAGAGGAATATTGAGATTAACCACTTGCCTTGCTCCAATTTTGGAGGTGAATTGATGCAAGATATAAACAGGATCTTAGGTCATGCAGAGCAACTAAAAAGTGGTCTAATTCTGTGCATGTTACAACACGCCTACAGCAATGAAACTAACAAAAACTGATCGATCAAGAATCAAACTTTTGTTCTGTAAGGAAACCTCAATCAACAACATTTGTCAAATTTTAACAGGTTTTAAACATCTTTGAAACAGATGTTTAAAGAAATGAATGAAGCTTCAATGTGATCTGTTTTGTGTGTTTGTTTGTGTTTGTGCAGTCTGCTATGGGCTTTGAGTACAAAGGACAGGTGCAGCAACATGCCTCCCAGAAAGGTAGGACGTGTCGACCAAACTGTACTATCTTCTTTTTGGGATAGATGGACAAAATAAAACTGTTTCTGTCGTAAAATCCATATTTTATAGATTACTCAAAAGGATTTGGAGGAAAATACGGGGTGGAGAAGGAGAAGGTGGACAAGGCTGCTTTGGGCTACGACTATAAAGGAGAAACTGAGAAGCACCAGTCACAGAAAGGTGAGACTGAGCTGAATTTTGTTTCTTTTTTTTTTACCTTGAACATAAAAAATGCTTGATTTTGGATTTTAATTTCAATAGACTATGCTAAGGGATTTGGAGGAAAATACGGGGTGGAGAAGGAAAAGGTGGATAAAGCTGCTTTAGGCTACGACTATAAAGGAGAAACTGAGAAGCACCAGTCACAGAAAGGTGAGTAGATCACATCGTAGCTTTCACTCTTTTTACCTTTTCATCTTATATTCCTTTTTCTGTGTTCTTTGCTTTGATTGGTTGGTTCTATATCCAGTTTACTCAAAGGGCTTTGGAGGAAAATACGGTGTTGAGAAGGAGAAAGTGGACAAAGCTGCGTTAGGATATGATTATAAAGGAGAGACAGAGAAACATCAGTCACAGAAAGGTTAGGAAACAGCCACATGTGTGCGTTTATATTAATAACTTCTTGAATGTCAGCATAACCAGATTTATTTGTTTTCAGATTACTCAGCAGGTTTTGGAGGCCGCTATGGAGTACAGGCAGACCGCATGGATAAGGTCAGTCACAGAGCTGTAGCTTCTTCTTATTTTGATCAATCTGGAGGTGATTTCTCTGATTTATTGATAAGATTTTACTCATAATCTGAGCAAAGAGTATTTCTATCACATCATCACTCAGCTTTAGGTTTAAAAGATATAAAGATAAGGCGGCCTAAATGATCATGTGACAACACTGTCAAAGAGATCATCACTATATTTTATGTAAACTAGCATCAACAGTGATTGTTGTTGTTTTAGCCCTTATGAGTGTCCTATAACTGTGAGAGATTAATGCGGAGAGCTTCAAGGTTATATGAGACAACTTGGCTGTTTGTTATGGCAGAAGACAGGGTGATATTAGGTAACATAAAAGTTGGTATTACCAGAATGAAGCATTAGTGTTACATAGATATGGTTGTAATTTTATAAAAATAAAGCGGCAAAAGGAAAAAAAGCTCAAAATTTACACGAAAAATGTTCTGGATCCGATTTATTAATCGATATAATCAGAATCAGGATAATCTGTGAGTCCAGGTGCTGATTTACTGAGAAATTATGATACAGTTACCAATGAAACTTAAATTTAGACATAACTTTATAAGATGCTCCCAGAATTTCCCAGTTTGGGATCAATAAAGTATATCTATCTATCTATCTATGCTCTATCTAACCTAGTTTAGTGCAGGTCGCTGGCTGCTCTTTTGTCATTCCCCTTCAAAATAAGATACAGGCTTTAAATAGACCATAATTAAACTTTATTAACATAAAGCAAAAACTTAATCTCTTATAATTTTACAGCTTAATTCTGATAAATTTATGAAGTTTCCTGTTACGTCTTTATTGTTGTAAATTGAAAACTTTTTCCTTTATATGTAAAAATGCCTTTATTCACATAAATTTACAATATTTCCTCTTACAACTTTATTCTTGTGAGTTTTCATATTTTTCTTGTAAAATTTACATCTCTACAAACAATCATGAAGTTTTCTCAGACATCTAAATTTTAAACGTGACTTAATCCTTGTTCGTGTAAATGTTTTTCTCATAAATCCACTGTTTCTCTGGTGGATGAATTTAAAAAGTTATTTATGGCTTTATTCTTATGAATTTATGACTCCACGCTCATAAACTAACTATGTTTCTCTAACCACCTTGTGCTTGTAAAACTACATACTTCTCTTATAACTTCCTAAATTTATGCATAAACATATTTTTGGTTCTGTCTAACATTTTCATTTGTGTCAGATTTGTACTTCTAGTAAATTTGTCAATTCTTGTTCATTAGATTTTTTTTCTCAAAAATCTTTTTTGTAAATGTACAGTTGTATTGTGAAAACCTCAGTTTAATTCTACTGTATTGTGAACTTCATACTGTGTTGCAGCATAAATACTGTTGATCAAGTTGTGGAGCTTCTGTTACAAACTTTCTGTTGGTGTCTGTTTGGGCGCCCCCATGTGGACAAAGTGATACTTCTTATCTCTTTGTTGATTTTGCCCTGTATGTGTGTTAGTTGTGTCTTTGACAATAGCATGCTGTTAATCATCAGGTCTGGGACCGCCTCAGACTGCGGTGACAGACATTATGAATCACTGTGGGTTAACAGACTTGCTGCTGATGATCACGTCTACTTGTCCGTCATCGCTGATCTTTTCAGTCTGTTTCATCAGACTGAACCAGCTCACAGCTCCTCTCTGAGGCTTTAAATGAGGTGTTGCACATAGATTGCTGATATTAATCTACTTCATGGCTTATTCCTGTCTTAACCTTGAGCTCCTGTTCTTACCTGTTTGTTTTTACAAGTGAATGTGGGCTCTGACTGTGAGCCAGAACAAACTGGTTATATACAGCAGCTGAGAGGGAAGATAAGCAGCAAGCTTTAAGATGTTGGAGCAAGAAAATGTTTGACAGATCAGTCTTCACAACTTACTTTTGATCATCTCTCATTTTACAAACTCATCCTTCTAGCTTCAGACGTCATTTAAAAGTTAAAAAGTTTATTTTGTTCCCCTCCTTTTTTAAGAGTGCGGCTGGCTTCTCGGACATAGAGTCTCCCACCTCTGCCTATGAGAAGACACAACCCATAGAGGCCTGTAAGTCCATCTTTCCACCAACATATCAGCAATACTGTGAAATCTAAACTATTAAAGCCACTCACACTGAGTTGTTCGGACTACTGGGAACTAAGTTTAAGTCTTTACTGAATCTCTGTGTTCATTTTCTGCGCAAACCAGCAAGTTCAGGAGCTGGAAAACTGAAGGCACGTTTTGAGAACTTGTCCAAGGCTTCAGAAGAGGAGAACAGGAAGAAAGCAGAAGAAGAAAGAGCGAAGAGGCAAGCCAGAGAGAGCCGAGAGCGAGAGACAGCCAAACGCAGGCAGGAGGTAACATGTAATAAGATAAACATGTAAACCGGTCCAAAATCAGCTGGAGTCAGTATTCATCATGATGTAGATTATTTTCGTTCCCTGTAGGAGGAGAGCAGAAGAGAGCAGGACATTCATCCTCCACCTGTCCCAGCTACAGAGTACACTATGCCACAACTGGAGGTACATGAGCACATGCCAGAGATACGAGAAATGCCAGAACCAGAACCAGAACCAGAACCGGAGGTACAAGTCTTTAAATATCTAATGATTGCACTAACAACTCTACCTGATTTATCTGTTTATAGGAAATATTCTGATATACCATCATTACATTCACATTTAGAGCTCAACCACTGCCATGTATCAAACAAATAACAAACTCAAAGTGCCAATGAATCAAAAATGAGGGCCGAGAACAAAAACTTATCTGGGTTTTCCGCTCGTACGGCTGATGATGAACTAAGTGTATTTACTGTAGTATCATAACATTGAATATATAAAATGTTGTTTACAAAAGGAACCAGAGTATGAAGAGCCACCTGCTCTGCCTCCACGCTCTGAGGACTACCTGGATGAAGACGACGACGCTCCGCCATTACCAGACAGGTCAGTGAGTGTGGACGAAGAGGAGGAGGACAAAGGAGACTATGAGGAACTTGTTGAACCACCTCCTGCACCAAAAGGTTTGTGTCTCACTGTCAGTTTGATGTTAAACCAAGTTTTTACAGTATAATTCATTCTTTCATCTTCTCTTACAGCGGACGAGAACGACTATGAAGACCTGACGTGTGGCCAGCAGGCAGTAGCAATTTATGACTATGAAGGAGGTGTGTCACTCTCTACGCTCTTCTGATCAAAACTCTTCCTATCATTGAGAACTTACTGCTCACTGTCTGTCCCCACAGAGGCTGACGACGAGATCTCATTCAACCCAGATGATGTCATCACCAACATTGAGATGATCGACAAGGGCTGGTGGAAGGGACAGTGTCACGGACGCATCGGCCTGTTTCCAGCTGCTTATGTTCAGTTGATGGACTGAGCCACATGCTCAGCAGGTTCCTGCACAATCTTAAGTTTTTAAAGTTTAAATCAAAATAAGACCGTTTTACGACTGCAGAAAGAAAAAAAATCACTGCATTTTTGTACTGTCTTCTATGAGAATGATTCCTGTACTTTCTATCACTGAGCTTAAAACTAAACAGACTTACAACATGTATCAGCAAAGTTGAAATGAAGTTTTATGATTGAGCTTTTCATGTTGACCATTTTTGTCCATTTTTCATCCATACAGTTGCATTAAGGCTATTATTGTTTAACACCCTTAACTTAATGTATATGTTCATGACATAGACTGTATATACTATGGACAACTTGGTTCCGCCTTCCGCCAGTATATAGATTTGAAGCCGAAAAGCTCTCGGTATTTCCGTGATTTTTCTCCATTTCCTGAAACCAACATTGCGCAGGAGTGTTGTACGCACTTTATCACTTGCGAAGTAGCATTGTACGCATTCGGCGGGAGAGTTGCCGAGAGTCGCCATGATGTCGCTCTGCTCAAACAGTGTATCTCCCGGGAGAGCTATGCAACCTTTGTATGCCAATAGGCTGTATCAAGTGTCAATCATAGAAAACTTGAACCCCCTCATAACTCTTAAAAATGGAGCTGTACAGAAAAAAGAGGACTTGAGCACAAACCAGTCTGACGATAACATGTCAACATCGCAAGCAGAGTGGAGGAAAATGTATATTCTGTGTAATAAATTTCTAAAGGTCGTCCAAAGCCCCATAAGCTTTGCCAGCGGAGGCGGGATTTATGACCTATACTGCAGCACGTCACCAGAGGGTGATGTTCTTGGGGTGGCTTCACCCAGCGAGGAGGCAGACGGCGTTCATTCTATGGTGCATGATCATACTGTGCCACCATTCTGCTCACAAAGTCAGTGATTCAAACCGTTAATGTAAATCTGGTCTTTTGAGTACTTTGGCTATTTTTTCTATTAAACTTGACATGTCTGTTGCCGGGCAGATTACAGGTGAGCATATGATACTGAAGTTTCAAAGCTTGTATTATGTGAATGACCCACACAGCTTCATTCTGAGGAGCTTGTCATACTGTTTTCTAGGTCTGAATCTTCATTTTTTTCAGTACAAAGCTTTCGAGCTTCATCTGGCCATCACTAGGGTAACATAGAGAAACATCCTGATCAGATATGATGGGAAGGAAGTAAAAAGTGTGAATAGACAAGAAAACTGCAGCCTGACTCCAACGATATTGTGATTTATTATTGACGATACAAACCATTGATCTGTCATTTTGGAGATCAACAAGTCACAACAAAGGGCTGGGATTAAGACAAGCTGAAGGTCATGTACAGTATAATTTGCACAAGCTTTACTTCCTCAAAACTTGTCCCAACATAAGATGACGCTGCTCTCCTGCAAGAATAAACATCTTCCTGCAGTGAGTCACTTCAAGTTCTGCCAAACCACAAACCCCGATCCACTGAAGAGAACGAGATCCAGCAGCAGGAATAACAGAAATCATGTATAAAAGAATACATGATATGATGCACACTATGTTTCTGCATCAAAAGTCTTTAAGTCCTTGTGTTTCCTCCTTTGGCTCACCAGGAGATCCCCTTCTTCTTCTTCTTGCCCTGGCCGCCCTTCTTTGCCATCCGCTTGCCTTTCAGTTTCTTTGCCTGTCGCTGATTCATCCACACGGGGTACTGACCGTTTTCATCCAACAACGTCGCCTTGTTACGCTTGCTGTCCATGTCCATCTTCCCCTCTGTATGTAACACACAGAAAAAGATTAAGGAGAACGATGTAAAAAAAAATGCTGATTAACACGGTTCAGTTGAATTAAATGCAATTGTGTCACTCACCATCACCATCACCCTCTCCCTCTCCCATCTCCACATCTGTCTGTTTCTTGATCTTGGCAGCAGGCACCACTGTTGCGATCTCCTCCACATCAGCCATGACAGCTTCTCCTTTCTTATCCAGACCCAGAGCTTGTTTCAGTCGAGCCAGCTCCTTTGGGGCATTTTTCTTCCTCTTCTCTGCTCGCATCTTCCTCTTCCATTTGCTCCGCAGGCTTTTGGCCATTTTAAGGATCTACAAATCTAAAAAAGAGAAAAAAATATTAGTTTAACTATCTTGCTTTCACATTAATATCCTGTTGTTTAGTAAGCAGTTTTAAAAAAGGTTATTTCAATGTTCTCAAACACTGACAAGAAAAACAAGGCACACACTTTATTTACGGCTGTAAAAAACATGGAGTGAAATTATCTGCTGACAGCTTTTTAGCCAAAACAAACACACTTTCAATATGAAGTAAATTAAATTGTTAAAACACTAAATAGACTGGATCTACGACTAGAATCTGATAGTTATACATGATGTGTCGATAGATAGATAGACAGACAGACAGATAGATACTTTATTTATCCTAGAGGAAAATCAAATAAATAAATAAAATTAAAATAAAAAACAGACAGCACCAATAAAGCACAGTACACTATATGTTGCTCAAATTACCTAAGACTTAAATTCTGACATATTTCCCTTCAAATCCAAAGTAAAGTAGTCAGGCTGTCACTCTATCTTGGTACTTCCATTACGATTTTCAGAAATAATCGACCTTCAAACCTCTAAACTTATGACAGTTTTACCCCATAAGGCCGAGTAAACATTAGCTAGCCTGTTAGCTATCAAACTAGCATTCAGGAACAACTTGCCCCAGAGTATAGATTTCAGCTGGCCAGTAACTCGCTGTGTATCTAAAGAGTATTGTTTACATTATTCAACATATAAGGAATACGTTTATACTCACGGAAAACAAGTTAAATGGCTGAAAAATGTCCTCTGTGATACACTCCGCTCCTTACACGTGTGGATAGCATTCGTGAGTCGTTGACGCGTAGTCGAAGAAGCAGCAGAATGATTGGCTGGTTTTGTCATACTGAACACTGTGAGGTCTGATTGGCTTGCGAGCCCAAACACGGAAGGAGAGACGAGAGATTATAGGTGTTCCGGTTTAAAGTGTTACCGTTCGAATGACGACTCGGCGAAAGTTGGATGCGATTTACTTTACCTGGGTGCAGAGAGTTTGAGAACTATCTTTTGCCGTTCGGTTTTTATTGAAGACACATTTAATGAGTATATGTTGACGTTTTAATGACAAACTACACCAGGATGCATGTAAACGAGGACCCTTTTCCTGTCTTAACAGCTGTTGTAACTACGACAACCACCGATTGATTCGGCCGAGAGACGCCAGTTAACATGGTCGCTCTTTACTCCGGAACACCAGTAAACAAACCGTACAGGAGAGAATACTGAGCGAACCCAGCCTCTAGAAAAGTGAATGCGGTTTCTAGTATTCAGAAAATCTTCCACAAGTAAAGAATTATCTGTTAACATTTACACTTAGATGTAAACTGGGCAGCTGTTCTGCCAGTATGGCCTCAGCTCGCACCTTGGGCTCAACGTGCAGCCCTGCGCTAACTTCCCCTGCAACACAGGTGTCCAACATGTTGGACTTTGCTGCAGAACAAATGATGGTGCTCAAAGATTTCCAGGCAGCTTTTGACACATGCGAAAGGGGTCTGGAGAGTCTGTCCAACGTGGAGCACGACGACAGCAGGTGAGTCTTTATGCACCTGGATGATGTACTTAAATACAGCCTGTACCATAACTGAGTGTATTTCTGTGTGTTTGACTCTTCAGATATGGAGAATTCAAGGCTGGTTTCTGCATCTTGGGAGTTCAAGCACTGGCTGAGATGAATCAGTGGCACGGGGTCCTCTCTTGGATCTTGCAGCAGTATGAGGACCAGGAAAGGATACCGGCTAAAATACTGCAGATGTGGTGAGTATGATTACATACAGCAAACTCAGAACAAAGATAGCAGGTAAGCTACCTTGAAGCCACCGAAATAGCTCATTGAGGGCCATTTTCAGAACTTCTTGGAGTTGAATATGATTAAAGGTGGGATAGGCAGGATTCCGTTAAAGAAGCATCTTTTTTTTGTGGTGTAAATACAAAAAAAGCTTTTCATATCAGTCAATAGCTATTAGTTATTGATGACATTTGGTAATGTAATGATATCTCTGTGTTTTGTTATGTCTGTGTAGTCAACATCTAAATTTTTTGAGCGGCCCGCTCTTTCCGACTGTAAACAAAGCCATTTTCTGCCTCTCCCAACCTGATTGATTGTGAGGAGGACGTTGCTCCCTCATAACATTCATGAGCCCAAACAAAGTTAGCATGCTACAATATCGGACAGTGGAAACCAACCACGAAGTACGGAAAATTGTCTGAATCTTCCTTTGACCACGACCGCCAACACAAGCAAGAAAATGAAGAAACAACAGTTTTTGGACTACAGTAAAATTAGTTTCTGATTTGCAGTGTCTAGATTAGCTATTAATGGAGAAGGTGACATTGCTGATCTGCATCCCATCAGTTTTGTTCAGTTTCAAATGTTTTGTAGAGTTTTTCTTACCTTCAGACAAGCTGGCTGACTAAGTTTTCATTTCATCGACCAGGAAATAAGCAGCTTTGAGACATCCTTGATTAGGAGGTGGTTCAATGTGGTCAAGGCATAAAAAACAACTAAATTGTCCTTTTTTGCATTTTCACAAATCGAGTTACCTTTTACAATTCTGAAACAGTAATCTTAAAAGTCTGTTGGCTCTATGGGATTATCTAGTCCAGATTTGACAGGTCTGTTAAGAGTCCCCGTAATATGTGCAATTTGTGTTCAGTCCCCATAAACCACATTCACCTGTTAAGAGTCCCCATAATATGCACAGTTTGTATGGAGACCCTATAAACCAGAAAAATCTGTAATATGTTGGGACTTTATGTTTCCTCTTTTTTGGCAGCATACTTCTTTACTCCAAAGTGGGCGAGCCGGCTGTGATGCAGGAGGCAGCCCAGGTTTGGTTACACAGCCCGTCCAACAGCAGAGTGCCAGGGTTCGGGACGGTGGCTGAGCTGTACCTGCTGCATGTCCTCATCCCTCTTGGACAGAAAGACGAGGCTCTGGAGCTGATTGTCGGTGAGGTAGGAAGCATAGCTTTCACAGAAGACCAGAGACGGGCAGCGCTGGAGGTCTTAGAAGAAAAAGAGAAACAGAGTGAAGAGTCACCTCCAAATCCTAGAACCAGTCCAGACCCTGAGACTCCTGAAGTTGCCGTTTCCTCTGAAGGTCAGGTCAATTCTTTTGAAATTCAGTATGATAAATCATGTAAAAAAAAATGACCTTTCTGGTTTTTGTTTGTCTTCTGCAGGATCTGTGCTCCACAGATTTGAAGCCATGCTCCGTTTTTTGTACAGAAAACTGTTTGTGTCCAGTTCCGGCTCAGTACATCTACGAAGAGTCCTCCTGGCTGCTGTTCTTCTCTACATGCTTTTTGTTCGATTGGATCCAGGTTGGCTCAAAGTTTCTGGCCAGATCAAGGTCATCATAAAGGAGGACACACCAATCTAATTAATCTTCTTATTCTTTTCCGACAGCTCTCTCATCCTCCTTCATGTGGATTTCTAAACTTCTACAGCTGCTGAAACAGATGTGGACAGCCATGTTTGCCCCGTACTACCAAGCTGTGACACAGAGGACTTCATAAGACTGAACAATTTCATAGATTTAACTATTTCAGGTTTGTAAGCAGAGATTATTTTTCTCCTGTTAAAGCTGCGGTGAGCAGTTTTTAAACGAATAGGAAACCGACTGAAATGAACAATGATGTCTCTTTATTATCTATAAAGGCAGATAAAAGACCAATACAATCCTATACTGGAGTTTTTAATACCTGTGATCACTGTGAGGAGGTAGGTGTCGGACAAAAACAGTGACAGCCAACTGTTGAAACCACCAAGTTAATGTTTTCCACAGCAACTGATTTTTATAGGTTGTAAAAAAAACATAAAAACTAATAGCAGCAAGGTGAACAAATGAGTGAATTAAACAGAGGGTGGCATTGTACCACAGTCTGAGGTAGTACACTTGGCAGAAGCCTCAATTCAATAAAATTCACAGCCTAAATCCTCCCACAGGGGTTTCACTTCTTTAATTATAACAATGTATTAAAAAGAGGAAGCTCAAACAGTCAAAAATTGCAGGGCAGAAACCAGGCGTAAGGTTCTGCACAGTCACCACACAGTAAGAAAGCTCTAGTTTGAGTCGCCCCCACTGAACTGCTGTTATGTAAAGGAAAGTTAATCTACTTAACAAGTAGGTCAAGTCCCTTACACCTACATGGGAATTTTGCACACATTATATTTGTATAATATGAAAATTGATTCTAAACTCAATGTTAACCCCCATAAAAAAGGCAAACTTTGTGGATAAGATGAAATGAAGTTGACTTAAAGCTTTGCTGGAACTTAAGCTAAAATACCCTTTGAATATCTATCATTATCCATTATGTTTGCATTACTGTTGTGCAATACTACCACAGACTCCAAACCAAACAGTCCCAACAAAAGCAGGCAGGATCATGGATAAGCTCCGTAGATGAGAAATTTCCCTGTGTGTCAACATTTGTCTGAAAAACTGGAAAGGCCAAAAAGCATCACCAGGCAACCCTGAAGATAAGGTGATAAAGGCTGCTGAGCCAATATTTCCAACGTAGGGCAGACGGTTAACACCAAACTTACACTCTACCCTGAGCAGTGCTTTTGAGCAACCAGAATGTGCAAAAAATAGGCTGTTATAATCAGGAAGGTCGGTGGTGTGGGGGGATAGGGCTGCCGCCCTCTCAAATGATTCTGAGTTTAAATCCAGTGCTGAGAAGTTGCAAGATTGAGGCAGCAACAGTTCAGGGTCGAGGCAGGAAAAGTGGAAGTAATAGTTCATGAGAAGGGAGGGAGAGGGGGTGAGGGGGAAAAAAGGACAAACAACACACAAATGAAAGAGATGGTCCAGAAAGCTATGATGGCAGACAGAGGGAGCAAATTAATTCTGGATTAAATCTGAGTAAGGACTGAATAGTTGACCCCCATTAAGATAACGGATTATAAACAGACAGTAACAAGTTCAGGCCCCAGACTCTGCTTAGTCAACTGTGAGCTTTTTTGTTTCTTTTTTAACTCGAGTAAATTACCACTCTCAGTTCTTTGGAAATAAAGAGTTACCAATAAACAATGGCCTCATTTCCAACAATGTAGACTTGTTTTTATGTTTAGGTGTGGCAATCCTCACCACTATGAGCCTTATCTTGCAGTTGTATTTTTCTGTGTTACCCTGTTTAACGTAAGGTTAACTTTTTTAATGATTCCTTGAACTGAGTTCCAGTAATTCTTTTGAAGTGTTAGCCACTGGTCTGTGCCATTTTCCTGACAGTTTGATATTTAAGTGTTTTGTGTGTGTGTGTGTGTGTGTGTGTGTGTGTGTGTGTGTGTGTGTGTGTGTTTTCATTATCCAAAACCTCTTCCTACAGCTCGGGGGGGAAGTGAAAACAATGACTGATACAAGAGAAAAGGGACAGAAGCACTTACTCCTGCTATGCTCAGCTTATTTTTATAAATGGGGATTTTTCCATGAAAAAGTCTGGAACTTCCACCTTGGCACTTAAGAAACTGGATATTCCTGAGGACTAAAAATAAAAACAGCTTTTTTTTTGTCAGAACACTGTCCCTTTGACATTTTGTTCTTCCTTTGTACATATAAAATTACTACTTCTCCAGCCAATAATATTAGGGACTGCAGTGGGTGTCCTTTTTAGTATGCAGTCAGACCACTTTTTTTGGGGGGGGGATCATGCCGAAGTGGTGGTTCTAAACTCTGGTTCTGGTTTTTCATGTTTTAAATGCCTTCCTGCATGAAAACACCTGACTGTGTGTGATGAGATTGTCGTCAGCAACTAAAGTGGTTAAAATACAGTCGATCAGTCAGGTGGGAAGCAGGTAAAAATCTCTTGTCCCAATAATGAATGACTTGTGGTTGCTTGTACCAAAAAATGTGCTTCGTTTCCCCTCTATCTGCTCTAACTCAAGCTCCACAAAGTAAACAAAGGATGTTCATGTTCAGAAATATTCTAGTGTTGCATCTTGTTGTGACTGAGATGAGCTGTCAGTATCTCAACTCTCTGCTGTGCAGAGGTGCAATGTGCACTCTAATCCTGACGCTTCTATTATATACATTATAGCCTGTATGATGAGCTGAATTGAGAGGAACAAGTCTTTACCATTCTATTTAGGGGTAAACTACAGATGTAACAAGATTTTTTTTTTTGCAAAAAGCAGCTTTTTTTGAATAGAAAAAAATATACACCATGGTGCATCATGACACAGCTTGTATGTAAACATAGTAATGTTTAGTATTTGCAGGTCATTAAATAGTAAACCTCTTGTCTTAATCACTGCAAAATTTGAGGAACACTTGGAAATGACTTCCAGCTCTCAACAAATTAAAAAAAACTCACAAAAATGGGGTGGATTTTTTTTCTCCAAGAAAATTTAACTTTGTACCATGGGGAGTAAAATCTACTTTTTTCCTGGCAGGAGACCACACAATCACGCAACTCTCATGTTGTGTGTTAGAAAGCAGGTCTGAGCAGGTCCATTCAGGTGTGTGTTGAGTTTTTTTACTTTTACTTGAAGAGAGTATGCGTCACAACATTTCCCAATATTTCTTAAGCGTCTCCTTTCAGGTTTTTAACAATGGCCTGACTGAACGCCACTGGCTCTGGCTCTGAATGAGAAAATATTTTCGAAGCACCTTCGTATCATGACTTTGCCCAGAGTCATCTTAACACTGTTATTAGTTTTCACTTGAAGTACAGTTCCACTAAAGGCCTGACTCATTGTCTCATGCTGTAGGTCAGCCAAAAGTTAAGTCACCATGGACAATGTGACATCTGATGTTCAAGCTGGGAATAATTTCTTATTGGGTTGATATGAAGGAGAGATTTGAGCCACTTGCTCCTATTGTTGTTAGCATTGTTAACTAATACCGGGTTAAAATAACACAGCAGTCCTCTCAGAAATCAAAAGACTTAGACGATGTTTGAGCATCATGGAATTTCGGATTTTTGATATCTAAGAAAAAGCACCATTATTTCTATTGTTTTCTTACCTGAATTCCCAGGAAAATTAACAATCAGAATTAGTCATTTCCACAGGAATACAGGGTACATTTATGCTAATTTCTACTGGAACTTGTACAATAGTGAGGTTGTACTGTGTAATCCTGTGAATGACTTCTCAATGGTAACATGTTCGCTAAAGGATCAATAGTCTCCTTATTTTCTAAAAAGAAAGGCTAAAATAACCTTTTCTTTACTGAAACGCCATGTGGAGAAAACAGAACAGTTAAGGATCTAGAAAGATAGGGGAGAGTGGGGTAAGATGAGCCATTTTCCATATTTCAGATCACTAAATCAAGGCAATCATAGTTTTGTCTCTAACTAGTGTATCTGCATATATTTCAGGATGTTGTGCATCCCTGCAAACCAACAGAACGAGTGTTAACATAACTGTCTTGATTATATAGCATGCCAAATAAAGTGGTCTCCTATGGACCAAAGGAGCGGAGTAAGTTGAGCCATATCCCTACTACCCCCCTCTCTCCACCCCAGCCCAAATAAAAAATATGATGATGCACCGGTGTTTTACGATCTAGGCACAGAAGACGACGGCGGGAAGACGAGCAAAGTAGTTAGTGGTAACTTTTCTTTTTTTGCATCACCACTTTTTTTGCGTCATTAACTTCCGTTGTGGCTTTTTTTTTTTAATCTGCACTTTTTCTTTTTTATTTGCAGAGGGCTTCGGTTTCTTTTCTTTTTGCATCAGTAACTTCCGTTGTGGTTTCGTTTAATTTCTTTTCTTTCTTTTTTTATTATTTGCAGCAGTGGCGGTTCTCGGCCACCGTAGCAAGCTCCAATTGTGGTGAAAGCCGAATTACAATTTATGTCTGTCAAAACTACAGCGGCCTGATTTTCTCAGAGCACCACAGTTAAGTAAGCAGAAACATTGAGTGGAAATCCCTGAACTCCCCTGAGGCGACGGAGTCGAACAGGAAATGGACTGCCGTGGAGAACATAACGCGATGCCATCATCACGCACTTAATGAAGAACAGCTTGATGCACAGCAGCAGCGGCTCACACTCATACACAGAGGCAGCGGAGAGAGTGAAGAGAGAAGGAGGAGAAGAGTAACACGGCGACTACTGCTTCGCTTGAAGGAAGACTTATTGAGGACATTTAAGAGGAGAAAACCATCTGTTACTCTCACCGACTGTCATAAATCAGCAAATCTCTCAAGGCTGCGATATTTGTCTCCGAAACGGTTTCAGCTTCGAGGAAGACTAAGAGACTCTCACGGGACAGGTAAGCTGGACCTTTGTTTCGATTACCAAAAAGTGTTCCTTTGTTTTAGAGTTGGCAGAGAGAGAAGACAAACAAGGTTGTAAGCTCGTTCACGTTGTGTTCTCGTGTTTTGCTTCCTCAAAACCATGTGGCCTGTCACGACTCTGGTGCTGCCTTCAAGCTCATTTCTTTTCAGTATTAAGTTGAATTAACCAACATAATAAAGTGCAGGCATATTGAGTAAGCATAAGAATGAAAGCAACACACGAAGAAATAGGATGGGGTTGCTGTTGTTTGAGAAAGTTATGTGTATTTGAAACCTAAAAGACAGAAAAGGAAACATGAGGGAAACATATGGGTTTCTTCTACTCTTGAATATTAAGTATTTCCTTTTTCACACATGCTTTAAAGCAGCACCGACACATGAAATGTCTTTAAAATGACTAAAATAACCAGTTAGAAGGGCTGGTAATCTTGAAAATGATAACTCCAACAGCATGTAAAAGCATGAATAATTCAGTTCTTCCTGTTTATTGTGGTCTGGCACCAATCGATGCCCTAAAGATACTTTTTCCTCATTTGATACCTCCTTGTCTTTTGACGTGTTTGAACCATTCCTATCCTTTACTGCAGAAAAAAAAACACGCATTTTATGGGACACATATATCAAATTGTACAAATACATATTGGCTAAAATGTCTGTGCATGTATGAATTTTAGTAAAAGTCTGTGTTTTAGTCTTTCCTTAAAACTTGCAAAAATTACAAACACATAAAGTCAACTTTTGTTGATTTTCAGACGCACGATAGGAGCCATGGTGGCCGCAGTCCTTAAGTTATACTTCATTGGAACAGCCCTGAGTGTCCTTGCTGTTTTCTACGGGATAGTGGACTCCTTTGGTGGCCTGATGTACGTCCAGGACCGTCACTATGTTCTGGGGCTGGATCACCACACACAGAGGCAGATGACCTCCGATAACCAGCAGAGAGGATCATCTGTCACCAAAAACATCGGCTCATGAAGGAAAGGCATAAACATGGCTGCTGGATGGACATGTTGCATATTTTGGCTGTGGGACTTTTTTAGGACAGGAATAATAATCGAACTAGACTGTCCAAGATGTGCATATTGTAAAGGCGCAACAGCAGATCTATGTTTGTCCAGCTTTGTTTTATTTGCTGTCAAACACTGAAGCGGCTAAATTAGTTTGAGTAGCTACAGATGTGAAATGTAACAGCACTACTGACCAACTGTTTGCACTAAGTCAAGGATATTTTTCACTTTTCTGGTGTATTTTTGATTGCATATGTTTATTTTTTCTAATAAAAGGAACCGGCTGTTTGGAATAAGCACACTAAAGCCTCTTCTTCAAAAAAAGAAAAACTGCCCTTCCTCATTTTTGCAAAAAGGCAGACTTATTTTGCCAAATGTAAGAACTTACTGAGAAATACTGAATCCTTGTATCAACAGACCCTCACAAATGGCCAAAAGTCTCAAAAATGTTACCACAGAAGGGACAAAAACACATTTATGAGGGTTTCCACTCCCTTAATTCCTGAAAATACAACCCACAGAGTACCTCAATTTAAAAAAAAAATCGAACAAACTAGGATACTAAGTGACACATGGTCTTTTTTAAGTCAGTAAAACGATTTAAAGGAAGTAAATTCTGCACTGCTTTTCCTCAGAGGGGCCCCAAAGATGTACAAATGTGTCATTAGCACCAGGAAGTCCTTATCTTCATCTTTATCACTGTTTGACTCAGCAGGCTTGGGGGTGACTTACGGCACCACTGTTGACTCACTGGGTTTGGAAAAATTTTCACTTGTCGCTTGACGGAGATAAAAACCGTAAAGAGCAACCACGACTCTCAACTTCAACATGTAAATGTTTTGTCATTAACAGCTGAGGCTCGGTAGTCACACATTTCTCGGCCATTGTGTAAACTCCCCTTGTTCATCACTCGGTCGGGAACATGATCAAATCCAAAGTTGCGAAATTTCTCCTCAGCATTCTCCAAAGGTAATGACATGTACTGTTTAACCGCCCTCCGCTTGGTCCTAGCAATAGACTTTATAAAACAAACACAAAAGAAGGCCAACGGCTACAAACTCGACCATACCCTTCATTAATATGGTGACAACAACATTAGAAAAACAAGATTCTGAGTCTGAAAATGAAAACTCAGAGACTTATCAACTTGACACCATTATCGCCATCAACAAGGTGAGCTGACAATGGTTTGTTAATTTTATGAGATGTTTTCTTACTCGCTTATTGCACATTAACTTTTTGTTCAAGTGAAATTTGTCAAATGGTGACCCCATAGAGAGACTTAGATCCATCATAAATCTTACTCATTAAAATGAGTATTTAACTCTACAAGGCAGGTGCTCTGGCTAAAGCAACATTTTAACATTTATCAGCATTTAACTTCACAAATTAAAAGCACACAAACACACCAAAATTTAAAGAATGACATGCCAACATGAAATATGGAGGTTCCCGAGAACACTTGAATGCAGCAGTATTCCTATGGCCATGACAAACCCTTTTGTGTTTTTACTTTGCTCTAAATTGTATAAACCTTGATAACCTCAAACATGTTGCTAATTTCACTGTTCCAGTGCTAAACAGACCACAGTCAGTGAAGAGCTGGAGACAGATTGAGACATATTTTAACTCATTTGCTAGCTTCAAAACACTTTTAGTCACTCATTCACGCATTCAGCCACTCATAGTACTTAAATTAGTTTTAGATAAATAAAAATTTTATTGATTATTACACAAGCTCATTTTGTTGTCTATTAATCTATGTCCTTAGCTAGCCAACACTGCGATATACACAACACTGTATGAGGTCTCACTGTAAACACTGTGATATCAGCATTTGTGGTATTTTTTTATCTCTTATTTTCTCTGTCTCAGCAAATGATCAGTATACTCCCAGACAATTGTTGGCATGCAAGCCAGATTTTCATCCTGCTATCACATCAGGGGTTTATACTGATCTCTTTGCTGGTTCACACTGTTTGTTTCTGTGGCTGCTTATTTAATGGGGGTCAGTGAAATGAACATTTGTCATATTATTCAGGTTTATATGACTTCTAACCTCGGACTCTAAGTATTTCGTTCAAGAAGGACATGGAGAAATATAATGCATGTACTAACACGAAAGTCATTGAACTTTGAAGGGCTGATGAACTGGTGTCCAAATTATGATCCAGTTAATGTTCCCTCCCTGCTGTTGCTTTTCTGTTGTCTCCAGGGCTGCAGGGCAACAAACTCTGCAAACACACCTCAGTATGGCATGCTCTATGCAAGAAAGCTGAATTAGCAGCAAGTCAATTAGAGACACGCTCCCTTTATATAACTCATTTTAGTTTTTGCTACATTATTTTGACATTTGGGACATTTTTAAAATGCTGACTGCAGTGTTTTGTGTGTGCCTTGTGTCTCCTGTCTCATATCTTCCTAGTGACAGGCTGTACTCAGAAGCACTAGTAGTAACATTTCTCCAAATGAAAGTTACATTTTTTTTGGTGTTTTCGAAAACTAGGACATGTTAAGATGACTTTTTCTGGGCAGACAAATGCTGTCTGATTTGACGGGATTCTGGGAAATGTGTGATTAAGTGCCAAGCTTGACCCACACTTGGGAAATTCCTTTCAAGACTTGTATGTCTGGGACTTGGCTTTGTCAGCTTTTTTTCACTCCTTTTATGTTGCCAAACTTCAGCGGAGCAACATTTAATCCCTCATTATCCTCTTCCTGCTGAGGACATTTCTTCTCTCTGCCCCATGAAGCAAGGAATGGCAGCTTGTTATAAATATTTTCTGCACATACGCAGGTTATGATTTGCATGTAACCCCCCCCCCCCCCATAAAGAGGCGAGTCATTTGAGGTGAGTCATGTCTTGCAGAGTGCACGCTGTTTGCCTGACTTGACCTCGTGCCATTTTATGTGTGGTTTGGATTTACTTTAGGAGAATGTAAGCATGAGAACCACAAGGTGGCAATTACGTGCTTGGGACTCTTTGTTTGATCTCGTATTGTTCCCAAACCCAAACATCTGTATGAGATTAAAACAGAGCACATGCTGTCGAACAAGGGCGCTTTGTTCCAGATAAAAGGGATGTATTCACTGTCAAAAGATGTCTCAATTTAAAATAATAAGTGAATGACTGTGTGGATTATTCTGAATTATGACCACTATTGTGGTCTACGAGTGTAAGAATAAAGATTGTAGTTCAGGGTTAAAAATCTCACTAGTCTATCCAACTAATGCCAAGATGTCTGAACAAAAAATTATAAAGTTTTTACAACTTCTTAACAAATAATATTATTTTTCTCAACAAAATATTAAAGCTTCATCAGTTAGTATGACTTTAGAAAGAAGTACAGTGTATTTGAGTTCTAGTTACTTTATCTTATATCATCTCAATTACTGCCATCAAGTTGTACCAACACTGACTTTTTCCCACTGTGTCCCAGTCATGTGTTAAATGGTAGCTTCCTTAAAGTAAACCATAACGTGAATCAGATAAATTTGCTTTTTTTTGTCAGTTTCATCACCTTACGTTGATTAAATTACACCAATGATAATAAATATGTCACATTATAAGACCAAAGAATGCAGGATGAGCACTTGATTCCTGATGGAGAACACAATTTAAACTATCAAAAGTAAAGATTATAACCTATTTAAAGTGTACTTTAACTCTTATAATGTGGAACAAATGCAGCTGTCCTCTGCTGAAACCCTTTCTATTATAGAAGCTTATAACTAGCCTCCAGGTTTCATGAAAGAAATGAAAGTTGAACAAAGACTTCATCCGGCCCCATGGTGAGTTGAGTCTTTTTTAGTCTGGCGTCCACTTGATCCTTCCTGGGAACTCTATTAATATATTTAAAGTGATATATTTTCTCTTACATCACTTTGTTTCATTTTGTAGCACACTTTCAAACTACTGATTTGGGAAATTCATGGATTCCTCATCCTTGGCATTTTTTGCTCACTGTATGGCTCATCCATTCTAGTCTTTGTAAAGTTAGAGTTAGGGTCCATACCTGACCCTCTAATGCTTTGTCGTCTATTTAAAAACAACAGACAAACAAAAAGTGTACTGTGGGAATTTAATCCTGCACAAAAGCCTAAACCTAACCTACCCACCTTCCTGAAAAAAATCACTACAGTGGAAGCAAAGCAGACGAGGAAATGACGCCCCCTTGCGTTCATTTGTACCAACTACAAACACATCCCCCTTATCCAAGAGTGGGCCTTATCCTGGATCAGAGTTTTATTGCGTAAAATCAACCCAGACACACTTTCGCACCTGCCCTAAGAGAGACCAAGTGTAGCGTTGTACCAGGCTGTAAGAAATGAAGACAAGTCCGTGACGCCCTCGTGCGTTCAGCTGCAGTAACTACAGTTACATACCCATCATTTTTACAGTCCGTACCGTGGAAATCAAGCGGATTTGGTCGTATTTTAAAACGCAAACTCGATTATCATTAACTGTCTCCTTTCCTCCTCAGAGTGAGACGTTCTCATAAGCTGGCACGGTCCATTTTTATTCACCTGTCCCCACTGTGACCCTCACTGGAAACAACAGATTTTTTTACGTGCGTAAAAACGCAGATCTACAGATGCACTTTGATCCCTGCTTTAAAGAGGCGTTTAGGGAGCAAGGGAGCACGACAGACATCCTCTTGAATATTCTTCACTGTATGCACCCCTGTATTTATGTGAAAGAATGTGCTGAGGAAACTATACATACGTGCGTAAAGGCGCAAAGTTGATGTCGATGCATCTTTGGAGACGTTTTACTAAGTTTGAAAGCCCTACAAGTTAAACACGATGCTCTCTTGTGCCTTTTTACCAGCTACAAGTACAAGCCTGAAGAAGAACAGTCATGAGTCCTCTTGTCTTGGACTTCATCCAAAGAAAACACCACGAACTGACCTTTCTGAAGCTGAAACTACAACCCCCCTCCTTTCTTTGCATGTGTCCCCATCCATTCCAGCTGAAATATAAATCCTCCCCGCAGCAGCTCAGGTCACCTACATGCGGGCAGAAACACCTGCTGCAGGAGGACGCACCACTTCACACAGCACTTTTTATGTTAATGACCCGTCCGAGCACGTCCCACCCCCCACTTGACTTCACAGCGCTGCTCTACTAACCGAGGCAGTATCGGTGACATCTCGATCACAGGAACTAATCGGCTACTTTAGTGAGACTCTCTTCTTAATTGCGTTCTGGATGATGATCTGGAGACTGATGGTGATCCTTGGTGGGCTGTGTGTCCTTCTCAACGGTGCTGAAGGCAGAAGCAGCCGCGGGGGAAAAAGGACGATGACTTTCCATCGGACTCAGCAGGATGAGAGTCAGGGCAGAGCGCGCGCACGCTCAAGAAGGGAGACCGGCAGCTCTTCAGGTACCCCCAGACCCTCTCACGGGCCCCCTTTCACCTCATGCCGGATTCCTTTAACCCCAGCCGAGCACAAGGTTCTGGATGACAACACGCACGAGGTGAGGTGTGCGCAATGGTTTGGACATGTCCATCAGAGGACTCTTGTAGCCTTGAAAACCTTGCAGTTATCCAACAAAAATTCAGCTATATGATAAATTGTGTAGTATAAAATAAAACATAATTTCTGCGTTGTGTTCAAGATTTTAAAAAAGAAAGTGTAACTGTAATTTTGGGCGTAATAATTCCCCAAACTCCCAACATCTGTGCCACCTGTTGGTGTACTAAACTCACCAGCTATTTCCATATTATAACGTTATTAAGGGCCCCTCTGAACCCACAGTGAGCAGGGTGTTATTTGACTCCACACATTATACCATTTACTGTACTTCTTTGTTTATTTATTTATTGTTATTTAAGTTAGGACTGTTTTTTTCACTCTTGGAGTAAAACAGTCTGTGTCTGTCTTCTGCTTTTCTGATAGACAGGGTTCAACGGTGATGACGGCTCCTATGTCATCCTAACGTGGGTGGGCGATGGTACAGGAGTGAGTATTTTAACATTAGCTAGCTACACAACAACATTTAACTTAACAAGCGTCCCCATGCAAAGAAAGAAAGAGTTTGAATGATTTTTGGCTTGTTGTTCAAATTTTAAGGTGGTCCTCGTGCTGTCAACATTCAGCGCGCCAATCGACTCTTACCTTGAAGGAGGCTCTTCACGACTTTATCGAAGGTGAGTTTTAGTAGGTCTCAGTCATTTTAAGTAGCTAATATTAAACAAGAAACAGTTGCAAATAGAGTTTTTTGTTTTAGAGTACCAAGATATACTCACCTTGTTCTTATGGTAGGGGAGACCGGGGCTTGTTGTCACACTTTTTACACTCTTGTATATTTCTTGGAATCAATACATCATATATAAACAAAGCGTGTACCAGATGAAAGACCAAAGTCCCAGGTTTATTTTTCGTATTCATGTCGTTTTCGTATCTTGTGTCAGTGCAGAGTTATAAGTAATCAAATAGAGAGTGTGAACATGTGACATGTTACCCCACCATCAGGTAAGTTGTCTCAGGACATGGGGTAAGATGTCACAGTAGATTTTGCAGCTTATAAAACAAAAACAAAATTATTGTTGTTCTCATTTTTTTACATGAAAGTGAACATCAAAGTCAGGCACAGAAAATGTTTATCATTGAGCTAGAAAAAGACCTTGAACAAACGTTAACATAAAATATCATGTTTGGAGTTTGGAGAGCTGTCTGACTCTGTATTTCGGCTGGGGTGAATGTTTTGCAGTACCGAGCCAAAGTACGATAGTTAACATTAAAGTCCTTTATTGTACTCCAGATTGATTTTTTAGTTAGGGTCACCTGTCTGACTGACCTCAGCATCATGTCAGGAACTGCACTTCCATGTTCAGTTTTTCTTTTGTAATTCCTGACCATGTCTTCTCGTATTCTCCTCTCCTTTAAACCACTCTTTTCTCTCTAGAAATAAAGTCAAAATTTCTGTATGACAACTGCTGATAAGCAAACTCTCTAAGTTAATTTCAATCCCTTTGAAACATCTGACAACTAACCCCAAAATGACTGAAACATGTTGCCACAAACTACCGTGTTTGCTAATTCTAGCTCTAGCTTAAAGAGCTGAAAACAGAACAATGACTGGGGTATGACAGGATGTCTTAATCTCTCCTCTAACAAGTCCACATGTATCACTGCTAGGATTTTTATCTGGAAGAAGCTTATTTTAAAACATATAAAGTTATTTTTTTTACTTTGGGTTGTGCGAAATGGTTAATTGGCGCTCATCTCAGCTCGCAATGTTCTCTTTTCCTCTCACAACCCCAGACCATGTAAAGGAGTAAAACTACTATTTCACTTTTTAGATGCGCCCTCTGGTGGCAAAGATAATTGCAACGTGACAACTTACCCATGTGACAACAAGCCCCGGTCTCCCCTACACTTGGCCCTTTTAGTTTAAAACAAAAAGCACATAAAGCATCTGCAACATTATCTGTTTAAAAAGGATGCTGTCTCTTCAGTTCCGCCAATTGTTGCCAGAAGAAAAAGTTGCAATTTTGCGCTGGTGCATCCAAAACATGCGCAGAGGCGACCTGGCTGGTAGAGCTGCTGAATCGATGTCACACTCTTTCCTACGTCAAAACAAGCATTCAGCTTCGTGATAAAACTAAGATCCCCTTAAATAATTGATTTTAATCTGTTCATATCCGGCCTCATGTTCAGTCTTTCCCTTTCTGTCTCATCAGCACTGATTATGGAAAATCCTTCCATGACATTTCTGACCACATCAACAACACCTTCATTAAGGAGGAGTTTGGAGTCAGCGTTGGACCTGGAAGCTCTGTAAGTCATCATTATGAGTGGACTGTAGCTGCTAATGCAATGACCGAGCAGTTACAGTTTGAGTTTCTAGATGTGTGATGTTCAGAAAGTGAGAGGACATCTCACTTTTCAATTTGCTGTCAGAGACGTATTTTTGCATTGGATTGACAGTTTTGTGACCAGCATGTACAAAGACACCACAAGAAACGGAAACACAGAAATAATTTCAAAAATGGATTTAGTGGAGGCCACTTCACCTCACTTCAAATCAATGCTGACTTGAAGCCTCAAGTCAGCATTATGGTCAGTTAAACAAATTTTTTTTGTAATTATGATCCTTTATTTTTTCTTTCTCTCCTAGAATCAACTGTTTATGCTTCGATATTCTTCTAATGACAGAATACATGTCTTATTTTTGCAGGTTTAAAAAAGGAGGGAAACACAAAAGAAAATTATGAGGCAGGATTGCATTGGTTGGAGGTTCTGGTTATTGGTTTTGCTTGATTTTGGATCACTTGCTCAGCCTTTCTCTAAATGGCTTTAAAACTCCTGTGAGGAGTTTTTAACTGGTTATGAAATCGACTGAAATTCTTATTGATGCCTTTATAAGAGCTACTACACCAAAAGCAAACTGGACCATCAGCATGAGGACTATTTCTCTAGAGTTATCTTGATGTCTTGAACAGCTGCAATGAGGTGATATGAGAACAGGATCTAGCACACCTGTACTAGACAAAATAATCAAAGAGATAGTTCCTCACTGGAGCTTTAAACAAACCCAGTATATTTTGAGGTTGCAGATTATCCCCGTTTAAATGAGTATTTTTATCATCCACACTAATTCAATTTGATTGACAGGTGATACTGACCGCAGACATCCCTGTTCTTGACCATCAAGGCGGGATCATCTTCACTTCTACGGACGCCGGTGCGACCTTCAAGTTCATCCAGCTGCCCTTCCACCTGGTTCAGCCAATCACGTACCACTTTGACAACCCCGACTACCTTGTGGCTCTCAGCATCGATGTGAGTCACAATCTACTCTTTAAATGCTCTGTCTTCATCATGTTGACATCATTTCGACAATGAAGCTTTGTTTAATAGCCTGGGCTACAACTTTTACTTACAGTGACACACACACACACACTCAAGTTTCCAGCACACACCTTAAAGTAAAGGTAAACATTTCTTCTGTTCCTTTTTGGCTTGCAGGGCGGTCTGTGGCTTTCTCTGGACTTTGGCGCCAAGTGGACAAAGGTTCATGATGGAGTGCATTCTTTCTCATGGTGAGGATTAACAGCAAACTAATCCAGGAACCAAACCCCTGTGAAACCACATGTTACATGTTTTGAATGAGTTTCTATGATATGACACGCAGGAGAATTTATTCAGGAGAGCTTTCATTGAAACTATTGTGATATTTTCTGTGTTTGTGACACTTTTCTACCTTCCACTTTCAATCAGGGGAGCTGGCAATAACTTGTTTCTCAGCTTCAGCCGGACAGAAGCAGGTAGGAAGATAAATTTTCATACTGTTAATAGAAAAAAGTTAGAGAAAGTTGACACACATGATTGTTTTGGTGTAAAAGTACAACCAGACACACCTTGAAACCAAAACAAAGTGTAATACAGATTTTTATCTCTTCTTACAAGGTTCTGCTGTTGCTGGATATAATGTCTTTTTCTAATTTGAGTGTTCTTATTATAAAGAAATCCGACAGTAACACACAATTAAAGTTCCTATGAAGAGTTTTTTTGTTACCAAAACAGACTGAAATTCATGTTATCATTATTATTGCACTTCTATGATTTATCAAACAAACAAGACCCTCAGTGTCAAGACTGACAGTTTTTACACTGAGATATTTAATGCCTGAAACCAGTGGGAGGGGGTAGGTGTCAGGAAGTAGCCCGCTTTGTATCCATTCACATTTAATATTTACTATAAATTATAGATTAGACTATCGAAAGTCAGTGGGATGAGTTTTTTTCTGAGGAGATTCTACTTAAGCATGTCAAAGACAAGATAAGCGAATACTGCTTTGTCCACAGGGGGCGCCAAAATCAACACAGTCAAAAGATTAAGTATCTCTCTGTGGTACTTTTGCTGTTCAGTTTAAATCTTCATTGTCTCAAAACAGGAATATCCTCAGGCAATACTCAGGCAAGAAAGTAGCATTGAAATGATTAAAGAACAGTACAATAATATGCCAATATGCCCATCTATGTTTCCCTACTAAAAAATCACTGTATCACTGAAGAGTTCAAGACATATATCCAGCTGAAGTCAGACCTCTTTTGCTTCAGAGATCCAAATATTTGTAGTAAAATAATACCAGAATAAATACAACTTGAAATTAATGAATAAGAACTTTAGTGTATCATTTATTATATTCAAGTTAGTAAGTCTGACTGCTATTTTATTCTTCTTGTGGTAATAGTTGATGCTGAAGAGCGTGGAGATTTGGTGCTCAAGCGGACGACAGATCTGGGGAAAACTTTCACAATAATCCACGAGGACATCTTCAGCTTCGGCTACATTGGAGCTTTTCTCTTCTTCTCTGTGATGGAAGATCCGGTAAGATGTATGAATAAAAAACAAACAAACTTATTTTGAATCAAATATTAGTCACTAGATGACACTCTGTTCATTTGGTTCACCGAAGTGTTTGAACAGTGATGCTTCATTTTCCTCCCAGAGATCCCCTCGTGTCATGTATTTCTCATCAGATCAGGGCGACACCTTCAGTCGAGCTCTTCTGCCCTCTGCTTCCACTGAGCAGGTAAAAAACACACTCAAAACAATATGAAATAATCAAATGAGAGAAAAACAGAATTAGTTAATTGCTCTGTAGATTTTAAAATACTCGTACACAGGCTGATAAGTGAGATAGTGAGAGAGGGGCATTTTGTGATGCTTGTCAAACAGACTGTAATTAATATTAATGCCTATTCATGAGCTCCAAAATCACACAAGACTATTTGGATAAAGATTGACTATATGACAACACCAGTGTAAAATGCAGAGGGTCATATTGTGTTGAGGTTTATTACTCAGGAGAAGGGGCTCCAAGAAGTAAGCCACCACATTGATGCCAAAGCATGCTGAAGACAAAGTGAAGAAAACAAGTCTGAGCGGCATATTTTTTTTTTTAGCAGGATAAGTCACAATTATTAGTTTTAAGAAGTAGTCCAGTACTTTTTGATAAATGAATCTTGTAGATAGCTGGTTTGATTGAAAAGACTGAATTGATAAATTGAATTTAAGACAACATAAGAGTTTTTTGAGGCATAAAATCCCTCCGTGGTTTGTACATACAGTCAAACATACCACTTCTTGAAGGTATTTGATATACCCTGTCGTTCCTGTCTGACACCTAACCCGTCTCAGTGATTACAGGCATTAAAAAAGACATTTCAGTTCTGTGAATTGAGGTGTTGATGGTTTTATTTGCTTTCGTAGGTCACAAAGTCTTACTGACGTTAATTTCAGTCTTTTGAATCTATTCAAAAAGTCCTCAGTGGAGCTTGAGGGTAAATTTAAAGTATGCAGGTTATAATCCTGTCTGTAATTTTCTGTCAGAATATTACTCACTTGTCTTTTGGGTATGTAGTTTGTGACATCAGTAAAATTTTTGTCATTTTTCCATTGACATCTTTGGCTTCTCCTGTGATTTTCGGCTCTTGTCTTGACTTATTAAAGAGAGAAGTGTGAAGATATCAGTTTAACATTCACTCTTTTGACATGTGTCTACTAAAGTTTGAAGCCTGCAGATGTGAAGTGAACACAGTTAGAGAAATGCACGTAAACATTTTGTGGTTAAACATTAAGGAAGTTAAAGTAAAAATATTAATGGTAACATCCACTTTCTTTCACTAACACCAAGTAAGCACACTTCCTCTGCTGAAACCTCCCTGCACACACACTTACACCCACACACCCACTGTAGTATTTGTTGACAGCACAAACACACTCTCTCTCTCACGGCGATTAGACAAGGAATATCGCAAAGGTTTAAATCAGTCATCACAAAGTTTTTGATTTCATTTGCACTCTCAGATGTTCTCACCCACATGCCCTTTCTCTCCCATGTTCTCTCTGTCTGTGTTTGCAGTTTTACTCCATCCTGGACGGAGATGAAGAAATGCTCTTCCTGCACGTTGACAACCCCGGAGGTAACGCAGAAACATAAAAACATACTTGACACACATTCATAAGAGCACACTTTGAGAAGGAAACAGACAGAGTTCATGGCTTCAGCTTCTTTTGTTGTAATGGAAAAGCTGGATGGCGAAGTTTGAACTGGTTTCACAAGTTCTTGGTGTTGCTGACAAATCATTCCATCACAGCGAGTGTGTGTTTGTGCATGCAGTCCTTTCTTCCTCACTCTTTCTCCCTCCCCCTTCATTGTGGTTTCTTTTTTTTTTCTTTCTCATGCACATCTTTTTCTGTTTCCTTCACGTTATTATTACATTTCTCTCTCTGGTCTGTTAGCTGATGGGACTTTTGTGCTCCTGAGATAAATAGGGGAGATATGGGGTAGAGGGGCTTTATCTTTTGTTTCCTGGAGGTGAAGAAGATTTAGTTTACACTGCAGAAGCTGACAAACTTATCTTGGGATCAGGGTGTAACACGCACAAGCACAAAAATACACACACTGGAAATTTAACCCTGTCCATCATCCAGGTTGCCCTTCATGGCTCTAGCTGACACGTGTGAGCTTCACACAGTTGAGTTATGATTGATGGAGACTTGTTTTGATGCTGCTGTTGAAAGGTTTGAGTCAGCATGGCATCACTCTTTCACAGGTGCTGACTCTCTCTGAAATCGATGTATCCTCATCACAATGACCAAGTGACAGTTATTGGGAGAGCTTGACGCATCATTTTTAAACCTGCTGCAGTCAGTTGGCGTGTTTCTGATTGAATAGTCTGCTGGATTACAAAAAAAGAGACTTCTGTGAGTTGCAACAACAGCGAGTTATCACAGTAAGACATGAGTAAAAGCTGTTTTATTTTCGTCAAATGAAGATAAATATGGTTGAAACGGTCCGTTTAAACAAGAAGAGACCAATTATACTCAACTTGACCTTTCACCATGTCACTGAGACACCTTTGAGTTAACTTTTCATGGTTTGCAGCTCAAAAATAAACATTTATAGTAACTAAAAACCCTTATTTCAGCTCTATCAAGCCTAAAACTGATAAACTGAGGTTTGGCTGTTTTCTGGTGTCATAAAACTAAACTCAGCTTGTGGGTGTTACTTTTTACACAGCTTTATAATTACTATTATGCCACATGCTGTTTTAATGTTACTTACAACGTGTGGTTCCAAGCCTTTATGAAAAGTCTATAGAAGGAATATTTCCACTTTTCACCAACAGTCGATGCAAGATCAGCTCATACTGGACTTTGTTTACAGAGCAGTCATTAGTGACTAGTGACAGCTACATTTCGGCTGTTTTTGTCCTAAAGTTTCATCATGCCTATGACTTTGAGAGAACATTTCTGTAAAACCAAAATAACACTTATAAGCAACTTTCGAAGACAATAAAGTGCAAAGCAAAGGGAAAGAAACTCTGGGCAGTCAAATGGATTTTCCAGCCAAAGGACAATGTGAAAGAGCTTTTGGGTGGGTGTGTCCTACAACATTGTCCAATAGGACAACAAAGTCTGAGATCAGCTTATATCTCAGTTGTGAAACTTTGCAGAGGTTTAGTATAGACATCCAATGTTGAAACTATGGCATGGATTGCAGGACAAGATCTTACCCCTATTACTGCATCTGAAGTGGTTGAGGACCAGTAGCTCTCAGGCTGCTCTTACACCAGTCATCCTTAAATATGGTTATTTCCTGACTCTCAGGACCAGCCTGAGAAAGAATCTAATGTTTTTGCCACAGTGTCAACAGGCAGAGGTGAAATGACCATCGGCTGCTGGAAGATTTTGACCAATCAGAATCACGCTTTGAAACACAACCTGTTAATAACATTAAATAACTCTGACAGCATGTTTTAATTCTCCCTCTCTTTCTCTTCAGACACTTTCTTTGGAACCATGTACACATCAGATGACCGAGGCATCTTGTTCTCCAAGTCACTGGAGCGCCACCTGTTTGACGGGCACAGAAAAAGCGATTTCACCAACATAACTTCTCTGAGAGGAGTTTACCTCACAAATAAACTAGATGAAGGTAACTTTTGAACATGTTTTCTCTGACTCTCCCACTCTCTGATTTACCAGTCTTCCTCTCCTTAAATATTTGATTGTAACTTTAATGAGGTATTTTGTTCCAGATGGTCGTATCAGATCTGTTATTTCCTTCAACAGAGGAGGAACGTGGGGACAACTTAAAAAACCTGATAATGTGGACTGTGTAAAGCAGGTCAAGAATGTATGTATGACTGTTAAAATAAATGATGTGCAGTAATGTGTAATCTACAATTGAGACAGTATTAATAAAAAAACATTGTTTCCATCAGTGCAACCTTCATATTCATGGGGAACACAGTCGCAACAACCGCATCGTCCCCATGCTGGCTCTGTCTGAACCCACTGCTGTCGGCTTGGTGATTGCACATGGTAACTAAACAGCCATGTACCAATAATTATTTTTACTAAAAGGTCTCAAAGTCTGAATTTCTACTCCCTCATTTTTAATCTGATGTGATGATCAAAATGTATTTCTTCTTGTTTCGTAGGTACAGTTGGTGACTCTCTGTCGTCATCCCAGCACCCAGATGTGTTTGTCTCCTCAGACGGGGGTTACAGCTGGAGGGGGACGCTGAGAGGGCCGCACCACTACAGCATACTGGACTCCGGGGGTCTTATTGTGGCTGTGGAGGCCCAGCATGAAGGACAAGTCAAGACTATCAAGTACTGGGGGGGTATATTATACATAAACAATGGTGTTTAAAACTGTTTGCTCCAAATGATACATAACTTTTTGCACTGTTTCTCGTCCTCAGGTTCTCCACTGATGAGGGCCGGTGCTGGAAGTCGTACAACTTCACTGAGCAGTCGTTCTTCTTCGCAGGCCTGGCGTCTGAACCTGGAACAAAAGCCATGAATGTCAGTGTGTGGGGCTTCAGACCTGAGGAGGACAGGCAACCCATGTGGGTCGCTGTAACCATTGACTTCCAGAGTCTAATTACAAGAGAGTGTGAGTCAGGATGCTTTAAAGCCATCTACAGCTATCATTTGTGCTTTCACAGAGCAAACAGCCTCTGTAATGTGTACTTCCAGTGAAGTGGATCAATAAAGCAGCTTCCTGTGGCAGACACTTACACGGCCATGACTTGAAACTTCCCCATAACCTGAGTTACTAAGAACTCATGACTCAGCTTCAGAAATAGGTTCCTTGTCTTGTCTTGTTTTCATTCTCAGAAGTCTTTATACCCCTTTGATAGCGGGCAGGGAGAAGTGAGTTACCTTAAAAGCACTAATAAGGATTTATTTGCTGATTTTATTGCAAATCAATCAGCTGTGTGAAATACTGGATTCTGATTGGCTGAAACAGCACAACACAAATAACAAACAAGAACAAGGACAACAGTTGGAAGACATCCCAAGGTTGCTCTGTCTGTCACGGTTAAAGTCTGAGTGGTCGTCCTTTAATTCACAGGTAATGGAGAGGATTATGAGGAGTGGTTGGCTCACTCTACAGATGAAGGAGACTTGGAGAGAAACGGCTGTGTGTTGGGAGTTAAAGAGACGTACAGGAGGCTGAAGAAACAATCCGTGTGCAGAAACGGGAAAGGCTTTGTGGTGAGCAAGAAGCAAAGCCCCTGTTTGTGCACCAGAGAAGATTACTTATGGTATGTCACTTAGTTTTAAAAGTTAAAAAGACTTCTAAGACAAATTTCTCACCGTTACTCGGCCCTGTCTTTCTCAACAGCGACTATGGTTACTATCGCCATGAGAACACCTCAGAGTGTGTGAGACAATCAAGCAATCCAAATAAAACCTTAGAGCTCTGTCTGAATGGAGAGGAAGACGAGCTTCTAACAGCGGGGTAATGATGTCTACACACACTTCTCTGAATCACAGAAATAAGCCTCCTGTATAAAGTCACTCACTCATCTCTATATCTGTAGGTATCGTAGGGTCCCTAGTGACAGATGTGAGGGTGGGTTCTCTCCTCAGCTAGCAGTGCAGACAGTCATCAGACCCTGTGGTGTAAAACCCAGCCCCGGTCCACCTGCAAGGTCCTCATCTCCAATCACCCACTTTGACACACCGGTTGGTAGACTCGCTGCTCTCATCTGTGTTTGATTTGTGTGTCTTCAAATGATCTTTTTTAGACAATGTTTTGATTTATTTTCCAGCGAGAACGGCTGGTGTTGATCCTGGTATGTGCAGGAGCAGGAGTCATCGTCCTGATAGCTATCATCTCCGCTGTCATTGCTGTCAAAAGGGTCGTGTACAGAAACAGGTCAGTTAAACTGTGCTATTTGTGCTCTTCCATACATCACCACTTCGCCTCCACTAATATCCATCAAGGAGGGGCCACTGTTTATGTTAGCTAGAGTATAATGTACATACATACATACGGCAGATGTTTGGTGGCAGCCTAAAGCTAACATAAGCTGTTGTTTAACCATAGCTCATATAGGTTATCAAATATGGCCAGATTTCCCTCCATGTTTTTCACTGGCAGCTGTGCTGATCAGTCACTGTGTATTAAATAAATAATACAACCATTTTAAAACCTTTTATTCCCTGATTTAGTACAACTTAAACACAACCAGTAGTGTGGCGGTATATAAATAATAAAGCCTCTTATCTTCAGTGTGGTTCCTACAGAAAATGGCTCTTAGGAGACCGTTGTTGATAAAATTGGTCATTATTGTTTCATGTCTCCATCTACAGGGCACCTGTGTATCGTTTTTCTAACCTCCAGATTCAGGATGATGAAAACAGCGTCACGACAGATCTTCAAAGCGCCACCAGCAGCAACGGCACCACCTGCCAACAGGACTCAGATGATGTGAGAGTTATCCAGAGCTGTTTTGGTTTTTACAGTCCTTTGAGTTTATAAAACGTGCATCATTTCATTTTTTTCTCCTTTCCCTGGTCAGGATCTTCTTGAATGACAAAAAATATCATTTCATGGATGAGATAATATACTCCTGAGGGACACCAGCTGTGAGGAAAAAGATTTATTGGACTTGAACCTGATATTTTCTTGGGAGTTGTCTCCTTGTGGATTTCAATGACACACAACAGATTGTCTTAATTTATTGACAAAACTTCATGTCATGGCTTTACTGAGCCAGCTGTGATTTGTACATTATTTTTGATACTAGTTTGTGTTGTACTGCTTTTTTATTTTCTGTCCAATGTGAAAACTAGACAAACATGAAAACACGCATTTCATTACAAGAATTTATCAAACGGAGCTTATTACTGGAAAACTTCCACTGTGTAATTTAAAGTCAACTTTTAATTCAACATTTATTCAGTCCTTCTTACTTTTCTTTGTTTCTGAAGCAGCCCTCAGTATGTGTCTGTTTATTTCAATCATGGCTGGTACCTTCTTTGTGACTTTCACATTCTTTTAAGACTCAAAGCAGCCTAATTCAAGTGGTATTTGGATGATATTTTCACAATAACTAGAGGGTGGACAGGCTCTTGATTCTAGTAATTGTGACTGAGATCAACAACCTGAGCTTGTGGGAATTGCATTTAACCTTTCATTCACTGGATACATGGAAAAATTCTACTGGACTGGAACCCATCACCTATGGTGACTCAGGCTGTGTCCGAAATGAATCCCCAACCCCTAACCCCCAAATAGGGTTTCACTATATAGCTGAATATGTAGTCAGCTCAATCACCTGAGGTTTCGGACACAACGTGGCATGACGCAATGCATGACAGGATGCCCACCACTGGTGAGCGACCATCGGATGGTCACTACATTTTGCAATGCTCTATGGGAAATTTTGAGTCGCCTATATGGGGCATTGGAATTGATCACTCAGGTTTCGGACACCCCTTAAAATGGCGCTAACCCCCATATAGTCGCTTATGTAGGGGTTAGGGATCCATTTCAGACACAGCCTCATTCTTCCAGAGTGAAAACAGCAAAGGTTTAATCTTGGAGAACACAACCTAGAACTTGACTAGGGCATCATCTCATGAAAATATCCAGCACAGGATCAGGATGTCATTTCCTAATTGTCATTTTTTAGAATGAGAAACCTGCACACATGCTTTGGCACTTGGGTAAACTTGCTTATTTATTCATCTCGGTATTTTTTTGTAAGTATGGATGTAATGTTGGTAAACTGGGTTGCCTTTCATGTCCCCTCTAACTTATTTTTGTCCTTTTCAAGGCAATGATTGTATGTAAATAGTCTGTAAAATATTAAAAAGTTGATCACAAAAAATGGAAGTTTTAATTGTAATTAAACTGTAAATAAAGACGCTATGAACTGATTGCTAAGCCTAAGTTCAACATTGACATGAGACTCTGTTCTAGCATTTATCAAACCTATATTTGTAAATTTCAGTCGTGTAAATTGGTCAAATTAAGCCTTAAAAAGGCGATTTTCAACGTCTATGCATAAACATGACGGCGTCGCTGCAACGTGTCGCATCTGTCACGACGTAACCAGAGAAGAAGAAACACAAGGAAGTTGGTGAGACGGAGACAAAGATCTTGTATTAACAGATGTCCTACTCATCAACGAAAACCTGCCACTACTCGACCTACTTTATCAATCCTTTTCTGGTTCATATTTCTAACGACGCGTTTTGATATAAAGGCAAATTTGCGATTATAAATTGTCCAAGAATACAAAATTGATACAGTGATACAGTGCAGATACGGCGACGTTAGTTAATAAAGAATGAAATATAACACTGTGTTTGCTTCATGAAACGTGGCCTATTTCTTAAAATAATTTGAGAATTAGATCGTTTGACGACATGCTGGTCAAAATCTTTTTATAGTTGCCACGCTTTATAATTGGTCGAGCAAACCTTTACGTTCAAAATAACCGCAACAATTTGCAGGAAGTGCGGAGTATCGACTGATCCGACATTTTCGTCTTTGGTTTCTTCAACAGAGTGGATCATCATACCGTCACAATTCTCCACCAACCAGCTCAGCTGTCATTACGCGAATCATCGCTCGTATCAGTGTTTCGTATTGTAAATCATACCAGGCTTGGTGGTTGCTGCAGCCATTGTACAGGTAAGTAGGTGCGGCAAATGCGTCCACATCCTTCATGTATTATAACATTACTACCTCTGAATTTGTTGCTGGAGATGTTTCGCTGTTACCAAACCTGGACAGAGACGAGGAAGTGGTTTCAGTTGATGCTCGTTAGCTTTTTGAAAATTTTGCCCTCGAGCCATGTTCAGCTACTCCTTTAGTAAACTCACAAATGTCAAGTACATCACAACGACATACTGCCTTGGGATAAGGAGCGTTTTTAAAGCGGAAAAAGACACTAACTTTGAAACCCAGAGCTGCTCAAAAAACGTCAGCTAACGTAAAAGTTGAAGGAACCCCACGGCCAGTTGCTGTGGACCCTTTTCTACATAATGAAGAGCATTGACACAGACAGACTTCCTTATACTGATGATGTTGTATTTCTTTCTTTATGTCTCTGCAGGTTTTTAGCTGTGGAAAAAGTGGCAGGGGGTCGCAAAGATGGTCAGGGCTGGCGGTAAGTAGACACTCTATCCTAAAGCAAAGGTGTGTGCTGCATTCAGGTGTTCTCTGGTCTACTACCGAGCATGTACTTTTAGTGTACTACAGAGTATACTCATTTAGTACTTCTTAGTACACTTGAAGCATACTTGAAAATACATTTTTAGTATACTTTTAGTTTACTAGTAATAAACTTCTAGTCCCCTTTTTAGCTTATAAAAGTATACTCTGAAGCATACCTTTTGTTTGTTTATTTATTTATTTGGGTTTTTTGGGGAGGTTGCCTTCAATGGGTAGGACAGAGTGGCAAAATGAGAGATGGAGAGTAGGGGCAACATGCAGCACATGGTCAGGACAGGAATCGAACCCGTGACCACAGTCCCCAACATGGGTCAACTTTAATCTACTCAGCTATCTGCGTGCTGACTTTGAAGCATAATGAAATTACCTTTTGCTATGCTACTATTTCAATAGTAGTATGCATTTGTATACTTGGCCTGGTTTGTGCAGGGGATCAATAAAGTTCTTGTCTTATCTTAAATAATTTATACGTACATAACTTATACTCTATAGAAGTATACTCTTAACAAGATATATGGAAGTATTCACTGACCAAGTATACTTAAACCCAATGCACAAATGCATACTTAAGTATATCTTGAACAAAGGTTTATGTCCAAGTCTAGGTTAAATGTATTTAGACTTAAAGTATAATTGTAAGTACAAGCCAAGTATACTTAACATTAACTTTGTTAAGTATATCTCTGAAAAGTCCACAAAGAGTCAAGTGAAAGCATAAAAACAGTATACTTGAAGTACATATCAACATACTTCTTTTTGGTAAGGGGTGCAGGATTATAGAATCAAATCTAATTGTCCTTAATCTTTGTCGTTACCTTTCAAACAAACAAGCATGCAGCACCTCACAAAGACAAGAAACCTATTACAGTCATTAATAAATAGATCTAGTTACTTTACTATGTACTGCAGACAAAGAGGAAGCATGTAAAGAAAATAAAATAGGTTCAAGAAAGCTACCTTGAGAAATACCACATTTATAACGTTTCTGATACACAAGCTCTGAGGCTGAAAAAACGGCTATATTATGTAACTGTTTCACATTGGCATTGAATACTTTCATACATATGACATGTCAAAGCTTGTTGGGGCTGAAGTTGTCATCCCAGGTGCATAATGCATCACCTTATAGGCTGTACATTATGGCAGTTTTTTTTTTTTTTATATCTGTTGATGATTTGTAAAAATCTATAATTTGCTTTGCCAACAATGACCTGCCTCCACAGTAAGAACCAAAGCTGGCTAAAATAGGTCAGGAAGTTCAGCAAACACAAATTTCAGTTTCAGATCTAAAAAAGGACTTCTGACACATCGCCACACACACATATTTCTGACAGGTGTTAACCCGCTGTCTTTGTTATATCTGTTTTTATTCATTTTTCTGTATTTATCTCCTATTTCCCCTCAGGTATTTTGAAGTTAGCAGCGCTCATCTTTGCTTTCCTCCTCGCTGTCTTTCTGGCCTTTCAGCTCCTGGAGATTAACATGGATTTTAAACTGAGCAACATCATCTGTGAGTGCACATTTCCTAGAAAACGAAAGTTATCATATTAGATCTGGTTCTCAAAGCAAGACAAGACATGAGTTAAAGAGGAAACATGACATTGCATTATCAAGCTAATGTCAGAGTATGTCACAATACTGATAGTGTTCACACACCTACATTGTTCCACACCTACATTGCATCACAGTTTTTGGCAGATTTTCTAAACATGCATATTTTTCTTTTCCAGCAAAAAATATAGCTGTGAATGAAGGCTGTAAGTATCCTTAATTTATCTATAATTCACTTTTTGATTTGCTTCTCAATCGCTGATCTCTTTTTAATACACATTCTTCCTTTTTTACATCTTTAACAAGCCAACACATGAACGGTAATCATGTGTTTGTGTCATAAAGTGTTGTGTGTATAGTGGTGCCTCTTATTTAGAGTATATATAGAGTCCTTCTGGTAGTGCTTTAATGGACTGCTGCTATTTGATCTGACTCACCAGCTGTTTGCAAACAGCACAGTGAAGACAGCATGTGTTCCCTGATATATTCTTGTTTCTTGGAGTGTAAATTTAATTTTCTCCCCACAGCAACAAAGCCGGTCAGGCACAAATGTGGGCTATCCAAAGCATGTCCACTCGGGCACTTCGCCTTCAAGATGGCCAGTGGGGCGGCCAGTGTGGTGGGGCCCAGGATCTGCCTGGAGGACAAGCTGTGAGTCAAAGAAAACTCAAATCTGTCAGACAAGAAGGCAAATTATTTTTTCCCATGTGTTTATCTTTCCAGGGTTAAAGTTCAGAAAGCGTAACGAGGTTGACACCCTGTGTTACGCTGATGTGTCATTTATGTTTCTCTGGTGTCAGGATCATTTGTAGTAGTTGGTGCTTTTGTCTGAAGGTTGTAGACTTAAACTGAATAGAGGAACAAATAGAGTATAGTTTTAAGATTTTCTGCTTTTCTCTGTTTTATTTCATTAGAGATAAAAACTTGTTTTATTTGTTTACACTAACTTCATGTTATTTGTTGTTTATTACATGTTAATGCACAGCTTATTATGCTGTATAATGTGACTTGGCTCTGTAACATTAACAGGAAATCTCCCTGCATTTAGTGTGAAAACACTCACATGGTCCAATATTGTCCTTCTTTGTTTTAGACTCATGAGTGGTGTGAAGAATAACGTAGGCAGAGGAATCAACATCGCCCTGGTTAATGGTAACGTTTTTAACGCAGATAAGTTATCTAAGTTTGCAGCTGTGACACACCCAGTTGAGATATTTAAAGCTCCTGTGAGGAGTTTACAGCTACTTATGAATCAGACAGAAATTAATACTGATATGTCTCTAAAAGCTCTAAAAGTCAAACAAGACCACAGAGAAGAAAAGTTACAAGTTCTATCGGCTTGTTTTTAAAGTTAGAATCCACATGTGGGGGTTCGGTGTTGGACCAAGTGATCAAGTGCATGCTGCTAAAGGTTCTCACTCACCAGGGCTGACACGAAGCTAGAACGCAAAATCACGAAATATTCAGAGGTGAATTTTGACGCACCTGACTATACACATCAAGCCCGATGTGATTTTGAAACTTTCCGGGGGGAAAAGACGCATCCCGGGGAAGACTATTCTCGGTGAAAGTCCCACCTCCTTCGCCTCTGATTGGCTAGAAAAGCTGGAAGCGTCATCACACGCTCAAGCCAAACGGTCAGCACTTATAGCCAATCAGAGACGATAAGATAAGCACATGAAACCATGGTAACAACCGTTAGCTTAGGTTAGCACAGATGAAAGTTAAAACAAAGGCATTTAGCAAACTGTTAAAGCGCACAAACCATCGTCATATGAGAGATCCGACGCTATGACTCTCCACAAGTTGTCCTTCAGGATGTTATCTTTGTGACACGTAAACAATCAGCCGGTCGGCCATGTTGGATATACCGGTGAATCAGACGTCGCAACAACATGCAATCGGATTGGTCAGAAGTGGACACACAGTGTGCGAAACTTTGAAAAATCGACCATGATCTGAAAAAATAAATGCAGCAATATCGCAGAACGGTAAAACGTCGCTGATGTGAACGCTTGTATTGACACGATACGGGTCCGAAAAAAAAATATTGACGTCTGAAATAATCGCATGAAAAAAAGGCTCCCGGTGCGAAAGGACCTTAATACTTCCTTTTTCTAACATGTACAACAGCGATATTCTTGAGCTGTGATACAGTTGACATGTTAAACAGTTAAATAGATCTGTCAAGAAACACAGACTTTGTCCACAGGGAGGCGACTAAGGCGAAAAGTTTGTCACTGTAGTTTTAACCAAACAAATCAGAGATTAGTGTATTTTTTTGAGATTTGAAGTTGTAACCCTCTGTGGTAAAACTAAGGTCAGCTATAACCCATGCTAACTTAACGTTTTGGTGTTGCATAAAGCGAACGTTATAATAAAATGTGCTTATAAATGGTCTCTTGTACCTTGCAGGAAGAACTGGAGATGTTGTCAAGACAAACTTTTTTGATATGTGGGCTGGAGGTGCGTATGTTTGAAGACCTTTGTGCTCGCAAATCTAAAACAAATAGACCGCATCAATTATGTAAGATAAGATAAGAGCTTTATTGATCCCCCATAGGAAAATTAATAATGTGTAATCTTTGTAATCCTGTGCAGATGTGGCTCCTTTTATTAAATTCCTAAAGGAAATTGAAGACGGGACAATCGTCATGATGGCCTCATTTGATGATCCTGCAACAAAGTGTGTTACTTTCCCCTAATATTACCTGAATCAATATCAATCCATGTAATAAACACAGCCTAGTTATGGTTCATTCAAATTTTGGCTTATTGCTGCAGGTGAATCCATGATGTTACATTTGTCTACCTTGATCCCTAGACTCAATGAAGAAGCCAGGAAGCTGGTTGCTGATCTGGGCAGCACTTTGATCACTAATCTGGGCTTCAGGGATAACTGGATCTTTGTGGGAGGGAAAGGAATCAAGACCAAGAGTCCGTTTGAGCAGGTAACAAAAACTCATAAATCATTTTTGTATTGTTTCCTTATTGCATTATGTAATTTCGCCAAAAGAAAAAGGACTTAGATGTAATATCAGCCAAACAATGGGACAACAGCATTCCTCCTTATTTACCAGGGGCGGTCTTGATACCTGAATTAGGTGTTTATAGCCTCTTTTCAACCCAACCAGTTTGGTGAGTCCAGACAAAGGAGCCATATGTGTATCTCAGGTTTGGTCAATAGAAACTGCTGCTTGTTAGATGATACAATACACGTGACACTGTCTGGGGGAGAAAGGGGATTAAAAAAAGTGTGTTTAGATTGAGTCTGAGAAAGGGCTAGATTAAACTGGGATTTTTAACCAGAGTTTAAGGATGCCGGCACTCTACAAAACTTTCAACTGAAACCATCTGGAAGTCTAAGTGAAGAGATTTGAAGTTTTGTTTATAATTCCTTTCATTTAATTGTGCTTTATTCACCACTTTTCTTGCTGTCATATGCAACATTATCCAGCACATTACTCACCACAAAAACTACCTTAATAATGACCACATTCACGTAATTTATCACATTAATTGGTCGTATTATTCGCCAAAGTAATGACCATATTAATCACGATAACTACCACATTCTATGCCATATTTTCATCCTCAATATCTACCACATTTTTAGCCACGATGTTTCCATTCCTTACATTTTTTAAACAGTATTTGCAGTATTACCTGCCGCATTGTTTGATTAATTATTTCTTTAAGTATTCCCTGCAGTATTTGACGTATAATACTACAAACTTCCAGTTAAGGCGGCGGTACTTCTCTCTCGATGTTTAATAGTGAAAAATAAACCCTGGTTATTATTACAAAGTGTCAGCTGACCGTGTACCTGGGCTGCCTGCCCAAGTAAATGTCGTGTGGGAAACACTTGAATCGCAGGTGTGTGCTCAGCCTTTCAGCCTCTGTGTTTGATCTTCCTGAGCAGCCCACACCTTCTCACAGAGATTTTACCGCTCTTTCTTCACCCTTTCATTGTCCACTCACATTCATGCCTCCTGGGCTCGTCTGACCCAGATTATAATGGCACTGCAAACTGTAATCATATGAAACTTAATGTGAGTGTTTTGTGTGCGCCTCCGCAGCACATAAAGAACAGCGCAGACACCAACAAATTCGAGGGATGGCCTGAGGTGTTGGAGATGGAGGGCTGTGTACCTCAGAGGCAAGACTGACTGACTGGAATCTTCATTTCTCGTCCAAAACATCCAACTTTTCCCGACTGACATTCCTGTCCTTATGAGACCTGAAAAGTGCTTCTTTTCCAGACGTTTTCGAAGCTCTTAATCACAAGCCTTTTATTCAGATTTACCCACCAGAACAACATCACCATAACATGACAAGGACAGAGGAGCTGCTGAGCTGGTTTACTGGGATGCCAGGACTTTTCCAGCACATCTCCTTTTTGTTTGGATACAAAAACATATTTACTTATTATTATCATTATCAGTGCTTTTAATTGATCAGGAAGGTAGATTGCACTGATTAAAAGGGACTCAGCTTTGATAATTTGCATGCTATCACAATTTCTATCTGTAAGGCTCACAGACGTAGCTGTGATAGTGTCGCATCATTGCACTGTATTTGATGGAAATGGATCTCCATCACCTATTTCCTGCCTTAATCTCATTAACCCATTCATGTATATTATGGCTTTGTGATTCATTTTCTTCCTTTTCAGAGTTTATTTTCAGAGAATTATTATTATTATTAATAGGGTTTGATATGCGTATTGTTTTGATATTACAACCCAAAGTACCAAATTCACTGTGAAATTTGTAAATAGTTGTTTAGAGGAGGGTCCAAATAAAGAAATACCCTAATTTAATGAGCACTGTATTAATATAATGTCTTTAAATGAAATTGTTGATTAACAGTATGCTTGTAGGGATTAAAGGAGTTTTGTTACCTCAAGTGGGGTGTGTCGTTATTTCCCTGTGAAAACAAGGGTGTAAAGAGCTCATCCTGTTTATTTCATGCTGGGAGCAGCTGTGGATGAGCTGTCAGTCTCAGAGTTAATCCTTAACTTTTATATCACCATGTCAAACCGAATGTTGAGGGAGTGAGCTTCTATTTAAAACAGCTTCATTTTTCTCACAGTTGAAATTGAAGCAAACAACAGAAACTGTTTTGTTTTAGCAGCAGTTCTCCAATGTTAAGCAGAAGAAATATGCATTTATGAGATATTTTATGAATCGCACAAGCTCAAAAAACACCTTTCAGAATAGTTGGGATGTGGTTGTGTTTGCTTTTGTGTTGTATGTTGATTTTGATAAGCTCAAGTTTCCATCTGCAACACCTCTGGATTCTGGGCAGACCAGTTTAGCACCTGAACTCCCTTTAGTGTGGAGTCAAGCAGGTATACAAACATGCATATGTAGTTTGGCATCTTCTCCACTGAAAAAGTCATCATCTAGATGGCAGCTTATGTTGCTTCAAAACCTGTACAGCGTTCAGTGTTCAAAGTGCCTTCCCAGGTGAGTAAATTGGCCACCATGTGTACTTATGCATCCCAATCCTATCATAGTTACTGGCTTTTTAACTGTGCGCTGATTACACGCCACATCGTCTCTCTGTGAAGCCAAGGCTGCAATGTCCATGTTCTCTTAAAAGAAGGTCACATTGTAAGTTGCAATACCACAAATTTTACTGTAAATCCTCAAATTCTCCAGAAGTTTATGCTCAGTAATATTAATTTGGAGTTGCTGAACTATTTGCTCACACAGTCTCTCACAGAACAACTGACTAACCTGTTGCAAATGAACCTCATCAGTTAGGAGATGTTACCCCTTTTTTTTTTTAATTTTCAGTGTTTTGGTATTTAGGTCTCGCTTATTTGACAGCTGTTGTTGGTATCAAATTCAAAATGAGCTCATATTTTTTATACAAAACAACAATTTTCAGATTCAACGTTTTATAAGTTGTATTTACACTATTTTAAATTAAATCAAAGACTCAAATGGACATTCTGTTTTTATCAACATTATGTGGAGATGAGGTTGTCAAAAATGTTTTGAACATGTCTGAGCAGAATTCTAAGAATAAGAGAAAAAATCAGATCTTAAGGTTGGTAGTTCAGTCATTTTCATTTAAAGGTGCTGCAGTGATCTGACTGACAGCCTACCCTGGAGCCTCTGTTTTTCATTTCGATGCATTTTCTGCTATAGAAACCTCTTCTCTCCTTATTTCCCATCATCATTCCCATCACTCATCTGTATAGCTGGCATTGACAGGCTGCAGCAGGCGCTTACAGCACATTAGGTAGTTAAAGTCATTGGGAACATTTTGTGCAGAGAAATATGGCCTCAAAATGGTACCATTTGCTGCCATGTTGAAAGTGCCTGTCAAATTGCCCTGCCTCTTTGCTGCTGCGGGCTTTTATGACTGATGGAGATGTCAAGATATTCAATTTGATTTTTTTAGTGTGTTTACACACTGTTTGCCACATACTGACATGATGGATCTAGACAAGCCATTATCTGTGGTTTTATGTCATTAAAATGTCGTCTACTAACAAATTTACCTTATTAAAAAGAATTAAAGTACTAAAAGGATAACAAAACCATATATCACACAAAATACAAACTCTAATTTTAAAAATGAACAAATCCCTCTATACCAGCTTGTTTTGATGTTTATTCTGCTGTGATTTGTGCATGACTTTGATGCAACATCTGCAGTTTTGATCCCTGCTGTTTTGAAGTTGACAGGCAGAGGGCGCCATTGCCCCATGCAAATGTGTGTGGTGTGGTTTGTTTTACAGTATGTACAGTATTTGCAGCATTTGGAGCTCTGCAGTAGGGGGTACAGTGTATGAAATGCTTTGCAGAATCTTGTTTCCTGCTCAATAAGCCACATCATTACCTGTTTATACCTCCATAGGCCATATTCTTAGCGATATTTGCACCCCTTCATGGGTTATAATGTGAGTTGGTGTTTGATTAAAATCAAACTAGCATCTGAGTTCTGACTGATGCATGAATTAGATGGAAAGAAAATTCTTAAAAATACATCTTGGGGATGTGGAAACACGGCTTTAAAGGCTCTGCATAGCCCAGTTTGTGCTTTTATTGTTTGCATATAAACCTTGTGCATATTTTACTTTCTTTTTCTTATGGTTTGCTGCAGCAGCGGTCTAAAACTTGATGCAACATCATGGAAATTTTCCTCCCCCTAATCTGATTTAAATGATTAACTTTGTGGTTCTTTGGTCTACATCCAGCACGATCATTTGACCAACATGAAATACACTTTTGCTTTCGTTTGTGTGCTTCTACTCTCTTCTAAGCCCTCACATATATTTATATTTACACCGCAGGAGTTTGTAAGTTGCTCCTCTTTAGGTTTTTCCCCTTGGCTTCACGGTGACCCTGTGAGTTCCCGTTCAAACAAAGCTCTTCCTTATTCCCTGTAAATGAGAAAATGTTGTGCTTCTCTCCCTCTGATCTCATCTGAGCTCCTTGCACGACATCCTTCTGACATTTTACATCCCCCTGTGTGTTTATGTAAGAGTTTGTTTGGCTGCCATCCCACTGTACACATCGTCTGTGCCACACGTTAAACATTTGTGTGTGTGGGCCCGGCATTTTCAGATGTACTCTAATTGTTTGTGATGCTGGTGAGTGTGGTGTTGGTGTGTGTGTACGTGTGTTGGTGTGGGCTGAACCTCCTCTGAGCTGCTGTGTTTCTGTGCTGAGAGATGAAGTGTGGGAGGGAATCGTCTCCAACTCCAACTTATATAAGACACGCTATATGATGCATTATGTATGAACACTGAAAATCTCCCATCCCTTAAACCTCTGATGATGAGACGTGGAAGACGTGGGAGCTGAGGGGCAGAGCTGCACAAACACAGGAGGACTTTAAGGATAACAGGCTCTCACGAAACAGCAGAGGGGGGTCAGTTTATGTTTCAGTTTGTATTTTTTTTCTGTAAAGTACAAGCTTTCGCTCTCCTACTTTGCCCTGCTTCCCAAAATAAATCTGCCCGCTAAACAAAGGTGCTCCTCTCCAAAGGAGCCTCTATGGAGCTCGACCTCTGACCTCTAACCTCTGCCCTCTCAACCCCCGACTCTTCAGCTTCTGTTTGCAGCAAAACAAGCTTCAAAACAGCTCTGCTCTTCTACTTACAGGAAACTTTTTCAAGTAAAAAAGCATTTCCTGCCCACCTCAAGTGACTTAAACGCACCCACGGCCTCATAATTACACAGAGGTAGCTATAAACCAAACACTATTGCCCCCACTGCAGACCACAGACCAAGAAACACACACTAAAACACACTCCTCATACACAACACCTGTTTCCAATCCTTCTTCTGCTCTGTATTTTTAATGACACACTCTTACACCAAACCCCACATGTCCGTTTGTCTGTCTCTGCCCCTGAGACTTCAACTTAGGAGGCCTTGAGATTGTGTTCCTCATGTGTTTTTGCAGTATCGTTTTTTGGCCAGTGATGGCAGCAGCGAGCACACCTACTCTCCTCTCTGTGTGAGGAGGAGAGCCTGCAGCTTCTCATTTTGATATACAGACTGAAAATGATTTTAAAAAAAAACAGAGACTTTCCTCTCCAGCAGCAGTGAAACATCTTGTTTTTTGCAGTTTTGCTGTCAGTTTTACTTGGTGGACTCTTCTTCTATGACCTGAAAGACTTACAGCTCCAACACCCTGCTCTACCATCGCTCTGTAATGTAGTACTTAGAAAATATATACGCTGCAAAAATCGAATCTTGGCTTTTTGTATTATTTCATGTAAAAAGGTATTTTTAGGCTTCATTTAAGCCGTGTTCACTAAATGGGTCAAGAAAAATGTCTTATTTAAAGATATACTAAAATCAAGAGCTGAAGCACTGGTAATGAGTAAAAACTAAATGTTCTGAGAGGATAAGAAAAAAAAAACGCCCATATGATGTTTTATTCTTTCAGTCTAAGTTTATTTGAGTATTTCATAAATGTAAAAAAAACAACCTCACAGCAGCACATCTCCTTATTTTCCAGGTGTGATTAATTGTTGTCTCACCTGGATTTAAACCATAAAAATTGAACAGACAACCTGTATTTCTGATTATGTTTGAATTGAATCATATTGGTATTTATGGGACAAGAAAGGTCCAGGAAAATTTTAATAAATTTCCGTTACACTCATGTAGGATGCGACATGTATGTGGACTTCACATAAGCCTGGATGTTTTGGCCTTTGATTATACAGGTACTACACCGCAAAGACTCAAAACTCGGTAAAGGTTTAACTTGATCTCACCAGATTTCATGTTTGCCATGTTTATTTCACAAGTGAAGACAAATCTTTTTAGATAGATTTTGAAGCTGAAAGTACAACCTGAGTTGCTTGAACCTAATAAAATTTACAACCACCTCAAGTCTTATTTTTGCCTGTAGTATCCTCAGTATTCAAAAGCTTGCCTTACTTGTCAAATAGATGTAGCTAATATTAATCTGATAAGATATTAGATGTTAGACAAAGTAACTTGGTTAGTTCCATCGATCAATCAAACCTTATTTATAAAGCACTTTTCATACATATATTGTAGCACAAGGTGCTGTTCATTCAAGCAGGATATTAACAACAATGAAATGAAATAAATACAAATACAAATACCAAACCCCACCCACCCTCCCAACCCCCATTCAACACATACAGCACTCACACGCTCACACACACAGATACATACGCAAAAGACCAGGTGAGGACTCTTCAACTTGCCACAGATGACTTTAAGTTAAAAGAAATGAGGAATCACTGGATCTAGGACTAAAATGATAAAACCATAATAAAATATAATAAAGGTGATAAAGTGTTAAAAGTTAATCACATAAAACAGTCTTAAAATCAAACAATAAAAGAAAGTAAATTAAAAAAGAGGTAATAAAACACAGAATTGTTATTCTACAACTAAAATAGGGTAAAATCACATAATGCAGATTCAAAGATTAAGACAAAATTTAACTAAAAGCCAGACTAAATAGGTAGGTCTTGAGTTTACTTTTTACAATATGAACAGTAGGTTCAGTTTCAGGTCTGCAGGTAGGCTGTTCCACAGATGGGGACTCTAATGTTAGAATGATGATTCACCATATGTCTTAGTTTTTACTTTGGGCACAATTAAAGACCACTACCTGAAGAGCTGAGGACTCTACCAGGCTCATATGGTAAAAGAAAATTAGATAGATAAGAAGGACCAAGACCATGAGGAGCTTTAAAAACTAACAAAAGAACCTTAAAATCTATTCTAAAAGACACAGGTACCAATGCAGGGATTTAGTCCTGGAGATTAGTTCTGACTTTTTGCAGTGTACTGTATGTTTTCTTATCCTCCTAATTTGACTTAAACACAGTTCACTTTAGAATAAAGTCAAAATAAACTGCCCGACACAAAATAAAAGGACCTAATTGGTTTAATCCTGCAGCTTTATTAACATGCTCTCTATCTTTTAGCATGTTTCGCTGGAACAGGGCCCCTGCTGTTCTAACATTTACAGAGTGTTTTTGTGAGGTCCTGTATTGTCTGTAGGCTGTGTCCACTCCCCTAATCTGTCTCTTATCTGATACTGAACCCCAGGCAGAGCCCGGCCCTCTTGTTTACGCCCGGCTCTGCACATTAACCCCTGACTCCCTCAGAGTTTTCCCACAACTGTTTCTTTCAGCCTCTTTCAACCCCCACAGTTCTTCTTATCAAGTCAGTTTGAGGATAAAATGAAAAAACTTTGACTCAGTCGGTTTCATTTGGCAGAGTCGTGTTTCTTGCGGAGTAGCATGCTAGGTCAGGGATGGAGCTCTGCAAAAGGGCAGCAGGGTTTTCTTCTTCTGTTCAGGTCTTTTTGGACAAATAAAAAGTGTGATGTTCAAAAGATGCAGTATGGAGAAAGCAAGTGTGCGGATAGGAAGAAAAGGAAGAGTAAAGATGTTGAAAAGGTGAAGGAGAAGAAGAAGAAAACAAAGATCTCCCTAAAATTACAGTTCAGTTCACGGAAAGAAGTGTCACACCGTCAAAGCACCATCCCCCCCTAAATCTAAATCACACTTATGACCTCACTGCCCTTGCTTTCCGCCCCACCTACAATCCTTTAATTACCTCTTCACACACTCACACACTCACATACACACACACATACGCACACACACGGATCCAGACAGCTGTGTTTACACTCCGTGGGTCTGTGGGAACTTCCTGCTGACTTCAGCACAGACACAGAAACACCACACAGGCCTCAGACGTTGAACTGGATCGATAGCTCATCATATGGAGCTTTTCGCACCGTTTGTTCACTTTTAAAAGACAAACACAATTAGACAGGACATTAAAAAAAACAACAAGATATCAGACTGATGGATAAAGACAATGCTGGATCTATTTTTGTACTCTTGTTTTCTCTCCTGAAATGACTCGTCTTTCCTCTGGAACTTTTTCTTGAAATCAAAACTCGATAAAGTTTTTACTCTCTGACACGCTGACACTGAAACAGCGCTAACCTTTTCACCCTCACTAATGGCTGACATGGCTCAAACACAAGTGCGCGCACACATACACACATGGCTCCTGCTGGTCATGTCTGAAAAACAAAGGTCTCATTCATAGTTGTCGTGCTGACTTGGTGCTGCCTCCAGCTCTGGGTCGGGAAGTCGAGGTGGATCACATCACCGTGGGTGGAAAATAGACACATCCTGGTTTCTGACACACTTCCAACTGGATCAGTGGAAACTTCAAACCAGTGTCACAACTGCAGCCCCAGAGTTTTCGAGCACGTATCCAGACGATCTTCTGGCACTTCGCCATATTTCAGTTGCACAACATAACGACAACAACATGAATACAAAAGGTTGGAAGCGAAGATTTCCACTAAACGACTTCAGCAGAAATGAAAAGAGGTTACTATGTTCAGCCAAATGGTCTGAATCAATAAAAAATAATTGGCTTGCAAATCTAGTCCAGTAAATAGATCTGTATTCCCAGATGCTGCATGAATAATGGCAATTTGGTGATTTTATCAAGTACATGTGATGACTGTGCCTGAAAAGAGTGTGTCTGCCCTGGTATTAATGTGCACCGCCGCCCACATTTAAACATTTGTTTATCTTTTTATGCAGTACATGTGGACATGCAGAGGTGTATAAACTCTAGAATTTAATTAATTCACATTATGTTTAATTCATATTATATTGTGCACAATATGAATCCAGCCAACAGCTTATTTTTGGCTGGATAAAGAGAGTATTTTAATACAATTTACTAATAAAAAGCTGATGAAAGTTTTGTTTACTTGTTGATAAAACAGTTGATAACGGTAAGTGATTCGCCATTACATGCGGAGAAGAACAAGTACAGTTACAACAAGCCAATAAGACAATAAAGATGGTGGCACCAATGTGGATGTTTTTGACTGTTTTGGAGGTGGGTAACAAAGTTGTAAGTTGTAATCTAAATGTCCAAGTGTCCTCTGACAAAAATGTCACCCTGCTGTTGATGTTGGTATCCAAACGTTTCACTTATTGGTGATATTTTCAATAAAAAAATGTTAAAATACAGGTGTTCCTACAGTTGCTTGGCTGACACCAGTTTTGGGCGTTAACAATTACAACAAAGAGATCGCCAACCTCTTCACTGATGCTCTTGTTTGCTTTTAAATATCAGAAATGAATTTAAGTCTATTTAATAAATGTCAAAATCTCTGTATAGGAGCTTCAATATCTCAAACTTTCTTACCCTCAGATGTGCCTGAAATTAAGCACACAAAAGGGCTAAAAAATAGGTAATCATATGTACAATAGTAGGGTAGTAAAATTTCATATTGACACCAAACTTTGTTTTCTGATCGGTTTGTTCAGTCACATGCGATCAGGATCGTTGAATAAGAATAGGTTTTTTTCCCGATTCTTCCCGTCCAGCCATTTATTAACATTTTTTATTCATTTAATTTCATTTTTTGGAAAAACCTCCATGATATGACCTATTGTACCCATGTCCTTTCTTTCAATATATTACACGCTCCTGTTAGCCCCTAATTGGTTGTTTTAGTCACATATAATTCTGAATAAGGAAGAGGTTTTCTGCTCTCTTTTACTCAAGGAAATTTACACCGAGAAAAAACAATAAAATAGAGGTTTTTTAGTCCTCACCTGGTCTTTTGCGTATGTTTTTTTTAGATTTTTTTAATATAAAATACATGTTTATAATCTAACCTGAAGTGCAACCCTCATACACTCCAGAACAATAGGTGGCAGCATCCACCCCAAGGTTGGTTTTCAATCTGCAAAATAAACTTACAAAAGAAAAAGAAGAAAAAGCAGAAGAAGAAGGAGAAGAAGAAGAAGAGGAGGCCACATGCACAGAAGTTTGAGATTTGATTAACAAAAACCAAACAAACCCCAAATGTGCTGCAAATTCATGTCCAACCTGCTGTTTTAGAGGTGATCCAACCACCTACCTGGAGTTTCAGGTACTTCACCCACTTCAAACTGTGTTCAGCTCTGTTTTTGATTGAAAATATCTCAAAGTGGTCCAAAGTTTACATTCAGATAAAAGAGCAAATTTTTGAACTTTTTGATCTGCTACCTGCATCACCAATGTAGTTAGTGTAAAGAGAGGGTATTAAAGCTGTCTGGGAGAACTCAGTGTACGTGACCACACGCTGCTCTTCATTCATTATGCAACAGTCAGTCTACAGTCCAGACAACACTCTCCTCTACTTTCCCTGATTGAGCACTTTCACTCTGTACACCATGTATCCTTCCCTCAGTGAAGCTTCAGGGCATTTCTGCACTTCACTGTCCATTTACTATCTAATCTAAAACACCAAGATAAAGTGGCTGAAATGCATGATGAGTCTTTTTCTTGGAGGGATTATTGTAGAGAAAAACAGGTGAGAAACGTCACAAAACTTCACTGAGAAATAAGCGTGAAAAACTGATTTTTCCAGCAAGTCAGTGCAGCCGTTTCCCATAAATACAACCGCCTCATAAATTTCACTGCATCAATTTGCATCTTGCGTGCTCCCCTCCACTTCATGACACACACTCTAGCACAGTGTACTATAAAACCTGATGCAGAAACTATAAACAGCACAACTGTGAGCAGCCAAAATGTCATTCCGATGAGTTCATGTCATCATCTCAGTGTATGTGGAGCCAACACATACTTTTCTCTTGCACAACAGCATGACAGTGTGACAGATTGTAACCTCTATAGGGCCCTGTGCAGAAAGACTGTTCTTTTGGTGTCCTAAATCAAGTATTTATTCACTTTTTCATTAAATTTTTGTCATGATTTGTTCCGTTTTAAACCTTTGCTGCTTGTTGTTTGATTTTTGATTGATCCACATCCTTAAAGTGATTGTGATACAACATAAATGTACATAACTCTAGCAGGAAGGGGTTACCTACCTACTTATATGTGTCAAATTGATTCCCTGTGATGCATCAAGTTTTTAGTTTTTGTGTTTTGAACCGAATTAGCTGATTATTGACTGTTTTTATTCTCTCACTGCCAAGGAGAGGAAGAAAAGTGGATGTTTCCAGCTGCTACCACTGCTGACTAACTTTATAAGGATGCAAAGAAGAAGAAGATATCCTAATGCAACATGTGGACCATAAAGAGGACAAAAAGGATAACAGCGAAGAAGAGGACTGTCA